CCTGTAATGTGGTGAGCTGCACTTTAATGACCCTTGGAACGCTTCTGCAACCTGAATTGTCGTCGAAACACTTGCAGCTGTTGCAAGGCCAATCCCACGGGTAATGATTGCCTCCTGAAGATATTGGAGGGCTTGACAATGGTTCGAGTCATCGTGGTAATGCTCCTCCAGGGGCGAGACTCTGCCATTGCTGAATCGTGGGCGTGCTTGTCTGGTCCATGCTTCTTGATTATAATGATGCGTCCTACCAGGAACGCTGCGATTACTATAGTAGATTTGGCATAGAGATGGTGCAGTGCAGCAAGGGGAGGCTAGATGAGATAACGTCTGTGACGAGCCCCACGTTTCCAAAAAAGAAGGTTTGGTGGCGCTGCTGCTGTTGCTGTTGTTACCACTTAAGTGCTGCCCAATGCAGCTAGGCTTGATCGCTGGGAAAGTGCAGGGGCGTCCCAGGAAATTGGGAGCTGCTCTGTCACTACCCATTTCAGATCTGAACCGATGCAAAACACTGCGATACCGGAAATCATCATATCATGCACCTCACTCTAACATCTTCGATTTCTTGTTCTCTCTGGCAGACAAAACAGAGACTAATCCATCCATCCACCAGGCCTTATCTCACCGTCACCCCACACTGGTCGAACACAGTCCAGTCCCTTTACAATGGTACACCTTGTCCTGCACTAGTTAAGCTTGGTGCGCCACCGAACACAGTGTGGGATCCGTCCAGGCATAGTATGCATAATCCGATCCCATTGTGTTGATCAGTCTTCAACCTGCTCGCAGCCGCTCGTGTCACTCAGTCTTCACAGGTACGACGTACTGTGCTGATGGGACTACTGCTATGGATCAAGATCCTTCGAGATAGTGCACGATCCTCGTTCTGGCAAGGGGTGGGGGAGGAATTCGCCGTGTTCCTCTGCACGTCTTTTGGCAGTGTTTCCAGCCTCGCTCCAGGGCATGTGATTTCCTTCACCCGAGCACGACATGGCTAAGGTGAGCCAAGACCGGGAGATGGGCCATACACTATTCTTCAAAGACCAGCGTACCTCTGGATCGGATCGATTCTCGTCATAGCTTACAAGCGCCCCCTTGATACCCAGGAAATCCAGTTGATCAAGAACCCCACAGCGCGCGACGATCCTACGCGGGCAGTGAAGCGTACATGATTCGGCACACACTTGCCCTTTACACTCTGGCCTCGTCCTGTGCAGACAAGTCTCCTGTTCGTGCCCCCATATGCTGCGTTGAGCAAAGAACCAGCATCACATTCTTATGGACGTGGTTCACCAGATTCACCATCACATCCTCTAGTGGACCATTGTATGGAACGAACACAGCAAGATGCAAGAGGGGAAAACACGCCTGCTCGGCCGTTGTGATGCACTATGATGCACTATGCACAGATCACATTCTACGTTACAATGCATCGGCATCCATGATGTGGGGAGGAGCAAGGATTGACGACGAGGCCTAAATGACGTTCTTGCAGCCAAGCAGACTGCAGCAGACTCGCCCTGGTCTATAGCAAGATGCTGACAAGATAATAACCCCCATCCGCCGGTCGGGGTGAGACGGATTGCTCCCGGCAGAGGGCTTCGGCTCGGAAAGCCAGGGCTTGCAACGGGCAGGCCGGGACCCAAGGCCGCAGACAAGGAGTTGATTCCTGACTAAATGTGCTGACCTATACGTTCAGCATGGTTCAATCTCTGTATCTAAGGCTCATGGCGGTGGCATGGGCGGGATGCACTGAAGAGGTCCGTGCTGTAGCGGGTCCAGGCTGCATGTACAGCATCGCTGGGGAGGTAACGCAGAGAGCACCACCGCCAGCATTGCACGAACGGGCGGCATCGTGATCAGCATCCGGCTTGGTTTGTTTGGCAGTCTCGGGCCAAGCACCGTTTCAGCTGCAGAGCTTCCCGGACCGGTCGTCCTGTTCTGGCCACTATCTCCAGCGGGTATGCAGAGGGCCGAGCAGCCATTGGGTTCTGCTCTCACACATGGCTGGATTATGTATGCATACTGATCAGACGGAACCTGTTTCGAACCTAAAACGTGAACGTTGCGCTAGTCAGTTGTGGCAACTGAACCAACGTTCAACGGCTTCACGGTTCGATCCTACGACACCAGGAACTCCATCTCACACCGTTGTACCCCGCAACGTCGTGATTTTGGGAGCGACAGGTGCCAGGTTCTGCAATGCCGAGCCTGAGGTTAGGGTCAGACAGTGCCTTCCCTCTGTCTAGGGTCATTACAGTGATCCAGTGATGGCAGATGAAATCATATACGATTGAGTTTCCCGATTTCGATCAGCATTGATCGACTTTCTCATCTCGTCTGAAGTGCCGCGGATTTGAGAGTGAATCGTGGGCAATCAGCCAACAGCTCTGCAAGTGGCATTGCTTCCACTCAGCACACTGGCCTTCGATCTGAGCCATGTCTTGTGCTTGGCCGCATTTTCAAACGGTGCGAGATCTCATATGGGAGAGCCTGAGACGGTAGCTGGCACCGGCGATACTGAAAATGATGGTTCGGTGAAGTTGACGTCTGTCATCCTCGGACATGGGTCATTACGGGATTGGTTCGAGAACTAGATTCACCCCTCGACAAATCAACTTGTCACATGACGCCGCTGTACTAAAGCCAACGGCTGTGCACAGCTTTGGTATCTTCATGACTTCGATAGCTAATCCGAAGACAGCCAGTCAGGCGCTCTTTAGAATGGAAACAATGATGGGAATAAAAAGAGATCGACTATGGGAACGCCACGGGCTGCCAGGGACATCTGCCGAGGGTTCAGGTACTTTTAAGTGTATATACTGTGTAGGATGCAGATGGCCCACGACTCGTCTGTCGGATTCCAGACTAGCATCTACCATGGACGAGAAGGACAACGACGAGGTCATTGCGCAATGCGGGGTTCGTAGTACTCAGTTCGGTGGACTTCCAAGTTTGCAAACGCGATAAGGAGGACGGCATCGCAAGCAATCGTAGTGCACATGCAGGACAGCAGAGTAGGCCTTGGAGTACAGGCGATGGTTCGGCAATCCCGGAGCAGAGCTCCCACAACGTCGTGCCCACTCCAATCTTTTATACGCCATCGATCGGATCTGGGCACTGTACCTTATCCAAGTAATTCTCGCCTTATGATCCTCATATGCGTGAATGGAGGTCATGGCTTGGCAAATAAAATCGGCACCACCACGCAGGACTGTCCTACGTTCTCCGCAGCCGGCTGGGCACGCCATTCGCAGCTCATCCGAAGGCAATATCTTCGAATACAGTGCCTAGAGCTAGTCAAAAAGTCACAGCGGCGTTGCTAAGTCATATCATACATATTGAGTGCAAGAGAAGGGTTGGCCCAGGGCCCTCGCTGCTGGATGTGGCAGACTATGAAGACCAGTAGTATTGGACGCATCTCATCGACTTACTTGCTTCTTATTTCCTCTTTCACCCCTTCAGTGCCCTCCCCACTTGCTTATTGTCGCTTAATTCCCTCCCCTTGTTCCCGCCTCAGATTTTTGTCTTTGATGTGGCTGCAGGTTTTCTCGAGGACTGAGCGAAGCGGTCAAAGCGCTCTGACAAACCTCGTCTACCAATTTGGGCAATACTCCGTTGTCGATAGGTGCTGTCGAGAGGTGTGCTTGGCTCTCGGGAAAATGCATGCCCTGCGATTGAACCACGGGAACACCTTTTGCATCGGGCCAGCGTGGGAGGTTTGGCGTTCCCTTTCTTGGTAGCGAATGGAGTAGATCACAGCGTCATGGCACTGCAGTAGCCCCAGCGGAAAATATCGCCCTGCGCAGCGTCTTTCGCCTTGAAGACATACACTACAGTCAAGCTCCACCGAAGCTCTCAGACAGGGTCTATCTGCCGCGGATGATCGTCCGTGATGCGCCTTGACGAAACGCTAGCTATATAGTATAGTCCGAGTGACATTTTGATTGTATGATCCTCTAGGTGCCTATAGTCTATGGTCACTGTGGTCACTGTGGTCATTGATCGCTTCATTCGAGAACGGACTGTGGACTGCGGAAATAACGTTCATAACAACTTCCTGGCTCCAGCTAGAAGCTAAAAGAGCGGAGAAAGCGTATACGCGCGGGCCTCCTGCGCTTGCGCCTTATGCCGCTTACTAGACGCGTATGGCAGTGTTGAGCCCAGCGCGTTCCACCATCGCCATTAACATCAGGTGATCATCGAGCAATCCAATTCGTCTTATCAAAGAGGGGCCAAAGGCTACCAAGATCGCTGGTCATACACTCGGCCCGTTCTTATACCCCCTGTCAACTTCCCAATGTGACAGATGTCGACGTTCCCAGGCAGCTATACCTCGAAAATTACCTATGTGGAATGATGCATTTCTCTTTTCAGATACTCCTCAGCTTCAGACCACGGCGAGACCATGCAGCGCCTCTACCATATTAGGACTGACAGTATCACATCGCATGGTTATCACATAGCATGAAAGAGGCCCAGCCCAGTAGGGCAATCCAAGTACGCGGCTTTAGCTTGATCGCCAGGTCTTTGAGTGACAAGTGCTTGTTTCGTCTGATTATCCTCGGTCTGTCGTTTCTGGTTGGCCTTGGGTCAAGAAACCGTTGCGGTTCGGCGGATTAAAGCGCCTGCTTTTGGCATCTGCGCCGGGGTTCTGGGTTTCACAGGCGGTCAGTCCCGGATTTTCATCACCTCGAGTAGGTTTTGTTCCTTGCATGAGCTTGGCGATGGGATAAAGAATGATGGGGGGTAAGATACATCATTGTCTGATATCTTTGAGCATCCTTGCCGGTGCTGAGATCGACGGCGATGTTGCGCAAAGTGAAAAGTCCAAGTAAATAATTACATCATCTGCTTTGGAGAAGTTCCATTCAGCTCTGTACTCAGAGGCATCAACTCATTGTTGTCCAAACTACTTACTTACACAAGGCCAATCTGGCTTGTGCGGTGCATACGGTGTATCACTGGCACTGGGAAAGGTTGTGAACCCTGTAGTGCAATATAGAATGTATAATCAACATGGAAATTCATAATATCAACTTCCTCTATGAATGCAGCCTTGGTGGAAAGACCTACATGCCCTCACGTCTCACGGAACGAATATTGCAGTGCCTGTCTGTCAGTCCCTCGTAGTCCTCCTCCCTCATGTTGCACCATCGTGACGGCTGTTAGTTGATCGCATCTCCCTGAACCTCTTTGGCCATATGCCCATTTTCCCGGGTGATAGCACGCCATTGGGATCAAGTGAGTCCTAGATACCATGGTTAGATTTCACGTCTTTCATGACAGACGAGGGCCGATTAGTGTATACCTTGATGGTCTCAACGAATCTGCGGTACGCGTGATCATTGAAGTCGAAGAGCTCGGCAGTTTGGTCTAAATAAATGTCCAGTGGATGATCATCAGTGTCCGTCCCCAAGTGTCCAGAAATTGAGAGGCTTACCCATGTGGTTGACGTGGGAACGATACTTTGCAAGCCCCATCCTCGTCCCGGCCTCAAAAAGCCCATTATAGGTGCTGTCGATGGCCTGCCGTTGTTGAGGATTCGTCTTGTCAAAGCACAGCATGCAGACAAAAACGGCATGTCTCTGCCCCATGAAAAAGTCGCACAGCAGATCCAAGCCCTGCGACTCATACACCTTTCGAGCAACAGTCACCCACTCCCTCATAGTCTTGCCATCTAACGGCACAATGGGCGAGTACGCGCCATGCGCACCAACACCACTGCCGTCCTGGGGATTGTAGTAGCTGACCATGGGGATCGAAAACATACTCGGGACACCCACAAACATCCCGCCGTACGGCTGCGGGACATCCAGCGCCTCCAGAAGCCCGCCGTCCTCGCCACCCGAGAAGAGCACATTGCGCAGCCGGCCCGTCGGCGCTTCCTTGCCCACCACGCGCTGGACCTCGTCGTACTGCGCCTGCAGGATGTTCTTGGGCCCGTACAGCCCCCACTTGACGGTCCAGAAGCCTACGTCCAGTTCCTCCTGCATCTCCTTCAGCCGCCACTCGGGGATCGGCCCTTCCTTGTCCCAGAAAGTGTGGCGCGGTGCTTTGATGGCGGACCACTCGACGAGGCTGAAGACGTAGACGACGGTAGGCAAGACACCGCTGCGGCGCAGCGAGCCGAACACGTCGGTGATAGTCTCGATGTCATCAAACTCGGGCATATCGAACGTGCACGCCATGAAGGCCTGCGGTTGTGGGGTCATGTGGATGCCCAGTTTGGTGACGATCCCGAGGTTGCTCTGGAGGAAGAGCCCGTCGATGGTAGGGCCGAAGGAGAGATGAGTGAGATGGGCCGAGGTCGAGGTCGACATGGCAAATTGGCCTGTTCTGACAATGTCGCCGTTGGCCAGGACGACTTCGAGCCCTGCCATGTTTTCGTGGTGGATTCCAGAGGGCACGAAGCCCATTCCACGATCCAGGGTCTAGAGATGTGGTCAATGGTCTACCCTGGCCCTCCCCAGTTCTCCTGAAGGTTGTGAGTAACGTACATTCCCAACGACGCTTCCCCACCCAAGAGATGCTGTGCTCGGCCAGACCTTGAGCTTATTCTTTGTGCAGTAGGCGTAGAGGTCGCCAAATGTGACGCCAGGCTCTACGACAGCATACCCGAATTTCTCGTTGACCTCTAGAATTTTGTCCATCCTGTGCAGATCCATGATGATGGATCCATTGACGAGGGGAGCAGGTCCACCATAGCTGGGAGAAGGGTCAGTGATGTATCCTTCGAAGAGGAGGAACGCTCTGTGTGGGAATTATCACGTACCCTAGATTCTTACCGCGCGAGATGGTCCATACTGGGATTTTGAAGTCATTGACAACCTTCAAAGCGGCCTGCAATTCTTCCACCGATGCTGGGCTAGCGGACAGTTCAGTATATGGTATCTCGCCCAAGCAAAGAATGGAATAGAGTCGGGTATGAGAGTAGCTCACCAGACAGCAGCACCAGGAAGATTTCTCTCATATCGTCCTTCCGGGATCTCATACGGGTCGACATATTCTTTCAGCGCCTCTCCCTTGAATATGGCACCCTCACCGATAGCTTTTGCGATCTTCTCGAGGGCGTCGTCGAAATCCTGTCTCGACACACCTGGAGGCAGGACGGCCGGAACACCCTCTACCACAGGTTTACTGAAGGTATCTTCGTGCGCGGCCTGGTAGACCGGGTCAGCATATCTAGAGCCCTGCTCTAAAACCATAATGACAACAGTATCCTTGATAACCTTTACAGAAAATCTCGCAGAGTGGTTGAAGTCTGGCATTTTGTTACCAAGGAATTTTGCTCCAAAGGATTTATGTAGCGGGATCTGTCTCCCACTCCAGATGTCGGTGCGGCCAAAAGAGGTCCCGAGCCACCGGTTGAATCTCATCGGACAATGAGGGTAGCAGGCAACTGCCTAGGTAGCCAAGAAATATATTCCACTTCTCCAACCATGACGGTACTGAAGAGCGTGCGTGACCCGAGGATGGGGTCAGGCGTCATTGCCAAAGAACCCTTGCATGATGGGGAAGCAGGATGATTTTTTAAACTTCATTGTGTAACTACATACTGACTCGACTGGAACTTTTATTGGAGCAACGGTAATAATCAATACTCTTTGATTTGTAAGACTCATGAGGTAGCACGAGTTGTTCGAAAGAAGCACACTACGCTCTTTTCAGTCAATATTACCCCGTATTGGGTCGAGTTCCCAAAGACACATGTTTATGCTGGACCGTGACAAATTACTCTTGTGTGTCATCTGTCGAGGCACTGTGTACAGAAGCCCCGCAGTCTCCGCAACCACTGCACATCGCATATCGTGGCTGGATCAGTGGAGGATCCCAGAGAGACCTGCACGGCAGATCAAAGATCATGGGGTAAGCGGAATATCGGAACATAATAAAGTCCCGATATTTGTCTTCTGTAATAAGTAAGACCTAATTAGACAGCCACAGCTTAGGAGTCGTAAAACTTATCCCAACAGCACAAATCAGTCATTACCACCATTGTTTGCCACTTGCTATACCGATACTCATACAAACCCCGGATGGAACATTAAGAAAATGTCGAGCACACCTGAGAAAGACTTCAAGGTGAGTACCGAGACCACAACTCAACAAATCTTGCAAGCACCACACTGACAGCAAAAGGTGATCATCGTGGGTGCGGGGCCCGCAGGGCTCATCATAGCTCTACTATTGGCCCAGAAAGGCATCCGGTCGACCGTGCTGGAAAGGTCCGACGACATAGACCACAACCCGAGAGCCAGCTTCTACAGCAGCCCTACCATCTACGAGCTAAGGCGAGCCGGGCTGATGGAGGACATCATGAAGAAGGCATTTGTTCCGGACGGCGTCACTTGGCGCATCGGGGGCGGGAAGTTCGAGGAGGTCTGTTCAGTCAAGTCGGACAATCCTCCAGGAGCCGAGACGATCATCTCGTTGCCTCTAGACGAGCTGCTGCCTTTGATCGCAGATCATCTATCTCGATATCCGTCTGGTGAGATTTTGTTCAATCACGAGGTCGTGTCTCTTGGTCAGGACGCCAGCAAGGCGTGGGTCAATGTGAAGACCCCGGATGGCGAGAAGCAGCTCGAGGCGGATTATATTCTGGGCTGTGATGGCGCGAACAGCAAGGTCAGGCGAGAGTTGTTTGGCAGCAATTTTCCTGGCTTCACGTGGGACAAGCAGATTGTGGCAACGAATGTGAGTACATCCAGCGTCGGAGTGAAGGGAAATCCATCTCACGAAAAATCTAGGTGTATTATCCCAAGTTCAAAGAATTCAATTGGACGTCGTCAACGTTCCAGATCCACTCGGAACACTTCCCGAGTAAGTTCAAGAAACAACACAAGTCTCCTCGCTCATCCCGCTTTATGTTTTCTTGGCACCTTGCTCCCCCACAGCTTGGCGATATCCTCGAGACTGACCGAAAACCTAAAATAAATAAAAAAGTGATTGCTCAGCTCTCCAATGACGGTATGCTGCGCATCACGTACGGCGAAGAGGGCGGTCTGACGACGGAGCAAATGCGAGAGCGTCAACCGTGGAAATATAAGCAGTTTGTTCCTGGGGCTCCTGAGCCCGACGAGTACAAGCTTGTGAACTTCAGCCCGTACAAGATCCACCAGCGGTGCGCAGAGAGCCTGAGGAAAGGTCGGTTCCTCTTGGTAGCCGACGCTGCTCATGTGTGTAATCCCTTGTAAGTGATCTGTCCGCGACTTGTTCACCACCCAGCATCCCCCCCCCCCCCCCAATAGAAATAGGAGCAGTGTCTAATCTGGAAATAACAATACCTTAGTGGTGGAATGGGGCTCACAGGCGGTTTAGTTGATGCGGGCAACCTATATGACTGCCTATATGGCATTGCAACTGGCCAAGCGGACGATAGCATCCTGGACAAGTATTCTGAGATCCGCATTCAAAAGTATAAGGAGATCATCGACCCAATCTCCAGCGCAAATATCCGGCGTCTATGGGATCCGAGCCCGGAAGCCATCAAGGCGGATCCTTTCTTCCAGGCTGTCGAGCGCGGCAAGAGGGACAAGGAGTTTCAAGAGAAGATGAAACAGGTAAGTAGTGGACTCTTCTCTTTCATAAGCAAATTGTATAAAGTATTTCTGGTAGGTGGGGAGTTTCTGACTGGAGTATAGGGTATAAATGCTGTGATGCATGATTTCACCCAGTACTACAAGCCCAATAAGGTTGAGGAAGATCATTGAATCGCGATTATACTAGAAAGTACATGGTCAATGCTCATTGCCATTTAGATGTTAATACATCTTCTGGGGCGAAGAAAGAGTCGCAAGCACATGTTGAACTTTGAATGTGGTCTGTCGTTGGATTTGGACAGCTCTGTGAGAGCTGGAGAAATCGCCTTGTAGAAACATTTGTGTCTTTATTGCGAGCGCTTGTCAATGCCTTATTGTCTGAGAACAGAACAAACATTGACAATGGATCAGTATTCAACTACAAGGCCCATTTGTTGCTTGTTATAGAGAATCAGCGTTTCTGTAGCATTTTCAGCTCGCATATAAATACCAGCATCGTCAACGATTCGGTCTTGCTTTCCTCCATCTCCTTCACCCATCACCTCAGTGGACCAGCGCCCAACACTATAGGATCAACAATCAGAAGCCGAAACTCATTTCATCTCGAAGACAAGGCCTCTCTATATAGCAAGTACCACGTCTTCGAGAACCGAAAAGATGTCTTGGTCTTTTGATGTTGTTTTTACCCTTGCCGCCATGCTCATTACCGGCTGGCACATGATTTTGTTCAAGTTCTTCCTTGAGCACCGTGCTATTATGGTAATCCTACTCGACAAACGTCACCTGGCCTGAAGAAGCCCTGCTGGGACTGAAGCGCGTGGCTTCGTGGAGCGCTTGTACGGGTGAGAACATGAAAACCTGGAGTTTTGTTCCCCAACCGGGCGAGACTGCACGCTCTGATCGAGGTGAGACATCATCCTACGTTGAGCTTAGTGATCTGCATGTTCTGCTGCCCAAGGGAGAGAGGTAGGTTGGTCATTCGTCCACGCCATTTGTGCTTTGAAAGCCTCCTGCGCGTATTTTTATTTTATTTTATTAGATAACTAGGTAAGTACTAAAGATGTCAGATTTAATACGAGAAGGCCTTTTTGGAATCCTAGCAAAATGACATATTATAAGACTTCACGAGGTCTCGAAGTCATCTTCATCGTAGAGGGATCCGTGTTGATTTGAATTAATAATATTTTTGTTGTTTATGAAATGCAATAAACGCCACATAAATTGCTAAGGCCATATGGCATATTTGAACCCGTCAACACGAGGGTAATCTGCCTCCATGCCCATGATGATGCTGTACTCATCTCTTAATAAGTCAGAACCCTCATTCTCGAAGCTCGCATACTTGCTGAGCTCGTGCCTCCGAAGCGCCACGTTCCACGAGAAGCTCGAGTGCGCAACACCCATGAACGCACTCGCCTTGAACATGATCAGGAAATCCACCAGGGCCTGCTGGTCAAACGTCATCCCTTCCAGCCGGCGCAGGTCAGCCCCCTGGAGCAGGTCGTATTTGGTCACCACCGTGACGTCGTTATTAGTATTAGCAGTATTCCCTGTCACGGACGACCCCGTTGCGCCAGCTCGCCAGCGGCGCAAGCTGTCGGCAAACATTTCGACCACAGTCTGGTTCCCACAGGCCACATAGACGACGCCGAGCCCCGTGCGGTCCAGGTACCGGAAATGCTCGGCGAACTGGTCCCTCATGCGCGAGAAGCGCCACTCGTCCGGGTCCCAGGCCCAGACGGCGTCCTTCTCCAGCCTTAGGTGCGCGCCAAAGTAAGCATCTGGATTAATCGCACTTGCCGGGTTGATGGTGGGCGCGTGGCGCTGCTGGAGCTCGTAGAGGACCTTGGCAGCCAGGGCGCGCGTGTCGTTCCGGAAGGAGAGGATCTTGCCGAACTCGTGGGAAGCGGCGTCGCCGTCGTCGCGCACGGGGTATTCGAGGTAGGACTGCTCCATCTTGATGTGCACGGGGGCTTCGCGTCGGACCTGCACGTTCTGCTGGCGCAGCCACTCGTCAAAGTTGCGGCGCCACTCGCGGGGGTGCTGCAGGCCCTCGCGCGGGTGGTCTGGCTCGAACTGGTCCCCGAGGAGGGGCAGAGGCTCTGTTGCCCTCTGCTCGTAGAAAGGGAAGTCTTCCACGTGGTTGTAAATGCGCATGCCAGGGCATCCTTCTGTGAGGTGTGTGATGAAGGCTTCGCGGTCCATCAAGTACTCGAGAGGTACTTCATTGGGGCCTGAAATGTCGGAGAGGTCATTCGCATTGCGCAGGGCCATGGAGGGAACCACGAGTGCGCCTCCGCCGTGGATAGCGTACCGAACACATTTCAAGATCTGGTTGCGCAGCATGCCGATGCCGCCATGTTGGCCCTCGCAGGTGAAGAGAAGGCCAGGCTGGAATGTGGTGCGGGCACATATTTCTTGTATAGGCTCGTAGTCGATCGGGGCAGGAAACTCGACTCTGATGGCCTGCTGAAGGAAGGCTGTTTCTGCATTTTGTTGGCCGGGTTCCTGCCCATATATCAGTGCTTCGATCTGATCGTGAACGTCGAAGCCAAAACTCCAGATTAGAACGAGAGCGGCGGCCAAGAGGATCACCACCCATGGGCGGGTTTCGTAAAGCATGGTCGTCGCTTTGCTGTGACAAAGAAGAGAAGGTTGACGAGAGAAGGTGGAAAACAAATCATCTTGGCTCTGAGGCGGACTTGGCAGATAGATAGACGCATTTCGAATCCTTGTATCGCATCACGAGCCAGCTCTGCTAGGAGGGCAGTTTAAGCATCGTAGAGAACCGGGGCCGCCCTGGCGTTGCAGCGTTGCAACAGATGGTTTCACTTCACACCCCCCCGGCCCACATGCTACAGGTTGCTCAAGCTGATGTTAGACTAAGTGCTATGGTTAAATCTTAGCGTAGGGGTACGGCGGTACACCGTACATGGTACTCCGTAACAAGCTAGAGCTCGCAAAGGGGTCATCAGGAGTCTTGGCAACCTTCCCTGGTGGAAAAGAGAGACTTGGTTGGTCAAGACATGCTTGACACTGAGCTTGTTCGATTTCCTGGGGAATTCATGTCTCGGTAGAGATTTTGCATGCCAGGTCTCATGAGGTTCCATTACCGGGGGGGGGGGGGTACAGGCTACATTGACAGCGGGGCTGAAGAAAGAAGACGAGGGAAGGAAAGGGGCAGCCAGCTAGTTGAGCCTAGCAATTAAGGCTATCTACAGAAATGGACGGGGGCAGGTGCCTTCCAGGCTGCACGGACCAGTGAGTCCCAACTGTCCCTCGTACGCCATCCGAGGAACAGGGAAGCACAGCAAAGAGAATTTCAGATCATAATCATTATTCAGTCTTGGTTAATGCTGAGTGGGGCTATCAGTAGTCCCTTCGTGTGTATCAAACCCCAGAAACCCCAGAAACCCCAATCTTGAGCCCCTTCCCCCCGGGCGATTTGTATTTTTTTTTGGTTGCAAGAAGGAAGGAAAAAAAGAAGGACCGTCCTGCTAATGAAGACTGGATCGCTTTAGTAGGCTCTTCCTAGCCCTAATCAAATGAGCAGTTCTGCCAACCAGTGAGACCGAGTAGCTCGAAGAAAAGAAAAAAAATCAAGATCAAACAGCCCAAGATGTCCGCCTCCCCAGATTCGCGACGTCAAATGACCGTCCTCTAGGAGTCGTCACAATCATTCATCAGCACGCGTATTCTCGAGGGCTCTCTGTCTCTCTCTCTCCCTCCACAGTGCATCTGGATCTAGGAATCCAACCGAACGCAGCGAAGAATCTCCATGGCCATGGCCTGGCGCGTCGCAGCCCTGCGCGCATCGGTCCAAAATGCTCCAGCAACAACCAGATTTGGCGAGTGGACCACCGCCATTCCCAGTTGAATCTCGTTCCCATACACTCGAGGGCCATCCCTGATGATGTCCTCGAAAATAAAGACGCCGTTGAGGAGCTCTTGCAGCAGATTCGCCCCGCGGTTCTGACTGCGTAGGAAGCACTGCAGAAATGGGTACATCTGGCGATAGGCTGCCCGGGCCAGGTTTCTGCCGACGAGAATATCCCAGGCGGAAGGTCCCATCATGCCATTGGCAGGCACAGGACCCAGGTCATACCGGAATCCTCTGCCCTGCTGTCCGTAGAACCAAAGTCCATGGACACGAACAACCTGCAGGTTGACTGCACGAGTGAGGGAAGCCAGGGCTGACAAGACCATTGGGTCTTCTGCCCTGGCCGGCGTGCGTCTGTAGAGCTCCACGTGTCGCAGCTTGGTCACGGTGTTGTGATGGAGGGTGAGCAGGAAGGTCTGCATGGCCTGGGCGTTGAGGAAGTGGAATCTCTGCATATAGAGGAATCGAAGGCCCTCGCAATAGACCAGGCGGCAGGAACGCAGGAGGGCGGGATTGATGGTTCGTGACGCCATGTTTCGCCGGCGCGAAGCAGTGGACAGCCTGTGGATGTCCGTGGACACCTCGCCCCAGCACCACACAGCAGCCTGTCTCCGGCCTGAGATGTCGCTGACCGTGGAAGTCTCGTTGATGTGCACAATATGGATCGGGGAACCCAAGGCCCATTCATACACGTGTTCGCGGACCTCAGCAGGTAGACGCATGAAGGGGAACACATTAGGGCTCGCCTGTGTGGTGACTGTAGGACGGTTGATGGAGACTTCGCTGTGCTCGCTGGGGATCTCATTCGCGTTCTGATCATCACTGTCCATGCTGTCCTCATTCTGGTCATCATTGTTGATGTTGTCCCGCATGATATTGTCCTCGTTGTCAATGTAGTCAATGTAGTCATTGTCCAGGTCGAGCATGGTCACATCGTCCACCTGAGGCTGTATGGAACCCCTTTGTCTTGTTGTCAGCATGCTTCTTGTTGATGCTGATGTGGGAGACGCATCAAGAGGCAGGTGGTATCAAGCTGGGTTATTACTGGTAGCAAAGGAAGGGCTCATACATTGTGTTGGTTTGGGGCTGTTGCAAGACAACAGAGATGGAGTGTGGTTAGTATGTATCAACCAAGATTGGAGACCTGACTCTGCTGGTTGATGATTTTCTTGATTCAAGGAAAGGAACCTGCTGGGTGGGATCGATGGTTCATTGTCGATAACAGGTGCTCTTTCTGTCAATAGAGGGAGAATAAGAAGGCTCACGTGTGCGTGGTTGATGCGTTGTTTATGGTAGAAGGAAGAAATAAAAGAAGCCTTGGGTAATTGCCAGGTATGGTGTTGCTTGTGGTGAGTGGTAAAAGGACGAAGGGGGCATATGACCTTGGGCAGTTGATAGCTGTGTGTGTTTAGTTGAAAGGCGCCCAGGGGCAGGACCTATGTACTGGGAAACTCGATGATGTGAGAAAGGGTATGAAAAGGACGTGAGAAGGATGTGAGAAGAATGTGAAGGTAATTGACAAAGAACATTCATCTGCTGGAATATTTATCTGGTTGTTGTGCACACACATAAGGCAGATAAAGCAGCAACATGTACCAATAAGGACAGCTGACAGGAAGGAGTCTTCAATCCTCGACAAATATTTGACTCAGCTGGTGGAGATCAGGGAGCTTGAGACGATCCAAAAAAAAAAAAAAGTCTACAAGAAAGCAGCCATATGAAGACAGCAAATAGTACAATATGTGGAGTAAATAATTCCATCTCCTTGGTGTCGAAAATACCTGCTGGAGCGCAAGAGGACAAGGTATTTGCTTGACCAATCATGGTTCCAAATGACTTCACACGATGAGATCTTGTCTTATTTAGCGTTGGGTGGCCCTGCTCAGCAGGAAGCTGTGCAAAAGTAATGTTCACAACCGTTCATTAAATTTGGGAGTGTTTCCATAACAAGAAGCTTCAACGCCCTTCTATGCAGATACCAAGGAACTCATCGATTAGAACTCCTTTACCTTAAGCCCTTCCATCCAGTGAAATCCCCTCCGATGCTCCTGTCCACTTGTAATGCAACCAGAGTGATGTTTAACCATTAATGAGGGGAAGGAAAGTCTGTAGAAGGGGATAGATGCAGTGCATGTAAAGAAGTCCTCCAATGATCCCGAGAAAGCTTTTCAGGCCTTCTTCACTGCTTGTCCATTTGACTCATTTTGTTCAAACGTCGAGCCGTAAAGCCCTGGAAGCGTTGGACCCACTGCTTAGACTCAGCATGTGTAATCCGTCGGTTGCTCGTGACTGCAGGCTGTGGCCAAGAGCTTCCACCCATTGCTCTTTCAAGGTCCTGCAGGCGTCCTGCTCTGGCAAGGAGGGAGACCAGATGGTCAGTGTCAATGGACGTCAGATAGGCCTCGATAGTCTCTTCGAGGCAGGAGGCGCCAGCTCCTGCCAGCAGGCCACTGGTAGCCTGTTGCGAGCCAGCAGCAGTGTTGGCGGGCACAGGCTCTGAGGCCTGCTTTTGGGAGGCCTGCTCCTGAGGGGAGTTCTCAAGGAGGATTTTGTTCAGACCAGCTTCTCCAGCAAGCGTGGCCTTAGGCAGAGGGGCTGTGTTCTGGTGCGTGTCTGAGGAGGGGAGCATCTGCTTCATAGTCGAGTGCTGTTGCTGTGGCTCCGTGCTGTTTTCCATTTTGTCAGGAGACAGTGCAAAGGTCTCGGGGTCCAAAATGCTAAGATCCTGCATAGAAGCAGAGGACGTGACGTTGCTGTACAGGAAGCCATTCGGCGAGGAAGAGTTGTCTGTGCTGGTGTCGACCAACGAGATAAGCTGAGGCTGCTCCTGAACAGCAGGCTGAGAAGGCTGGGGCATCTTATAGTGGGTATTGTTGTCTGGAGATATCGCCAGGCCCTTTCCTGAGCCAGGATGGTTGGCAGTGGCGTTGACAGCAGCCTCTTTGGTCACCTTGTTGACAAGCTCTGTATTCTACTTGTCGTCAGCCTCTGACTGCATCTTGTTATGATTCTAGAGAGATGCACCCTCGAATACTTACCATGATGCCATCCACTTTGCGCATAGCCATGATGCTGATCCTGACAGTTGTGGTGGGTTGAGTAGGTTTGGAATTGAGGTTGGTATTCTTGAATAAAGTGCAAACGAGGAAAAGGAGGATCTGAATAATGCCAGCATTAAAAGATGGGGGAAGGCAGTTGGCAAGAATGGGCAGCGGGGTGTGGGGCCACCCAGTTGTTCAATTCACTTGAAGGCGAAAGGGCGAGAAGTGTGTTGTAGCAGTCTCTCTGAAGTCCAGCTTCTGTTGTTAGTTTATTATGGCTAACGCGTACTGGATTCAGGACGCGTCTTGTTTAAATATCTGCTGCCCCAGTTGTGCTGGCAACTGATGGAAGGGCCCTGAAGCAGCTGCAGCATGAACTGCAAGAGGTCTAAGGCACAAAGGAATCAACAATCACCCAAGATTAGATGGGAGAAAAATCCGTATGCTGGTATTGACTATTGTCTTCTCGAGTGGTATAGAAAAACAATGCTTAGTACAAGGCCGAAGACAGTGAGAAAGAACATAGGTGAGTGGTGAGATAAAGGGAAGTTAATACACAATGCAGCGTCAGAAGGCTGATGTCTGTTGCCGCGTATTTCGAGAATATTCATATCCTGTCGCGAAGAGCCCTCTTGTTATATGAGCTGTTCGCTGTTTCCATTCCCTGCTGTTGCTATCGTCACGATCAGAAAGAAAAAATCAGGCTGCCCTTTTCTGTAGAGCTCCACATCACTCCAGTCCCCTAAACCGGCGGTTGAATTCCTCCACCGCAACACCCACCATACGATAGATGAACGTTCGCCCACTCTCCTCGCCGATAGGAATGAATGGTCCGTTGGTGCCCCCGCGCAGCGTCAAGCTCAGGCCTGTCCGCTCCTTGGCAATCGTCTGCACATCTTTGAGTGGGACATCCCACTCCGTAGTGAGACGCCGACTCCTAATCAGCAGAATGCGTGCATACGTCACCATGACCACCATGTCCTCACGCGGTAGTTCAAGATGGGCAATGTACATTTCGTCAAAGTACTTGCCATTGTCCACCTGCTTCATCCAGAACTGCCCGAGAGCTTCACGCTGATTGTAGGGGCGCACAATGCCGTCAGACGGAATGAAACGCGTGATGCGCACGCGGTCGAGCTCCGAGCCGTCAAAGACAGTGGTGGTATTGCGAATGCCTTCTGTCACGTTCGAGGCGGCGTCCAGCACGCCAATGAGGGGCTTGGTCCCGAGGCCAAGCACACCCTTCCCCACGCCCTTGAAGAAACCCAGAGCGCCTTCTTGTTCCGCACCCTCGAGTGGTTTGCGGACGACACCACCAACACCGGATGCCACAGACGTGATAAAACTGTTTGCACCGGTCGTGAAGCCGTAGAGGGCATGTTTAGGCCTGTTCCGGGCTCGTGTGATGCGTCTGCGGTCCTGGAATTGCTTGTCCAGCGTGGCTGCTGCAAGACCCTTGGACATGGCACCGGTGAACTTGGAGAACGAGTCGGTAACTCCAAAGACAGACTTCTTGAAGAAGGATGCCGCTCCTCGAGCAACACCCAGACCCAGGTCTTCAGGCCGATCGGACATGATAAGTCCTTGATACGGTTCGTAAAATACGTCTGCGATACCGGAGCTGATGTTGTTGAAGAGGCCGACGGGATTCCCAAGAAAGTCAGCAGATCCAAGGATCTTGTGAACTTGATACAGTGCTTCTTGGCTGTAGTGGTTGGAAATGTTCTGGATAAGAATTGGTGTCGATACTCGCACGTTGTCTAGCATGAGTGCATTCATTCGGAGAGGCGCGTCATTCACGTTGCCCATGGCCATTGTCATGATATTGAAGAAGAACATGAGAGGGTTGCGCGATGACGTCTTGTCCTCTGCGTTGATGCGCTCTGTGCGGACAAATGACAGGTCGATCTGCATTGGCTGAATGTTCAGCAGCTCGAAGTAGATGTCCTGACCAGCCTCCTGAGCACTGGGCTCAGGAATGTTGAGGCTGTCATCACAGAGCCGGCCCTCCTCCTCGGAGATGGTCCAGGTAGCGCCAGGAACCTTGGAGAAGTCCAGCATAGCGAAAATGAAGTCCTCATCGAGATCGACCGTCATCTGCTGTAGCAGGATCGTGGCATATTTGATGTACAAGACACCATACGAATCGTCCTTGACTCTGGTCACCATGGCATGCAGCGATGGATGGGCTTCAGTCTCCTGGGCCCGCTTTGGCACGACGCTGGGATACAATATCATCGGGAAGATCCCGCCGTACAGCTGATTGTCGATCTGGATCCATTTGACAGCCAAGCTGATAGACTGGTACAGAGGTGACTCGCTGTAACGGAGGGTTAGGTCTCGGAACGTGACGTAGGCCAGCTCCTTCAGCTGAGAGTTGATGAGTGAAATTCCGATGCCAGCAAGCTTAAGCTGTGCACGGAAGGTGGTGCCAGTGTCTTGGTCCTTCGCCTCGAAACCTCCCGTGCTCAGGTTACCACTAGAGCCAAAGCCAGTTTTCTGGCGATAGAGACTCTTGGACTGCCTAAAGTTGGACAGGATCAGAGTCTGCGTGGGCCCGTCCGCGGCAACGTTGATGTCGATGATTTTTTGGCCACCTGAATTGGTAGCCAGCCTCATGGGCACGAGGTTTCCGATTTCTGCCAGCTTCACATGCCGCTCCTTGCTGTATGCGGAGATGACAATCTCGCGACGCTTCGCAGCTGGGAAGTCCCAGGCATAAGGCATGATGCTCCGCGGTGGAAGGCGGTACCGGATGGGCCGCCAGCCCGAGCGGTCGACGGTCTCTTCCTCGTCGATATTCGGGTTGGCCTGATAGAAGGTGAACTCGGTGTCGCTCTCGTTGCGCATCGAGAAAGGCCACTGCTTAGTCTCCATCCCCAACTTTAGGAAAATAGTCGCATCCTCCATCAAAATCTCGACGCGAATCAACCGCTGGCGCTGACCAGCCTTGGCGATCTTGATGTGAGTTGTGCCCAAGTCAGAAATGTTGAATGGGGAAGTCCACTGGTTGTCTACCCCTGGATAACACAGACACAACTGCTTGACGGCATTCCGTTGCAGGAAGTGGAGCGGCTGGAGCTGACCTGCGCTCAGTGTCACGAGGTTGGATGAACTGGGCTCCCGAATGTTGATCTCCTCGCCGATCTTGTTCTGGACGATGAACCGGGGGGCGAGTGTCACAACCTTGGTCATCTTGTATTTGCCCTCTCCAGGCTCGACGGTGATGCCAATGTGGACCTCGGAGTTGCGGTTGGAAGACTGCAGACTGACGTCTGTGGTGCTTCCAATGGCGTCGAAACTCTGCGGCTTGCTCCATTCCGAGTCGCCGACTTTCAGCATGGCACGATTCCGGTGATCATCGCTACCATAAGAGAACATCAGAGGGGCTACCTTGCGCTCATCATTCCCAACATCGACCAACAGTTGGCCGGCGGCGGCCTTGGCTTGCTGCAGAAATCCCTTGTGGCGGATCTGCAGATCAAGCCCAGTCTTGTTCAGGATCACGTATGGACTGTAGACCGTAACTTTAAAGGCGCCTCCACTATCCGGGACGCGATGGTAGTGCAGCTTCAAATTGAGTTGGAGACCCTGCTCGTCCTGACACCTCAGGGTTGACTCCTTCTTGAAATCATCGGAGCTGCCCGAGTTGATAATGGCAAATTCACTCGCTTTGAACACTGTGTCTTGCATGTCGACACTAAGAAGAAGCAGGTGCGAGAGCTCTGTGACGTGTACGGGGCTGACCCCACCTTTGCGGAGGAAGTTTGACCAATCCTTCTTGGTGTTTTTGTCGTAGATGCGGTACTTGAAGTCGTACGGCAACAGGTTTTCAAGTGTGACCGGAGCAGACAATTTGATCTTCATGTTCGGATAATTCCTAAGAAAAAGGACAAAAAGCGTCAGTATTGTCATTGATGCAAGAGAGGGCAGTTTCAATGAGACTTACTTCGTCATAGGATTAGTCCGATCAAAAGTCGCATTCATCTGGAAATAGAACGGCTCGCCTTGCTCTCCCTTGCAGATCATGGTCCGAGTCGGTCTCTTTAGCAGGTCCCTCCACCACAAGGTCTCGCTGGACCAGGAATAGCCAAAGCCGCTGTCTGGGCGGACGAGCAGTGTCTTCTCGAAGACTGCACCAACAGGAGCCGGACGGGCTTCCCCGGGAGCAATCTTTTCGATCTTGAGGAGACTCTGTTCAGGAGCATCATATACTCCTAGCTCAACTGGGATTTGCGTCTGATTCTCAACCAGAAGAGGACTGCGGAGCGTGACGTATTTGACGTTGTCATTGCCCAGCTTGACATCCACCATGAGCCGGTGGGAAATGTCGTCTTTCTTGGGTTTCAGTGAGTAAATAAACTCACCCTCGCGATTCAGGCGGATGTTCCTCAGGACGTCAAATCCACTGCCTTCGAGATGAACGGCCACAGCAGTGCTGGCCATGGCATCAGTCATTACGTTCTCGCGCATCTTCTCCCAATGTTCGAAGCTCCAAGGTGCCTCTTGGCCGTCTTCAAGGCGTACATTGATGTCTTCTTCACTGCTGGGGCTCTTGCTGCGGACAACGACGTCGAATCCTGTATAGTTGCGAATCCGATAAGGCGATTCGGTGCCCCGAGGTTTCCCAAGGACATCCTGATCTTGAGTCAGGAATGCGAACGATTTGGATGCCAAGGCGATGGAATTTGTCGTAATAGTGACATCAAAGGTCTTCCTGGAGGCAACATCGACAGACAGAAGGCCGGTACCCTGCTCTCTGGCAACACCAACACCAACAGCCCATGGTTCAAGCAATGGTTCCCACGCGGACTTGGAGAAGTTGTAGATGTTCACATACATCTCCAGCGGTACCTCAGCCTTGAGGTTCGATGACCAGTCTTCAGCAGTTGCGGTGAAGTCTTTGATGCTGAGATCCAGGATGGGTAGCTCGTGCAGGTCGCCGATAAGCACCACACGTATGCCTTGGATTGTTGCGGTGAGCTCCTCCCGTCTCTGGGGCTTCTTTGCGATGTCGTGAGGCTGCCCTGAAGATGCACCACTGCGGGAGGTCGATTGTGCGCCTTTTGTAGCAGCGGTCTTGCTAGACCTAGCCTTCCCTGCTATCGTGGAAGCGCCTTTACCACTTGCAGACCGCTGTTTCAAGCCTCCCTGCGTGAGTTCCTTGGCCTTTTGTTCTGCCGCGCCAGGCTTCTTGGTCTTGTCCTCATCGCCTTCAGAGAGCTCTGACGCCTTGCTGACAATCTGCAGGACTAACAAAATGTCTCTCAAGGCCAGTCGCAGAATGAGAGGGTCGAGTTCAAGATGCAAACTTGTCTTCGATGGATTTGAAGTGTCCATGGACATCTGAACGGAGAAATCGTCGATAATCCGCAGTCTCAAGTCGTCGAAACGATCCATACGGCATAGAAACATGCCTACTTCGGAGACCTGGAAAGTGAGCGCATGCTGCTGCGAGAGTAGCACTTGCTTGGTGCCTAGAACAACCGCCTCGCTGCTTGCGCTGAGAGGATTGGCGATGAGAATGACTTGGGCATCCACAATATTAACGCGGTACGCAATGCTCATCTTAGATTCATCCTCGTTCTTGTCGTCTGTTCGCTGCCCCGCCCTGGTGCTGAGCGACGATCTGGTAGACTTAACGCCAGAAGGCCGGCGTGCGATGCTGACTTGCATGCTGTCCGCATCACTCTCCGATGGGGTCTCCAAATCCCCTTCTTCGATAGGCAGAGGGTCGTCAACTTGCAGCCCGGCCAAGAGGAAATTTTGTAGGGCAAACAGATAATCCAGAGCAAAGATTATTCTCGGCGAGTCAATAGCCACCATGGCAATGAGGTTGCGCTCCTTACCACCTGACATGGTGACACTAGCCATGAACTGTTGAACGCTCTTGTTGCTGCTCGTCATGATGCGACGGAACTTGTTCGTATCGTTGGGTCGAGAGTCGTATATGGTAAAACTCTGGATGACGAATTCTGCTTCTAAGCTCCCATTGGCCTGGATCCGGGTTTTAAGCCTACTGTCATCCAGGCTGAACTTGCTTAGGCTGGCACTTTGCAGGTTACCAACAGGACGATCCTTATGGGCGTTGATCAACTCTAGGCCGATAGTGCCAACACGGAACACCAGGTCGAGCTTCGTCCACGTATCGCTACGGCTACCAAGCTCCGGGCCCATGTCGACGGTGTCGTCTTCACTTGGTAGCTCAACCCTCGGCAGGGTCTGGGCACGCCGCAGGGTGCTATCGTCGACAGCTTGCTCTGCCTCTTCTTGAGCGTCTGAGTCCCCAGAGAATGCTGCGGGAACCGACCGCGAGATGGCAAGGAGGGCTTTCAGCTGGTATTGTGTGATCTTGACATTGAAGTCAGTCATGTTACCCTCGATCTCGAGCTCGGGTCGCTTGGCGCCTTGTTTGTGCTCTGCATAAACGATGTTGAATCCCAGGTCAAGGTGATCGATCAGCTCCAGTTCCTCAGACTGATCAGCGTAGTGGAATAGACTGGTGAGCTTGATGTTTCGAATTCCGGCAGACAACATCATCGCAACTTCGGAGTTCTCCGCGTCATCTAATGGAGCAAACTTATTTTGCGCGTAAATCTCTCCGAGATATGCCGTGATGAGGTCCCGCTTAGGCTGGCCAGGCGTTACGACGCTGGGGAAGACCAGAATGGGAGTGTTGATGACCACATCCAGTTTGATGCGACTCGAGCCTTGCTGCAATTGTTGAGCCTGATTCGCTGCAGCCTGACGCGCAGCATTGTAAATGGCCTGCATTTTGCCAAATTTGACCAAGAACTCCACAATTTTGCGGAAAGGCTCCTCCAAGAAATTGACCTTCACAGAGCCAGCACGCAGGAATATCGACGAATCGTACCCAGGATACGACTTTTCATCCTTTGAGTCGAAGGTCTCGTACCTGAAGTCAGCAAGGTCGTCCCCCTGGATGGTGATTAATTTGCGGATGGATGAATCCTCAGACACGCCGAGATTCACATCATCAACAAGGCTAAGGTCTCCCAGCTTCGTGCTCACACGCATTGTGCTGCCTAGAATGAAAACACCGACATCCGCCTGGTTGAATGAGAGTGTTGCCAGCCGTATGCCATCGTTATTGAGGACAAGTTGAATACTTTTCAAGTCGACCTTGACTCTGATAGCCCCCGCAGCGTTCTGCTGTGGTTCTGGGGGTGGCTCAACAGCGACGTCAAGCTCCGAGCCGTCATCGGTGATGGCCTTCTGCTGCTGTTGATTATTTCCCCCGGGATTGGTAAAAGTGACCAGGATGAAGTCGAGCAGCGTGAGCAATGTTTTGCGCGTCACGATGAGGTTGATTGTAGTGATAGCGACGTTGACATTGGTCTCGACCCCTTCGTATACCGACATAAACTCCGGAGACTCTTTCTTAACCCGGACGACATTGACCTTGACAAGTGCCCGGTGTTGCTTTTTGTCTTCGACATCGCCTGACGAGATGATCGATTTGAACTCGGCAGACGGTTTACCAACAAAGTCATCCACGGTCACAGAGCCCAGCGACACATCAGCTACCATGTCAAACGGTCTCAAATAGTAGTTGACCTCGAAGCTCTGGGCGATGAGCTCGACTAGGAGGGCGTCTGGCTTCACACCATCTGGATCACTCTGGTAGAGAGAGCCGCGCAACTCGTCAACAGTGAACTTCAGCTCAAACGTCTTCTGCTTCAACTTGAGGTGAACATTGCTGTGGCCATCATCAGCATCTTCGAAATTATCCTCGTCTTCGTCGATATCGTCAAGAACAATGGCTTGGTCTTTGGTCGCCACGAAGGGGAGGAGCTGAGACGAGCGTCTTCGGAGATCCGAGGATTGCTTGCGATGGTGTCTGGGGCTTGGAAGCTGGGAATGGCTGGAGCGGTCAGAGCGCGTGGAGATGTTACTCAGGAGGCGTGGTCGCTTAGGTTGAGGCTGATCTCCTAGAGTATCGCCGTGGAATTTTGGCATTGCAACGTCTATCAGCTTCATCAAGCTCTTGTATTTGGTATCGGAGGCGGTGACATGCAGCAGCGGAAGATGGCCCGAGACACGGAGTTTGGCCAGGTTGGGGGCTTTCGGTAGAATCGAAAGTTGCACCAAGAAGTCGATATTTATCTGCTCGACAATGTGCATCTTCGATCCCTCTCCATTATCCGTCAATTGTGACTTCGCCTCTTCGATCGAGGGACCGATCAGCAGCTGGGTAGAGGTAAGCTTGACAATAAACTTGTCGTACATGAGTGACTCAAGACGTTTGAAGTCCTCGTCCGTGTAAGCTTGTTTCTGCTTCGACTGCACCTCTTTCATGGTTTCCTTGTCTACAAGCTCGGAGTTGACACTGATATGGCCAGCATCGAGGATCATGCATGTCGACTTGGGTGTAGTGATGCTCTCCGGAATAATGATCAGAGGTGCTTGCAGGTCCAAAACTGCGTTGATTGTTTTGTGCTCCTCGAGGGCGAACTCGAGGCCCGCTCGTGTCTGTTGTCTGAAATCCTCCACAGTTGCGCCAGCTGTCTCCATCAAGGCAGTGATGGACTCCATGTGGCGTTCCGGAGGTTTGAAGAAATCCACAACTCCAACCACCAGATTCGGGTTCCAAATGACTTCGAGCGGCTTCAGCTTCGTCTTGACAGCAAAGTCGCCTTGCCCATCCAGTGGATTCTGTTCCAGCTGCAATTGAAAGAAAGCCTCGTCGGTAGTCTTCTCCAGTTCCACCATGGAGAGCCGCTTGTTCTTCTGAGTTTCAGGTGCATCCTTGACTCGGACGATCTCTGGAAACTGGCTGTTGGGAGTAGTGCCGTCATTGACACGCAGACCACCAAGACTCACATCTGTGAGGAAGGAGTCGGGGCGAACTAGGGCCTTAGCCTTGAAGACATCGAAATGCAGACTGACAACATCTGTGATCTGACCGTGAGGATTTCGCTTCAGGGTGAAACTTCCTGTGCTGAGAGAGGTCTCCACCTGGAATTTGACACTGTCTCTAGGCGTTTCCACAGCATCGGCAAGAGCAGCTTTTTCATCCCAATCAATCGCTTCGTAAAGTTCCTGGCGTTGCTCCTCCGTCATCTGCGTGTTTTCGTCGGACGCCGTTGTGTGCTCCTGTGGCTTCGAGCCCCACATCCAGGCAACCCAGCCTTGCTGCTGCTGCTGCTCTTGCTTTGGTTGGCTGTTCTTCAAGGCAGCAGCGTTCTCTTTCCTCAGCTGATTTCTGGCCAGCGATCTCCAGAATCGGAGATCCTCGTAGTCCAGCTTCCACTCAAGCTTGTTGAAATCCTCGGTCTCATCTGCAGACAGCTGCTGATTTGCCTTCTTCTTCTTGAACAGTTCTATGTATCGAAGACGGTCATCCCGACGTTCACGGAAGTAATCCCAAGACCACCGACGGTTGCGCTCATGGATCTTGCTGAGTACGGCATCTCCTGCGAACTTGAGCCAGGCCCGAGGATCCTCCTTGGGGGTGACACCTTTAGGCTGGTACTTTTTATACTCCTGGTGCCGGATGAAGTAGTGAAAGAGGTCGACCAGCATCAGGGCGTCCCGGTACTGGTGGTCGTCAAGCACAATGCCAATCTCGTCAAAGAGCAGATTAGCTTTCCACTTCGGGGCGCGCACATCACCAGACTTGTCCATCTCAATCTTTGCCTGCCCACTGACAGGCTTCAAGATGAACTGGTGATCAACTCCGATGTTCTCGTCAGCCTTGCCGATCATGGCCTTGAATGTCTTGATCATCTCGTCGTGCTCCATCGGCGGCTTGTCTGAGGAACTCGTCTCTTTGCCTGTGCCGTATAGTTTTGTGTCCGTATTCCAGTAAACTGACAAGGCGCCGAGAGTCGCGAGCTTGTGGGTGGTCTTGGTGGAGTCCTGGATAAAGGTGGGCTTCCACTCGCCGTCGGTGCTGATGGCGCTGAACTCCTCCAGGGTGACGCCCAGGGCAAACGGATGGCCAGGTGCCGATATCGAGTCTTCGTACCTGACATGGATATTCTTGACGGTGACTTGCAAGTTGTCCACGATCTTGGTCACAAGACTTGCTGTGAAGCTCTGGCTCCTCTTCTGTTCTTCCTGAGAGAGTCCCTCTTGTGAGCGCTCCTTCAGCAGCTCAGCAGAGTCAAGCTTCTCCATCTTGATCCTCTGCGTCCTGCGCTCCTCCTCTTCCTCATTGTATGCAGCCTCCTCTTTCGGACTTGCAAGTAAGAAGACATTCTCGATGAAGACCTTGACAGGCGCGCCACGGAGGTTGGACCAGGGAATGACGAGGGTCAGTTCGCCGAGATGGCCTTCGACAACGTTGATGGGGAGCTTGAGCTGGTCAAGGGCCTCTTTACGAAGCTCGAGATCGCGCAGCTTAACGTCTCCGCCCCAGATGCCTACTTTCAGCTGTGCCGGGTCGAAGTTCTTTACGTACATGCCCAAGAAGCGGTTGAGCAGGCCCGCGACAAGACCCTCAAGCATGATGGGCAGTGGTGTGGCCGGTCACCCTGGCCTGGGATATAGAGGGTTGTAGCTATGCAGAAGACGGCATGGAACTCGGCTCGAATGATAGGTGAGGCTCGAAAACGGTGGCCAGGCGCAGTGATAATGTCCGTTGACAGCCACTTGATCAGCAATAGGTCCCGGGAAGGCGGCAGGATCGTGAGCCCGTCATGCAATAACTAGGAAGAATGCTAGATCTGTTGCCACAAAGGTTGGTCAGATAGGCCATGGCAGAAAGTATATGATCGTTCACCTTGTTGCTGACAGTGGTGGAGAGCGGAGCTTTGACGTGATGTGGGTTAACAAGGGACTTACTGTACTTGCTGTGCTTCTGCAGGGGAACCAAGAAGAAAAGGCAAGGGTCCAAACATGCAAGCACTGCTAGAAAAAGCAACAAGACATCAACCTCTCAAAATACAGACAAGGTATAAGTTGAGGAGAGGAACGCTGTCAAGAAGAAAAGAAGATGGGTGGGTGGCAGAGAAGCACAGGTGTGGAGGTGCAAGACAGGGAAACTTGGACGACGTCAGCTGCGTTGTTGGAGGGGAACAAGTTGTGGCGCAAATGACGATTCTAGAGGCAAGCTATGTGTGGCACCAGCAGGGGAGGTGATCTGCCAGTGGCGCTCCTGCCATACTCACTGGAGGTCCACCAGAGTGGGGGTAAGAGGCCACTGATGCGACAGGGATCAATCATGCTGTGCTGACTTGCACCAACATGCTGTGTGTCAGTCCTAGCATGACTGGTCAACATCCCCGTTCAATCAAGGGCAGGTTCTTACCGCAGGGGAGAAAATGCATAACACGAAGCATTCTTCTTGTCTTTCTTCCCCCTCATACCCGTCCACCCTCCTCATTATTCTCTCTCCCTCCCTTTCCTCTTCTCTCCTGCATTTTTGCTCTCCCAGGCCTGTTCAGATTTTAGACACAAATGCAGAAATTATATTTAGAGCAATCAGGTCAACCGTGGGGCCTCAAACAGGCAGTTTCATCTTGCAAAGTAGACATGAGTAATAGCCTTCATCCTGCGCTTACATGAATATGATATTCACCACCCGTGTGATATAGAAAACAAGATCTTGTCAAGGTCATTATACTTTGTGGCAGCCTCACATAATACTACACACAAGACGACTTCAAGCACAAGGAAATTGTCGCGACCTCTAAATACGCACCCGAGGTCCCGTGTCCCTACTCAACCTTCTTGCTTAAGTACTTGGATCTCATGTTGGCGCGTTACTTTCTTCTCAGCTCACATCAGGACGTACAGATGTATTTGCTCTGCATTGGATGTGTATAAATTTCACGCACTATGGTAGAATGGTGAACGTGGCATACTACGTCTGGTAATACAGTGGCAGTGACTGCTGATGAGCTGGCACTATACCAGATATGGATAGAGGATTCGAGGAATATTAAAACACATATGGGCAAATGAGGGTCCTGCATCTGACAGGCGTGTCAATGTACTGTAGCAGTGCAGCCTGCTGCGCCTCATGTCTGCAGACTGAGCCTTACTTGCGTTCTCCAACCTCTGCTGGTATTGCCTCCCCCCCCCCCCCGGAATTCGTGTACTGCTCTGCACCTCGAGAAGAATTGAGCACTTACGTTTTTGCCCAAGGACAAACAAACCGTCTCGGGATCTAATCTTGATCAGAATCTCTTTTCTTTGGAGATCTTGTCCTTCTACAATTTTCCCCTGGTGCCGGGATTTCCCCTCTCGCTTTGAGTCTGATTCGGTTGCAATGACACCGTTTCAGTATGATCGTCTCGATCTCTCTAGGGACGCAATCAGACTCGTCCGCCTCGTCAAGGGCAAGGCCCCCGAACCGATACGCTGCGAACTATACCAGACTTACCTCCACAAGGTCGATGGCGTCCCCTATGAGGCACTATCGTACACCTGGGGAGACGACGACTCATCCCAATCAACTCGCATTATACTGAACGGACAAGAGGTCTGTCTTAGACCAAACTTGCACACAGCCCTCGATTTCCTGAGACTCGAGGACTCAGACAGACTCCTCTGGATTGATGCCATCTGTATTGACCAAAGCTACGACAAGGAGAAAACTCACCAGGTCAATCAAATGAGGCTGGTATATACGCACGCAGAATGTGTTCTCTTTTGGTTAGGACCAAGTGGCGAGCACACCAACGACTTGATGGACTTGATCACGGATATCGACCGCAACCTCATGGCCGCCAAGCTCTCAAAAAAGAATTGGCGACTGGCCATTGAGAACACACACAACGATTATAAAATAGAATGTGAACATTGGAAGGTTCAAGCAGCCAGAGATCTAGTTTCAAGGCCATGGTTCAGCCGAGTCTGGATACTTCAAGAAGTTGCTAGTGCTCGCCGAGGCACTGTCATATGTGGCAGGAAGTCGGCACCAGCCCGAACGTGGGCGCTGTTGATGCCAGTATTGTTGGGCCGGGATTTGGACGACCACACGCGCGCAGTCCTAGACATCATTCCAAGTCCTCAAAGGAGCGAATCATGGTGGCAGAAGAGGAGAGACCTATTCACGCTGCTGAAAAAGTTCGCACACAGCAAATCCAGTGATCCAAAAGATAAAGTCTACGCCCTTATTGGAATATCGTCTGATGCAGGACACAATGAGCGTTTCCTGCCAGATTATAGCGCAGACATGCAAAGCTTCGCACGGAACACAATTTCGTACATCCTTTTCGGAGATGTTCGAAGCCCAGAGCATATTGAGCTCCCTTCTTGGACCGTGGACGCACTTTTTCGGTACATGAACGATCTACCACAGGCCGTGTTTCGCTGGGCAGTGGACAATATAAAACCTCACACTCTGGATATGCTTTTCACCCTAGACACCAAATTCGAACCCCCTCCTCTAAAGAGAGGACCCCAACATTGCCGAGATATCATCATTGACTGGAAAGACGAACACGGACGAACACTGCTCTCACAAGCTGCTGCAGGTGCCCCACATGCGGAATGTATCAGGCTGCTTCTTAGAACAGGAAGAGCAGATGTCAATTCAGAAGACTGTAATGGTCGAACTCCGCTTTGGTATGCTATTGAGCGAGGACATAAAGAGATTGTTCAACTGCTTCTTCGAACAGGAAATATTAATCCTGAATTGAAAGACGAACGAGGTCGAACACCGCTTTCACATGCTATCCATAAAGGAAATACGGAGATCCTTCAGCTGCTTCTTCAAACAGGAAATATTGATCCTGAATTGAAAGATGAACGAGGTCGAACACCGCTTTCATATGCTATCCATAAAGGAAATACGGAGATTGTTCGGCTGCTTCTCAAGATAAGCAATACTACAGCCAATTCAAAAGTCAATCGAGATCGAACACCGCTCTTAGATGCTATCCACGCAGGATATACGGAGATTGTTCAATTGCTTCTTCAGACAGAAAGTATCAATCCTGACCTGAGAGATAAACGAGGTCGAACACCGCTTTTGCATGCTATTCATGAAGGAAATATGGAGATTGTTCAGCTGCTTCTCAAAACCGGCAACAGTACAACTAATGCGAAAGATAATCGAGGTCGAACAGCGCTTTCATATGCTGTTTCTGAAGGGCGTCAGGAGATTGTTCAACTTCTTCTTCAGACGGATAGCGTTGATCCTGACTTGAAAGACGAGCAAGGTCGAACACCGCTTTGGTATGCTATGGAAAGGAGTCACAGGGACATTGTTGATTTGCTTTGCGCGACAGACTGCGTTGATACTGAGCCGGTGGATTATTCTGGTCGAAAGCCGGAAGGAAAGTATTGGTGATATGTACATATACATACGTAGAAGTATTCAAGAGCTCTTATGCCCAGGGAGGGAAATGGCACTAGTACAATCCCTCCAAATCTGGCTTTTCGGTGCCCCCGGAGTTTCATATTACAATATCATGGATGTATGTACCACCTGCCGTTCCTCAGATTAGCAGCATAGCGAGGAGATCGGCAAACATGTTGTTCACTTTACTACTTGTAGTTCGACACTATGTGCGTTTCTTTGTACATAAAAGACCCTTTTCTTTTTTTTGTTATGTGCGGTCAAAAAGAGCTGGATTTCACGATCTGGGCAAGCATGTGAACGCGTTGGTATTCGTCATAAAGTACAGGTAGACTTGGGAGATGGCAGCACTATTTGAGCTACGAGCCGATGAGGTAATGAAATTCTCTTCCAAGTGAAGACTTGGAGGTTGTTCATGCGCGCATGATTAAGTTAGAACCCACCAATCCATGTTCTTCTCGGCCGAGCGAATGCTTGCCACTTGCACCGTAAAGATGACTCCAGCTGAATCGAGAGGACAAGTGAGTCAGTAATATCGAATATTGGTCTTCACACCGCTACAAACCCCAGAGCAGAGCGGCGGCTTGGATCCACTTATGAGCTTAGATCTAGCGCGCTGAAGAAAGTCTCTATATATAACCCAAGATTTTGCTTTGTGATCTCAGCTCAAGCTGAGAAGGAGTTCCAGTCTTAGGCACATCTCCATGAAAACCGGAAACGAGACTAGAGTTGCCCTTGGGCCTAGAACAACGCCCAAGTCCACGGGATATTGAGTTTTCAATCATTGATGTTGTTTTTTGCAGTCGAGTGGACGATTGTAGCAGGCGAAGAACATGGCGGAAGATTACTTAGGCATATTGGCAATGCTTTACTTACTCGACACACTTCCCAGTCGTGTGGAGATTGAGAAGATGGTCAATGCGAAAGGAGGGAAACCGGGGATCTCACGAGGAAGAATCGTAGAGAATGGACGGGGTTTCAATTTCCAAGATCCCATGCCAAGTCTGAGACGGACTAGGGCTTGCACCATAGTGTTCGCGAGTTCGCTCCCTGTCCAGTAACAATGAACACGCTATCAAAAGTTGGCTATTGACGCCGACTGCATGTTGCTAGAACCATGTTCCTTGCAAAATATTATTATCATGGAAGTTAATGTTTGCCGTCGGAAGTCGTTCCAATATAGTTATCATGGCCAATATAGTATGATCTCGGATTCCCTCTGTATCAGCAGATAGCATGAAAAGTGTCATGCGCGTTGGAAAAAGAAAAAAAGATGAAGATCTAAAAGGGTACATCCATGAAGGCAATGCGGGCTGGTGGGATTGGGTCTAAGTTGGCATGACATGACCTGAACACGAGTTGAGCAGCCCTTGGCTGGCAGCCAAGTAGAGAGAGATAGTAGTAGGCGACCAATCCTTTGACCACAGAAAATTCACAATCCCTCTCATGACAGTGAAGGCGCTTTTTTCTTCTTTTCTTTCTGCAACACGGCAGATACCGTCCCAGGTACGCAGGCAGAGGAAAGCCCGTTTCGACCAACCAGGTCCACGGTGATGGAGCCAGTACGAAAGGCCCGCAGGCGCTCGGCCCGGGATTCACGGACATAACAGAGGAGAAGGCCGATACAATGCAACAATAGCCCTCCCGGGGCGGTGGGCCGCGCAAATCCAAGCATTTGTCGTGTCGAGATGCCCTTTTTCAAATGCATCTTACATCCAACTCATGCTGTAGTCGTATGATGTGTGGACTCGAAGGAAAAGGAGCACATGGACAAATTTGGTAACTCAGCCGCAGCGCGCACTCTTGAATGCCGTCGAGCTATTCTCACATGTGCTTATCTGGCCCAAATTACCAGAATGAGGTGTTGATACGGCCCGAAGCAATGTAAGTGAAGAGAGGGGTAACGGGGGAGGGATTGGCTCCAGAGACTGGGATCTGAAAAGCCCACCCCAGTCACGATACGCATTCAAATGGGTCCCCCGGCGTGAAAATGGGCAAGGGAATAAAAGAAACCTCGGCGGGCAAATTGTTTCATTGTGCATCAAATGATCTGATGCATGTAAGAACGCAAGATATGCCCCTAACAAGCATGCTGCGCAGGCGTCCTGCCGACAAGAGGCGCGGGCGACATAAACGTTCATTCTTGCATTGGCTCATTTAGTTTCTTTCCTAATTTGTTGCCCTTCACCGCATCGGCGGGCATCAGATTTTCCATCACCTTTTCATTTCGAGGCCAGCTGTTCGGGGCGCGCAACCGTATACAGCTTAGTCAGAGTTACTCTGCATTCGCGGACTGCAAGTTCGAGGCATGCAGGTTGCAGCTGGAGGGGGGAAGCCTCAAGGGTGAGTGAGGGGGGAGCCATATGTCCAGGTTTACTTATGCTTCCCCTCCATCGCCATTTTGCAAAACGATCGAGGCGAGGGGCGTTTTTCCCGGATCATTATTGCGCGAGGGGGCTTAACACGTGTCACCACGCAGGGCGGTTGGATTTGTTAGCCTTGGATTGCCGGCTATACTTGAAGCTTGATACTAAGCAGTACGTTCTGTAGTACAAAGGTTTTGTGAGTAATAAATAAATGAGGACAGCGGGTTAGTTTACCCATCAGTACTACTTAGTAGCAGTTCTAGGCCATCTTTTTTTTCGGCCGAGATCCACATCTGGGGCACTCTTCGGGCTTTGCAAATTTACCACGTCTGGCTGGGCCAGGGCGGGACCGACGTCCGCTTTTCTTTTCTTTTTCTTTTTTTTTGTGCCATCGAGCCTAGGAAATGAGTAATTTCTCAAGGACCCCGAGTTGATGGATACACATTGGAGAAAAAGGAGGAGGAGAGAAGGCAAAGATAGAGTGATTTGATGGTTTTATGTCAGCCAAACGGCAGATTGCGAAACCAACAGACAGACAAGATTGCCGTGACAAGAGGAAAAGCGTACCGAAGATACGGTAACGGGACCGTACAACGGAACCCAGGGGGCGGGTGTGAAGTAGCATTGCATCTCTTAGCTCCAACAGCAGCAAGCTTCGACGACATCCGCGCCATCCTGGTTGGATCCGGTGCAGCGGTACCAGGCCTCAGGGAATAGAAAAGTGTTAGCTTTGCGCCAAGTGGACCATGGGGCCACGACCTCGGGACAGAAAGAGCAAGCAGGGGGACAACAGGAGAGACCCGACGCCCCGGGCCGACCACCAGGGTTGGTCGTTGGTCGTTGATCGCTGGTGCTGGTGCTGGTGCTGGTGCTGGCGCTGGTGCCCACGAGAGGGAGCAAGTGATTGGGAGGGAGGAGGAGGCGAGTGAGTAAGAGGGAGCGAGAGGCGAGAGAGAGCTTTCACTCCTGCGAGGTGAGGCCATCGTATCTGGTGACCAAGGCGGGGTGGATTCGGGCGTGAGGACGTGCAGACGAGCAGTGTGAGCCGGACACTTCTCTTTGTCATTTTATTCTGGATAATTTATTTATAATTACATACTAGAGGCTCTTGGGTTTCCAGTATTTTTTAATGCTCGTATTACCCCATACCATACATACCACACCACCTTGCACCTATTTACAGTACCACTTTGGACCCCAAAACCACACTGCATATACAACGGCAAGGTCAGTCAAATACTATGCTATTAGAAGTCCTCCTCAGGATCCCGCCGTCAGGGCAGGCTTCCTTAATATTAGGAAGCTTGTTCTTCCTGTGGCACCTTTGGACCTTCACGGCCAAGCATTCTATATGGCCGTCGCAGCCGAAGGAACTCCCGTATCACATGCCGCGTAAGTTGAAAGAAAGAAGAAGAAGAAGAAAAAAATTCCCCCACGTCCCGCAGGTTGGTTTTGGTGTTGTTGAGGATGTCGAGTAACTAATCTTTCCACTTCAACGATTTAGTTCTAGGTAATTAATTCGAATCAAACACCCAGCTTCAACTTTTTGTTCTTTTGTGAGAAGAAAATGCATATAGCACAAGTACTGACACAGACACAGGCCATCTCTACTCGTTCTTCTTCGGCTCTGTGCAGCTTATGGAACGTGGCTTGTGAGTTTTGTCAGCCACATTCCCGTGCCGTTTCCCCTCGTGGGTTCGGACCTAGATCCCCCGTTGACATTTTGGTTTCAGGAGGCACACAGACCAGACCCGCGAGCCTTTCTCGATCCAGCTCCCGGGAAGGAAGCTGTACATCATCACCCGGCCCGAGGACGTGACACAGGTCTTCAACAACAAGACCAGCACCCTTGACCATGACTCAACCCTGCGAGAGACTCTCCTCGCCTTTGGCGTCACCGACGAGGGGAGCAGGCTTGCCTGGCGTACCCCGGAGCCGGGCGAGCGGGATTCCCTCTCCCTCCTCGGTCCTAACCAACCCCTCGGCGATGCAGCAGCCAGGGTTCCGCCAAAGTCCCTGATCAATTGGATCCGTGACAGCTTCAGAAGACACCTGATGACGCCACAGAGCCTGTACGAGATGGCCGATCTGTTCAGGGACTCGCTGCTGGACAGCATCCGCATGGACCGAATCGCCCATTACACGACCAGGCCCGACGGCGCCGTCTCGCTGTACCCTTTTCTCCGCCAGGCCATGGTCGAGGCCTCGGTGCGGTCCATCTTTGGCTCGCACCTTCACGAGGTCGACCCTGACTGTGTGGCGCATATGCTTGCATTCAATGACCATGCGTGGCAGATTGTCATGCGGTATCCGAGGTTCTTTGGCCACTCATCAGTGAGCAAGCCGTATGACAGGATGATGGAGACAATGCGGACATTTGTCCAGCGGCCTTTGGCCGAGAATGAGGGTGCGAACCCTCTGATCAGGAATGTGCTGATTGGTATGGAGGCTGCGAATTTGGACACGCAGTCACGGGCTGCCATCGTCTTGATGATCTTCTGGGCGTAAGTAATAAAGCCAACCACCAAGTCCAATCCCACCCAGACCACAGATTCATAACTGACACTTTCTTCTCCCGACCGCAGTGCCACGTCAAATGAGTACAACGCCCTCTTCTGGCTCATCTCACATTTGATGCATGATCCAGCCCTGCTGCAAGAAGTGAAGCGCGAGACAGACGCAGCCTGGAAGGACGGAAACCTGAACACCAAGCACTTCAAGAGGGACTGCCCCGTCCTCGATGCAATTTTTCATGAGATCTTCCGCCACAAGAATGCAGCAGGCACGATGCGCCTTGTCAGCGAGACGACTGTGATCGGAGGCAAGGAGCTACAGCCGGGAAACCTGGCCTATATACCGTTCCGCCAGCTGCACCACAACGAGGCTGTCTGGGGGCCGACCTACCAGGACTTTGACCACACGAGATTTATCGACAACAAGAGCCTCGTCCGCCATCCGTCTTTCAGGCCATTTGGCGGTGGCCAGACGCACTGCACAGGCAGGACACTGGCCAAGCTGGAGGTGTTCAGCGCTGCTGCGATCTTGTTGCGCCGGTTTGACATGAGGTTGGCGGGTGCAACAGCTGCAGGGAATAGCGAGAAGCCCTCTTTTCCTGTTCTGGATAATGAGACTCTGTCGTTGGGCCTGAATGGCCCTCTCAGGGGGTCGGATCTTTTTGTGAAGATGATTGAGAAGGTTGAGGGGGAGCTGTGAGGAACGCCATTGGCTCTCAAGCTCTTATATATGACTCTTCGCACATCTTTCTTGCACTTTGGTTTTCCATCCTTTGTTTTCTTCTTTTTCTTGCATTACATACCCCTCTTAGTTTAGCCAGCTGTCTTTCTGCATAGCGATGATGAATGCGATGCTTGTCTGAATGTTGACGTTCTTCTCAAACCTCTGCGCAAGAAAGTCCAAAGGCTAGAGCCCGAGGTGAAGCTCGCCCATCATGGATGCGTCGTGTATTTTTATTATTAAATAAATGACCTAGTAAATGACCTATACAGTCAGAGCGACCGGGCCCACCTGGACGAAGTTATCACCATCTCTACAGCGACGATCAGTTTACCTAAAGAAACTCCATTGATCGTCTTCAGGGGGGCCGAGCTAAAATCCACAGTGGGATGACGCAACTGTGGGGGGCCCCTTAGGCCCTCTAAGTTCCAACGCCCCGAACTAAAGTACCGCTTTCCTCCTGACGTCACTTCCGTTGTAACAGCTCCGGTACTTGGTTGTGATGAAATGTGAAGCATGGAGAGCGAAAGTAGGCTTAGCTAGCAACAGCTCCAAGTTTTTGTGTTCAACCCTGAATACCGGGAATCCTCCGTTCTGGAGTCCGCATTGTGCATGAATGTTGACGCTCTGTGAAGAAGCTCATATAGACTTGATTTGCTGGTCTTTTCTCCTTCTACCTTTCCTTTTTCCGGGCTCTCATCATTGTCGATCTGGGCTCAGGTTCACGACATCACCACAATTGAAACAAACCTCACAGGGTGATCCACACGATCCAAACCTTCAGGACGACGGCCGCCACAACCTATCACGATGCTTCGAAGCACGAGACCACTCCTGACAGCTTCGGCACGAGGTCTATCAAGACCTGTGACGCCAATTGGCGCCGCAGTGACCTCGCAGACCCGAAGGCACACCTCCACTAAGGCGTGGCGCCCCAAAGTGCCAGGGGCGGCATCGTCCTCGCCCTCAAGACAGCTCGTACCGTTAATACAGCGGGCCCAGTTCGCAGCCAAGAACGAGCCCGATGTGAAGTTCGAGAAGGACGTTGCGAACAAGAAGCTGGAGAAGGATCCCGAGCACGTTACGAGCCAGTCGAGCGTTCGACAGTTTGAGGGGCCTGGTGAGAAACTTGCCGAGGCCTCGGCGTCAGAGGGCTTGAAGGGGGATCTCGTATGTAGTCTGCTTTCCGGTATCCATTGTTGAGGGAAGCACGGCCACTGACGATGCTCTTTGTTTGCCCAGAACCGCCTTTCCGAAGCTGTCGCCCTCCAAAGTGTCCCTCCCATGTCCTACAGGCTAGGCTTCGCGGGCACCATACCCTACTTTGCGACGTCCTTGGCGACTGTCTACTGCAGCTGGGATATGAATACGGAATGGCCCTCGCAGTCGCAGTTTCTGAACCACATCATGATAAGCCACGAGCAGGCCGCCCATTACCTTCACCTGCTGGAACCTCTCCAGGTCGGCTATGGTGCGGTAATCATCTCGTTCCTCGGTGCTATCCACTGGGTAAGTCATAGACCCTTGTCAAGATATACCAAAACTTTTTGAGAAGCATTTGCCTCAGACCACCTCAACACAGGGCTCTAACATGTTTATCTTCCCCAGGGTCTTGAGTACGCCGAGAAAACACCCAACGCAGCCCGATCCAAGTACCGTTACGGCTTGGGCGTCATAGCACCCGCCATCGCCTGGCCCACCGTCATGCTCCCCGTGCAGTTCGCTCTGACCGCACAGTTTGCCGCCTTCACATTCATGTACTTTGCCGACACGCGCGCGGCAACTCGGGGCTGGGCGCCCCCATGGTACGGGACCTACCGGTTCGTCCTGACCTTCATCGTCGGGTCAGCGCTCCTCATTAGCCTGATTGGTCGCGAGAAGGTGGGCGCCGACAAGCCACGCCTGACGGGTCTGCGGGAGAAGTTCCACAAAGAGGGGCCTGACGTCCTGGCCCAGCACGAGTGGCAGAAGAAGGAGGCGGAGGAGAAGGAGAGGATCCACAAGCAGAAGGCCGAGGAAGAGAAGAAGAAGAAGAAAGAAGAGGAGAAGGCCAAGAAGGAGGAGGCTAAGAAGCCAAAGGGTGGCGACAAGAAGGGCAAGAAGGATGACAGCAAAGCATTTAAAGATGATGGAAAGGACGAGCCAGATGACGACTCCAAGGATGACTCCAAAGACGAGGGCAAAGATGAGTCTAAGGAAGATGGTGAGGGTGAGAGCAAGAACGAGGGCAAGGACGAGGGCAAGGACGAGGGTAAGGATGAGGGTAAGGATGAGGGCAAGGATGAGTCGAAGGATGAAGGCGGTGACGATTCTGACAAGGGAGACGACAAGCAAGAATCCAAGAAGGACGACAAGAAAGGAGGTGAGAAGAAGAAGGGTGGTAAGTCCAAATAATTCAAGCCCACTTGACGTGGAGACTTGGGCACAGCGGCGCGGCGTTTTGGCTCGGCTTTGATATGATTATATCACTTTAATGAATCTTGGAATGGAACAGACATTGATTGCGTGGATTTACACCGATGGAACGGTGACAGCAAACATGTGCTTCTCACATTTAATTCAAGAAACTGTGTATGACCTGCCTCTGCCTGTCTCTTCGGCTGGCCGTTACCTATGATGCTTTTTCACACTGGTCATGATGCCGTGAGCACAGGTGACAATAAACAAGCATAAGAAATTGGTAATGGGAATATGATCCTTGTCCTTGAACTATGTATCAATCGCTATGCTACTAGCAGAAATATGTTTCAAAGAAAATCGTCATCAATACTTCACTCAACTCTGGCCTTAACGTGACCCCTTATAATTGTGCCTCCCCTTCCTCCTTCTGCCCCTGATTATCCAGACTATGCCGACGAATGGCCTCTTCTTCCTGCGACCCAAGGCCCACGACGCCATTATGAATACCACCCTGGCCCAGACCAGACTGGCTGACACCAGAAATCACATTTTGTACATCACCCTTCCGGTACTGCGTCGAGCGCTCGTGTGGGCTGCCACTCCGCTCACCGAGCGGGTCGTCAGACCCAGCCCCCGAAACGCCATTGTGAATGCCGCCGCTGAACCTTGCTGCTGTTTCTGCCAGCGCCGCCGCCGCCTCAGGCTCTGCGTCTCTTGGTGGCTGAGGTGCGCCTCTGTTCAGGTCGGAAGCAGCCTCGAGGACCCTTTCGTGTGTGCCGCCACCCGTGCCTGCTGCAAAGCCAGTGTTGTCCTCCTGCTGCGCCTGGGGCCGAGCGCTTTCCAGGGCGGAATCACCAAGGCCGGCTGCTGAGGAGCCGCCCTCATGCGCAGAGCTGGTCGGCTCGACTGCCGCGGCGGGAGCGCTGTTGCCATATTCTTCGCTCGGGTCTTGCGACCTGGTGTCCCTCGCTGGAGCCAGGGCACCGCTGCTCCCGCTGCCAGTTCCAACCTCTGAAGAACCTGTAGCACCCAGGACCTTGCCTTCGTTGCCTAGGTGGTGTGGCTTGACTTCCTCAATCGAGGTCATACCATCAGCACTGCTCCCAGTCCCGACATTGAAGTGGGAACCGGAGTCGCTGCTCGTGTTGACGTCTCCCACCGCGCCTGAAGCTGGCGCGACAGGTGCACTGTCAGGCAGAGCTGTGTCGCGGCCCTTCAATGGAGACCTCTCGTCGACATCCACGGCTGAGTCTTGGTCCGTGTGGCCCTGCGTTGTCTCTGTGGTGTCGGTGTTGTCGCCTTCCAGCTGGCGACCAAGCGTCTCGTCGTCGGCGTCGGGGAATGCGCCTGGGATTTCATTCTCTGGCTCCGCGGACTGGGTCTGTGGGATAGTGTTGGCGTCGGGGACGACTGCGTCCTTGATCTTTGTTACGAAATCCATAGTTGGTGATGTAATGGTTGTTATTCTAAATGCTCTACTTTTAATTAGAGCAAACAATAATACGATGTGTGTGTGTGTGTGTGTGCGTATATGTAAATAAGCTGATATTTATGTATGCCGATGTCTATAGTAGTGGAACACACTGTCTTATAAATGGTATTGCACCTCACGTACTTAAAAGTCGTCACCGTTGAATGTGGCTGCAGGATTTCGAATTCTGACATCACATCTATTGCACTGTGAGCAGGCTAAACGGAGATGCCTTGAAATGTGCCTGCAGATGCACGTACAGGCTGTGATCTTTGCAGCGATGATATCATGCGGGTCGCCTGATGACGGGCTTTGTGCGCCCTTCAAACAGGGCTATAGGGCTACCTAGGGAGCATTTTGTCCGCAGCACAAACCCTGCCTCACTCAAAGGGCTACAGTGGTATCCCATGCTAGTGACACCTCTTTGTATGGCAGGGAGTGACAACGTCTGTGTTTTAATCCGTTCTTTATCTATGTACTTTAACCTTCTTTTCTCGTCCCTTGTCCCCAGGGTTCCCTTTGCGAAAACGCAAGCATCGCACTGGCATTCGGCGCAGCGGAAACGTGAGCGGGGCCAGGGGGAGGCAGAGGGCGGCACACCAAACCTGAACCCCTGGGCATTTGTTTGGGCTGTTGCAGAATGGAATAACCAAGATTCCTGCAACGGGGGAAAGCCTAGTACGCAAAAAGCCACCAGTAGTATGATTTGAAAACTCTCTATGCCATTACTTCATGCTCGTTCTACTATGGTACAGCTAGCCGCTTTCATTCTATAAACAAGTATAGCCCTGATGCTGCCCCTTTCTCAGCGTACTGAAGTATCTACAAAGAGCGTGGTCACACCTGCAATGTGGTATTGAAATGTGGTATTGAAATGTGGTATTGAAATGTGGTATTGAAATGTGGTATTGAAATGTGGTATTGAAATGTGGTATTGAAATGTGGTATTGAAATAAGCTGTTATCGTTTCTCAGCTCGGGTATCAGTACTGCCCAATCCAGTACTCAATCGCACCATAAAAGAATGGCGCATTGGCTACTTCTGAACTCCCGCCTCAGAACACATAGGATAAAGGGCGTTGTACTATAAACACAGAATGAACACTATAGATCTACGATCAGCATTTACAAATCCAAGTTTACTGAATTTTATATGGCCAATCCAGCATGCATACGTGCCGGTTACAAAGCAGTGCTCAAGTCGTGAGTGTGAGAGTGTGACAACCTCTGCAGGACGCGTAAGTACTTCAGTACTTGAGTAGTAAGCCTTTTTAAACACTTCTATAGAATCTCAACAGTTAATTTGCAAAAAAAAAATAGCTTCTCTAAAGAATCGATCAAGTAAGAAGACAGTGTCAAGCAGTAAAATTCCGTGCCAGGCACAAGGACAGAATTGAAGCTTTTCAGAGATCCCTCAAACCCATTGCTTCATTTCATTCACAACTTTTGCATGAACTTGGCATGATCGAGGACATGCCATGAAGTTGGGCGGTTTCTATATCTGACAATAAATATTTGAAACATCCCATATCATATCTTGCACTGTGCCGTTCCTGAATGTTCCCGAGGTCATGTTTCAAGCTGGACAGACACGACTCATCGGATGAGCCATCAACCCAACAGTAGAGATGGACAAAGATCTCTTTTCCAATCGGACAGTCACGGGAAAGGAGCTACGGCTATTCGCATCTTCACACGTCGCCTGTTGACACAGGAGTCAAGTCATGATGCGCCGGGCAGAGGGGACCACAATTTCACGAAACCGCAGCACTTGTCGACAACAACGCGGATCCGCCTCGCGCGTTTTCGCCTCGTCTCGAGATTGTCAAGTTTGTTTCTCGTCTTGTTTGCGAATCATGCACAAGATGCCTGTCAAAAACACAGAAAGTCAACCCTTCGCAGTTCTTTTTCAGACACAACAGGGCGTGTGGTAATACCCACATCTCGCCGCCACGGGATTTCCCCACTCAGGGGTTGTATGTGCCCATGATTTGCGACGGCGCCTGTAGCAGGAGATCCTCGCCAGGGATCCATATCGTTCGATACACTGCACGCTTGACACAATGTCGCTCCCTTTTAACCTTATACGCGGATCCGGATGGTATATACAGCCCTGGGCTTCAACAGCAGCATCGAAACGATATCTGCGGATAGCCATCTTTGACTAGCCGACGTAGTTTTCTTCTTTCTTCTCGAGTTCTCTCTCTGAACTGCATTTTCTTTCCCTTCACGTTCATCAGCAGGTCTGTCATATATTTTCAAAAAAGCTTTATTTTTTTCTTCACTCCTTCATTTTTTCGATTTTATAATTTTTCTTTCGAAATTATTCCAACGAGACAAGATGCCTTCTGTATTTCGCACTCTTTTTGGCGCGGCCATGCTAGGCATGGTACACAGCCAAGGCGTCGTCCTGAAGGCCGTTGGCAATTCAGGAACCAGTTTGGGACTGCTAGGTGAGTAACTTCCTTCTTGTTCATAAAGGCCAGACTCCTGGTTTTTCAGTACATCCAAAGTCACAGTGAATAACCTTATATTTCAGTCGACTCAAGCGACCCAAATGATGCCAACTTCATCTCGGACGCTGAGATTTCCGCCAACGTTGTCAACGAGTGCGGGCGCACATTTGTGGGAGGCAACATAGACATCGGTGCCAACACTGAGGACGCACTGGCCGCTGGCAATGTCACACAGGTGACCAAGGGGAGCAATGTGAAGATCACGATCGACCAGCGCAGTGCCAACGGCACTGGCCCTTTCACGTGTGACATGGACCAGACGGGCAACTCGCTCGCCACTGGACAGACAGCCTTGACCGTTGCGCAGGACAGCACCACAGGCACAGGGCAGACGACCTTGACTGTCACTATGCCTGCGGACATGGCATGCCAGGGATGTAAGTACTGCCAACGCCAACCCTCTTCCATCTTAATAGTATGGACCAGTACAGCTGACACATCTTCTCTCTTCTCTCCCCCCCTCTTTCCAGCATCTCAGGGCAACGTCTGTACCGTACGATGCCGAAACGCCGAGGACTTTGGCGGATGTGTGGCCGTTCAGCAGACGGATGTCACAGCCCTGCCCGGCGACAACGCGCCGTCCAACATCACCACCGCGGCGACGCTGGCCGATGTGGAGGCCCAGGTCCAGCAGAACCAAAAGGACCTCCCCGCGGCGATCGCAGGCAACGACGAGGCGGCTGCCAGCGACAATGCGCAGAGTGCCAATATCGCTCAGGCCATCATTGCGGCCGATCCTGCCGTCGTGCAGTCTGAGACTGCAGAGCTGGCGACCAAGGCTGCCAGTGCGAGCACCGCAGCCGCTACGGACACGACCAATACGAATGGAAAGTCTGGAAAGAACAAGAACGGTAAAGGCAAGAACAACAAGCGGGAGAGCCGTGCTGAGGGTCGCAAGAGAATAGTGAACGTCGGCGTCGACTACGCCGAGAACACTCAGAACTGAGTTCGCCATTTTCTGGACAGAATGGAATGCTCAATCTCGGTCGTTCGTTTGAGCATTATGGTTGAGTAGAGTTGAAGAAAGAGAGGGAAGGGGGCAGTAGCTACAAAACTTCGCATGATTGCGAAGGAAGACAATTACTCGTCAGATCAATATTAAATCGTCATGTGAATACCACCCCCTTTCAGACTACCTGAGCCGAAGACAATGTATATTGCAGCATTTACACATGTTTGACAACCAGGAAACTTGAGACTACTTCCAAGGTCTTGAGAAGACCTATCAGAAGGCCTGTACACTGGTTGCAGAAATTCTTTCATGCATGCTCCTTGGCAGGATGGTCATTTCAAGATCCAACTGTGATATGCAATGTATCAAATGAAGACAGTTGTGCCCACATATGGCAGTGCTAAACATATCACATTGCGTAAAGGTTTGCCCATCCAGGTTGGACCTAGGAAACGCCCTCACGATCTTTTCATAGCCTGATGCGACTGAGTCAGGGGTGAATTAGATAGATTTGGCCGTGACAACACCATACAAGTATAATCCATATTTGTGCAACAGTCGCATTAAGTGGACTTCACTTCAAACAACCTCCCAATGCCGCACTTGGGAGTATAAAAATCGTCACACTAAGCCTCGTGCAGGACCTTCTCAGCGAGGTTGGTGTCATGATAGCTCCGCACATGGAAGATCTTCCCATTGGCATCCCACTCCGTCAGCCACACATAATCGTTGTTGTACGGCTGGCCTGCCATAATAGAGTCAACAAAAACATCTCGACAGAATAGCAAAGTCGACGTGCCCGCCGCGACGCGACAGACTTACCGTTGGTCCTGGTGGCAAACCCCTGACATTCAACGCAGGCCCACCTGGTATCAGGCTCCAGGATGATGCTCCGAACAACAAACTTGATGGGCTTCTGCAGTTTCTTTCCTGCTGCGTTGTTAGTGAAATGGGGGGCTACTAGCAGGTCAGTGTGGGATCTCACCTAATTTTGTGAAAGAAGCAGAAGAGTGCTCGGCCAGGCTGTACCGGGTGCCAGCCAGCTCATGTCCATTGCCTGTAATCTCCCACTTGACGTCCTCTACCATATATTTCTTAAAGAACAGGTTTCTGTGCTCGACGTCTTCGACCTCTTCGAGGTGCTTGAAGGCATCCCGGATGTAGTCCTTGGTCAAGATGACCGGTGTGGGTGTAGCTTCGGCCTGGGTAGACATGCTGTTGGTGTGGCACGTTGATCGAGGATAGAGTGGCTGGAACCTGCGAGGGCAGGCGCAAGATTGCTGTTGTACGAGTTTGGCAGTCTTCTGGAGGCTCCGAGGACGGCAAAAGGTCCTCTCAAGGCGAACCTGAAAGTACGACGTGTTCTGGTCAGACCGCGTCCACCCCTTTCGTAATTGCTCAACAGCGGCAGCGTGCCCTTGGTAGAACGAAACAACCGCCTCGCAAGTTCAGCGCAAGAATGCTGGTCTGGCTCACCTCCTTATTTAATTTGACGTCCAACTTGCGAAGTAAGTAGTATATAGTAATTCGATATCGTACAGTCAGTTGTAGACTTTATCGGAAGGCCTATGCCTAAGGAAGCGTAATTCTCTCCTCGACAGTGGCGCCTTCGATGAGTGAGGGGTTCATAACACCATCCCTGCCAGGCTTGAGGGGGCATGTTCCATGCGCCACGGCACGATCCGCTACCCGAGCCTGTTATGGACAATTGGAATCCAAGAATGGCAGGGTTGCGGCTCTGCATTAGGCCAGTCTCTTTGCCCGGCCAGACGACTTCCTGCATGTGAACACCTTGCTGCTCGGGAATACTATGTACAAAAAAGCATCTCTCATTACTAAGGAAATGTCATTGAGTGGATAATGAGCCCATAGCTCCAGAAATCTCTGAGATTACAGTAACATGATAAGCTTCGAGAAAAATAGCGAGAGGCAGCACAAATTCGTGTCTCATGGCTATTTGGCGTCACTCATTTTGACTATTGGGCGCCCTCAAGGCCCTAGGCTGATCGGTGATACAAATCAAAAGATTACAAGATGTGAAGTCGCCCATCCTGCGTGATGTCGCGTCATGAGTTGGCAGAAAAGTGTCTGAATATATGCTGCTAAGGAGAAAGTCTTGTCAAGGCCACACGCTGGATTGCATATTCGTATTAGACTTTCGAACGAACATGGTCATATAGTACAAACAGAGGGCGTTGGGTTTAGACATTTTTCAAAAGATCCTAAACTTCCTTCCTTCTTGAAAGTGTTGCTGGATTACAATCTCTCGCAATCCTCCAAAGCACTCCATCCCTTCCATTGCCAGCAAAAGGCTCAGATGTCTTCATATTCTAGGCATGTGCAAAAAAAAAAAAAACACAGAGGGACCAGGTCACAATCATTCCCAACAAAGTAGTCGTCCGACCTGCTGAATGCATGTTCCTAAAGAGCAGCCTGTATATCCTTCCAACGCGATTGAGCGACGAGGCACAGCCTGCAAAATGCATAGCCATGCAACAGAGGACGGCTTGCTCTGCCTCGGAATGAGTGATGGATGTAGGATACCTTTGATCTTGGAGTTGTTCATGAATTGCCTTGTTCCTTGGTCAAACCTGGATCGCATCGTGTATATGACAATAGCAAGCGACTGCAATTCACTCATTAGAGTTAATAAGAGACTCGAATTAGAATTTTTAAAACGGCCAATTTAAAATTAATTGTTTGACCGTTTCAATTACCCATCCACTACAAATTGCCATGCCTAAATTCGTGTGGTAGCTAATTCGATGATAGATGCTATATTCAACATAGCCCCACGTCCTGAAATATAGTTGCGCCATGTGGGGGCCCTGCAGCTCAGGGGTCTATAGCTCTTAATAGCAGCGTGGCAGCATGGCAGCCACTAGCCTGGCTCTGAGGAAATCCCCTGTAAGCACTGTAACCCTATCACTTTGTATGTACAAGCCAGTGAGGCTGTGTATAGTACAGTGTGGCGGCCCCCACTGGACCCGCAGGAGGACCCCTGAACTCTCTCTCTAGCATGACGTTTGGCTGCAGTGGCAGTGAGAGCTGGAGGCCTGTTTCATGGATCCTGATGACAGGTTGGAGCTGACTTTATAAAGCTTGAGGTGGCTTCATACTTTGTCTGACTGAGAAGACCTCACAATTCAGATTCTGATTATCGCTATTTCAAAACATTTCTTACCCCCCCAAACAAAGACTTATCCAACATGGCGCCTGAAGATGGTCTTGTCCACCTCAAGGAGTACGACATCAAGGACAGCAATGTCGAGCTGATCGGCAGCGACCTCGACCACAAGGTGAAGTACAACAGCGCCGCCAGCGAGCCCGCCTGGAACGATGGGCAGGTGGGGGTGGCACCTGGCCTGCACATCTGGCGCATCGAGGACTTCGAGGTGATCCCGTGGCCTAAGGACAAATACGGCCTGTTTTACGACGGCGACAGCTTCATCGTGCTGCACTCGTACAAGGTCGGCCAGCAGGCGGAGGCGGACAAGCTCGGCCACGACATCTTCTTCTGGCTGGGCAGCCACACCTCGCAGGACGAGGCCGGTGTCGCAGCCTACAAGACGGTCGAGCTGGACGAGTTCCTGCACGGCAAGGCCAGCCAGCACCGCGAGATCCAGGAGAGCCCCAGCGATGCCTTCATGGAGCTCTTCCCCAAGATCCAGATCCGCTCTGGCGGCGTGCGCTCCGGGTTCAGGCATGTCGAGGAGGAAGCCAAGGAAGAAGTCTTGACCCTGCTGCGCGTCTTCAAGCACCCTGGCTCCAAGCGCGACTCCGTGGTCGTGTACGAGGTCGAGCCCACGTGGCAGAGCCTGGACGAGGACGACGTCTTTATCCTGGACAAGGGCGACAAGATCTTTGTCTGGCAGGGCAAGAACTGCAGCCCCATGGAGAAGGCAAAGTCGGCCCAGGTCGTGCACGACATGACCCTCGCCAAGCACATCGACGTCGAGGTCCTCTCGCAGACGGAATCGCGGTCTAGAGTGGTGGTCGAGATGCTAGGCAGAGACAAGGACGCCGCGCCAGCCTCGGAGAGCTATCGCAAGCCCAAGCCTTTCGCCAGCAGGTCCGCCGCCGAAGGAGGAGCAGGAGGGGCCAGGGGAAAGAAGCTGTTCAAGCTCAGCGACGCATCTGGTCAGCTGAGCTTTGGCCTGGTCAAGGAGGGTGCGTCGATTGGGAGGTCGGACCTGGACGGCAGCGATGTCTTTATCTTGGACGACGCCGGCAAGACGATCTGGGTCTGGCAGGGCGCTGGGGCCAGCAGGGCAGAGAAGGCGGCGTGGCTCAAGGTTGCGCAGGCCTATGTGCGCCAATTACAGGGTGGCGATGATCAGTCTGCGCACCTCACACCGATCGCCAAGGTCGTGGATGGTAGCGAGAGCCCTGCCTTTATGAGAGCAATTGCGGTCTGAGAAGTATGCACTGTTATTGTGTAAGAGACTTGGGGTTTTGTCAGTATTTGTGTAAAGCTCTATCGATCCGCGATTTCATAAAAGAGTATCTTGAAGATGATTGAGATAACGCTCCTCTAAGCCCAACCGTTGACTGCGACTTTGCGATTCTAAAAACAGACCATGTTTCGTCAGACACACGGTAGCCATTGTCCATTTCAAATACGCAGACATTCGACATTAGTCATGAGGAGAGATTGTCCTTTACGTGGTAAAGCCAAGTTAAGACCAAGGAAATTACAGCAGGTCTGGTCCAACTAGAAGAAATAAGGCTTGCACACTCCCTTGACGATCGCCCATCCTTCGTCAAAAGCCTTCACCATCTCCTCCGGCAAAGGTCCCTTCTCCAGATTCGTCAGGTTCTCCTCCAGCTGCGTTGCACTGCTCGCACCGATGATGATAGCATCGCCGTGCTCCCTCTTCATCAGGCTATGATGGCTCACCCATCGTACCGCCGCCTCGGCCGTCGTCAGCCCCAGCTTTTTCGCAACGGGACGAATAACATCCAGCGCGTCAAAGTACGCGTCGTTCCAGTATCTCGCACGATAAAGACCACCCTGTAACTTATTCGGATCAAATCGGCTCCCTTCCTCGTGCTCAGATGTGTTTCGCTGGTACCGATCAGTGAGCATCCCGCCGGCCACAGGATTGAACTCGTAGAACGCGATGCCGTAGTGTCGAAGGCACGGAAACAGCTCGGGCTCGACAATACGGTGCAGAGCATTGTAGACGCCCTGGTAGACATCGGGCTTCTTCCATCCGTTGCGGTCACAGAGCTCGCAGACCTGCGCCACCTCCCAGGCCGAGAAGTTTGAGATTCCAAACCGCTGGAAGTAACCTGCCTTGTAGAGCTCGTTGACAGCCTCGAGAGTCTCGGCGTACGGAGTCAAATGGTCTGGTGCATGGAGGTACCACAGGTCAACCTTGTCGGTCTGCAGGGCGTCCAGGCTGTCCTGCAACCCAGGACCAACATCCTCCTTCGCGTGCGTGTATCGTCCCAGTTCTGGCCGCAGACGACCGACCGGCGCCAGCTTCGTGTCCATGATGAGCCCGCGTTCTTGCCACTTGAGCTGGCCGAGGTACTCTTCTGACGAGCCGCCGCTGTAGAGCCGAGCTGTATCAATCTCGTTGTGTCCGTGGGCTTGGAAGACGTCGAGGATCTTGGTGCAGTCTTCAAGGCTGTGCACTCTGCCTTGCTCGGAGCCTGTAGGTTGGAAGAAGGTCAGTATGTCTCTTGGAGAGAGCAGATGCTACTTGAATTGGTGCATCTTGCCTTCTTTGCCCAGCGTCATTGCGCCGAACACGATTTTGAGCGCTGTCTTGGGCTGAGTCGAGGACGCCATGTTGATCTCAAGTGTATGTCGCCGATGAAAATGTATGATAAGTTCTGGAAGAGCAAGTTGTATACGAGATGATTTGAATGTATTGTCCTGCTACGTTCATGCTCTCCTATAATGATATATATATTTTTCTCCTTCCGTTCTACTGTGAGTAGACTCGGTCCGGATTCCGGGATTCCGATGATGTCTCTGCCGATGCTCGTACCTGATCATAATCCGATGCCTTGCCGTGAGTTTACATTATGCCGACCCGATATGCAGGTTATATGGATGCCATCAGCCATTGTCCGTTCGAGAGAAATGACACGACACTGGCCAAGTAGCAGAAGGGTAGGAGTCGGGATTGAGGTTTGGTACATTTTAAACGGACCTCGGAACAACTGGAATCTGTGCGAGGCCTGGTTGGCCCGACTATCGCCAGGAAGCCTCTGTCTATAACCTCAGCCAGCTGTTTCCCCCCCCCCCCCCCTCAGTTCTCTTCTTCCTTCCCTTTAGTAGCGCTCAATACAGTTATTCCCATAGAATCACTTAAGTAATTCAGTATACAACCACCATTCATTTGTAGGACTTCTGGTATGAAATACGACATAATGATGGACTTGTGTTGCATTTCAAGGTCCCATATCCCGTGTCTCGATGCGTGCCATACATATCAATCACGAACTTATCGATATCCGAACCACATTGACCTTCTGACTGACATTCCAAAGAAGTACTAGATTGCAGAGAAGTAAGTTCAATGCTACTCCTCTACCATCCAATATTGGCATCTCCTAGACACGGACTTCGAGAAAAAGAGGTTTCGATCACTCTTCAAGGAACTAAGCGTCTTCACTCAGTGTAGAACGTGCCCTGCATGGCTTGTATCCGCCTTGGCTATACATGCCTTACATCCGATTTTCTCGTCTCTATCATCTAATCGATGAATTATGACTATTGGTAATCGATCTGTAATGTTCCGTCAATAACGAGACTGATGAACTAGACTAGTCTGTCCACGTGTGTTTTTGGGAGTCTTTTCGCGATGCTGGTTCATATTGTGACGTGAACTCGTATTCATGGCCTTTTTCGTCATTCTACAATTCTCAAAACCTCTTGAAAAAAGGCCCAGTGAAATTCGACGCTCTTTTGGCTTCGGCTTCTGCCGAAATAGAGAACGTTAAGCGACAAACACGGATACGAAAAGTGATCATGCATGCGGATGATGAAGGAATGGGACGATTCTTCAACAGCACGCCATGATCAAAGAATAGAGAATGAAGAAACAAGATTAGAAGCATTGAAGGCGGAGAGTGATTATCCTAACTCGAAACATCCAGAAGACCAAAAAGCCACATTGTGTAGGAGACATACCTACTTGACCAGAGTGTTCGCGAACTGCATTGATGTCCGAGGGCAGTGCTGTTCTTTCTCAAGGCTCTATATGTCAGTTATCAAACTAAAGCTCTGTTTCTGCGCGGCGCGGCGCGGCGCCTCCTGACTTGGCCGTTCTGATCAAGTCGGTTGTTTACTCTCACTAGACTCCAACTCCAAGACTTCGTCTCGTGTTTGGTCGCAACTATGGTCTAGCAAAGAGAAATCGTCAAGGCAACAAGCAGCCAGGATTCAAGACACGTAATCCAAACGTACAAGCTGCTTGAAGCTCAGTCCGAGTCGGATTCTGGACTGACTCGACTGTGATGGCCGGCACTTCCCTCTTCGCCCTCGGACAAAGGACTGACATCTTCCCCATCATCCTCATAGCTCTGAGACGGTTCGACCGATTCGATAATGGCTCTCTGCGAAGCGATACGACGTATCGGTGTTTGAATAACGACCCGATGCACTACTGTGCGGAGAACGGCGTGGCTTTGACAAACACGGCCTTCACTAGCATCCCTGGAGTGGTTTGAGCGGTCGGACGGTTCCCACGAGTAGGGTGAGTCGGAACTGTCACCGGCAGTAGAATCCAGAAACGGGAACCGAGGTCTCCCGTCCTGCTGCTCCACACCCTCCTGCTCCACGCCCTCCTGCCCGCCCACCCGCGCGTCTGCCCGCCCTCTGTGCCGCAGGACCCGCGGCGAGCGTCTCGGCCCGCTGGGATGTGGCGGGCTCGGCGTCTGGTTGGGGGCGTGGAGTTGCCTGTAGCGGTCCCAAACCTCATCCTCGTCTGTCCTCCTCTGGGCGTCGACGGCAGCTCGCAGTCTTTCCTCGCCCAGGGGCTCCAAGCGCCAACACAGGATGCATTCTGGCCAGACTTCGGTGTCGTCGCCTCGCAGGAGCCACCTGACACGGCCAGAGCACGGGCGCATGTAATGTCCAGACACGGTTTCTTGATGGCAGCGGCGCAGGATGGCTGCGATGTCTGCGACGCTGATTCTAGCACCACACAATATTAGAAGCCTGACGCTTGATCTGTCTTTCAAGAAGAGAGCCACGAAAACGCCTGCGCAGGGCTGAGAACTACTTACTCGACGATCCTTGCCTCGGGCGGCTGGACTATGAAGCGCAGGCTTCTGAACCAGAACACCTCTATGCCGTGTTCCCGGACGGGATCCATGTCGGCACAGTCCGCACTGCCCAGACGCCAAATGAGATTGTGAAGGGTTCGTGACCGCAGCAGCAGTTCTTCCAAGTCCCTGACATCCTGCGCTCTGATCAAGGCGTACTGCCCGTCGGGCAGACAGGTGGGTCGGCACTCCTCGCCTTCTGAGCTGCACAGCCTTATGGTTCTAGCATAGGCGCTCCCTCTGATACTTTGAGGCCTCTGGCTACATACCAGTGTCAAACGGTCCACAACCTTCCAGAAGTGTGCTTCGGCTATGTTGACTCGAGCTTGTTGATGGAGAACCTCGTTAGACGAAGTGGGAGAGAGGGTTCTCGTCCGCGTAGAGCGGATTCTGTTCGCCAAATGTCCGTTGTGCGACGAAGACATGGCGGTGCTGAAAGTATTTTGTGAAGGTCAAAGTTGTATGCAAGCCCTAGAGTTGTGGTTGCGCATGAGGAAGGAAGAAAAGGAGAAAGAGAGCCAATGCAGACTATAGAATGTTTGAGGCATATATGATGCCCTCCTCAGGATAGTGAATAGCGAAACCTTTTCCGTCATAGTCCATATTTGGCCAGTCACCACCAGACTACATTGCGAGCACGCGATCGTAGTGAGGAGCTGTGAGGAGCTGGGAGGAGCTGGGAGGAGCTGGGAGGAGCTGTGTCTCATGATGAGTTCCAGTACACTATCGGCAGAACCCTAGGAAAGATGGTCATCGTGTAGTCTTATAAGAAACCCTTGTAGTGGCCAGAGTAGTGGGTGGAAAAGGGGGGGGGGGGGCAATATCAATATTGAGCAGAATGGGACGGTGCCCATGATGCACCTGCAGTGCGCGAGCGGACCTATTCCGATAGCACTACATGTTCAACAACCAAGAGCAGAAGCCGAGTCAGGCAAAGCTGTGATCCAGATAAAGTCGTTCGCAAGGTGACTGATTGAAGCAAACAAAACAGCGCAGCGCACGACGTAGTGACTGTGGCACAGCAATGATCTTACACCTGAGGACCAGCGGTGGTGCAAAGCACAGAGCAGCCATATGAATCATTCTTTTCTTGGGTATCTATCTGCTGTGTCTCACACGCACAAAATGCCGTTCCACCTGCAACAAGACAAACCTGATCAGCCATTGCCCCCGACACCGCTGCGTAAAGATAGGGCGGACGGAAAAATGCTGACCCAAACATACCGCCAAATAAATATCTATCGTGCCGAAGAAACGCCGTTGCTGCTGCTGGTGGTGGTTGCGAGATAACTCGTTGAGATACTGATCCAGGACAGGCGTGCCTCCATGAAACAAAGGAAACTCCGATGGCGTTCAGGTCAAAACATGGCAGGGCAACACTGTCCTCTCATCCGCCGAACTGCTTTCCATGCTCCAGGGTAGCGCCGATTACCATCGTATCGGCTGCAGTATAGTTTGCTTCCGACGGCTCAGTTTGCGAATATCCTCACGTTCAGATCGACACTACCCGTCGCGATCACACAGCGGATCTGGACATCAGCGCTGGCGGAGTTCTTCTTGGGCGTCGATGTCCCGTTTGACCCGTTCTCTCCGTTCGTCGCTGCAGGAGCATCCTTCACTATCACAGGAGCCCACCTCAGACAGCTGACAAAATGCTCGTGCACACCTTCGAGCTTTTTGACGCACTTGCCTTCCTGTGCCAAGTCCCAGCAACGCAGCGTCTTATCGTCGCTGACTGACAGCAAATACTTGCCGCCGGGATGGAATACCAGTGCGCGCACCCAGTTGTCGTGGCCCACCAGGGTCTTAATGCACGTCCCTTGGGCATTCCAAAGCCTAATGGTCTTGTCCCTGCTGCCGGTCGCCATGTATTCCGCGAGAGATGTTGCTGCCGGCGGTTTCTTTAGCCCTGCGATAGTTGCGAGATGGGTGTAGGCCGTTGCAGGGGCTATCACAGCACACTCCACGACGTGTTCGTGGCCGATGAACGTGAGCTTGACTTCAGGGTTCGGGACTGAAATGTCCCAGAGACGTGCCGTCTGGTCGTTCCCAGCAGAGAGAAGGAAGTGCCCGTCAACCGAGGGACAAACATCTCGTACCCAGTCGGCATGTCCTCGCAGGGTTCTGACGCAGTACCCCGTGGTCACGTCCCATATCCGAAGGGTATGATCACGGGAGGCGGATACTAGCAGGTTGCTAGAAGAGGCTGCGCCTGCTGCGCCTGAAGGGATAAATCGTACAGCAGATACGCTGTGGTCGTGGCCAGGAAAGGTTCTGATGTTCTTGTATTCGTCTGCCGGATCCCATAGCTTGATAGTCAGGTCGCTCGAACAGCTGGCTAGCAGGGTGCCCCCTCTCGGCCCGCCAAAGTCCACGTCCAATACAGCCCTCGTGTGGCCTTTGACTGTCCTCTCCAGCTCACCAAGTTCCCAGTCCCATATTTTGATGGTCGTATCTTCCGAGCCGGATGCCAAGGAGGAGAATACTGGATGGAAGGCCACGCAATTGACTGCTTTTTGATGTGACTGCAGGGTATGTCGCGCAGGCGCCTTGGGCAGCCAGCTTGCCGGATCTTGATTTCGTTTGGACAGTGAGGTCGGTGTCGCGTTGTCGATCTCAGACTGCAAGGCGGCTGATCGCGACTCAAGCTCCATTATCTGTTGGCCAAAGTCAGCGTCTCCTGTTATTTGCACACACACACACACACACACACACACACACGACTCGTAGCCGGTTAGATGAGGGGGAAACTGACTTTCTTCTGCAATCTGACCACGCTGGTCCACTTCTTTTCGAGAAGCCCCTCATATTTCTTGACAGTGTTGACATCGAGGGTCTCTTCCGACAGACCCAGCTCTTCTCGCAGGACCGCAGCGGTGTTTGGGAGATTGTTCGCGGAGAGGTACGCAATAATGGACTTGTGCCTGCCAGCGGCCGCGTTGTTAGCCCTCGCAACAGCGACGATTGGTTGTAGTTTGTCGGGAACGAGGGGAGACTTGCAGCTCCTCAGCCTGGCGGGTTGTCAATATTTGGCTCATGGTGGCCTCTGTCTCTCTCCCCGACCTAGCTTCCCCCTTCGATGCTGAGGGGAGGGCCGGTCAAGCTCAATATGAATTCTGTCGTGGGCAGAGAGGAGGGAGTGGATCTGCAGGGCGCATTCATGAGCAGGAGGATGCCCAATGTTCTTCGCCAACAGAGGGTTCGAGTCGCGCTGCCTGCCGAATTTTGGGTATAGGTCGACCTTATAGGGGCGGTTCAAGCTGGTGTGAGAGAAGATATGCCGAGGCGATGCTTCGCTGTCGTTGTCGCTGTCGCTGTCACGCTGGCTAGAGATGGGAGGAGGTGTTTGTCCGCAGTTGCGAGGTTGCGAACGGATCCTTAAGCGAACAAGATATGGTGGACCGCGTGATTGCGATCGGGATAAGGTTTGGGAGGCGGGGGATGGAGTTCAGATCGAAAAATCGGTCTGGTCCTTCTTGCCTTTCTCTGCAGCAAAGCGACAAATGTCTGGACGTGTCAGAGTGGATCGAGGATGAGCAGGGGTTCTCTACAGCAGCAGCACAGGACAAGTACCATCCCATCGTCTGCAAGTCTAGTATGGACACTAGAATGAGTGGTTATCGCATTCAGGTGTTGGAAAGAAGTTGTTCCTTGTTAGTTTGCAGGGGAGCGAATGATTCAGTGCCAAACCTGCCAGCCCAGACGCACCAAGGCTTGTGCAGGGTGCATGAATGAGCTTGGAGCATTACTGATTTTGATTGTCATGTTCAATGCAGCATCTTAGCTACTTGTCTCTCTCTACACCCTAAAGGGGAGATTCTCCTTCCACAGCTGTTGTTGTGTCTCTACAACAGAGTGCTGAGTGGCAAGGCTAGTGGTACAGTACCTAGCAGGTAGCCCCTCACTGCCAGCTGGTGAGACAGTACAACAGCTGTCAGCTGAAGAAGATTGCGCCCAAGGGTCCAAATGGCAGACGCCACTAGGCCACCTACCATAGCATGTTAGGTCCAATATCATGGGAGCACTATAGGCACATTCATGTACCAATGTACCCAGTGACATCACGTTTCCCGGGCAATCAGCAGGTGAAATTGGGCATGAACCAAAGAAAGGACTTGACGTAGCACACATGTTACTCAAAGGGTCAACAATCTTCACAGTCATATGCAGCATGTGAGCATGTGCAAAAAACATGTCACGTATCTTTTATTTGTCTTCATCATCACACAGACTCAGCTATGGGATCTGGTACTGGCACAGCGCATCCGAAGAAAGGCATAGTTCATTGTTTCCGAGGGTCCTCCTGTCTCTTCTGCAGAGATTCCCACTAATTATTTGCTTCCCGCTGCTGAACGTTCTGCTGCCCCGCGCCTTGAGTTGTAGTTCGGTACGTACCCAACTGTTGGTTGGCTGTTGCCCTGGCAGCGTGCCACGCCTTGCCCGAGCTACTGCGCCGTACCCCTGATTCCCTGCAGAGCCCACCTTCTTACCGCCCAAAGTGGAGGAAACTACAGCTGCCTTTCCGCGAGACGAAGATTTGGACCAAGAACCAACATCGCAGGCCAAAACAGAACCCTTCAAAGGCAAGACACAGGACACTTTCTTTTCAGAGACACACCGGCAATGCACGCCTGAAGTCTGCAACCCCGCGCAACCCCTACCATCGAACACTGTCTTGGTCACTTTCTACAAGGGCAACGGACGCGCTCTTTGATTCTCGACAGAAGACCGTATCTGCTGTTTGCGACCAACTGGTAAGCAAGGGAATCCACTCTGCCAGCTCACCACATCATCACATGCCTGGTCTCGTTGCTCTGTCGCGCTTGTATCTGCCATGTTCAGACGGGCATTGCTGCTAAACATGTCGTCGCCTCCGTACTTTGGACATGACGCGCCGCAAGACTTGGTCTGCGTTCAAGAAGAAGCTGACAGGAAGCATAGCTCACAGCCTCAAGCGACGCTCCCTCGTCGACGAACACACCACCCTCGCGGCAGACCACTTGACCACCGAGTCCTCGTGTCCTCCAGAAACCTTCTCTAAAGCGACCAGTCCGAGCTACGATACTGTTCCCGCCATGGCTGACGGAGAGGAGGATTACAGCTCTCTGCCGATCACAGATCGTTGGGTGCACAAGGTGCGTTCGGGTGTTTTCTAGGCGTGTCGGGCTCTTGAGTCCCATCTCCTCTTCTGCTGGAAGCTAATGTGTAACATTACATCTCATTAGATCTGGAAAGTCCGCAAACAGGCCTACGAGGATGCCACAAAACAATTCGAGCTCACCGCCGACGAACACGACCCGGCTTTCAAACCTTTTCTTTTCGACTCATCGCTATGGAAAGGCGCCGTGGCTGATAGCAATGTCGCCGCTCAACAAGATGGTATAGCAGCATACTGCGCTTTCTTAAAATTCGGCAGCAAGGAGCATGGCACAAGGACAAGGGGGGTTACGGTCACCCCTCTCTGCGAAAAGGGTCTGCCCTCTACAAGAGCGGCCACCAAGACATCCGCCATCGAGGCCTTGCAATTACTCTGCGAACTGGACGTCCCCGGACCTGTTATCGAAGAAATGTTACCAGTGCTTTCCGCCAAGCAGCCCAAGACCGTGGCTGCCGTCCTGAATGCCCTGACGACAATCTTTCACAATTTTGGCTGTAAGACCGCGGATCCAAAACCCGTACTCAAGGTCTTGCCCAAGGCCTTTGGCCATGCAGACAAGAACGTGAGAGCCGAGGCGACGAACCTGGCGGTCGAGTTCTACAGATGGCTCCGGGAAGCTATGAAACCAATGTTTTGGGGCGACCTAAAACCGACGCAACAGTCTGATCTCGAGACCCAATTCGAAAAGATCAAGGCCGAGGGTGCGCCAAAGCAGGAGCGTCTGCTGAGGTCACAACAGGCCGCCAAGGAAAGGGCACCAGCTGCCGGGGCTGGAGACGAGGATGGCGGCGACGTCGATGAGGTCGATGAGCCCGAGGAGATTGATGCGTTTGACCTGGCAGAGCCCCAGGACGTGCTGAAGGGCATACCTGGTGATTTCTACGACCGACTTGCGTCGGCAAAATGGAAAGATCGAAAAGAAGCCCTCGAGGCCCTCTACGCGCTGGTCAACGTCCCGAGGATCAAAGATGGCGACTTTCACGAGGTCAACCGCTCCCTGGCAAAATCTATGAAGGATGCCAACATCGCATGCGTCACACAGGCAGCGCAATGTATTGAGCTCCTGGCCAAAGGTCTGCGGAAAGGCTACGGCAAATATAGGTCGACTGTGATGCAACCAATCATGGAACGTCTGAAAGAAAAGAAGGCGGCGGTTGCGGAGGCGCTCGGTGCTGCTCTCGACCAGGTCTTCCTGGCTACGAATCTGACAGAGTGTCTCGAAGACATCCTGGCATTCTTGGTGCACAAGAATCCACAAGTCAAAGAAGGAACCATGAAATTCCTTGTGCGGTGCCTGCGAACTACGAGAGACGTTCCCAGCAAGCCAGAGATTGGTCAAATAGTCGATGCGGCCAAGAAACTGCTCGCAGAGTCAAGCCCGGTACTTCGAGAAGGGGGCGCCGAGATCCTTGGAACCGTCATGAAGATCATTGGGGAGCGGGCAATGAATCCTCATTTAGAGGGTCTAGATGACATCCGCAAGGGCAAAATTAGAGAGTTCTTCGAGACAGCCGAGGTCAAGGCCAAGGAGAAACCCAAGGCACCACCACCTGCTGCGAAGCCTCCGCCAGGGCCTACCAAGAAGGTCGTCAAGAAGGGTGTCAAAAAGTCAGCTGCGGCTCCCGCTGCGGCACCTCCACGCGCAGAGACGCCTCCACCCGCACCTCAGCCTGCCGCAAGGCCAGCCGCGTCGAAGCTTGGTCTGGCCAAGCCCGGCATTGGAGGTCTCAAGGCACCGCAGAAGAAGTTGGGGTTGGGCCTGGCATCACCGCGCCGCCCGGTGGCCGCACCCCCTCCCCCGGAAGAAGACGACTTTGTTGAGGACCCGGAGCCAGAACCAGTCGTCTCTCCTCCCCGTCCGCGTCTTGGCATGGGTCGAGGTGGCCTTGCGGGTCGGTCACTCGCCAAGCCCGTGGCTGCTTCGGCAGCCCTGGCAGCGGCCGCTGAGCCGGCACCTGCTCCCTCCGGACTGACGGCCATAGAACGCGCAGAGCTTGAGGAGCTCCGCGATGCCAACGAGCGGCTCATGCGGCAGATAGAGGAACACCGTAACGATCGATCGAAGCTCTTATCCGAGATCCAGGAGCTCAAGAACCAGAATGCCGGGCTCATCGAGGATCACACTCGCGACGTTCTGAGCATCAAGGCAAAAGAAACACAACTCGTCCGAGCACGCAGTGATGCCGAGGCAGCCGAGGGCACGAACGACAGGTTGCGAAGGGAGCTCGACCGCCTGAAGCGAGCGTTGAGCAAGGCCGAGCAGCTAGGAGTACAGCGTGCAGATATGATCAGCCCATCGCCCCATGACATGGGTAGCCCCGTCCGTGGCGATATGGGCGAGGGTACCGGGAGGTCGGCCAGCATCGGCCAGCGCGCAAGCTACTATAGCAACCTCTCTGACGAGAAAGAGAATGGCGATCCTGCCCCATACGCACGGCATAAGGCGCTCAGTCCGGATTCGGGGCGGTACGCTAATGGCGGTCATAACATGAACAGCGGACGGGCTTCGCCAGCGGTCGGATCTGTGCACAGAAGTTTCTCGGATAACAATTCATCTACAGCAGCTGCTGGGAACGGAAATGGTGCTGAGAGCTGGAAGCGCGCCGCCGAGGTGACAAGCCAACTGAAGGCGAGGATTGAACAGATGAAGGTCAGTCCACTAATATCTTGTGTCTCAAATGCTATTGACGGCGGAATCGATGCTGACTGTTTTTTTATGCCAGGCCAAGCAAGGTTTTGCGCGGCAGTAGGTCAATTTGTTGTCTCTGAGCCACCGTCATCGCTGTCACAGAGGGCGCGTACCCTCAGACTCCATGTCTCGTTCCAAAGGAACTTCCTCATTTGACAGCCACGAGGAATGAAACACCATGCATGTCGTATTGATGAATTGGGTACACACTAATTAGGAGGATCAAGCATTTTTTCGAGGCGTTTGGACCTTGGGTGGTCAAGAGGTTCCATCAGAAGCGTTGCTGGCCTTGATTTTGTGGGTTCTCACGTTCCACACGATACCTAATTCTCTTGTTATGTCTTGGCCACTGCCGCCACTGCCGCGAGAACGAGAAAGAAGATCAATATCATTTTATGTGTCAAAACTAGGGAACGACTCTGTTCGTACCCACTTACCCCTCGTGTTCTCTCGTTGTGGGGATGAATCTCTCCTGAAGGTGATGAGATCACAACCCTGGCCTCCGAATTCCTTGCCTTTTTTGCTCGTCTTGTCGGGCAAGGCCGATCATCACCCGAGAAAATACAAATTTCTGCCAGGGCCATCAGATAAGCAACGCTGATCTTTGCTTTCGTTTGGAAGATCACCCGCCGTTTGTTTTACCTTCCGCGGCTCCGACTGGAGGACTTTCATACTCTGTGTTTCGGTGATTTTTTTCAATCCCACGAATTACTCGTGGGCCCGGCTGTCAAGCTTGAGGCCGACAAGAACATCACCAAATGTCTCACTGCCCCATGATAAAAAATCATTGATCTGCTCGGGTAAAGGCTTTTGTTCCTTGACTCCAAGACGGGCAGTCAATCTCCAGCCGAGGACCGAGTCGACCCCGGACTGGATACATTCTCTCTTGTAAGCCTCCCCACAATCTGGTGGAGTTGTCGGCACGCTATAACCGCGGATGGCAAAAGCCTACGAGAAGACCTCGAAGTTTGAGGACATCTTGGGTCCATCTGAGGAGGCAGCGCCGCAAGAGAAAGGGGGCGGCTAGGCCACTCCAGGATTGGTGATTGTAGAGAAGCATAAGTATGTATGTATATGCATGCAGTATTGTGTCACTTTGACTGCATAGCCCCTTGCAGTGGGTGCCGAAGTGGTGTGGACGCCAAACTACAAACGTCAAACCCCCATTTTGTTCATGTGAAGCAGTGAGGCCGCGTGAGGTAGCATTGGAGATGTTTCCTTAGGTATTGATGATGGACTACCTTGCATGAATGTACTCCTCGTTGAGAAGCACAGTTGGTAACATTTCCCAACCTTCCAGAGAATTAACTGATTGTCAGGAAATGAACAAGCGTGATTCCATCGAGGGTGTCTTCATTCATGTCTTGTTTTATTTCCGGGCGAAATAGAGGGCTGCATGATGCAGTTACAAGTCACCCTTGACCTTGTCCTGGCAATACCCCTTCCCCCAATCACTACCAGGGCATCAGCCCTGTACGTTTCATATTCAGTGCCTGTTTGTCTACACGAACCCAGAATGTTTCCCCGCTGCTTGTCTCTTACTTGGACACACCTTGTTTCCGCCAGCCCTGGCATCGGGACTCTCGGCTCAGTGGTGGGAAATACATAGTACGTACTTATGCGCCGATGCTGGTGCCATCCTCATCTGCCCCCAATGGGGGGGTTTACTCCTGTGCAATATCGCCTAGGCGCAAAGGTAAATGCCATCACGAAGTCTCCGCTTTCATGGAAACAAGGAGGAGGAGGGTGCCAGCCTAACGAGGCCAATATACTTGCAGGTTCAAGGAGTATCCGCCCCGCCAGAGGCTCATGAGGCTCTGCGAGGACATATATAGGCTTCGTGGGTCACCTCGTGCTTGGCTATCTCTTGGCCATCTCTTGGCACAGATCTGACAGTCCTCCTCCTCCGAGATTACTTGACCTTCACCAGTGCGAATTGCACCGCCCCATTCTTTTTATTGCTCCGCCGGCCTGGACCACTTTTCGTTACGTTTCTTCCTCTATATATCTCTCCTCAGTTGCTCTTTTGCTCCTTCTTTTTTTTTTTTTTTTTTTTTTTTTTTTTTTTTTTCGCTCCCTTCTTTTGGCCGTTGTTGATCCACAGTCACTCATTACGTGTTGATCATGTATACCTCTGGCCTTCTCGCCGCTGTTCTCGCCGCCTCCGGCGCACTGGCCGTCCCGGCCCCGGCTCCTACCCCTGCGCCGTCTCCCATGGAGGTCGACAGGGCTCTGCAGAAGCGTGATTCCTGTACTTTCTCCGGTTCGGATGGATACTCGTCTGCTAGCGCGAGCAAGAAGGACTGTTCCACCATTGTGCTGTCTGCGCTGAGCGTTCCGGCCGGTGTTACGCTGGATATGACTGACCTTGAGGATGACACTGAGGTGAGTGTCTGATGAAATTGGAAACTAGCCTACATCCATAAACAATACCCCCACTTGGCGTCTATCAGGATTCTTGTTGTGTGTATTTGCTGACAATTCTCCATTATAGGTCATCTTCGAGGGTGAGACAACCTTTGCCTATGAGGAGTGGGATGGCCCCCTCTTTGCCGTCTCTGGAAGCTCCATCACCGTCACGGGCGCGTCTGGATCAAGCCTCAACGGTAACGGGGCCGACTACTGGGACGGCGAGGGCTCCGACGGCGGCAAGACGAAGCCCAAGTTCTTCCAGGCGCACGACCTGACCGATAGCACCATCTCGGGGGTGACCATCACCAACGCTCCAGTGCAGGTCTTCTCCATTGACACGGTGACCACCCTGGCCGTGACGGACGTGACCATCGACAACTCGGCGGGCGATTCCCTCGGCGCCAACACGGACTGCTTCGATATCGGTTCCTCAACCGGCGTGGTATGCAGAGGCCCTTCTATTTATACCCTACTGACATCGAACTCGCTGCTAATACATACTAGACCATCACCAACGCAAAGTGTTACAACCAGGACGACTGTGTGGCCATCAACTCTGGGTCCAACATCATCTTCACGGGAGGTTACTGCTCCGGAGGGCACGGCCTGTCTATTGGTTCCGTGGGCGGCCGCGACGACAATACTGTGGAAGATGTCACATTTGAATCTTCTCAGGTTATTGATTCGCAGCAGGCTGTGCGTATCAAGACCATCTCGGGCGACACAGGCACTGTCAGCAGCATTACCTACAAGGACATCACCATCTCTGGGGCTACGGACTACGGTATCGTCATTACCCAGGCCTATGACGGCGACGAGGCTACTACCGGCGTTCCCATCACTGGCCTCACTCTGGACGGAGTTACTGGCACTGTGAGCAGCGATGCTGATGCGGCTATCTATATTGACTGCGGCTCCGGTTCCTGCTCTGACTGGACTTGGTAAGCTGGCTTCCCTGTTTAAAGTACAAGACTTCTATGCTTCGAACAATTGCTAATTTAGACTTCAGGACTGATGTCGATGTTACTGGCGCTGACGATGACTGCACCAATGTACGTTTTTCTTGTCTACTCTTCATATCTTCACATATGAAGCCCTTTAAGTACTGCGGAGATATAGAAGCTGACTTGCTGTGACACAGGAGCCCAGCGGCATTACCTGCTAAGCGACAACCATACAATGCTCTGCGGAATCAGTGGCACTGTGAGCAACGACACCACGAATATCTACATCGACTGTGGCTGTACTACCTCGTGCTCCGCTGGAGCTGGGACGTTGAAGTGACGGACGACGAGACCAGCTCTGACTGGGAGAACGTGTTGAGTGTTGCCTCCTGATAGATGATGATCTGTCGTCCGTGGTTGAGAGACGCGGTCTTCAGGGGGGTGGATGAGACCGTTTCCTCTGGGATGTGTCAGATGTTGACGGGGAGGGAAAGGCTTACTTTCTTATTTCTTCACTTAATCTGTAAATATTCTTGAGGATCCAAAGTACAATATTACTTGCTACTGCCTTGTATTTGACTTTCTTCTTGCTATGCTAGTGACTTGTGTACACCATTTGTCGAAAGGAATCTATGGTCATATGAAAATGGCCAATGTACGTACGGTCTCGCGAGATCTGCGAGATTTTCACATGTCGTTTTGGTTCGTCTTGAATCCAAAGTGGTAGTTTAGCGGGATGATTGTGATGACACTGTAGTAATGACTATGTCTACTAGCTAAGTAGTTTCACAAATAATGTGTTAACCCTTTAATAAAGGAAAATATATTCTACGTAGTATTTATCAAGTCATTATTCACCAACATGCAGGTGCTATATAAACTAGTGGCGGCATTCCTGCTAGGTCCCTCCTGGGCCTGGTGGACACAGCATGACGTCTACGACGTCTCCCATAACCTCGAGCGCGACTTCGTCACTGCATTTACCAACGCTCAAATGGTTCTAGGGATCTATGCAAATTAGAAATCTAACCGGTGTTCCTTGCGTATTTCTTCAGACGAGTGGTTTTTACTTTTTATCTACATTGATAATCATTCCCAGCATAGGAATTTCAAGAAATCAGTTTTTCCAACATCTACAAACATGACGAAGAATGGTCTTGACTTCAATTGTGCGCTCATCACCGGTGGCGGTGGTGGCATCGGCCGGGCCATGGCCGAGTATCTCCTATCCAAAGGCAAAAAGGTCATCATCTGCGGGCGGACAGAGGCGAACCTGATCACGACGCACAAGGAGATCAAGTGCGCAGGATACTACGTGCTCGACACGGGCAACACCACCGCGATACCAGACTTCATCGCCAAGGTCACCACGGAGCACCCAGACCTCGACTGCCTCGTCAACAACGCTGGCGTCCAGCGGCCGCTCCAGGTGCTCAAGAACGACCCGGCCGAGCTCCTCGCCAAGGCCGACCAGGAGATCGACATCAACATCCGCGGGCCGATGCACCTCGCGGTGGGGCTCCTCTCGCACCTCCAGACGAAGCCTGCAGCGGTGATCATCAACGTCTCGAGTGTGCTGGGCTTTGTCCCCTTCTCCATCATCAACCCTGTCTACAACGGCACCAAGGCCTGGCTGCACTTCTGGAGCATGGCGCTGCGCGTGCAGCTCAAGGACACCAATGTCAAGGTCGTCGAGATCGCACCGCCAATGGTTGCCACCGATCTTCACCGCGAGCGGGAGGACCCTGATGACAACAAGAAACATAAAGCTCCTATGACGATGGAGGTGGATGAGTTTATGAAGGAGGTGGCGGAGAAGCTGGAACGGGGTGACGAGACGTTCGCGGCTGGTATGGGGCAGGATATGGTTGACCAGTGGTTTGGCACTTTTGGAGAGAGGTTTGATCAAGCGGCAAAAGGGTGGAAATGAACCGTATGTGTTGGTAATGTTTAGAGTCAAGCTTAGTCAAAATGTCAGCACAGCACTGAGCACTTACGAGAGTAAATTCGAGGGCAAACACACCGGCCGTCCTTGTAGACAAGCAGCTGGGCCATGAATTCTTGTTAGTAGCGGATTGAAGCCTCGCAAAACTGTGTCATTAATTGAATGCTAATTTGTGCTGTGTAATTCAAGAGACAGTTGCAAAGCAAGAGACAAGGAAGATAGAAAAAAATAAGGAAAAGCAAAGAGAGAAAATCTCATATCAAAGGCTCGTCGAAAATGCAATACTGATGATGTTAGTGAACCAAGTAAATGGTGTGTAATTGGCGAGTTTAGGAGGTGACTCAGCACCGATAAGATAAGGATTCGCGACTGCTGGAACTACAGTGGAACTGCTAAACAACCTCGCCTTCGCCTGCCTAACAACATCTATTCGTTTTCCCTACTACCCAACCAGATTCCTACCCTCGCCGATCCTTCCACACCTGTCGTCGCCACGATCATGGCATCGATGCGTGCTTTCGATCCGTCAAAATTCAAGGCCTCAGCAGCGGACTACTCCTCATCCGACTCCGAGGACGACGACGACGACTTTCAGAAGCCCTCGTTGGACCCCCGTGCAGACGATTTCGCCGACTTCAACCCTCGAAAGCGCCGCAGGACCGGTCAAGATGGCAAGGAGAGCGCTGCCTTGGGCGTTTTCGGCTCTGATAGTGAAGATGAGGGGTCCTCGCACCGCTTCAAGCGCAAGAACCTGCGGACCAAGGGCATGAGCTTTGTCTCGTCCGCCGACAACGCGCCAAAAGGCTCGGACGATGAGGATGTGGCGGACGATGATGACGATGAGGAGGAAGAGGACGGCAAGTGGCCCAGCATGGCAGGAAATATGGAAGACGAAGATGAAGAGGAGGAAGATGATGGAGATGCCGCGCCCGGTATTGGGCTTGGATTCAAGCCATCTGGAGGCCTGGGCAACGGTTGGGCACTCCCTGGACAGTCAGCAAAGACGCCTGAGATATCAAACCCTCTAAGGGGGTTCTCTGCAGGAAACACAACACAAGGAAGCCGAGGTGCTACGAAATCTTTCCTCAAGTCCAAGTTCCAAGACGACAACCCACTCGGCCATGGATTTGTACCCTCTTCCGATAACCAACCTGTACTCGATACCACGATGGCTAGCACACCATCAAAGCCTCAGGTGGCCAGACCTAGCGCCTTCTCTACGAAAGGGGGCAAGACCAAAATCAACGCAAGCTCATTTGGTGCTCGGATGATGGCCAAGATGGGCTACCAGGAGGGACATGGACTCGGCGCGAGAGGCGATGGCCGGAACGTCATCATCGAACAGAATCTCCGTCCTCAGCGTGCCGGTCTAGGTGCCGTCAAGGAGAAGACAGAACAGGAGAGGCAGGAAGAGAAGCGACAAGCCAGGTTGCGAGGAGAGGTGGTTATTGACTCCGATGAGGAGGAGAAAAAGAAGAAAGCCGAGCGGAAGAGGAAAAAGGCATTGGTTGGTGGTCTACAGAGTGGGTCCGGAAGCGCTGCAAGCACCCCAAGGAGACAGCAGAAGCCCAAATACATGACAATGGACGAAGTCAGGAAAGCGGCGCCTGGTCTCAACATCCCGGATGCCTTCACCCCGATCTTGGACCTAACAGGCCCTGGTGGGGCCAAGAAGATGTTGACCTCTTCGTCCGGACTGATGACACCAACTGGGGGCGCTGCTGAAGATGACGATGATGCTCAGTCCAAAAAGTTGGTCAAGCGCGCACAGAATGATTTCATGGCCATCCTGGAGGAGTGGCAAGGTCTTCAAGAACGCAAAGCGTTTGCGGAACTACAACTACGACAAGAGCATCAGGAATTGGAAGAACTCGAAAAAGGCGTCGAAAGCCACCAGCTGCTCGCTTCAATCTTCGACGAACTTCTACGGCTGGAACACGCAGATGAGGACGTTTTCTTGAACGGCGGGGATGATACGAGGCAGCGATGGGATCAGGTCGTGGGACTGCTCCAGAAAGCGAACGAATCAACATCTGCCTTGACAGTCCAGTCTGTGAAGGAGGAGATGGCGGCGACGGCTGTTTCTGCTCTGCACCCAATCTTGAAAGAGATGGTAGAAAACTGGAACCCACTGCAGAGCTCAAGGGCTGATTATGCTGCCGATCTCAAATCCATCGGGGGTCTCTTGGGCTTGGAAAACGCTGCGGTCATCCCACAAGCGCGAGCATCTGCCACCCCCTACGAGAGTATGATGTACAAGATATGGCTCCCTCATGTCTCTCGATCGGTACGCGACTGGAATGTCAGAGATTCGGATCCCATGATTGCTGTCTACGAGGCCTGGCACTCGGTTCTGCCTGGCTTTGTCAAGACATACTATCTGGAACAGGACATTGTGAGAAAACTGGAGGACGCCGTTGCCAAGTGGGAACCGAAGCGGAAGAAGCACCACAGCCTACCGCATCTCTGGCTCTTCCCATGGCTTCAGCATTTGCCTTACCACCATCTAGACCCGAAGAGCTCCACCGGCTTGGTAGCTGACGTGAAGCGGAAATTTCGGCAGCTGATCGATGTATGGGACTTCGACCGCGGGGTCATTCCAGGCCTGAAAGAGTGGAAGAATGTCCTACGGCTGAGCAAGGCAAACGACCAGTGGACACCGCTTGTCCTGAACCACATTTTGCCCAGCATGGCGCGCTACCTGCGCAAGAACTTCAGTGTACAGCCCAGCGACCAGGAGCCTTACCTCCAAGTGCTGACTGGGGTGCTGGAGTGGCGGCACGTCGTGTCACCGACCATGGTCGCAGAGGTCATCGCCGCAGAAGTGTTCCCGAAGTGGCATGACATCCTCTACCAATGGCTCGTTGACGAGGATGTCAGTTACGAGGACATTGCCCAATGGTGCGAGTGGTGGCATGACGCAGATGGGCCGCTTCCAGCCGAGATCAGGGATACGGGCTCAGTCGCCTCGGAATTTGAAAAGGGCTTGCACACCATCGAGCGCGCGCTGGACCTCTTTGATCTCGGCGAGGACCCGAAGGCCGCATTGGCACCGCCCACAAGCAGCCCTGCTTTCACACAGCAACCACCAACAAACGGTCAGCGCCAGCAGTCACGTCACAATCGTCATCACCACCAACACCCTCGTCAACACAGCAACCATGTTGCCTCTGGTACGGATGGGGAGAAGCGCTCTTTCCGTCACGTGATTGAGGACTGGTGCCAGGAGAATGACCTGCAGTTCATCCCTGAGCGCAAGCAACATCACAGTGAAGGACCCTTGTACAGGATCACCGACCGCGGGGATGGGAAGGGTGGTAAGCTCGGATATTTCAAGGGCGATAAGCTGTGCTTGCTTGTCAGGAATGGTGTCGAGGAGATTGGCGAGTCGGAGAACGACTTGGAAAGGCTTATGACGCATGTGATGTAGACCACAGGTCACGAGCACATGGAGATTATTTTTCAAAGGCCGCCTGGGTTCAGAATGCACAGAGCAGAAGGTGGAGGCTGAAGCTGCTGTGCGGGATACTCGCGAGTCGTTTGGGTGGTAAGCTGAGTGGCAGCAGGATGGTGCGGAGAACATCTTGTGTTGGAAACGAGGAAATGCATCTAGGAATTTCTGGAAAGACCTCCAGTTCCGAGCCAACCGGTCTCGACACTAAAATGTTCATATCACATCGGTACGGGAAAACCTATTCCCAAAAGCAACAAGTCTCTTTGCTGACTGCGACTCGTATCATCTGTGCTCGTGTTCTGTTAACAAACACTGTCCGTGACTAACACATCTGACCGGATCGGAAGTCGGTGCGCTGACTGTATTCAGCAGTCCTCACACGGATATTGGACTAATCAGGCCATGTCGGTCTCTCTTCACTCTGGCGCCTTGCCCTCTGTACTGGGCTCCCTCTGGTTTGTGGCGCGCTCTGGTTTTCCACTTCCACTACTTCTCAGTCAGCGGCGGCCGCGTTCGGCGTTCGGCGGTCTATTGTTGAGTGTATTATATTCATGTAAGTGCGTTGAGAAGTTCGGCTCCTTGGCGATGATGTCTCAGCCTCCATAGAGGTGAGTATGTATGTAAGATCAAACCAGCCCGGGAGAATTCCACTGCTTCCGGGAACCTTATTCTTACCTTCAAGATTGGGGGGGAATATAAGCACTATTACTTACACATTGGCTGCCACCAGCTAATAGCCCGGAGTGTCGACTACTCTCTTTGTGCCTCTCTATCTCACGATCGATTTGGACCCCAGATCAGCTGCTGCTGACAATGTTCGTATTCTGAGCAATTTCTTGATCCATCTCGATGCATTTGTTCAACATTCTCGGTTAAAGGTTTGAAGAACTTGGTCCAAGGGAAGAAGACTTGGCAATAGTTTCGAACTCGGGAGGTTTTCACGCGAGACAAAGTCAAGTCTGGAACTTGGGAACATAGAAGGGCCTCGGCCGGCTGGAGTTCTCGTATTGTGAAAACAAGCTTGGCATATGCTTAAAGCTAGAACAAGCTGTCGCCCGTAGGGCTGAGATAAACGGGTCACCAAGTCTCTGGGGAAGCTTTTGCTTGTTCCCTCTTTGCTCAGCCATCGTCCCTGTCGGCCCGGGGGTGGATGAATGTCACGTAGCATAACGAAAGGATGGACAAAGTGCAATATCGTACGCAGTCTTGGCAAAAGCCTTAGTTTCTGACTTGTTGGTATGATCCTGCGCGAAGTCTTTGAACCTTCTATTCTGTTTGGCTGCTTGATGGCGCTGATGTCACTTTGTCAGGATGTCGGTCGTATGCCGGTGAAGGGCACGCACCATGAGGAGGAGCAGCTTGAGGGCTTCGGAGTGTATTGTCCCCTCAGCCTCGCCTGAACGAGCCACCTGACCTGTTGCATACGAAGGTGTAGAGGTAATATTTTCTACCTGAGATGGAAGAACTGAGGATGTCTGGACGTGTATATAAGAAGAGGGTCTGAGGACCGTTGTTGTTGATCCTTTTTCACTTCGAAACCATCACCCGATCAGATCAACACAAGTATAATCAGCCTCTTCAATATCACTCAATAAATAAGTCTTTTACTTTTCTTCCCCATAAATCAATTGTCAAAATGCAGTTCACCACCGCCATCCTCGCCCTTGCCGCCGCCGTCTCTGCGGCTCCCAACCTGTCCTCCCGCGGAGAATGCACCTTCGGCCAGTATGAGTGTTCCGCCGATGGTCGGTCCATCATCCAATGCGACATCGCAGGCAACTGGATCGTAAGTCTCTCTCTCTCTCTCTCTCTCTCTTTCTTTGTCTCTTTTCCACACTCCTGTCACCCACTGTTCCCATTACCTCTCTTCCTTGCCCCAACTCCCTTCTCTTTTATTGAACAGTCTGGTAAAACTAAACCCTGAGACAGACCGTCGGACCTTGCCCCCATGGTGACTACTGCGGCTACTCGGATGAGAACGACCTCCCCTACTGCTACGGCCCCAAGAAGGAGAAGCGCGGCAACTCTCCTCCCTACTGCACCACCCCAGGCACCTACTCGTGCACGCCCGACGACAGAGGTATCAACGTGTGCAACGCGGAGAACCAGCTGCTGTTCAACGGGGCGTGCCCGAAGGACACGCACTGCGAGCCGATTGCTTCGGCTGGGGGTATTCCCTTCTGTGTTGAGAACACTTACTAAAGGAGTGGCATGATGAGGTCGACAGAGGCGACGGGAAAGAGAAGAGACAGAGGTCATGAGTTGAGAAATCTGTAGGGTGGACTTTTATCTTTTGACACAATTCGCTACTTTCATTAATACACTTTTTTCTTAATTCTTCTAAATCATGTGCAATTGTTCATGCCCCTCAATTTGTGAAGCAAGAGACACTATTGAACGCAGACCGGGAATGATCAAGAGAGATTCTTGGAATGCAGGTTGAACCTCGCAAATGCGCGCGCGCGAGAGAGAGAATTATATGACGAAATCAACGGAATGACAAGCATGTAGGTCAAACACCTCAGATCATGCCCACTAATACTTTGGTGGTTCATAATCATGGCAGCACTATCAAATGTTTTGGGTTGGATCATCTTCTTCACATATGTCAAAACTCATGTTCTCTTCGGTATCTGTATTTGCTTATGTCAGGGAGGACAAACGAGCCCCAAACACAACACGATTTAGAAAGCATTAGCACAACTCTTCAGTGACATGGTGAGAATTGACTGGAGGGAAGGACCAAATACCATCTGGTAAGAATGACAAAATAACCTACATGAAATACATAAGACTACTGAATAGAAGACCTCGTGGGATGGCATTCTTTTACCAACGTTATTAAATAACCAGAATCCAATCTAACAAGTTGAGTCTTTTGGGGGCTTTGAGGTTTGACAGGAATAGTGCACAAGCAGCTGAGAGATCTAATATGTCGTACTTGTTTTCCAACTTGTTACTCCAAGAAGATTGAGCTGCTCATATACTTATATGGCGGAAGCTGATGTGGGGTTCTGGCCAATATCAGCCTTCCCATGTCCAACCATGCCTACATTGATCTCCTTTTTTCTGTCTCCCCCACTTTCAATCAATTTGATAGATACAAGACTGCTCGTTATTTCAACCGTAGGAGTATGATCCCCCAATACTATGTTGATGATCACCTCATGAATATCTCAGCCTGCAAGTCTAACGCCGTTGACTACTAGTATACTCCAGTTCACACCACGCATGATGAGCGCACAGGCGACTACAGCCCTCGAACACCTCGAGCAACATGCCAAGACGACTGTCAAGGCTTCGGCCCTCCACGGAGGCACATTCACACTGCCATTGCATCTGTTCATCCAAAATGTCTCGAAAACAGACCGCAGCCTTGTGTCGTCCTTGTCCTTCCTTCTTGTCCACGAGGACTCTAGCAGCGGTCCGAAGAACATCTTGTTCGACCTAGGTCTCCGCCGAAATCTACAGGAGTATATCACACCGATCAGGGAGCACCTGCACACGAGACAGCCCATGAGCACCTCACCAGATGTCCAACAGAGTCTGATCGATGGCGGTGTGCAACCTTTGGACATCTCACACGTCATCCTCAGCCACGTGCATTGGGACCACACCGGCACGCCAGCTGATTATCCGCAGGCTCAGTTTTGGGTTGGGAGCGGGGCCCTTGACGTCCTCAAGAACGGACTGGGCGGAGGCCTGGGACACCAGCACTTTGAGAGCAAGCTCTTCGACGGGCTGAACGTGAGGGAGTTTGCAAGCACCCCCGTCTTATTATCACATGACGGCCGCCCAGAGGTGGAGGGAGAGAGGAACAGCGGCTGGGGGAAGATTGGCGACCTTTGGATGTACGACTTCATCGGTGACGGGTCAGTGTATGTAGTGGATGCACCGGGCCATCTGCCGGGGCATGTTAACCTCCTGGCGCGCGTTGGGAAAAAGAGATGGATCTATCTTGTGGGAGACGCCTGTCACGACCAGCGCCTCCTGACGGGCGAAAAGGCGATCGCAGAGTGGACGGATCCGGAAGGGGTATTCTGTTGCATTCATACCGATAGGAAAGAGGCTGAGGCTACTCTTGCACGCATTCGGGATCTTCAAGCCGCGGCGAGAGAGAATGGGTTCCAGCTCGAGGTGATTCTTGCGCATGGTAGAGACTGGGCGGAAGCCCATGCTGGGGCATTTCTACCTGGTACAATCTAGGGTTTCAGGTATTATTTACACCGGCTTCTTAGGACGAAGCATCAACTTCCCATCAAAGACAGTAACATCTCTCGAGCGGTACCGTGTTTGGAAAGAAATATCAGGATGGGTGTCTACAATAATAAAATGACGATAACTCCTCGTGTTAATATGAACAGGGTGACATGACATGCTTCCCCAGGTCTAACAAGCATTCCAAGAGGCCTTGTTTTTCTATGTCTAACATGGTCTCCACGAGAACACGTTCGCCGTCATCTGCTACAGAACAGCGTCCATCTACATGTAACTCATTGCCACTTGCCGAGAGGAGGAATGAGTTCCCTTGGCATGGAGAGCTACCACTGCGAGCGTGCGGAGATGGGTGATGAACCGGCGGGGAAACTTGAGATCACTGTGTGCACCTTTACGTGGGACAATGGTCATGCACTCGGCATTGGAAGTGCTGGCCGACCACTGCATCTTCTCCAAGGGGCAATGCTTCTCCGCCAGCACTCCAACCACTGTCCAAAGATCTGAGCATTTCACTTAGAATTGCAAGGTGGATCAAGTTGACTTGGTCCTGTGATATTTGACACATATCATCATCGATCTATACTATCATCTAGTATTCAACATAGTTCAAGATGAATCAAGAGCCTTTGTTTGTTGGCTTCATCGGTCTAGGGACCATGGGCTTCCCAATGGCGAGCAACCTAATTACCAAATTACCTGACGGGTCCAAGATGTACATCTACGATGTCTCTGCGGATGCCATGAACAGATTTAAAGAAAAACATTCAGAGTCGGTCATCTCCTGCAGCTCATCAAAGGAGGCCACTGAAAATGCTGTAAGTCTAGCACTTGTTCTCACAAACACTAATAATCACCGCCTCAAGAAATACAATCACCTGCTGTTGGCGAAACCAAGGATACAGCAAAGGAGAGAGGAAAGGAAGACGAAGAAGAAACCATCCCAAATCTAACCATTACCAGACCACCGTCTTCACCATGGTCCCCGAAGGCTCCCACGTCCGCGCCGCATTCTTAGACCAAGAAAACGGGATCCTCGCCGCGAGCCCAGCACCCAGACACCTCGTCGACTGCTCCACCATAGACAGGGAGACATCCCTCGCCGTCCTGGCCGAGACCCGCCAGCGCCACCCGCAGGCCACCTTTGTCGACGCGCCCGTGTCAGGCGGAGAATTGGGCGCGCGCGAGGCCACGCTCACCTTCATGGTCGGCTGCAGCGAGGACGCCCCGGCGCTCCCTGCGCTGCGCAGCCTGCTGGGCCTCATGGGCCGGCACGTGATCCCCTGCGGCGGACCCTCGCTGGGCGTCACGGCCAAGCTGACCAACAACTACTGCTCGGCCATGATCTCGCTCGCGACGGCCGAGGCCATGAACCTGGGGATGCGCGCCGGCATGGACCCGCGCCTGATCCAGCGCGTCTTCTCCCGCAGCACGGCGCAGTCGGCCATGTGTGACAGGTGGAACCCCGTGCCGGGCGTGTGTCCTGCCGCGCCGTCCAGTCATGGGTACGAGGGCGGGTTCAAGATCCAGCTGATGCGTAAGGATGTTGGCCTGGCGGTACAGGTGGCTGAGGATGTGGGGGCGAGGCTGGTGCTGGCGGATTGTGGTTTGAAGGCGTATATTGAGGCCAGCGAGGATCCGAGGTGTAGAGACTTGGACTCGAGGGTGATTTATCGTTTCTTGGGGGGAGAGGAGGACTGGGAAGAGAAGAAGAAGAAAAAGCTGGAGAAGGAAAGTAATAATTAGAGGAGAGGATATTGCTGAAAGAAGAAACCTACATGTAATTCATTCAATTACAGACTCAGTAATTAAGTATTTTACATTACACCAACAACTATCTTCATGACCCAGATCACACTGATTTTCTTTCCTGAAATAGTAGCGCATGTAGAATCAGTTACGATCATTTCCTCCAAGTTGTGATCATACGCTCCAGGACTTGCCGAAGCCCCCGATGGTGAATTCTTCTGTATGCCGTGTGAGGGGAAACAGACTTCAAGTGTGTACTATGTGCAGAAAGACGTCAGTCCATGTACGAGAAGTGCGGAGTCAAGCAATTCATGCATGGAGAGACTAAAAGGTTCCGAACATTAGAAGACTGGAACATCTTATGAACACCTGTATTCTTTGGACTTGACCATTCCGTCCAAGACTGGAATAATTTATCACACTCAACAGCAAGAAAACCCCTTTTTTTTTCCTCGGCTGACCCTTACGAGCAATCTGTACTACTTCTTCCTCAAACACATCACAATGAGCTCCCCCAACAACCCAACCGACGCGGCCAAAGCGGCCCAAGCCACCACCAGCCCCTCCAACAACACCACTACGACCCTCTCCGACGCCCACAAAACCCTCTTTGAAGAAGGCCTCAGGGTACGGCGCGAGGTGAACGGCTCCCAATACGTCGACACGGCCCTCAAGACCAACCTCACCGAGTTTAACCGCCCCATGCAGGAGCTGGTGACCGAGGCCTGCTGGGGCTCCGTGTGGGCGCGCGGCGAGGACGTGCTGGAGAGGAAGACGCGGTCGCTGCTCAACGTGGCTATGCTGGTGGCGCTGAACAGGTCCACAGAGCTGGCAACCCATGTGCGGGGGGCGCTCACCAACGGGGCGAGCGTGGAGGAGATTCGGGAGACGTTGCTGCAGGCGGCCATCTACTGCGGCATGCCGGCTGGGCTGGAAGGGTTCAGGGTGGCGGAGAGGGTGATTAATGCGGCCAAGGAGAATTGAGTGCCAGCTTGCCACGGTTGATCGAATATTGAAGAAATACCTAGGTAGTGTCCTGGCTTGCTGAATGAAGATGTGAGTGACAAGAATGGTTTGAAACGACTTGGTCTATTATCAATTCTATCCATGCTAGCCAGCCTTTCTGGCAGTCAGCCAATCAGCCAATGGTTTAGAGTTTTATCACGTTCTTGAGGTTCTGCCCGGCCAGAAACCTCCTCAGGTTCTCCGTGATCAGGACCTCGGCGCCCTGTGGCCTACCACCAGCGGCGTGAGGGCTGACCAGGCAATTCTTGACCTTCCAGAGCTTAGAGTCCTTCGGCAGAGGCTCCTTGTCAAAGACGTCCAGCGCGGCGCCTCCAATCTCTTCCTTGGACAGGGCCTCGTACAGTGCCTCCTCGTCGATACATATACCCCGGCCCACGTTGACCACCCACGCGTGCTTGGGCAGCAGGGCCAGCCTCTCCTTGTTGAGGGAGTGCTTGGTGGACTCGTCGCCCGGCAGGATCATGACCAGTGCGTCCGTCGTCTTCAGCACCTCGGAGAGCTGGTCCTCGCCATACACCTCATACCCGTCACGGACGCCGGGCTTCCTCGCCACGCCGCGCACCGTGGCGCCCAGCGCGACCAACCACGGCGCCAGCGTCTTGGCGATGTTGCCAAAGCCCCAGATGGTCACGGTGGCGTCGCGCAGCGTGGTGAACTGGTCCTTGGGTCGGTCCGGCTGGGGCCCACCCAGGTGTTGGGGCCACTCGCTGCGGAGCTGATATTCGCGCATCTCGTAGAAGCGGCGGGCGGCGTTGAGCAGCATGCCCAGGGTGTGCTCGGCGACGGTGTGGTCGTGGAGACCCGACCCGGTGCAGATGACAATCTTGTTCGGGTCAAAGCCCGCAGCGAAGACGTCGTTGGGACCCGCGGCGCATGACTGGATCCATTTCAGGTTCTTCATGCGCTTGGCGGCATCGGAGAGGTTGGCGGCTGAGTTGGTCCAAGTCACGAGGAACTCGGCGTCGATAAGATCCTCGGGGATGAGCTCCTTGACGTTGTAAGGGTGGATGGTCACGGGAAAGCCCTCGATGGACTGAATGTCGAGGACGAGCGACCTGTTGCAGGACTCTGGTGTGGGCACGAGGAGCTTCATCTTGGCTTGCCGCTGCTGTTGCTGCTGCTATCGTTGGTAGGGGGAATGGGAAGAGGATGGTAGACGTGTGAAGGTGGACGAGTGGGAGACCGAGAGTAGTTGCTGGAGAAGCAGGTTGATGGTCACAAGAAGAAGGTGTCTATATGAGCCCCTTTGGTGTAGGAAGAGAGAAAAGAGGAAAGAAGAAATAAAGGAAGAAATTGGGTGTAACACGAAACTCTCCAAGACGATGATAATTACTCAATGAAAGGCAATTGCCATGGAGGGGCAGCTATTTACCGTGTGCTACCAAAGCAAGTACGATGGAGGGGCAAATCGGCAAGCATACTGAGGAAAGCGCGGGGGTTGGCGTGGGATAGAGTGGGGCATAGCGGGGCACCACGGACTTGAACCTGTTGGAGAAGGCCCTGAAGCGCTGCGATGTTCGGCCCTGTTCCGGCAACGTTCGCCCTGGAGCTCGGAACCCCCAGGCCAGGCCTATATTTATTGGAGACCAAAGTTTCCTCTCCATCGGGGGGATAATTCATTACCCCCTCGGTTTATTTCATAACGAGCCTTTGCATATAGCCTCTCTTCCTCCACAACAGGTTCCCTACTAATCTTCATCATATTTCATAGAAACAGTAGCGTCACTTCGCGTCAACTTCTCGAACGTCTCCCACGATGGCCGTTGGTAATTGAATGATACACACTGCCAAATGAGGCTGCTCATTACAGGTGATGAGAGGCGACATACAATTTTCAAATAGGGCCGCTGAGAGCTCAAGTATCAAAAAGGCTGTTGTGGTCATTCATACGTCTATAAAGATTGCATAATGTGATCCAATGACTGCATGTGTCAGCAGGAACGAAAGTTCTGGCTAAGGTCATAAATCCTGCACAATTTTCACAAAGCCATTATTAGAAGACAGGACTGGAGGGAACAAGTCGACGGCAAGACCCAGAATGCATTCCAGCCACGGCCAGTCCCGTGTGAGGCTCGAGCTAGCAATTCTTTCTACTGGATGCCTGCCGCGTAGATTGCCACATGTGTCAGCTCGTAGGCAAGTTGAAGCGACCCCCTTGGGGAGATTGTCACCCGGAAGTGCCTAATGTTTCTGAGCACGAACCATAGTAAATACAGAATGGACTCCCAGTTGTGACCTTACAGAAGTACTCAAAGCGTCACCGTGCCGCTGACCAGGCTCTAGCTCGGCCTTTTTCATGTCTTACTTGCAGACTTACCAATGACGATACTGACGGGGAATGCGTGTATGTTCTGGTTGGTTAACAATTGGCTCGCCCTGCCAATGACAGTACACTAGAATCTACAGTAGCTATTCGTTCAAAAGAATCCAATTGCAAGAGGATGAAACTTTCACAGTCTTGAGATTCTTCAGACTCACATGAATTGTGACTGGGTTGTTGACAATAGCAAATCAACATTCTTCCCATCTAGGTAGTCTCATTTGCCCCGGAGGTCCAAGGTCTGGACTCACAGACTTCCCACGGGTTCATCTGAGCCGCTGGGCCATTTAGATCCTTGGCAGTCTAGAGTGTCAAGAGTACTTAAGTATGTATGTATTTGTTTATTGTTACGAGCATGATTTGCCACACTGCCCGCGGCAAGCTGAGCCATGTGCCAATGCGGGAAGACAGCAAAGGGCTTATGTAGCAGTGTAGTAATCTTGAGAAGCAATATCAGAACATTCCTGTCATCCCCTCGAACCTACAATACCATAGAAAGTATTCCTACCAAGGGGAGAAAATCAGCTTGGCCTGATCATTTCGTAGCAAAGAGTACAACAACATTACCGGAACTCATCTGGCACTGGAATGTCTCATCAACTGATAGCCTACCATGATTCTTGACCGATACATAAGTAACCTCCCTCCAAGACGTAGAGAGGCCCGCCTAACGCGTCGTGGCTTGTGGCCACCGCAATCCCAACGAGCGTTGTTTTGTTTTCAGCATGAGATTTTCTGATGACATTAAAGTATAAAGTTGGATACATCCACACAGTCCTCGTTGCTTTTTATCCCCCTTGCTCTCCAGTTTCTATGCGAGTTTGTTAACAGTGGTACTTACATCCTTCTTTAACGAGCATCTCTAGGCCTCAGGAAAGACTCGAACCATATTTTTTTTTATTTTTTTTATTTTTATTTTTTTTTAAAAAAAAACCCCCATCATCATGCAGACCATACCCCTTCTCCTATCCTTTCTTTCAGCCGCCTCGGCGACAAAACTACTTCTGCCTCTTTACGTCTACCCGACGAAGGAAGGGGCCGCATGGAAGCCAGTCTATGAAGCCATCGATGGCAACCCCGATCTTGAATTCCAAGTCATCCTCAACTGTAACAACGGGCCCGGCGGAGACACCCCAGGCTACAACAACGACTGGCAGCAAGCAGTTGGCCTCCTCAATGCCTATCACAACGTCCAAACCTTGGGCTACGTGTACACCTCTTACGGCGCCCGGGCCACGGACGATGTCGTGACGGACATCCTGAACTGGGCCAACTGGAACACGGAGGAAAAGAACGACCTCACTGTGGACGGCATCTTCTTCGACCAGGTCCCCGCCGGCTGGGACGGCGACGGCGGCCCGAACGACCTGCCGTACATGGCGAACATCACTGACTGGGCCCGTTCCGCCTTTGCGGCCATCGACGGCTCCCAGGTCATCTACAACCTCGGCACCGTCTCGAACCACCCAGAGTACTTTGACGGCACCCTGGCGGATGTGGTTCTCGTCGACGAGACCCAGGCATCCGACTTTGATCCCACGCAGATGGCCCTCGTTATTCCCGAGGGCAAGGCGGCGAGGACGAGCTGGCTGCTGTATGACTTTGCCCGGGCGGGCCTGGACAGTGATACCCTGGAGGAGTGGCTGGGTGCTTTTGTCGAGGCTGGTGTGGATAGTGTCAACATCCTGGATTATGATTACAACCACGCCACTACGGTGGACAACCCAGCTGCCCTTGGCATGGTGGCGGAGATCCTGACGAATTTGCAGTAGTGATTGGCACGAAAAAACTCTTGCCATCACTGCTTATGGAGGGGAAATGTTTCATGGATAATTATTATGAATGGTTACGATACATGCATGGAAAAAAAGCCCTGCTGTTGATGGTACACGTCCTGGGTTGAGTTTGCCCTGTGTTATTATACTTTGATGGCTGAGTTCCAGAACAAAATTCTTGAGACATCGAGATGGAGACTTTAGTAATGTGTACATGCTATTCTTACTATACCTCGTAATCAAGACCAGTCTTGGATTACTGCTTCTTTGAATCGTCACTATCACCATGCATCTTCTCCGTTTTTCTCTGGACTTTATGTGCAGTGGTGCAATGATCCACCTGGGCGCCTGACCGACTGGCTATATTGCAGAAATTGTGGACGATGGCGACTAATTATCAACACTGCTAGATATAGGACGGATGTCCTCATGCTTGTCAAATGCCATCTTCGAATCTATGATCACTGCATCCATCATGTCACAGAATTCAATCATTGTTACAACGAATACATCTTTGCGCAAGAGGAGGTGGTGAATTTGGTATATACTCGCCCAGGTGGAGCCGAAAATCATTGAATAGTACATTATGCTCAAGTACATATGTATTTAAGTTATGATAGATAACCAAAACACTAAGCAGTTATATCGCCATCGTAAAGGGTTTGTTGATTCTTGTTGCTCCTCCTTACATCATGAGCATCACAGGTTCGAAAGCCACCTCAACCTCAACTCACACATGGTCTTTTGATATTAGCCTTTACTGCAAGGACCAGCACTCCGCATGCCCCAATCTGCAGGCACCCTGGCCATGATTACAGGCATCATCTTCATCGTTCGCCCCACTGTTCTGTTTTTCCCCAGCAACAAGGTCTGGGGGAATGCAAGCGACCCTGCCAAACCCGCCTCGGTTCTTTCGCCCGGGGGTTCCTATTAATTCCACCAGCCAGCGATCAACAAACATGCGTTAGCAGCCCTCGATAGTGCGGTTGCTCGGAACGTCCACCCGCAACTAAGGAAAATGGGCCGCGAGCAGCACAGAGAGAAGGAGAGAAATGGGGTCTTGGTCTGCATGGACTTTCGTCATGGGGTGAAATTGTGCTCTTTCTTTTCGTCGGTGAAGGGACGATGATTTAATAAGGTGAGGCCTGGCTCCGCTTAAGTGATGAGGAGTGCCACCGACTCTTGCCCAAGGTCTGTCTCCTCCTCTTCCTCTTCCTCTTGGCAGCCATCGAGCCTTGTTTTTTTTCTTTGGACCTCACGCTCGTGAGGCTCCAGCATCAAGAAGATGGTGACATTCAAATGGGTCACAACAGCGGCGGTGGCATCGCTATGTATTAGCATACAAGTGCTCGCAGCAGCCGTTGGAGGCAGCCAGCTCACGATCCTGGACCCTGGGAGACGAGATGCGCTTCAGGATCTGGTAAGTGACTTGTTCATTGCTCAATTGATTATACTATGAGAGGGTATATTCTGGTGACAACAAGCTCATGGATTATTAGGTCACCTGGGACGCTTACTCCCTCTTTGTGCGTGGCGAGCGCATCATGTTCTATTCTGGAGAGTTCCACCCATTCCGGCTCCCGGTTCCGGGGCTGTGGCTGGACGTCTTCCAGAAGATCAAGGCCCTCGGCTACACGGGCGTTTCCTTCTACGTTGACTGGCGCCTGCTCGAGGGTACACAGGGCGACTTCACCGCCGAGGGCGTCTTTGCGTTTGAGCCGTTCTTCGAGGCCGCTGCCGAGGCTGGCCTGTACCTTCTCGCCCGGCCAGGGCCGTATATCAACGCCGAGGTCAGCGGGGGCGGGTTTCCAGGCTGGCTGCAGCGACAGCCTGCCATCCTGCGGACCAACGAGAGCGGGTATGTCGACGCGACCAAGAACTATGTGGCGAATATCGGCAAGATTATTGCCGATGCTGAGATCACCAATGGAGGTCCCGTGATTGCCATGCAGTACGAGAATGAGTACACGTACGGCGCATCCTGGATCGAGTGGCCGGATGTCGAGTACATGACGGAGGTGGTCGAGCTGTTCCGCGATGCAGGAGTGACGGTGCCTTTTGTCAACAACGAGGCGAGCCCCATTGGCTTGTTCACGCCTGGTGAGCCTGGTGGGCCGGATGTTTATGGATTTGACAGCTATCCCATCGGCTGGACATGTGAGTTGAAGTATTTACAAGAGCCCATCCAGAAGGGGACCGCAAGACTGATGCAACATGTCTGACAGGCAGCGAACCTGAGGTATGGACTGCTGGTGCCCTTCCAACTGACTTTCGAGAATTGCACCTCGAGCAAAGCCCATCGACATTTCTAGCTCTGCCTGAGTCACAGGGGGGTGCTATTGCTTACTGGGGTGGTTCTTGGGATCTCGACCAGTGTGCTGCTTTCATAGGCCCAGAGGCCGAGAGAGTGTTTTACAAGAACTTCCTCAGCTTCGGCATGGGTATGTTCAACCTCTACATGGTACGTAACGACAACTCCCATCATGATCTGCTCTATGTAGGGCAAGTCCTGCTTTAGTTGCTCATCTACTGATGAACGAGTACCAAACACCACAGACATATGGAGGAACCAACTGGGGCAACCTAGGACAACCAGGTGCCTACACATCCTACGACTACGGAGCAGTAATCAAAGAGGACCGCACAATCATCCGTGAGAAGTATCCAGAAGCAAAACTGATCGCTCAATTCGTCAAGGCCTCGACGGCTTACCTGACAGCCACGTCTGGAAACCTGACCAACACCTCGTACGTCAGCACGCCCGACATCTCAACCACGCCCCTCTTTGGCAACGTGACCAACTTCTACGTGACTCGGCACTCTGACTACACCTCCCTCGACACGACTGCGTACACCCTCACCGTCCCCACCAGTGCTGGCAACGTGACCATTCCGCAGCTTGGAGGAACGTTGACTCTCGATGGGCGCGACTCAAAGATCCAAGTTACAGACTACGACGTCAGTGGCTATAACCTGGTTTATTCGTCCTCAGACATCTATACCCACGGCACCAGCGGCGAGAAGGCTGTCCTGTTGCTGTATGGAACAGCTGGTGAGACACACGAGCTCGCCTTCTCCTCGAAGCTGGGCAAACCTACAGTCGAGGGCGACAGCTCTACGGTCAAGATCGAGACGGTGGGATCCACAGTTGCCGTGCAGTGGGAGGTCACAGAAGAGAGAAAGGTGCTGCACTATGGAAGCAATCTCGACGTGTATCTGCTGTGGAGGAACGATGCCTTCAACTACTGGGTGCTGGAACTCGAGGCGGCGTCTCCCATCGCCAACTACACCTCGCAGACCAAGGACACCGTCATTGCGAACGGCGGATACCTGCTCCGCACGGCTGCCAAGGTGGGCACATCGCTGTACCTCACTGGCGACCTGAACGAGACCACAACGCTTGAGATTGTCGCGGGCGTCCCCGGCTCCAACAACATCTACTTCAACGGCGCCAAAGTATCCGGCGTCAAGTCTGCAAACGGCCGCCTCTCTGCAACGCTGACATACACCCCACCAACCATCGACGTGCCTGACCTCTCGTCGCTGGACTGGACATACATCGACTCCCTCCCCGAGATCCAGTCCTCGTACGACGACTCGGCGTGGACCAGCGCCAACCACAACCACACCACCGACGACGCCCGCGACGACTGGGGCACCGTCTTCCAGCTCCAGACGCCCACCTCGCTCGTGGCTGGGGACTACGGCTACCACACCGGCTCGCTCATCTACCGCGGGCACTTCACCGCCCAGGGCAACGAGTCCTCTCTCTACGTCGAGACCCAAGGCGGCTCTGGCTTCGGGCACTCCGTGTGGGTCAATGCTACGTATCTCGGCTCCTTCAACGGCGCTGGTGTGCCGGCTGGGGTCAACCAGACCCTGACGATCCCTTCCGGTGCGCTGGCGAGGGGTGAGACGTATGTCATCACCATCCTCATCGACCACATGGGCGAGGAGACGAACTGGACGCCAGGGTACGACCTGATGAAGACGCCCCGCGGGATCCTGAACTACGCACTCGCTGGACACCCGCAGAGCGACATCGCGTGGAAGGTGACGGGGAACTTGGGCGGGGAGCACTATGCCGACCAGACGCGTGGGCCGATGAACGAGGGCGGCTTGTTTGCAGAGAGGCAAGGGTATCATCTCCCCTCGCCGCCGAGCCAGGGCTGGGCGAGTAAGAATCCTGTTGCTGATGGGGTGGAAGGCGGCGCTGGGGTTGGCTTGTTTGCGACGAGCTTTGACCTGGATGTTCCCAAGGGGTGGGATGTGCCTATGAACTTTGTATTTGCCAACTCGACTGGTGGGGATGATGGTCCGGCGGACTATAGGGTGCAGTTGTTTGTCAACGGGTATCAGTTTGGGAAGTACAGTAAGTATTCATTCTCCTTTCTCCTGGGCACCGTCGAGTTGAACTTCATCGTTGCTGACTGTATCTCCCCCCTCTTCTTCTCTCTCTTCCTCTCCAGTCAACAATCTGGGCCCGCAGACAAGCTTTCCAGTGCCTCAAGGTATCCTGAACTATGCTGGCACCAACTACATTGCCCTGACGCTCTGGTCTCAGGAAGCTGATGGGGTCAAGCTCGGTGGTCTGCAGTTGGTGCCAGATGCGGTGATCCAGTCGGGTATTCAGGACCCTGGGCTGAGTCCCATGCCTGCTTGGACCAAGAGGGCTGGGGCGTATTGATTTCTCGTCCATAGGATATAGAGAAATCAAGTGATTGGCCGTAGTCACGTTTCCCCCATAATGGTGGTCTGCTTGCTGTAGTTCTGTGACAAGACAACCAGGCCTCATCATCTTCGTCTCTTGATATCTTCAGGTATATCAAACACCTTGCCAGGGTTCATGATCCACTGTGGGTCGACAGATCTCTTGAACGTCTGCATCAACCCAATCGTCTCCTCCCCCAGCTCGTCCACAAGACACTCTTTCTTGCCGATCCCAATCGCATGCTCCCCAGAAACGGTCCCCTCCATCTCCAGAGCCCGCTCCATCATATTGTGCACGACCCGACCGACCTGCGTCTTCATCTTCTCGTCCTCTGGGTTGTACATCATCGCCACGTGAAAGTTGCCATCGCCGACATGCCCAATGACGGTCGCGAATATGCCCAGCGAGCCACACTCCTGCTTCGAGATGCCGATTATCTCCGCCAGTCGCGACAGCGGCACCGCCACATCAGTAGACCAGATAACGGTCCCAGGTGGCCGCGTGCTCACCATGGTGAACAGAGCTTCCTTGCGTGCTGACCACAGGTCGTGCTCGTCCTGCTTCGTCTTGGCAAAGTGAAAAGGCACGTTCCCAGCAACGGACTTGACAATCTCCTCGACCCGCTGCACGTCGCTCTTGATCCCATCCGTAGTCCCTGAAAACTTGAGAAACAGCGTGGGCTTCTCCTCCCACTTTCTCCTGCGGACGGTCTCGCTGCCGTGCTCGTTCAGGAGCCGCATCTGGACGTCGTCCATGATCTCCAGTGCGCCCAGCTGGATGCCGCTCCGAATCAGCGCCGATGCCGCTTTAGCAGCTGAGGAGATGCTGGGGAAGGACACCACGGCGACGGACGTGTCTGCCGGTATCGGGGCAAGCTTCAGTGTGATCTCGGTCACGATGCCCAGCGTGCCCTCTGCACCGACAAACAGCGAATTCAGGTTATACCCCGCCGACGTCTTCCTCGGCCTCCTCCGCGTCTTGACGACCGTCCCGTCCGCCAGCACGACGGTCAGGTTCACCACCCAGTCCTTCATGGTGCCGTAGCGCATGGCGTTGGTCCCGCTGCAGTTGGTCGAGACCATGCCGCCAAAGGTAGCGGTGGGCGACGGGTCCATGGGGAAGAACAGGCCCGAGCCCGCAATCTCGCGGTTGAGGTCCATCCAGTTCACGCCCGGCTGCACCACGGCGTCCATGTCGTCTGGGTGGAAGGCGACGACGCGGTCCATCTGGGCAAAGTCGACGCACACCCCCGAGTGCGGTTGTGAGAAGTTTCCCTCTACTGATGAGCCTGCGCCGAAGGGGATCATGGGCACGCGGTGGGCGCTACAGATCTTGGCGATGGTGACGACGTCGTCTGTCGTGCGTGGATATGCGATGGCCACGGCGCGGACGGGACTGTTGGACGTGCTCCAGTCCGAGTAGCCGTGATGGTCGAGGGCTTCTTCGTCGAACGACACGCTGTCGGGGCCGAGGGCAGTAGAGATTTCTTGGGCGGCGTGGAGCATCTCCTCTTTTGTAGCATATATGCTGCTGCTGCTGCTGCTGCTGCTGCTCTTGCTCGCATGGCTAGAGGAAGATGGCTGAGCTGTCGTGGTCGTGTGCACGTAGAATCCTCCAACGAGGCCCAAGCCGAGTCCCAGTCCTATGAGGCCGAGCTTGGGCCCAACCTTTGCTTCCTGGCCTTGAGGCAGCCTGCCTGGCTTGTCATGAGCCCATCTCTTCCATGGGTTGACATAGGTAACGCGGTATGTTCGTCTAGAACGAGTCCATGCTCGACCGCCTTGTGATTCTGCACCGGCTGCTGGTGGTGACGACCAGTGGAGCGTCCGTTTCGAGGTGAGGCAGCTCCTAAAAAAAGGTCTGAGAGGCATCCTCTTCACCTTTATCAGTGGTGCAGACGCTGTCATCATCATCATCATCATCATCAGCTTGGACGTCACGTTACGACATGAGAAATGGCTTGCATGTCTTGGACGAGGGTTGAGGGTTTGAGAGTGGGGCGTTCGCTCCGATATCCGCGCCCCTCCCGCTACAAATACTTGTCTTGTCCGCCAATGTCAACTGCTGTGATAAGTGATTGTTCTGTGCGAGTGTATGTTGCTGTGAAGCTGTATTCATACTTGATCATTATAGAGGGGGAAAAAGGAAGTAAAGGAGGAACATTTATGCAAAGGGCTCGTGGACGAAGCGTGGTCCCGTAGGCCAAACCCTAACCTTCTTAATTTGCTTATGTAAGCTGATATATCAGACGATCAAAACACTTCCATTTGGCTCGCTGCCATAAGCTGTCACTCTGGCATACCTGCTCGTTTTGTTTGCAAGGGTGGGAAAGTTCATTGCTTAATTCCAAGAATCTTCCTCCTGTGGTATTTGCAATAAGGGTGGTAACTGCGATATACACAGCCTCACCCCTGCTCAGATGCAGAAAATCACACTTCCATATTCTGTTGCAGAGCAGAGTTCGATGCCGCTGAGGAGGGTCTTAAGTTCGTTGAGGAGAAAGCGAATCTTTATGTGCGAGCAAGGTAAGTTGTGAGCTGAACACTCACCACTATCAGACATAGACTTTCCCCATCAGTCCAGGCAATTGGTTCAAGGTTACCAAACACTGCTCCTATTAGCATGAGTCCTTTGTGTATCTTCAGGGACACCCCTGTTAATACAGTGTTCTTTACACTCGAGGTTTTCTTCATTGCCTGGAGATATCCAAAAGGTACTTTCCAATCAGACCATTATCTATCTTTTCCTCCACGAGCCATTGGGAACAGTTGATCTTTGATCTCGTCATAGTTAAGCATCTTGTTGATCTTAGACCCTCTCTAACAGATATCAAGACAGAGTTATCTTTCATTATTTTATTTGATCGCGCGAAATCGCCACAAATTTCCAATCTTGGAAAGCTGTTAGATCTGGCAGAGACCTCATCAAAATAGTACCCCCTATGAACAATTCTATGGACAGATGACAACGAATAAGTGAAGGCGTTCCTGAGAAAGGCCAGTGGTGGCATCGATGCAAAGAGAAACAAATACAAAAAATATTAAGTAAATTCAGATTTGTCATAGAACATAGACCTTCTATGCTTGGTTGTCTTCGCTTGCCGTTGGTGGGGTTAGATCTCAGTTAAACAACATCGTCTTTTTGACTCTTTCCCCCGAGATCCTCCTGCCCCCGGTCCATTTGCAACTGTCTTCAAATTTTTCACCTAGATGCTCTCATAATTTCTCTTTGGTCTTCCTGATCGATATCCCGTTATATTGCATCCTGACATTTAACGAAAATGTCCGGGATGAATGGCGACAGCTGTAGAAGTTTTCGTAGAACGAAGAGAACTGCAGCTTTTTCAGTCAATGAGTACACACTCAGTACTTAGAAAGTACTATAATCTATAAAATTCACCAGTTTAAGGTCCGATCGGAAGTGAAATTAGGTTCGAATCTCAAAGAAAGATGCTCACGATCAATCCGTAATATCACCAGAAGAGTTCAGCGGGACTTCTTCATATTCACACTAAATATTCTGACCGCACATATTTCCCATATCACTGTGAATGTGGTTTCAAGCACGTGGGAGATGGCCAATGCAATAGTCCGAAAGGTCATGGATATAGAAAGTCCAAGGTGATCACGCACATCTAGCGCACAGGTTGCCAGTCCGATATCTTGCTCCCTGAGGCTCAGCGAAGCTTTCTGTATATCTTAGAGGGTGGCGGTGTTGAGTTTGCAAGCTCCACAATCTGGAATTAGTTCTCAAAAATGTCAACGTTAACTACTTAAGTATGTATACAAATTTGGACAGAGCTACAACGTCATCTCAGAAAGACATACAGCAACAATACCAAATTGCCTCTGCTCGTGGCGCATAGGTTTCATGATTGTACACACTCGCCTCCAAAGCCCTGACTGAACCAGTCCAAACGCCAGTTCTGTATAATCATATCATTATTTCACCCCTGAACATCCCACGACCGACCGTCACTTTACCGCTATCCGCCCAGCACTCTTTTCCGAGACGTTGGAACGGCGACTTCGTAGGCTACCTGGGCCACCTTGATAGCCACAGTATTCCGCGAGTTTGGCCTGTGATAACAGACTGTCGGTTAGCCTTAGTACTCAACGTTCGCATCTGCTTGAGGACTCACAATATCGAAGGTTTCCGATGCGCTTATGATGTATACATTATTGCGCATCTGTTATCTAGGTTAGCCCTGAATCAAGCCCAAGTAAAACATGGGAACTGCATAATACCTGAATGCTAAATCCCGTCTTTCCAAGCGTCCTTGTGAGCCAGATTGGTAATCTTTTGGGATCCGGTACATATTTTGCCGAGAGTTCCTTGCTGACCTCGAACGCATCTTGACACTCCTCAGTGTGGGACATTGGCGGGGCGCCTGTTCTGAAGAAAATGAGCGCCTACAAAGACGGATATGGTGTGTAGGAAGAATTTGCTGAAAGCTTCGTGGGTGAGTGAACAGAATGACAACACCAGTGGATGCTAGGATATTGATTGGAAGGGGTGATATGACGGGAAACGAAATACACGTGCGGGAGAGGGGAACCCTCAAACTGATTAGTCTTCATATCATCTGACTGTAGTAGCTGAAAAAGAAAACTTGGGGGCCTAGAACGAGCGGATGGCCTCCCTTGCTGCCTCACTCGCACAAATTAAGTCTGAGGCGCAGGATCAATTTTCTACAGCCGATTCATGTCCTACGTGACTTCTGCACGCCACTCCTGCGGGTGACCCCCAAAAGCAAAGTGTAATCAGAAATGGGTCTGTGCAGAGCAGGCTCCTATGCTGAGGCACTTCGAAATGGAGGTCAGATCTGCCTTGGCAATACTGCGCCACTTCTCATCACATTGCGGGCGTTCTTGAAGCGCAGTCAGGGGCTGAAGGCCAGGGGGGGAGAGGCCTCGGTCACGGAAATGAGACGATAAGTATAAGATATGGACACAGGTTGCGACGAGGAAGGGTCTCAGCCTCAGAGACCATTCTATTGATTTCAACCAGATGACACGAGCCTTCGGGGTTGGTCAGCTTCCCGGTAGGTGTGGATGGTGGAAACCATCGACGCCGTCGCGGTGGCAAGATTTGGAAGGTAACATTTGTGCGATCTCTGGAGGATAATGAAGGGTGCGCCACCACCAAGAAAACACACGTCTTGCAATAATCTTTTCCTGTATTATTCAAAGCTTCCTGTGTCCTTCAAAGCTATGGGTAGAGTCATTACCAAGGGACGATATGACTTCTTCCAACGTATCTGTTCCTCCCCAGGCTGCAACACTGGCGCCCAAATGTTGCACTTGTGTGCCGTGATGGCTGCCATTATGAAGATCATCTGTGCGAGGGCCAGTGAGTCACTGGCCCAGGGCCGTGCACGGCCCCTCCAGCCAGCCAACAACCAGACCTGTTGATGGCCTCAGATAGCTGGCCTCGTGGCGTTTCTCTTCTTTTCTCTTTCTTCTTCAGCGCTCAGCAATGCAATCCTTTTGCCCTAACATAGGTTATGAGCCCTTTCGCTTGTTCCCTGATATATAAGCAACTCCATAGCGAATTCCTACTTCAGTGGGGGCCAACCCAGCCCTACTTAGGAAAAATCATCCGAACTACCATGATCAGATTACAGACCTGAGTATGGTCACTAAAAGGCCCACTTTCAGAGGCTCCTACATGCCTCGCCTTGGGCCCTGGGTATGGCCAATTGAGAAAAGACCCATCTTAGAGACTGATCAGTCTCGCACTACATTCAGTTCGGCCTCCCTAGTCTACTCTACAGCTTGATCATCTCTAGAGTAGAGGGGGGGTGTGTGAGTCCGACCGTTACGCAGCTATATAGGCCATAGTCCCCTTCCAGTCAGCGGGGAGTGGTCACTCCTTTTAGCTGTCGCATATCATCTCCATATCGGCAGTCCAGGATGTCCTTCTGTATGATACAGTGTCAGAGACTCAAGCTGGCAATCGGGTCAGCGTGTTTGCGAACCTCTGTCAATCGACTCCATGAAAGTAAATAGAACTTGTTGTTTCGCATCTTTGCAATTAAATGGACGTCAACTTGTCAGAACCACCTCAAAGGGCTCACCCACACACACACACACACACACAAACCTCAATATGATATCTTCCTTCACCAACCCTCTGGTTGAGTTTGTCGCGCAGCTTGTACGGGTCGATGAGTTGGCTGTCGATGATCTGCGTCGGGGGCTGGACGCCTGGTCGCTCTCCAGGATGACGTCCACGTCCGGACGTATGGCGCCTAAAGGTAGTTCAGCTGACCATTATGTGAAGGAAAATCGATACTTCAAGCCATTTATCAACTTACGGCATCTCAAAGTGTCAAAATAAGAGGGACACGAGGCTCTGGACCTGGTAATAAAGCGCTTGGAAGTGGGTGTGTGGTTGAGAGATGCGCCATCAATGCCTAGCACACACCTTGACTGGGGGCCGCCACATGCATGATGTGAGGGGTTTTCAGTCATGCCACCTATTTAAGTAGTCAGCACCCCTGCAGGTGCCATGTGTGACGCCGCTCCAAGCGATTGGGAAAGATTTGCGGTTGAGAGTAGCCTGAAAGATTGAAAGGTCTGCGCAATGTTCACCGTTCTCTACGGCATGAGGCGCGAATCGACGCTGGTGCGCGCGCAATGGGCGGCAATGGGGCTGAAAAATTGTCAGCATCAGCCAGCTGGCACCGGAAGGAATCAAGGGATGGCTTCTAAATAGATTTACTGCAGGGATAAATCACCAGCGGGTTCTTCTTGTGCAAGCCCTCATTTGAGGATGGGACCGAGCCTCACTTTCGAGGAGTGCATTTTCAGAGAGAAAAGGAAATCAGTAGACCTATCATTATATAGTCAATATAATCAGTCTCTCGTGTCCAAGACGAATGAAATTGTGAGGCTGCAAGACATATCCACTCTATTTGGCTAGGTGGCATGTACGAAGGCCTGATAGGCGGCGAGTGACCATGCACACTGCAGAAAGTCATAAGGCGAGTAACTCCTTCGGTTGATTCGCTCATCTCTGCCCATTTATTGACGCCCAACAGCCAAATGATTCACCTATGGTGACACCTTGCGCCAGCACAATCGGTCTTCCAGAGAGGTTACCAGAAACAGTAGAAGCGAACAACCCAGCACTGGCCACGTCTTGGGAAACCTGTACCAGCAGTGACATCTTGGACGGAGGAGACGCCAAGCGACTATACCTGAAAAGTCATCTGCTACGCGAAGCCCCCAAGGACGGAGTAGACCAAAACGCATTGTTGAGTGTTGGGTCAGGCTTCAACAATGACAACCCGGATACAACGATTGCACAAAGCAACGGGTTTCTTCTCTACGATCCTATTGAAGATGAATCCCTTGGATTGTTTGCAGTGCCCCATGAGTCCCCCGAATCTCTCGAAGACCCTGAACCACTCGAAGATGCGATCCGTCGCTGTACGCAAGTCTCATCGGGAAAAGACGATTCAAGGCCCTTCTTGCCAGTCGACGAATTGGATAAGCTCATAACTTACCAAGCTGTGTATCGAAACCTTCATCTGGCTTTCAGTCACAAAGATGCCAAGGAATTAAGCCTCCTGGCCCATGAAGTCTGCGATGAAATAGCCCTTTCCCCATCCAAGTCGGGAGCTTTGACCACCCGGAAAAGGATATTCGCAACATTAGTCTTGATCAACCAAGTCGTCGCTATTGGAGACTTCATCCAGGAGGGCTTATATGATATGCACCTTCCATTCTATCTTCCAGACCAAAAGCTCGACCTTCATGGCGACGTATATCGGCTATCAAACCCTGAGGAAGACAACACAAAGATACCGATTCCCTTGTTTTCGGGCTGGAAGAGCCTAGAGCGAGAGAACTTCGAGAAGTATCAGTGGCAGTTTTTGGCTCCCTTTTTTGACGTGATGTCAGGAGAGAATTCTCGACCCTTGCATTATGTTTTGGAGGACAGTCGTATCCTGCCCTTTATTGAGGATCTTGAGGGCAAGGGACCAGAGCCGGTAATCTCAGGGGGTTATTCAGAGGTTTGGCGCGTTAAAATCCATCCGGCTCACCACAGCAACTCCTCGGTAAGTTACTCATTCAATTCTTCCTGACCATAACTAACAGTATACATAGCAAACGAACCCTGATTTCGCAGTAAAGCGTCTCCGACCAAGTGACAGGAGTCTGGAGACGTTTAAAAGAGAAGTTGCAACCCTCAAAAGACTCAGTCGCCAAGATCATCTCTACCTCATGAGGCTACAGCTCACTTACCTGTGGCGCGGCAATTATCATCTACTATTCGACTGGGCTGATGGCAACTTGAAGAACTTTTGGGAAATGCATCCTAGCCCAGGAGATATTCCCCGGTCTCACGAATTCGCCATATGGGTCGCTGAACAGCTACTCGGTCTTACTCAAGGCTTGAAAGCGATACACTCGTGCCCGCCTGACTTGGCATTAGAAGACGGAGCTGGAGAAGACGAATATGCTGCAGAAAGAACCCGCGGACGACACGGAGACCTTAAACCCGAGAATATTCTATGGTTCAAGCAAAATCAGCAATTTCAATGCAATGACAACCAGCCGCATCATCTGGGAAGATTAGTAATATCCGACTTCGGCTTGACACAGTTCCACCGCCTTGTAACTGGTCGAGTGGATCCAGTCAATGTTGCCCGAACTCCAACATACAGGCCTCCGGAGTATGACATTGGCGATGAGATTACACAGAGCTTCGATATCTGGACTTGGGGCTGTGTTCTTCTTGAGTTCTCTATATGGTATCTCAAAGGATTCAAAGCTTGGGACGGGTTCTCTCGCGAGCGGACCGAAGAACACAAAAGCGTTCCTTTCAAAGAGGATGTTTATTTCAGCGTGGAGACAAAGGCAGCTAACGGACAGACATTTCCCAGCGCCAAGTTAAAGAAGTCCGTCGTCAAGGTGAGGTGCATAGTGCAACAGCGCGAACCCGTGGCTTGGGCACACTATCTCAAAGGACATCGAATAATATCGCGGACTGACTTTTTGCTTTTGTAGCAATACGCCAGACTTCGAGATGACCCAAAAATCTCGCAATTCCTTGTTGATGTTCTTGACCTGATCGAACTCAAATTGCTTAGGATGCACCCTGACGAAAGAGCGACATGCGACCAGGTAGTCGAGAAGTTGAAGACTATCCATGAGAAGTGCATACGCAGCAAGGAATACTCCGTGGAGCCTATTCCAGGCACCAAACCAAATCGTGTTTACACAGATGCCTCGGAGTTCTCTGTTCAACCAACCAACGATCGACCAGAAATGGACTCAGGAGACTCTGACGTTCGCTTCCCCCCCTTAGTGGACGAAGTAGTGGATCGAACCTCGAATGACACTGTTCAGTCACCGCCAGCCACTCCAAACCAGGACTTCGGACACAACGAAAAGGTGGTGAAATTCGCACAGGAAGATACCAACAAGATTTCAGTTTCCACCGGTGCTCCCAAAAACAAGACTGCAAGCCCGGGGAGTGACGACACATTGGCAAAGCGGCAAGGTCATCCAGAGTTGCAACCCTCAACGCCAACTAACGAGCCTTTGGAGTTAATCCAACATCAGAGTAAGACGGCGGGCCTTCAACCTGTAGCCGAGGACTTGAGTCAGCAGCACTTAGAGACTAGGAGGAAAGAGACTCAGGACGATGGGAAAGACAGGCGGAAGTGGTGGCATATTTTCATTTGCGGGTTTTGTTCCCGGGCGTGAAACCCCACGCTACGCCCTTGTACGTGTGACTGTATGCTTGTGCCAGGTGGATGGATCTGACATGTTCGCTCATGATTCTGGGACCCACTCGTTTTGAGAGATATATATGCGCAGGGTTCGATTCTACTATATAATGCAAGACTACGTTGATGAAAAAGTACATGCCAGGCTCTCAAACGAGAGCCTTTTCTTCCTCTTGTTTCTTTGGGCCTGTTCGCCGCCATATATTAAAATAATACCATAAACCAATCGTAAGCACAGTGCATACGACAGTGACGGTAATATACACCCAGATATAAGATGACACCTGTACTTGGCTGCTTCCACTGTTGTTGAACCAACTGAAAAAGCTCATCGAGAACACGCTCTGCCAGTCAGAATGAGTAAGCACACCTGGTTTTGTTGGGATCTCATCAAGGAATATAGGGGACTGAGATGCTCACCGCAAAAAAAGTTCCCGGTAAGAAAATCATGGTGACAATGGCAATGGACCGCATGTGTTTGGAGTCCCGTCCAGTGGCTAACGCGATTTCGACATTGGTTTCGCCTTGTGCCTGAAGATAATACCGTCAGCGTTGTGTAATGAGAAACCTAAGATCTAAAGCATTTTGTTCCCACCCATTGAGTTGCCATGGCCATGCCGTCTAGCCGCATCGAACAGTCCCGGATCTTATCGTCGTATTCATCAATTATAGCTTGAAGGCGACCGATGATCTTCCGCCCTGCTCTGCGCATCCGTATGTTCGAAACCAAGCCTACTATGGACATACTTTGGTACTCAACCTTAGGTTTGTCTGCAATTTTCTCCGTGTCACTTCCACAAGCCAATTCGGAGTTCTGTATCGCCTCTTGTGAAGATGCGGCATAATGCGAGAGCGCCGGAGGGTCTGGTCCATACCGAGAATTTTCCAACTCTTCTGTTTGCTTCACCATCTTCATGAGCTGGTTTCTCCAGCTCACGAGGCCATTCCTCAAATATGCTGTGTCAAGGTAATCGTCCCTTTTCTCTTGTTGTTGTCGTGCTTTCTCCTCTTCGAGGCTTCGACCATTGTTGCTCGAGGAGTAGTCCAATTCAAAAATTCGATTTTCCAGTTTGTCTATCATCCTCTCCACTGTTGCAACGTGCCTACTGCGTTCCAGTTCGGCAAAGATTCCTGCAAGGACCATAGGATGCGAGGCTTCCGGGATTCTTGTTCGCGATAATCTGCGGATAATCTCTGCTTCAATCGAGATGGGACAGCCGAACAGAATCGCAAAGGTCAGTCCTTTGTGTGGGAAGTGGGTCATCGTCAAGGCTAGATCCAACTCCCAGGCATTCGTAGTGCGACTATGGTATACTGCAGCACCTTGTGAGCTTACATCGACTGATACAGGTTTCGAGCCATGCTCATTGTTGGGATGAGTTTTATTCTATAAACATTGAACATGGTGGCATCTCGTCCCTTACCTTCTGTCATGTGAGTCTCTCCATCATCAACTTCCATCTCGACCTCTGCAGAGAAGAAAGCGGGTATGTCGGCTCTGCTCACTACTGAGGAGATTGAGTGGTGCATATAGAGATTTCTGCTGATTCTCCGAAATGTAGAATCCGAGAACGGAAGAGTCCGTACGCTCCGCTGGCCATTACTAAGAACCGCCTGGGGAGATTTGTCTGCTAACGCCGCAAAAGTCAACGCCCTTTGACGACTTGTGCTGGGGGCAGATTTGTTATATTGGAATAGCCAGTCGGTTGAAGTAGTGTGCATGGGCACTGTGAACTCTGGTTCACCGACTCGTTTAGCCAGGCTTCATGCTGAGTCAATATAATCTCCTCTTGCAACGCGATTTAAGGCTCGGGATGTCCTACATCAAAACTAGTCCTGACGGGCAGTTTTCCCTGTCTATATGAGGGTAATCCTCCTACGCGACGTTCGTCAATGTACGTTCAAGTTTCGTATTTGATCAAGATCGTGAGCGGTGAGGGCCTTACCGATTCAAACCAACTCATCCACTCTTTATCTGATTTCAGAGAGCATATCAATGGGGTCTGTCCTGATGTCAAATAGTATTCTGGACCACATAGAGGATCGTATACGCACTTCGTCTCCGGATGTCAACTGGACAGTCGTCGTATACTTCTCTTCGTACCTCCATACTTTCTTGAAGTCTTCGTCGCTGATACCAACAGAGTCCTCGGCCCAATCCATGCTGAATGGTACCGGATATCGAACATACGCGTTGATCGTTTGTCTTGTGGCGACTTGACAAGGGCGTTGGCGTGTTGACGTAGGAGAAATCCTCGTTGGGACCGAGCTGCATACGAAATATTTGTCCCGTGCAGCTGACAAGCGCCACTGCCAATACCCGCTTATCGTACAGCCTCCAGTTGTTGACTAACCAAGCCTTCTATCTGCCTCAAGCTTAGCTTACTTTACAAAATGTATATATTACGACTTTCTTTTTATACATTTTTAACTATATTCCTAGAAAATTCTACTCAATTCCATCTTTCAGATCCCCTTCGACATCAGTCTTTCTTCCTAGCACGCTAGGGTAAGCTCCCGGGTGCCATTAACAAGTGCCGACGTATGGGCAAGCTAAACGATCGACTGACTCATGCTCACACAATTCATCTGCTGCTGTCCTGAACCAGAACTCAGGCGCGTCGCACACAAAGAACGGCTGCCAAAGCCATGGGCAACAACCCTCACGACCCAGGCATGCTATTGATAACAAGGACAGGAAATGAGGGCCACAAGAGCACAGAAACAGTGTGAAAGGCCTGTCTTACACCTACCCAGAGGGTACAAACTTGAGAAAAGAAGGGGAAAGATACCTTATGGCTGCTGTCAATATGGAAAATGAAACCCCGAAATGGATGGTACCCTTATAGTTACTGAGTACCCGGGACCCACTTTGATCCATGTCTTAGGACCACCACACTGACCACCACGACAAACTGTACAACTGGCGGTTCTGAGAACTAAAACTTGTGATTTCGAAAGAGGCTGTTCTTAATTAATTGCCACGTCTTTTCATATAACAGATTGGACAAAGCAATACCAGCTGTACGGATTGTGTGGGGCCGCTAGGCTTTGATTACACCTGTACATCTGTGGCATCGCCACGTACTCCCGCGCACCCCGAACTAAAAGCTCCGTAAATCTCCGTCCGTGGCGTAGGGTCAACGTCTCACCGCTATTTAAAATATATCTTTGAGGAGGTGCCTCTAATAAGGGTCAACTTAAATGGTCCGTTTTACTCTGGAATGATATGCCACCTTCGTCACATTCTTCCAGCCTGGAAGCGTTTCCGAATACCGAGGTCCGCTTGTCATATTAAACAGTATGGTTGTTTTAACGGTTCGAGCTACCTATACGGAGCAGGCCGCCTTGGAGGCCTTCTTTGGCGGCTTGTTCGGATATGGAAGGGCGTCAGTACTGGTAAAAGAAGCCTTCATATTCCCGACAAATACGAATGGGTTTCTGATTGCTAATCGTCTGGTTGGAAGTGGAAGCGGGGTCGTTTTCAATGCACCATCCCACGGAGCCTTAATCTTGTGAGTCCAGGTCGATTCCCGCCTCAGTGGCTGGCTGAGCTGACGCAATCAGGACGAACAAGACCAATTACACAACGCGATTCTGAAGGAGCATTACCAATAGCGCAAGGGATGTCGCTATCACAAAATCGCGATCGCCTTCTGAAGGTGTTCGGCATGGTCTTGGAACGACTTTATGATCATTGCACTCTAATGTTATAGACTTAGAATCGTGTCATATGTAATATAGTAATCAAGACATGTACGGGATACAACATTGCTTTGATAATGCAGACATAGCCCACGTATGGTATTTCTTGTCCGAATAGCCCCTCACTGCAAGAGGACTAATGACGCAGAAACTGGGACCAAAGCCTGGTACCAAGGTGTGGTACCCTGCATGCTGAGTCGGTGATAACAAATACGCGGCTGAAAGGTGATCGAAATGGAGATGGTGCTTAGCCTTTTTACACTTGTGCCCTTCACTGTAAGAACTAACCCGCATACGTATTGATGTCCCATCTTGCATACAGGTGCTTGGGAAGAAGGGTATGGTGGCTGACGGATGCTGCACAGGTGCTGCAGATGATGATGGCCTGACAAGTAGGCTGCAACAACTCTCCTTCATTTCGATTGCACTTGCCCTCCCCCTCCTCCCCGTTTCTATCCCTATTGCCACAATCACGTTCCTCTTCCATTCCCTCCCGCCATCACGTCTTCTCTTACCTCACCGCACTGTCATCAACATTAGATCGGAATGAACTTGTCGAAATTTCTTCACGACTGTGACAAACAAATTGCTTCAGGCTGGAACTTTATCATGTCCCAGCTTCCACAACGACAGCCTGACCACACTCCCTCTGAAGATCAACGTTCAATTCCAAAGATTTTTGTTCAAGCGCCCAGTCATGAGCGCAAGGAACATGTTGATCAAGAGCCAAAGAATATCACTACTTTGATCCCAAAGTTCACTACTTTGATCCCAAAGTACACCAAAGACATCGACCAGCCTCTAAACCAACAGCTACACCAGCATAAGGTCAAACATGCTCAGGAGTATATCCAGCCGTTTTGGCCGACCGCGATTTGGAAGGCACTCTTGACACAAGAAAGCATTCGTGATGAGCTCCTGAGATCTGGTGTTGGCAAACCGGTCGCAGACAATTTGTCAATGCAGATACTTCTTCCAGGTTGTAAGGCTCGCGTGTTGATCTTCACCATCCTCGTGCTGCTTGCAAAGTCGGCTAGTATTGAGCACGTGCTGGTTTGCAAAAAGGGAATCTGCGATAATCAATTGCCACTTGTCTTGAAAATCCATCAGGGCAAGTCAGTATTGATGCGTGAAATGGAACCGATAACTTGCTGTTTCGAAAACTGGGACACTTACATCCTCGAGGCCTTCTGCGACCACTACAGACGTCTCACAGTACCTGTTTTTGGTCTACGTGAGGGAAGCAACGAGATCAATCATCAGAAATTCGATCCAGGTGTAATACTACCGTGGTGCGAGGTAGATGAGAACGTCACACCGGTTCCTGCAATGTCTGGTGGATACGGCACCGTAACGAAAGTCCGAATTCATCCACTTTGCCACCAATTTCACGACGTACTAGAGTCGGTAAGAGATCCTTCTCCTTCAGATATCGTTCGGACGAAACTAAGCTAACGAAAGCTCTCGGCAAGATCAACGTTGCAGGCGGACTGTTCGCGGTCAAGAAACTGAAAACCCGGACTAAAGTTGACTTTGAACAGGAAGTCAATGCCCTCAAAAGGTTCAGCGGAAAGACTCACAGGCACCTCGTCACTCTTCTCGCAACGTTTGAACAGCGTGAACAATATCACATGATCTTCCCTTGGGCAGATTGCGACCTTGATCATTATTGGAGCAATGTTGAGCCGAACCCTGATTGGGGCGATGTTGACCTAATTCGATGGCTTTCGAAACAGTGCCTAGGGATTATGGAAGCTGTCAGCATAATCCACAACCCATCTCACCTTCAATCCGACAAGCGATTTGGCAGACATGGAGACATCAAGGCCGAGAACATCCTCTGGTACGGATCTGGACCTCGCAGTTCAACAAGAAACAACGATAGGGGGATTTTGGTGATTTCGGACCTTGGTCTCACAGCTATCAACAGTGACAAGAGCAAATCCATGCAGCCTAACACCGGGTTGAAAACGACGCCTTCCTATAGGCCACCCGAATGCGATATCAAAGGCGGTACGATATCCAGAGCTTTTGATATATGGACACTGGGGTGCTTATATCTAGAGCTTCTTTGCTGGTTGCTCAAAGGCTCCCAAGGAAAGAAAAAGTTTGACGGTGAACGCATGACCACCTTCATTTTTGGAACCAAGACAGACATCTTCTTCGATATTCAGCGCACAGTCCAATACAATAAGGAAGCATACGTCTTTACGATGAAGGAGGCAGTTACAAAGGTCAGTGTTCCGCTTCGTCTTATCAGTGATAACGACAGTTCCGTGTGACAGCTAGTCCAGATGATACGTACCTTGATGCATTGATTGACAATGACATGTAGAAAATAAGCGACCTTCATAGCGATGAAAATTGTACACTCTGGATGCATGACCTTCTGGATCTTGTCGAGGAGGGTATGCTTGTAGTCCTTTCCGAGGACCGTAAGCGAAAGACATCACACTCTCTACTAGAGATCCTACGAGAAATGGACCAAAAATGCCAATTCGACGAACACTATTGTCTCAGAAAAGCGCGCTACGCTAAGTTGAGGAGAGCCCCGGCAGGTACACTGGCGGAACTCAATGAAGAAGCCAAGAAGATGGTCAACGAGATGAAACCGGACTTGAAGGAGCACAAAAGAGATGGAAGAGAGCTGCACAAGTCAAAGAATGCTGGAGAATGAACAAGTCAGAATGTGAGTCAGAAGGCCCTCATTCGAGTTCAACTCCATACTAACATAGTAGAACACATTCTCGTACAGGCCGCGTGTATCATTGTCTAGAGTGCTGAGGGGCCCTGGTGTAATGTGTTTCTTACTGGGAATATGATATTCACATACATTTCCGTCCGAACACTGGCGATCCAGCTACCGGATATTAATGATAAGTTCTGTGATACAAAAGGATTCAGCGCATTGCCATTTGTAAACATAGATCACAGATAAGTCATAATTAATTATTGACTTTGAATTTTGAAAGAGTTGGAGCAGAGGGAATACATATAGTACATGATTGGACGTGAGCTGCAGAGTGTTTGCGGACCAGGAATCGAGGAACTTAACTTTATTATGAAGTAAAAGGAGTCGAAGTTTGGTGGCCAACATGTTGCTAGTTGCAATTTCCCCTCGTTTTGTATGCTGATGTAAAGCGCGGTAATAGAGTAGGCTCTTATTGTTATGTGAGAGGAAAGTGAGAGCATGTATTCTGTCGGCCACAAATACAGGACTCTATTGAGAGGCAAGAGATGTAGCAAAATAGATGGTGATCGGTATATTTACTAGTGTCGCAATGAGATTGTAGTGATTGATAGGTTATATTCTCCAAGTCTTGATTCAGACATGTTTTAGAATGCTCAATCTTTCCATCAGTGTCCTTGCCTCTGTGGGCCAGAGACGGGGAGGGGAAGGAGGTGTTTGGAGAATATAATTTGGAAAGTCTTTGGTCCAGCATTGAGACGAAGTAGGCAGTTAGGTGTAATATAATAGGGAAAATGAAATGGATTCAGGGCTGTTCAGGTCATGACTTGATGCGGGTGGTGACAGACTCTATTGGAAAATATTCATTCTTTGACCTCTGCTGGCAGTCTTTGAGCAACATACACCTGCAAGAGTCTGTTATTATACAGACATAATGACCATGAGGCCAAACCTGATTTTACATTCACAGCTGAGGCGTAGCTGAGAGTCAGAAGACTTGGCTACCGGCAGGCTACTGAATAATACCTGTGATGTGATCAAAGTGTGACTACAAGATCTCAGTGAATTGAAGCTGTGTATCATATGTGCTTGTGAGAGACTCGAGTTGGTTGAATGACTACAAATGAGGCCGAAAGCTGGGGCGACCGCAACTGTGCATGTGTAGACTCACCGTCTGAAAGCAACCACATCTGCCAGCGCATATAAACTTCTATAAAGCCCAGTTTTTCAAATGTAAATGTAAATAGAACCAATTTCTTGCTCTGAACCTTCTTTATCTTGGCAATGTGTTCTTCTCAACATCTGCTAGTTCGTCAGCATAACCGTCTCTCAGCAAAACCTTCTACGATATTTCACTGTCAGCTTTCTTGGCTCATCCTTTCTCTATCTTGCATCACATGCAGGAAAGCATAATCAATCATCACATCACGTCCTCAGCGAAGCTTCTGCCTTGCAACAACAACTGGAAGGCCCCCCTTTTCACGCGCTGGCTGATTCTTTCAGTGGGAGACTTTGCCCTGTCCTCAACAAGTAGCGAAAGCGCACCGCCAACTGCAGCATTGCATGGCTGGCTTTACCTTTCGTGCCTTGAGAAATCTTACGCATTAATAATATTGTCTTCAACTGGACTCTCCCATGCTCGCGACCTAGGTCGCACTTGGGATCTTCTCGAATCATCTTACGGCCAGCAGCCCCCTGCCCTTTGCAAACAAGACCTCGACAGCACATTCAGGAGCAGCCATCGCCATGTTTAGCACCCAGTTACCAGGTTTATCAGAAGATATTTCAGGGTGATTGCACTAGCCTTGTTTTGTTTGCAGTCATTGGCATCACATCCAGACCACAGTCCTCTCAGTCACGCATCATGTCAGTGTGTGGCGTTAGTATTCTTCCCCACAACCACTCATCCTCACTTACCTAGGCTACATATTTCTTCTGGTTTTCTGATGTGTTTCTCTGCACCTATCTCCATATTTTTGATCTTTACTTCACCTCATTCCATGCATGGATCTCTGCCCGCAGCGTGGTAGCACATGAACCATAAACCACCGAAAGACCATAAGACGCCATCTCGCTTATCATGGCTTATCTGTTAACCGCCCACTCGCGTCGCGGGAGCCTGCAGTCCAGATCTGAATCAGCAAAGCCCACGGAGTGTCTGGAGCAACTCTCATTCGCTTCCTGTCCACCATCACCTGCACTTGGTAAGCCCCCCATACCACTCAATTAATCACCACCCGTATAACTCGATAGTCACCATCACTGGACCCCTTATCACGTTGCAACTTCCCTTGCGCCCCCATCCCTTGCTAGATCATTGCTTCCCTTCCAAACTTCTCTCAGACATACAATTTTTTCTGCCATAGAAGAGGGACTTCTGAAACCAACAGGTGAGCGTTTTCCCCAACACTCGTCGGGTGCAAGCTCGTAGAGAAAGAACAAAAAAACAAAAAAAAGAAGACCCCGCGATCGGACATATCTACGACCATAGTGACTGACGATCGCCAGTACAACTCGCCGAGACCCGAAGATGAGGCACATCTCCCCAGGACCACCAACCCAGCCATCTCGACCGGGTCGAGAAAGAGCACATACCTGGTCCTTTAGCAAGGTACGTGAGAGAAAGAAAAGACTTCGTCTTCTTTCCTGTTCCATCTTCCACCTAAAAATTTACCCACCATCTGTGCCAAGTCATGGCTACAGTATAGCACGACTGGTGGCATGCACACAGTTGTCGCATGTCATTACAAGCCAAGTGGTCCATTCACCCGAGCGAGCCTGAGTATCGAGTTCGCTGCAGCCTCCAAGCCTTTCCTTTCCTTTTCTTTTCTTCTTTTCTTGCTTTCTCTTTTCCCCCATCTTCTGTATCACGCTCTCGCATTGGAGCGGCTGTGAGACAAGGATCAGATTCATAGCAAAAAGATTGAACGAGCAGGCGGTGAAGGAGGGTTTCCTGAAAGTGCGTCATCAGGGGTAGTGGACAGCGCCCAAGTGGGCTCTGGGTGATGGCCCGAGTGGGTCTTGGGTGGCAGTCGCCCCCGTGTCGAGAACGAATAAGAAACGGTGCACACAAACACGCTGCAGTGCCTTTGAGTGCCAGATTCCTCTCCAACAAAACTCCTTGGCAACACGAGAGCTATCTCGTGGGCCGTGGCAAATGAGCGCCCCCCTTCTCCCCCACGGCCTTGAGCAGGTCCCCGAGATGAAGGTCTCAAGCAGTGCCGCTATGGGAGGGGGTGAGCCAACCCGGATGGTCCATGTACCTTGTGACACCAGCAAGGGGGCGCAGTGCCTTTACCCACATGTGAAGAGGGTATCAGTGTGCCTGGGATATCGAATTCTGAAGGTCACCTGGTGCTGCAGCACGGTGTAAATGAGCCCCGATGGGAAGCGGGCGTCGAGAGTATGGGGAGACAGTTGCAGGAAACCCCATCTTTTGATCCTGGGGAAGGCCAAAGAGTGAGGAGAATGACAAGATGGTGGAAAGAAAAATCTGGAGAAAGGATGGGGAGAAAACATACGATGATAAAAGGCCTGCTGATCGGAGAGGTACGGGATGCCCACCCAGTGACCAGATTCTGGGGATATGGGGAGATGGGCCGACCGCATAGCCGCGCCACAGCCGTGTCCCGTGTCCCGTGGATACTTTTTGCTGCGACTCGGCTGCGGTACTACCACCTTGACCACACCTGAACCTTGGTAGTCATGTGAAAGTTGTCACCTGCATATGAGAGAGAGAAAAGCTGCTGAGCTGAGACGGTTGTGGTCACCTCAAAAGTGCTATTTGCATCCGAGACATGGCGGCTGGCTGAAGCTGATGCTTGGCCTTGATCCTCGGCCCAACCTGTCACAACATGAGGATGACATGGATGGCCAAGAAGGGGAAGCAAAGAAAAAAGGGATCAAGAAACGCCAGAAAAAAAAGCCGCATCTGTGCACCATGCTGCCCGCCAAAATTGAAAGAGGCACCCAAACAAATGGAGGGCAAGAAAAAGAAAAGGAAAAAGAAAATAAAAACTGAGTGGGAATAAAAAGGTGGAAAGACGAAAAAAAAGCCAATTCTCTGGCTGAAAGTTGGATACGTCAGTTCACAGCAAAGTCCGGCAAAGTACATGGCCAACCCCTGAATTGACCAGAGTCAAGCAGACAGGGTCCCTGTTCCAGAAGCATCAGGTTCTGCAGCCCAGGTGGATTACAGTGGGGTTTCCTGCCTTGCAATGCGGGGTGAACCGGGTGGAGGAAGCATCTACAGGCGGGCCCAGGTTCCGGGTCAGCCAGGCAGGGGACGCTAGTGCTAAGCTTTTCACACGAGGTTCATCATCTCAGGGCCAATGCTTCCAGGGGATGCTAGGAAGTCCCCTAGCAGAGCCTAGGTATTGATCTCCCTGAGAACAAGGCCCAACCAACACCACCACCACCACCACCAACGGCGCGGGAGACAGGAATAGCCGGTCGAAGAAGAGCATCTTGGAACCAATTTTTGTTCCTGAGAATTCCGATCAGGAGCTTTTGGTACCACGGTACCTGGGCACACACACACACACACACACACACACACACACACACACACACACACAGACACATGCCTTCACATCCTGGGGGAGGAAAGAGACAAAGCTCTCGTCATTATCTGAACTGCATTGATTGTTGGAATCACTCAAGCTCACGCTCACCGTCTGTTCCGCCAGCGCACCCCGCTCCCTCTTTCCCTCCTTCTCTCCTGCTGTCATAATCACAAGCTAGTCCTCTTTTCTTTTCCTCTTGCTCTTACTTTTTTATTCTCTTTCTCTTTTCTTTTCTTCTTTTAATACCTCCCTGCTTTCTGTCTCCTCCGAACTTTTCCTTTTTATACAAAATTTCAACAACGAGGACAGCCTTGGTGGCTTTTTCTTCTTCCACCTACGTTTTCCCAGGCGTCTACCACAGTACATCGATCAACCCTTGGCCACAAGTCTCCGTTACTGCCCTCCCTTGTCCGTCGATCAAGCATCAGCCCTGTGGCTTTTCAGGCCGTCTTTTCCCTACTCTCGCATTGTTCCCTCTACAAGTACCAAAAAAAGAGTTCCACCCGCCCGTTGCTGCGAGGAGACAACCGCAAGAAGGGCAGGCGCAGACCCCACCACACCCGATACATCATAACGCAGTCCCGAGTACTTTGGTGTCAAAGTCCCTTTTCTTGCCGCCATTGGGCTTGCGATTGCGTAGCTACAGTAGTAGCCGCAAACACCCCTCCTGCATGCATCTTTTCTCCAACTTTACAAAATCCATCCTCGCTCCATAGCTGCAGCTCGAAAACGCACGCGATCATACCAATCACCAAGCTCACCCTGCAAATCCCGATCTTTTGTCTTATTTGTTTTCTGAAAAACCGCATACCTCAAACATTGTTCTGCGCGCGCACGCACGAGTCCATCTCGCGTCCTTCTCAGCTTCCCTCCGCCAGCCTCTCTATGATTTCGCAATATTCTCGGCATCCAGCTGTCTATTCCACAATCCGCGGCCAGTCATGGCTCCTGCGAAGGCTAATGGGATAGGCGTCCAGGTGGAGGACACGCGTATCTGCGTGGTCATGGTGGGCTTGCCAGCCCGAGGTAAAAGCTACATTGCACAAAAGGGTAAATAGTTCTCCCCCTCCTTCGTATCACTGTGCTGCCCCATTTTCCTCTCTCCTGTGTGTCGTCATCCTGTCTTGCTCCCGCAACCCATGCCTTGATTTCGTTGCAATTGACGCCGTTTTTGTCTGGTGATATTGTATAGCACACCAATCCGCTGAGACACCCCCAACCCTCCACCACTGTTCTGTCTGCCCGGGCGACGGAAGCTGTGAAGACCTAGCTTTGGACACGAGCAATCTAACACCCGTCGCTGCTGCAGCCCAGAGATACCTCCAATGGCTTTCCATACCCTCTCAGACCTTCAACGTCGGCAGCTACCGTCGCAAGGCCGCAGCCCAACCCACCGCCGACTTCTTCGATACAACCAACGTGGAGGGTGAGCGGCAGAGGAAGGCGGCCGCTGAGGCGGCGGTGGCCGACATGTTGAGGTGGTTCAAGACCGAGAACGGCGTCGTGGCCATACTGGATGCCACCAACTCGACCAAGGAGCGGCGCAAGTGGATCCTCGAGATCTGTTCAAAGGCCGGCATCGAGGTCATCTATGTCGAGTCCAAGTGCGATGACGAGAACCTGATCATGGCAAATATAAGAGACGTTAAGACCACAAGCCCGGACTACAAGGGCCAGGACCCAGAGCAGGCCGCGCTCGACTTCCGCAACCGCATTCGAAACTACGAAAAGATATACAAGTCCGTCAACGAGGATGGTGACGAGGAGCATCTCACCTATCTGAAGATCATGGATGTCGGCAAACAGGTCATCATCAACCGTATCCAGGACTACCTGCAGAGCCGGGTCGTCTACTACCTCATGAACCTGCACATCAGACCCCGGTCTGTATGGCTGTCACGGGTGCGTTTTCTCTGTTTTTTTGGTCGTTCCCTACAGGTCTACAGCTGAGGGGTTTTGTCTTGGCATTACTAACGTGGTTCCATTCTCCCAGCACGGCGAGTCCATGTACAACCTGGATGGGCGAATTGGAGGCGATGCGCTGCTGTCACCCCGCGGGGAACAGTACGCACGCAAGCTTCCTGAATTGGTCCGCGAATCAGTGGGTGTAAGTAACTACTCTTTCTTCTTCCCTTTCTTGTCATTCCATAAACAATGAAAAGAAAGGTAAAATGAAGAACGGAAGAAAATACTCCCTATTGCCTTGATTCCCTTTGGTGCACGTTGCTCACACCATGCCCACAGGATGATCGTCCCCTCACGGTCTGGACGTCCACATTGAAGCGGACCATCGCCACCGCGCGATTTCTGCCCAAGCACTACAATCAGCTGCAGTGGAAAGCTCTCGACGAGCTGGACGCAGGTGCATGCGACGGCATGACCTACCAGCAGATCAAGGATCAGTTCCCGGAGGACTTTGAGGCACGTGACGAGGACAAGTACAACTACCGATACCGCGGCGGCGAGTCCTACCGCGACGTGGTGATCCGGCTGGAGCCTATCATCATGGAGCTGGAAAGGTCCGAAGACATCCTGATTGTGACACACCAGGCGGTGCTGCGGTGCATCTACGCGTACTTTATGAAGCGCGACCAGGCTAAGAGCCCGTGGATGCACGTGCCCCTACACACGCTGATCAAGCTGACCCCCCGGGCATACGGCACAGACGAGCAGAGGTGGGACGCTAAGATCGCTGCCGTCAGTACGTGGCGCGGCAAGGGCAGCACGGCCAAGCACGAGGATCCTATCCCCTCGGCACTGCAATGAGTTTTATGATCTTGTCTTGCGTGGGGACCTCGATCATGCATGCACTTGGTCCCCCGCCCTGGGTTCTGCGAGCATTGTTATGTTTATATTTCATATAAAAGGGAAAGGGGGATTACACTGTTATATCACCCGCACATTACATAGGAGTTTCGAAACGGTCAGCAGCAGCATTGATTTGCAACTCATTGGACCAGGGGGTTATGAATGAAAAAAAGAAAAATCAACCCAAAAGAACGGCTTTATGCACATGTACACTTCCTACCTAATCAAGATACCATAAATGACAGGGCCATCTTGCCAGAGGCAGGCTGAGTGCCATCGTACAGAGATTCAAATGTCGACCGATACATACTATGAGGCGGACTGAAGTACCTAAAGTACATCCGTTGATTACCAGATGTGAGCGTCGAATGACAGTACTGAGGGTGCATCGAGAGTCAGAATCATCAACCCCGATTCCTTCCAAGTGCAATCATCGTAGAAAATTCCCAACAAAAGACCAGTATGCATTTCCCAATTGCGATACTAAAACATAACAACTCTGCCCGGAGTGGTGGAAAAGAAGATTGAATTCTGTAAAGTCGATATAGCAGTCTTAAATCGATCAGGGTTAGCGGGACAGTATACGTACTAACCTGTACATACTACGACCCCTGAGTAAGTCCAGTCCCTGTTCGTAGTAGTGGCCCCGCGGCTATCTTATCAGCACACCCCCGAAAAAAAGTTGGGTCGGCCGCCTTTTTTTTCCCCCCATGTTCTTCTTCTCGCCATCTTGTTTCAATTGCACCTCCGTCGCGCAACAGTCTTGAACGTGGTCGCCAGGTCACAACTACCGCCCAAATCGCACCGAGCCACTCCGAGATACCCTTTCACAATGGCGTCCGACCCTAGCAAGAAGAGGAAGTTGAAGGACGCCTCCAAGGACACGACGGAGAGGCGGTCCAAGAAGTCTAAGAAGACCAAGGTCGTCGAGGAGCCTGAGCCAGAGGTCGAGGATGTCGTCCAGGAGGACGGCGAGGAAGAGGAACAGCAGGAAGATGTAGCACCGCCTGCTGAGCACGAACAAGAGGATGGCTCCGACGCAGACGAAAACGAAGAAGCCTCGCCGCCCGAGGCAGCCAAGGCCGACCTCCCGCAGTCCCACCTCTCCCTCCCCCAGGCGGCCGGTACCGAAGTGAGCTCCTTCCACGAGCTGGGCCTCTCCGAGAAAACGATCAAGGCGATCGATGAGATGGGATTCAAGACCATGACGGAGATTCAGAAGCGTGGCATCCCGCCTCTGCTCACGGGCAAGGACGTGTTGGGCGCGGCCAAGACGGGCAGCGGCAAGACGCTCGCGTTCCTGATCCCGGCCATCGAGATGTTGCACGCACTCAAGTTCAAGCCGCGCAATGGCACGGGCGTCATCGTGGTGTCGCCTACGCGCGAGCTCGCCCTGCAGATCTTCAGTGTCGCCCGCGACCTGCTCAAGCACCACAGCCAGACGTACGGCATCGTCATTGGCGGCGCCAACAGGCGGGCAGAGGCAGACAAGTTGTCCAAGGGCGTCAACCTGATCATCGCCACGCCCGGAAGGCTGCTGGACCACCTGCAGAATACGCCGTTTGTGTTCAAGAACCTCAAGAGCCTGATCATCGACGAGGCCGACCGGATTCTTGAGATTGGGTTCGAGGACGAGATGCGCCAGATCATCAAGATCCTGCCCAAGGACGATAGGCAGACAATGCTGTTCAGTGCCACACAGACGACCAAGGTGGAGGACCTCGCGAGGATCTCCCTGCGGCCGGGTCCTCTGTATATCAACGTCGACGAGGAGAAGCAGTTCTCGACGGTCGAGGGCGTCGAGCAGGGGTACTGTCTTGTGGATGCGGACAAGCGGTTCCTGCTGCTGTTCAGCTTCTTGAAGAAGATGGCCAAGAAGAAGATTATTGTGAGTTCTATGAATGGCAGGCCGTGAAGGTGAATTTCATCAAAAAGTCTCGAGAATCCGCAAGGCTAACCTACGGAAATAGGTGTTCTTTTCGAGTTGTAACTCGGTCAAGTACTTCAGCGAGCTTCTCAACTTTATCGACCTTCCTGTCCTCCATCTGCACGGCAAGATGAAGCAGCAGGCCCGGACCAACACTTTCTTTGAGTTCTGCAACGCCAAGCAGGGCACACTCATCTGCACGGATGTGGCAGCCCGAGGCCTCGACGTAAGTCCATCTCGTTCCTCCCTTTATCCTTCTCTCATCTGTTCTAGGATTAGAGGAATGATTTATCATCATACTAATTTTTCTATGTAGATCCCGGCAGTAGACTGGATCGTTCAGTTCGATCCCCCAGATGACCCGCGCGACTACATCCACCGCGTAGGCCGGACAGCCCGTGGCTCCAACACCAAGGGTCGGTCCCTCATGTTCCTGCAGCCTTCCGAGGTCGGCTTCCTCTCGCACCTCAAGGCGGCGCGCGTTCCCGTGGTCGAGTTCGAGTTTCCTTCCTCCAAGATCTTCAACATCCAGTCCCAGCTCGAGAAGCTCATCGGCAAGAACTACTACCTCAACCAGTCCGCCAAGGACGGCTACCGCTCCTACCTGCACGCCTACGCGAGCCACTCCCTGCGGAGTGTCTTTGACGTGCACAAGCTGGACCTCGTCAAGGTCGCCAAGAGCTTCGGCTTTGCCACCCCGCCGCGCGTGGACATTCAGCTGGGCGCGAGCATGTCCAAGGACAAGAAGGTGCAGAGCCGGAGGCCATACGGCAGCCAGCCTGCGCAGAAGAGGAATGGCTTCAGGAAACACTAATATTGAGTCCGTTTCCTTCCTCCCATCTCTATGGGTGGAGGGTCATGCATGCAAGTATGCAAAGTGAGGAAGAGCATCTGGCGCGGACTTTCGGCGTTTAGGTATGGTATGATTTTGGAGAGGCATGCATGCATAGCATGGCCTTGCCTTGACAAGAAATAAAGGCGTTGGGCATTCAAAACCTAGGGCACCTCATCACATCATTTGAAGGTATCGATTTGATATGAGAGCGTCTGTAGCAAGACCTGAATTGGAAAACTTTCAAAAGATGGAAAAAAGATGGACACGCTTCGGTCTCTGGTTGAGTGTGATTCAGCTGGAAAAGAGCAATACTTTCAGCGCGCGTAACTTTCTTCGAGCGAATTATATCGGTCCCGCTTTCGCAACTCCCCAAACGCCTTTGGACGCCTCCCAATACCCGAGCAATGTGGCCGGGGACAAACATGAGGGATCACATTACCGTCCAGAATTATGGCCGAGCGACACAACAAGACCACAGATTATTTGGCATTTCGTTGCGCTGTCTTCGATGTCAAACATCATCACATGATCATCGCCATCTTCTTCGAATCATCGTCAGGACTCGCAAAAGAAAGAATAGACCAAGATCCGCGCCCACATAGACAAGTCCCAGCCCCGCTCATTTCAGCACGGCGATCAGTAGCACCAGTATAACAATAAGCACAATAATAGCAATCATCTGCTTGCTCTCGCCCGCGCTCCGAGCAATGCGGCCCACGGACCGTCGGGCGCGGTCCAGCCGGCCCTGGTGGCGGTCGACGAGCGCCTCCTGGTCGTCGAGCATGGCGACCTGGTCGTCGAGCTCGTCGCCGATCTGCATGCTCAGCTCGCGCTGGCGCGAGATGGACTCGCCCAGCCGGTCGAGCTGCTCGTCCTGCTCGGCCAGGATCTGCGAGTGGTACGCGTGGATCTGGCGGTTGTCGAGGTCCGCGGCCTGGTCGCGGTAGCCGGCGGGGGCGTCTGGGTCGTCGCGGTAGGGCTGGCCGAAGAGGGCTGCCGCGTTGGCGTCGTAGTCGTCGTCGTTGCCTGCGGGAGAGGAGGAGGCGGCGGTGGAGGGGTCGGTGAAGCGGACGGACTTGTTGCCGCTGCTGGTGCCGCCTGGTGCACCGCGGAGGGATGTCTTGGCCGGCGTGCTCTTGGAGGTCGATGGAGAGGTGGAGGTGGTGCTCTCGGCGTGCGCAAAGTCTTCGGCTAGCGAGGGGTCGTTGGGATGCGTGAGGGTCGCGGCTGTGCCGGGGGAGGAGAAGCCGTGGAACTGCGAGGTGAGATCGTCGAACTGCTTCTGTAGGCTAGGCAGGGAGTCGGAGAGTGTCGCGATCTTGTCTCTGCAGTTTGTAGATCTTGTTAGCCAAAAGCTGTGGAGGGAATTGATGATTGTGCCACGGCATGTGTTTTATGAGGGGAAAGATGATCGTACGTGTCCTCGCCTGCCTCCTCCAGCCGCTTCTGCTCCGCCTGCAGAGCCTCCAGCCCATCTCGAAATTGCTCTAGAGATCGTGATATGTGCCCGTCCTGCGAGTCGCTGTGGAGGTTCAGTGCCTGCGCCCTCTTGCGCTCCAGCAGCGACAGTTTGATGTGGTCCGCGAGGAGGAACAGGGCGTTTGGGTTCGACATGATTGGCTAAGCAAAACAGGAGAGTATAGCAGGGCTCGAGGGGGAGAAAGAATGGAGCAAGGACGATGTCCTCGCGTGTGTGTGTGTGAAATCAACAGCGACTCGCGATTCAAGCCAATCTGTGGTCGCACGAGGTTTCGAGATCGATAAGAAGGAGGAGGGTCTGGTAGAGTGACGTTGGTCTGTCGCGTGGTGGAGTTCTTGCGGCAGGGCGGCTGAGGGAAACGGCCGAGTCCCCCCACTTTGCTGTGCGGTAGGGGTGTATGCTTAGGGTGTTGTTATACTGTAGTGCCTTTAGTGGCGTAGAGCCCGGCACGCCTTAGATGGTAGTGGATAGTTACTTAAGTCGTAGGCTCCTTAACCCAAGCACCCGCCCCTTAGACAGCCATTTTCCATCCCGTCTCTCACCCGAAACATTTCTCTTCATATCCTCGACAGCATCATAAGTTCCTCCTCGCTCTCAAACGTACCCCTCGACCGCAAGCAAAGGCCCAAAATGACAACCTGCGCTGGTCAGTCTTGTGTGACCGTTCATCAAAGAGACGCCTAGCCGTCTTTCCGTCCTTGTCTTTGCGGTACAGATCCACTCCTGGCAAGCCATGCTCTTCTGGGATGCGCATCGTCACTCCAGCTACACACCACGCTGCCCCGTGCAGGATGGTGTTTCCCCAGACATCGATCACCAATTATTTCCCCCATGCTTCAGAAGGACACGAAAGACAGCCCTGGGCAAAGACAGCCATGGCTGTGAAAATGTATCGCTGTACCAAGTGGCGTCTCACCTTTCCTCGTGCAGAGCTCCATGTCCGCTTCCCGCCTGATGAGCAGCTCCAGGACGGCGGTCATGCCGTGACCTGCAGTGTACATCAGAGCTGTCTCACCGTATAAGGACTGTAGGTCATCTCATCATTCATAAATGGCTCCGTGTTCTAGCAGTGCCTAGATGCCAAGTGTTGAAGACGACCTGGCGCATCATAATGATGGGCGGCAGCTCCCCACTATTAGACTACAAGTATTACGCCAAGAAGTCGCAGATCAGCAATGAAGAATGGCTTCGTAATGATTTACAAAGTTTACATTCTTATATTGAACAGTCTAGTGCTCTTGATGCCGACCTGCTCGTGTTCAGTCGTGGCCAAGTGAGCCTCAACAACGATAAAGTTCAAGGTCATGTTGAAGAAGTCAAGATCAAATACACAATGCTTCTATGGTATGTCATTGGCTTACGGGCAAACTCCTTGGAGACCCGAATATGCGACACATATTCCGGATTCGTAGAAGAAACGCCTTCAAAGACGTTCCCATCTCAGCCTTCCACATTGGCTCCAAATATCCCCACAGCATCATTCTTGCAATTTGCCCTGGTAAAGATAGGCCGTAGCATGGTAACATGAAGGCCCCGCGGGGAGGGGGGGATCCCCGGATTGACATGGGTATGAAAATAGCATGGACTTCAATCTCTTTACATGACAAGTAAAGAGAAGGCCATTTAACTCGGTATTCGACGGCTGAAGTATGTCAATATCTCAGCCATCGAGCTCGGGGAGAATTGATGTCTTGTGACGAAACCTCGTCTTGGATTAAGGTTTCTGGGCATTTATGTTGTCACAACGTGATTCAGAAGCGCTAGTCAGTCCAGTCGGTTTGATCAATCTCCAATCATTCCACGCGTGTCAAAAGCCCCAAGATAAGAAAGGTAACAAAAGGCTCTGAGAGGGTGACCATGTCTTGACGACTCAATCGCTGGCTGGCATAAGCTACATTAAAAAAAAAAAAATCAAATGCTTTTTGAGCAGTTCGTAAAAACTCTCGGCACCAATTCTGTCCGAAACGATGTACATAGGTACCAACAATCGTCTCTGATACTCGGTCCAGGTCAGTAGGTTCGGCAAAAGTTGCTTTGCAAAATTGCATAGAATCCTGCAAAAACCAAGATCATGCCCGCCCCATCATCCGCTGACGAATTGAGGTGCATAATGGCGGTTTCTTTGCTTACATGTACAAAATGAGATGACATCCGAGGGAGAGATAATATACAGGACGGAACACGTTCGTCAGAGAGAGGGTCAGCGCCGTCAGCGACGTGGCAAAAGAAGTGTGCGGTCACCGCTGGGGCGTGCGTGGGGATTTGACGTATTTAAGAAGAAGAAAAGGGCGATGATTTTCGTAGGCCTTGCGAGCAAATAGGGTGGGATCTACAATAGGAGGATGACGCCAGTCCGTACGAGAAAAAGGAGGATGGACGCTTTGTTCTTTCCCTTATTTTTTTTTTCTTCTACTTTTTTTCTGTCTCAGCCTTTTGGCTCTTGCCGCCTAGCTGCTGAGTAAGGCAAGGCCGGGGACGCCGTTGGGCTAGAATCATGCCCTTTCTGTTCTCGGCCCCTTCCTCCAGAGGCCCCTTCCCATAATAATCAAGACATGGCCGTGCTTCCTGGGCCGGACTACAACCACCCTACACAGTACCGGGTCACAGTGCTCCGTCGAGTCAGGCCAGGGTGCTTTGTTCTAGGTAAGCGAAAGCCTCTACGCCATGCCGCAGGTGGTGCTTGGAGCGCGAATCGATGGAAAAAGGAAAATAAAAAAATAATAATAAAAAACCCCGTATTGATCAATTTCGCCCCCCCTTGAGTCGGGATGACATCAAAGCCTCTTCCAACCCAGCCTGACAAGACTCTGTCGTTCGACGAGACCCACAAAAGACTCCTGGAAAAAAAAAGAGTAACCCTGCGCGGTGTACGGTGGGCCGCTGCCCTGCTGAATGTTATGAATACGTAGGGCGTTACATGTTGTCTCTGGCGGTATATGTTCAGTGCTCACCTTCATCTCTCCTAGAGCTGGACTTTTGTTGATCAAGCGTAGCTTCACTCACGTCTCTCACGTTCCCTCTTCTCCCTTACACAGACACACACACTCTCTCTCTCTCATCAAGACACAGTCCCCTCTTCTCTTCCTCCCTCTCTCACACACTAAACCATCCTCGCACATCAAATCCTGCACATTCTACACACAAACACACACAATGGCGTCGATGGCACAAACCGCCACACGCGCGGTTCGTGATGGCATCTCCAGGGCCACGTCCAGCGCCATTAGGCTCAACAACCAGAACCTTGCCACCATCAGGCAGCAAGGAGCCTCTCACAACACCAAGCCCTCAGCAGTGCCGGGCTACGACAGGAAGAACCTGAAGGAGGGCATCGTTCACATTGGCGTGGGCGGCTTCCACAGGGCACACCTGGCAGCCTACGTGGACGGGCTGATGAACAAGGGTGGCGCGCGCGACTGGGCCATCTGCGGCGTGGGCCTGCAGCCTTTTGACGCGGCGATGCGTGATGCGCTGGTGCCACAGGATTGCCTGTACACGCTGATTGAGCGAGCGGCCAAGGGAAGCAGCGCGAGCGTGCTGGGCAGCATCACTTCGTTCCTGTATGCGCCCGATGATCCCACGGCGGTCATCAACAAGATGGCCGACCGCGACACGCGCATTGTGTCCATGACCATCACCGAGAGCGGCTACTACTACAACGAGAACACTCACCAGCTGCTGGTCGAGCATCCCGACATTGCCGAGGACCTCAAGGGCGACCTGACGCGGCCCAAGACCACCTTTGGCTACCTGTACGCCTCTCTGGCGCAGCGCTACGAGTCTGGCCTGCTCCCTTTCACCGTGCTGTCTTGTGACAACATGCAAAAGAACGGCACTATCACGGGCAACATGCTCAAGACCTTTGCGCGCCATCGCAGCCCCAAGGTCGCCGAGTGGATCGGCGAGCATGGCGCGTTCCCCAACAGCATGGTGGACCGCATCACGCCTCGCACGCTGGACAACGATAAGGCCAGCCTGGCCGAGACCTTCGGCATCCAGGACTCGTGGCCCGTCGTCACGGAGCCTTTCAACCAGTGGGTTGTTGAGGACCACTTCGCCCAGGGCCGCCCTCATTTTGAGGACGTCGGCGTGCAGGTCGTCAAGGATGTCGAGGACGTCGAGCGCTTCGAGTGCCACAAGCTGCGCCTGCTCAACGCCAGCCACACGGCCATGTCCTACATGGCCTTCCTGGGCGGGTTCCAGTACGTGCACGAGGTCATCGAGCACCCTCTCTTCAGCAAGTTCATCTACAACATGATGCACCAGGAGGTCCGCCCCCTGCTGCCCGAGATCCCAGGAGTCGATCTCGACGCCTACTGCGACAAGCTGATTGAGCGCTTTTCCAACCCGACCATCATGGACCAGATCACCCGCCTCACCCTCAACGGCTCCGGCAAGCTGCCGCAGTTCATCATGCCCTCCATCGCCGAGCAGATCATGAACAAGACACACAACCTGAAGCGCCTGTCCCTCGTCGTTGCCAGCTGGTTCCGTTACCTGCACGGCGTGGACGAGCACGGCAAGCCCTACGCCATCGACGACCCCAGGGCCGACGAGCTCAAGGCCAAGGCCCTCGAGGGTGGCGACAGGGTCTACCCGCTCATGGCTGTCCGGGATCTGTTTGGTGACGATCTGCGTGAGGACAAGATCTTCATGGACGAGCTGCAAAACGCCCTCGAGAGCCTGCACCGCGAGGGTGCCATGGCCACACTGGCCAAGTATGTGGACTAAAAAAAAAAAAAAAAACCCCCCACCACCAAAAACCGACGATTTTTCTCCACTAGATTGGGGCCGGTGTGCCTGTAACTTTTTTTTGGATGAAGGTGTTTTAGGAGTTGTTCTACAATGCGAGAACTGGTGTGTGTTATGATGTGTGTCTGGGAAATGAATTCTTCAGGGTCGGTCATCTTGGATAGAACGTTTTCAAGGCTATATTTTAAACAAAGAAGCGAAAACACTAGGGAAAGATATCAGGGTTTAGATGATATTCTGGATCCTAAGGGCGTCGTGGAAGCGATATCTTGGGCGCGGTTCAACGAGAGAGATGTTGTTACCGGCTCTATTACGGACGGGAGGTTTACCCACCGTGTACACTGAGACGTTACTGGGTAGAAGAGAAGGAGAAGTGTATAGAGAGAATATATTTCCAGCCAACTGAAAGGCGACTTTCTCATACCAGAATTTTCTCACTCACTTGACTCTTGTGCATTTACCCCAACGGCTTGAATATCGTGAGGCCCCTCCATGGATCATTCAATGTCACATCTCACGAAACATTCCAAGAATTGCCGGATTCAGCATGGTCTGACGAATGTGGTGTCGGATGAACTTGATGCGAGAATCTGATACCCTTCCGTAAGGGTGGAGGCGATCATCAATGGGGGTTAGAAGAAAAGAGTACCAAACTCCAAGGTCGAGAGAAGTGGAAAATCGAATCTATGACCCAAAGAAGAGAAAAAGAGACGGAAGATCATATAACTTTAATTCTGCACATCATGTTCGTCCTACAATGTTCATCAAATAGTGGGCTGCGGAGCTGTAATGGCAGCCACTGGCCCTGGATGGTCTCTCAATGATAGGAAGTGAGTGGGTGAGGGTTAAGTGGTGGGCTCCATGTACCATAGTAGAGACCTCATTCGCAAAATAGATTTCATGTGACCATGCACACCCGCTGTTTGCCAGTTCGGCCCGCAGAGCCTCAACTCTATTTTAGCCATGTTTTCTGTGGCGGTTAGAATTGGGTGGATAGAAGAACCGTGAGCCTTGGAAAGGGGGATATCAGACAACAGAGTCTTACCCCCCCCTTACGCCAAGGTATCATATCGGCAGGCCAAGCTGTGGACCTTGTTCAGGATTTTCAATCTCGTCTCAAGTATCCCGGATCTTCGTCCCCGTTCCGTCCCATGTTTGCTGTTCTTCTTATTCTTTTTCCTTGGGCCGACCCCGCTGCTGTGCAAGGGGGGAAGGGTTGACTTTAGCCGAAGGGGGTGTACCTCGCACAGCAGCCGTCTGATCTCGTCGATCATGACATGGGAATATCTTCATGGCGGCTAGATGCAGTAATGCCGTGGAAAAGGATATGGATTCATGTGGTGGTGGTTAGTATTGAGACAGTGAGGTGAAGAGGTAATAAATAAAGGGGCAGTGCAGTTCCATCTTCTGGCCTGCTTTCTATGTTTCTCTCACCATTAGTCCATAACGTCTGTCACTCATCTTTCATTCTTTTTCTTACTTCTCAACACTCATTCTACAAATCAAATCCAAGTTCTGTGAACTGGTCCATTCCTTTACCAAAGTCAACCCAAGTGAAAAAGACAATAAATTCAATTACATTACAACTTCTTCACTATGCAGACCCAGATCCTCCTCCTCGCCGCCCTGGCCGTCCTGTCCGACGCCGTCATCATCGTCCTCCCTCGCGCCACCAACTCCTCTACCTCTACCACCACTTCTCTCGCCGGCGCTGACTTTGGCTCTTGCACCCCAACCATGGATTTCCAGTTTGGCCGTGCCCAGTTCAGTAAGTAGACTTGTCTCATTCCGTCCAACCTCCCTCCCTCCCCCTCCTTTTCCTTTCCCCTTTCCAGAGAATATGTCGTTCCACGAACCCACCGTTGTCTTTCTTTTCCTCTTCCTAACACATATCTTTTCTTGTCCAGACCGCAAAGCCACCGAGGGAACCTTCTTCCCCACCGACGCCACCCTCGTCGCCAACAGCGGCCAGAGCGACGCTCTCAACCCCAACATCATCACCAACTTCATCTGCGACCAGCTCACCAACGTCTGCAACGCCAACGACGCCGCCAAGACGGCCTGTGCGAGCGCGCAGGCGCAGGTGCAGAGCCTGGGCACCAAGGACGCCAGCACGGCGACCGCGTTCAATTCGGCACTGGGGTTCTGAGAAGACGATGATTTTTTTTGGAGGGAGGGAAAGGAAAGGAGGAGTGGATGAATGATTGAGAGAAAAAGTAAATCAGCAAGGAAGGGGATAGATGGAGGGAGATGTTCTTGGGAGACGGAGACGACTTGGACTGGAATCCGAGGGACGGGACGCAAGTACTCTGCCAATTGTTGGGTGTTGGGCAACACCAGGCACAAATAATGATTATGAAATACAAATGATACCATGCTTTATAGGACTTGAGAGACACTACCTATGACGACGCGCCGCACTTGTCCACAATCAAGCTCGCATTGACACCCGCAAGCCCGTCAAAGTACCTGTAAAACCAGATGATTAGCAAAACAGCAGAGGATGGGTTTGGGCTAGGATGAACCGAGGTCAAACTCACGCAAGCAACGTCTCGACAGGCAACATGTCCATCGTGCCCAGGCTCGGGTTCGAAGAGGTCAAGACCTTCCCGGCCCAGAGAACCCTCACGTAATATTTCTCTCCCCCCGTCACAGAAGTGGTGGTGCTGCTCTTCCCCTTCCACAGCTCAAAGACCACCTCGCTCCCCATCCCGGGCCAAACCATCACGTCCACCTGCAAGATCCCCAGCAGCCTGCTCACGCTCCCATCGTGCGCCACGTTATGGAACCAAAGCACTTGTTCGCCCTCTCCTCCTGCTGCCGCCGTCCCGTTCACAGCAGTCCGCAGATGCGCCGCCAGCTCCGCAATCCACACCCCAAACGACCCCACGCTCGCAGCCAGCGCCTCGGGCCCAGCATCGCGGTAGATCCGGCTGTACTCCCAGTTCCCCAGCCGGTACACCTCGTCCGCCATGTCCTGCGTGACACACTGTGCCGTGTCGTTCACCAGCCCCACACCACTGCCGCCGCCGCTGGTGGTGCTCGTCGTTGCATTGACCAGCTTGCAGGGCAGCGGGCGTGCATGGCACTGGCGGGCCGACAGGTTGTCGTAGTAGTGGTCGAAGCTGGCGTGGAAGCCCTCGTCGTCGGCGGCGACGCCCGAGATGCCGTCGAGCTCGGCGTACAGGGGCGCGGCGGCGTCGAGGTGGGCCTGCCAGGCTGTGTCGTTGGCGCTCTCGATGTCGTCGAACTGGGCGGTCGAGGAGGTGCACGTGTAGTCCGGCTCGAGGCTGTCGATGCCGTCGGGCTGGATGAGGAGCGGCACGGAGGACGAGGTGCCCCACATGCCGTTGATCACCATGCCGGCGACTTCAGAGGTGATGACGTTGTTGGTGACGCGGTAGCGGACCTTGTCGCGCCAGGCCGGGCTGGTCTTGGCGGGCAGAAAGCCCAGAAGGTCTCCGTAGACGCCGTACAGGTCGGCGCCGTGCTGCCACGAGTCGTCGAGCCCGGCAGATGTGATCTGGGGAAACTGGCAGCTGCCCTTCCACCCGGAGGCGAGCGTCTCGAAGGGGTTGGTGAAGCCGGCCACGTTGCTCGTGCCCTGCCAGTAGGCCTGCGCCGAGGCATTGCGTCCTGCGTTGGGGTCGTCGGGGGGAGAGTCTGACGAGAAGGGCTCGGCAAAGTAGTACAGCCCTTCGTCGTCGCAGTTCCAGGTGTAGGATTCCACGGGGAATGAGTTGGCCGCGTAAGGGGTGCGCTTGTGATGGCGGTGAATCTGGACGAGGTTAGCAATGCCATGCTGTATGAGTTTATCATAGAAGAAGAAGAAGGAGTGAAAGGTATGAATGAGTGAGTAAGCCAACGTGCGCATAGAAAGCCTGTTGCTTCACTCCTATCAAATTCCCTCTTGTCCTATAGTGCAACAAACAAAGGACTCACCAGCTCCACATAGACAAGCTCATACTCGTCCCCCGGCACGACATACTCGGCACTCCGCACATGTGGCATATTACACCAGTTGTAAATCCCATACTCGTCATCCGGCGTATACGACGAGTTATAGATGAACCCATACACCCCTGTAGTGCTACTGCTCACCACATTGGTCAAGTTGTTCACCAGCGTCTGCGATGGCGCGTACCAGCCAAGATCAACCGCCATAACGTCGGAATCAGCCGTGTCGGCGGATGGTGGAGACAGTATTGGTGATGGCGCAACAGGTGATGAGTCTGCACTGTCACTGTCGTCGGCAGAAGCCAAGCCAGAGTACACAATAGCAGCAGCAGGAGGAGCAGCAGCAGGTGGTGGTGGCGGCGATGGTGGTGTCTTTACCAGCACAGGAGGGATGACGACAGTAAAGCCGTGGCCGGTGGTGAGGAAGAAGAAGGCGATGACGGAGCCACTAAGACAGAGGAGGAGCAGCTTGCTCGCGCGTGAGAGGCGCGGATGGAGCCTGAGGGGAGGCATGCATCTTATGTTGATGATGAAAAGCCCACGTGGGAGGGGTTTTTGCCGTCACTGGTTCGCAAAGCCCAGGGGACTTGATGGTTCGTCGGGAGAAAAAAGCCTGTATGCAGGGTTGGGAGGAGAAGAGGGGACCCAGCTCACATAGCAGCAGCAGCAGCAGCAGCTAAGAGGGGTTTGGTTGCAGTGGATGGATTTTGATGAATGAGTGGAGAACTGGGGTGAATGAGAGAGACTGGAGTTGAATTGAGTTCTTACACTACCTTTTTAAATGCGATAAGTTCCCGGTGAGCTGTTGGGATGAACCCTTGGCATGGGTGCTTGGTTCGTCATCCCGACAATTCCGACCCGTTGGATTGGATCTGAAGAGTTTTGAAGGAAATGAACTACTGTGGTTTTGATGCAATTGACCAGATTGTTGCATGCATCAGTTGTCATGCCGTCCAATTTGTCAACTTCTTCGTTCAACGTTTGACTCTGGTCCTCACCGTTGTCGTCGTCGTCCTCCATCTGGGCTACAGGTTTGCTCAAAGTAACCTCTGTGTATCAGTGTCATGAGATTTGTGATGGCATTTATTTTGAACTCCTCTATAACCAAGCGTCGCATCTTGTTATTCGGCATCAAATGCTTTTATGCCTCCTGGCCAGAAATTTGATGTGGAGACGTCTTGAAATGCTTGCAGCACGGCGAATGGATGCCCATGGCACCCAAGCCCAGAGCAGAGCAAAAGAAAAGGAAGAAGAAAAAAGTCAGGAAAGAACCCTTGTCAACTTCCTTACGAGACTTGCTTCTCATCTTTGGTCTCAGCCGAGAGAATGCTGGTCTCTTCTTGCTTCTCCTCCTCCTGGTGTGCCTCTCTATCCAGTTTCTTACAGAACTGGATCTCACCTTCGCTCTCGCCCGTTTAGCCGACACAAACTCCTGCCCATTGCGCAAGGTCTTTTCCACCATCCGCCGGTCCACTCGTCTGTACCTGATATCATACCGGATCCATTTATGTAGGCCCGGCTGTGCGATCCCCAGCGTAGGAAGCGCGACCAGCACCCTGTTGTCATCCCTGGTCCAGTGTGCTGGACTCCAGCCCTTCTCGCTGTCCTTGCCCCTGTCTCGCTCCCATTTTAATGCAGCCAGATACACCGCCCTCCGGTGGATGGTGGTGAGCTCTTTCCAGTGCCGCTGCGCCTCGGCATCATTTAGCATTTCGGCCCTCCGACGCTCTGCAAAGCTCTGATACCGCCCCACAGCCTCGGCAAAGTCCCCTGCTGTGTAGATGGCGGGAAGAGTGTACCGCACCTTGCCTGGTGCATGGATCTTGAGAACAGCCATCAGCTCATCGCGGCTCCGGTTGTCGGGCAGCGAGTCGCGGAAGGCCTTGGCGTGCCTGATGTCGAACGGCGCCACGGCAACGTGCACAGGGCTGCGGTTGCTAATGGTCACCCAGAACCGTCCATCCCAGAGCTTCCAGCTCCTGTGCTGCGCAGGCCAGCGCCACTGGTCGGGCAGCCTGCGCCAGCGATGGCGAAGTCGAAGACAGCCGTAGTTGATCTGCGGGACCGCCTGGCCAGACACATAGGGCTGGCGGGCAAGGAACCACTGCAGGGGCGCGCCGGGGCGTTTGACCGATCTAGATGAAGACTTGACGGGCGTAAAGTGCACGCCGGAGATGTTGAAGGCCTTTGGCTGTTGGGGATATGCGGATGGGTTGTCATTAAGCGAGGGGAAGAGTCGAGCGACTGTGTTTGGCAGACTGCTCGAGAATGATCCCAGAGGCTCGGGTGTTACCATGGCGATGAGCCTTTTTACCAGGAGGATGGCAATTCGGCGATAATGCTCGAGGCGCTTCTGGCGCCGCACCTTGTAGTCCTGGTCCCTCCGCAGGCGCGGTGGCCGGAATGAGGGCAGCTGCACCACCACAGTCCCCGCCGTGGACTCGAATTCCTTCAAGACGGTGCGCCTGAGAAGCCTGTCCACCTCAGCCTCGTCGGATGCCGCCTGCTTCCTGAGCCGGTTCGACATCTCGAGCACGGCAGGCTTCTGCAGCGCAGCAGGCAACGTGTAGTTCATCCACAGATGCCTCACGGCGTTTCTCAGGGTAAGTGTCCGATCCCTATTCGTAGCATCCTCGAACCACGGGACCCCGTTCGCCTCGCACGTGGCAACCAGCCTGTCCTTGGTGAACTCCAACAACGGCCGGTAGATCATGATGCCACCGTCCTCCACGTCAAGCGGGGCGGCGCGGCGGGTCCAATTTGTTCGAGGCATATACGCATCGAACTTGTCATCGGCAAAGGCGCCAGCCTTGGTCGGCTCGAGGACCTCTCTGACAGCCAGATCACGGTCTAGATCGGCCATGATCTGGGCGCGGATGCTCTTGAGTTCCTCCTTGGTAGGGCGGTAGTTGATCATGGGCTTGGTGGACAGCTGGTCGTCGACGAAGCCGCTCTGGTATGCGCCGTGCATGTCCTGGCACTCGGGAATATCCGTGGCAGTACGCATGCCCAAAAGCCCCGCCCTGCCGTGGCCCGACATGAGACGCATGAGCACAGTCTCGTACTGGTCGTCCTGGTGGTGCGCAAGAAACATGCTGGCGATGTGGCCCTGGGCGCATAGGAGGGCCATACAACGGTACCGCAGTCGGCGGGCGATGGTCTCGAAGTTGGGAAGGTCCTTGGGGTGCGAGACGCCGGCTGCCTCGAGGGCTTCGCGCCAGTGGACGCCCAGCTGCCAGGTGCGCATGCCGAACCGCTCTTGAAGGAACTGCGTCACGGCGCGAGCCTCCCTTTCACTGCCCTCTCGGAGCCGGTGGTCGACAGTCAGGCCGTAGAAGGCATCCACAGGGTTATCGGCAACTCTCATGCGCATGTGTTCACGGTGGGCACGCCAGGAGAGGTAGGTTAGGGCCATTGAGTCCACGCCACCGCTGACGGCCAGAGCTGGAAGACATGTATGGTCAGTTTCAAGACAAGAAAGAGAAGAAGAAGGCCAGTGAAATGAATGCAGTGCGGACTAGAAATACATACCCACAGGCCGCGGCTGGGAGCCACGAGCCCCAGGAAACCGTGGAGGACATGTCGCCTGAAGCGCGTCGACAAACTCATTCACAGAGATGGGCCTCGCGGTGCGGTGAAGCACTCGTGGTGCAGGGTTCATCCCGCCATTATATACTGAGACTCATTCTCAAGCAGTCGATCCTGCTGTTTAAATGCTGGTACTAGAAAGTATGTATGTGCGAATGTGCTGTGCTTAGAAGAGTGTTGATGAGAAGTCGTCGTCAAGCTTGGGACGGGAAGAATTTCTCTTCTGTGGTTTTTTGCTAGTGACTATCTTGTGCAAGTTAGCCCCCTCACTGAATGAGCCTCAGAGGATCTACCCCCTGTAAGCCTCAGTTGGGGTATACACACAGCATCCCTCCAGGTACGCCCAAGACCCCTGCCAAGGTCCCCCGCTCCCTAACATTGTAAGCTGTGACGACTAAACCGGAAGCTCCAGGGCCTGAAATCCAGGGTCCCGCCGTTATCTCTTATCGGTGGACGGCGAAATCGGAGGGAATTTCTTGACTGTACAGTGTGCAACCAAACCTACCTTAAGTCACCAATCAACAATCAACCACCAAACAAACGTACACTTTTCTCCACGACCACAACTAAATCTCGCCATGTTTCTCAGTATATAGTCTCCTATTCTTTTTCTTCCTCCTTCTCTCCCCTTTGCCCCAAGCTCCTTGTTAAACAATGGCCACCGCCCAGGCCAGCAGTCCACCCTTCACCTCGGCCCTCCTCGCCGGCGGAATAGCCGGCACCACCGTCGACCTCGCCCTCTTTCCCCTCGACACCCTCAAGACCCGCCTCCAGTCCTCCGAAGGCTTCTTCGCCTCAGGCGGCTTTCGTGGCATCTACAGGGGCGTAGGCTCCGCAGCCCTCGGGTCCGCCCCCGGCGCGGCCCTCTTCTTTTGCACATACGAGTCGGCCAAGACGTTTTGCGCCGACCTGCGGAGAGGCACCACTACAGCTCGAGAGCGTGGCAGCTTGCAGCAGCAGGGGGAGGAAGGGGAAAATGGCTTGCTAGGGTTAGGTAATGCAAAGAGCCACGCGGTAGACCACATGTTCGCCGCCTCCCTGGGCGAGATCGCAGCCTGCGCCGTCCGCGTCCCCACCGAGGTCGTCAAGCAGCGCGCCCAGGCCGGCCAGCACGGCGGCTCCTCCCTGTCCTCCCTGCGCGCAATCCTCGCCCTGCGCCACCACCAGCCCTCCTCCTCCTCCTCCTCCTCCTCCGGCAGCGGCCTCCTCAGGGTCGTGCGCGAGCTCTACCGCGGCTGGGGCATCACCGTCCTCCGCGAGGTCCCCTTCACCATCATCCAGTTCCCCATCTGGGAGTCCCTCAAGGCCTACTCGCGCCGCCGCCAGCAGCTCCTCGGCCCGGGCGAGGACGTCTCTGCCGCCGAGAGCGCCCTGTACGGCAGCGTCGCCGGCGCCGTTGCCGCGGCCGTCACCACCCCGCTCGATGTGCTCAAGACACGCGTCATGCTGAGCAGCCAGCGCACCGGTGTGGCCGAGATCGTGGTGTCTATCCTGCGGCAGCACGGCATACGGCCTTTCTTCGCTGGCATCGGGCCGAGGGTGATGTGGATCAGCGTGGGCGGCGCCGTGTTCCTAGGGAGCTATCAGTGGGCTGTGAACGCGCTGGAGAGGGGCCGAGTGAGGAGAGGGGCTGGTCTTGGACTGCCGTGATGATGATTCGTAGGAAAGGAAAGAGAACCATTGAAGGATGCTACGCCGACGGTGGATTGTGCTCATTTGGCTTCTAGGTGACCAAAGGATTATCTGCATAAAAATGGGCGAGAAGGGGGTTCCAAAACCTACCAGTCAGAGCCCTCCTCGACGCCAAGATGCACATATCCTTGCTGGAACTGTCACATCCGTTCTTGGACCAAACATTGTACAGGATAACCAAGCTTCAAGAGCGTGGTATACAACCATGTTCAGTCTGCCACCACCGACACGGCAGACATTATGCTGCTAATCACAAACACCATGGACATCCGGATCTGAACAGGCATCACAAGATCTGTTGTACCATAACATATAGACATTAAACAAAACAATAATACCCTTTAGACAAATTATAGCAAGATCAACTACCTTCATGCCCGCTGTGTATCCGCTAGAGTCACGATGCCACTGTCCCATGATCGATCTCCATGCTTTTCGCCGCGTTCGTCTCAGGTTCCATGTTATAATTAAAAGAGGCCCCAAGATGCTTTGGGGCAACCTCTCTCTATATATGTAGATAAAGGAGGATATCCAACTCGTCAGATATGCCACTGCAAAAGGACTTGTCCAAACAGTCGTTTAAGTTCGATTTCAGCTCCTCACCGCCAGCCACAACTTGTAAACTGCCGCTTTGTATGACCCTTCACACCCAGTATCTTGATGATCCGTAGAAACCTTCTCCCCCCGATACCATTTTCCGTCAAGATTCTCACCCAGAATGAGGCCTTCGAGACAGCTTACGTAGCCGCCGCTGGTGTGGCAGATTGGGGCGACTGCGCCTCAGGGACCTCGTCGCCCGACGTGGGTGCGTCGCTAGGTGCATCTCCCTCTGATGCTGTCGGAGCCTCGGGGGCTGGGAGAGGAATTTCTTTCCTGCCATTGGCCTTATAAAAGAGAACGACGTCGTTACCGCCCTTCCAGATATAGGCCCGCATGGTCGCTAAGGTCATGTTGATGGGGAGTAGCTAGAAGAATCGGGTTGTCAGCAGATTTCCTTTACTTCCATTTGACCCTCGACAAGTCCTCTCGAGACAAACGTACCTGATCGGCGCAGTACAGCTCGAGATACTCCTCCGGCTTCAGCGCGGCCGGGTCTTCCTCGGTCTTGTTCTCGGCGTCTTCCAGAGTCGGGTCAATCCGCTCCGCCACGTACGCCAGGATCTTCTTCACCCGCAACATCTTATTAGCATTGAGGCGGTTGTTTCCATCCGTGGGCGCAAGGACGGGCAATCCTGAATCGGGCCAGGGATGTAGCACGAATGAGACCTTGACCGGTTCCTTTTGCGGCGGGGTGTTCAGAAGCAGTACCTCGCCGAGCCACTGCGGCGCACACTTCTCGATCTCGTCCGCGTCGGACCCCACAGACTCCACCGTTCCGCGGTACAGCTCGGCACTTCCGCCGGACGTTTCCTCCTGGATGATCACCTTGGTCCCAGGAGGCAGCTTCAGCACAGGCGTCTCGTTGGGCAGGCTAGGCGTGATCTTGGTCTCGACATGCTTCTCTGGGGTCTCGGCCAGGTGCTTCTCGTACATGTTCTGGATCTTTTGCACGACACCCAGGAAGTTGTCGTCGAACTCCTTCTCCGGCTCGTGGTTCGACGACGATTCGGATTCAGCCGCCTTGTCGTCCACGACTGCAGGTTTCTCTGCCACTGATGCCGAGCCTGATCTGCCCAGCTTCTTCGTCCCAAAGGACATGCCCATACGGAACTTCTTGCCGAAAGGCGACTTGGCATCGCCCCTGTCCTTCTCCTTGTCCTTGCTGTCTTTTCCATCCTCGGACTTGTTAGTCTTGTCTTCAGCTTGCTCAGTGGCAGGTGTGCCGGCCGGCTTCGCAGTCTGATTGCTATTAATGGCATTGATTGCGTTGGAAAAGTAATCCTCTCGGTCTTGCAACTGCTGCCCGTTTGCAGAGGCCCGTGCCTCCAAGGGGCTCCCAGGCCCCATGGCCCCCTCCTTTGGTAAAACTGGCGTCGCAAGTCCAATGCCCATGCCACCTGGTGTCATGGGCACATACTGAGGGCCATTGGCTCTGGGGGTGGTTGGGGTCTCCACCGCTTGTTCCCAGCCGGCACTGTTGGGGAGCTGGATCGTGATCGGCTTCGCTTTTATTGCCGCGATGCGCGAGTCCACCATCTCGTTGAGCTTGTGCCGATGGGCCTCGTCACGCTTGATCTCTTCGTCGAGTAAGTTTGCGAAAAGGTAGCGCAGGATCCATTTCCCGTAGTTGACTGATCACTCAAAGTCAGCACATGCACTTAAGCCATGTCTCCGGCAAGATTGCACTTGACTCACTTCTCTGGTCGTCTCTGAACTCGACTGGCTCGTCCAGCGGAAGCTCATCGGCATACATTTCGGCATCAAAACAATTAAATGGCTCCAGGACAACGGTGAGGTTGCCGGAGCTTGTATCCACTGAGCACCATGGCGATATGCTCTCACGCGTGTTAGCTTCGGGCTCAACGTCCTCCAGGTGCTTCTTTCCGTAGCTTTTGATGGGTTTGCACTATGGTCAAAAGTCAGTAAGCGGTGCGTTGCAAGTGATCACACTGGGCTGTGTTTACCTTGATCAGGTCCCAGAGCAGGACATCACCGGCCGTATCCAGTGTAAGAACCTCGCGTTTGTTTGCCAGCAGCCGATGCTTAACCAGGCCAAACTGGCCCTCGATTGTCTCCTGAGGCACGTGCTGTATGGGGTCCACAGCGTTGACAGGCTCGTTTGCACTCGGGTCTGCCTCGGTGTCGGGAAGAGGGAACTTTGCCGTATTTGAGATGCGAAGAATCGATCTGGGAGGAATCTCCTTTGGCTTTGCGCCAGGTGTCTCGGTAGACGCAGGAGGTGCGACGTTGCTCGACACGGAGGCGCGGTGTTGTCTGAAGGACTCGGGAAGCTGGATATCGGCGCTGGTGTCGACATTGTGCCACCTGTTGATAGACGACCTCTGGGTGGCCGTCCATATGTAGTCTCCTGCAGCGATGACCTTGTTGACGATGTCGTGCTCATGCGCCACGGCGAGAGCAAGACCGTCATCCACCTCAGCGCCACGGGTGTCGGTTTTCACTACCAAGCCGGACCGGTCTGCGCTGTAAAAGACAGACAGGTCTGGGGCCTCCGAGTACAGTGAGAAGACGGACTCGTTATGCATAGTCAGGGTGTGCATGCAACGGCCTGCCGTGACGCTCCAGATCTTGACCGTCTGGTCCTGGCTGCCCGTCATGACTGTGTCGCCGTTCGCACTTAGCAGGATAGACCGCACGAGACCCGTATGGCCGCGAAATTTTGTGATGCGCTTCCCCGATCTTGGGTCCCAAAGATGTAATATAGACTCGGGCCCGCCGTAGGCTAAGACGTTCTCGGTAGTACTGAGAGAGTAGATGGAGCCCTTCTCCGAGATCTCCTCGCCCTGTGTATCGATCTCTTGAATCTTGCCGCCGCCGTTCAGATCCCACATGTATACCTTGCGATCCAAGCCGCCCGTGGCAACCCATGTGCCATTCGAGTTTGGCGATGCGACACATTTGGCATAGTCCGCGTGTTCGCCAATCTTGTAGGGCTCCTCAGCCTGGCTCGCGTGTGGCCTCCAGAGCTTGACAAGCTGGTCCTGAGAGGCTGTCACCACCGCTTCGCTTCCCTGAACCAATGCAATATCGCAGATCCAGTTAGTATGTGCGAGGTGTTGCGTGCGAAACTTGGTGGTATTCTTGGTCCTGGAGACGTCGGGCGTCGCGTCGGGAGTCGAGTCAACTGTGGAAGAGGTTGGATTGTCGGACAGGCCGAGGTTCAGATCCCATGCACAGAGGATGCCATCGCGACCTCCAGAGTATCTGGCGTACCAGCATGGTCAGCAGCCACCACGTGCGTAATAGGGACTGCGCCAAGGTCTCGTGATTGGCAGCGGACGGGTGATAGTAATAGGGGCTTACAGGATAGACCTCTCGCGGTCGACAGCAAGGCCATTGACACCCTTGATGTGACCACCTGCCTGCTTATCTGCTCGTTCGAGAACTATAGACGGGAGGAGGCGTCAGAAATTAGAAACAGACTCGTGCGCAATATTGAGCAGTATGCGCGCGAGCGGGGCGCAGGCAGAGCCACGGTTTCTCACAAAAGGGACAACGGTTGAGGGGTATGCGCACCATAGCTGATTCTCTGTCGTGCCTTCTTGGCCATGACGGCGAAACGGAGAGTGCAGTGTCATGTGCAGGCGTTGTAAATGGGAGGCTGTACCGATTGCGTATACAAGAGCGACTTCGAGTCGGATCTAGAGAGGGATTGTCGCCTTGGTGGTTGCGTTGCACTGTGGAACCTTTGATTAGATTTTCAAAAGATGTTGAGCTATGGTTGCGTATACGAGCGAAGGTAAGACAAGGTCTGGTTGGTGATGATGGATGATGGTTGATGTTGGAGTTGGGTGGGACAGGGCTTAATTGGAGCTGTGCAACTGGAGCAGCACGAGGTCGAGGTGTGGGATCAGTACAGTAGCGCAGGACAGGCCTGACAGGGTGCAGTGAGTGACCCCCCATGCCACTTCTGGCCCACCAACTACTGGATCGTCTCATGGGGCAAGTTGCACTAGAACTGGAGCTGAGTGAGGGGCACACTAACGTCATGCATGGAGATCTGGGGATTCAAGGGTCTAAAGTACAGATGAAATCTAAAACAAAAATTCCCACCCACATATCACTTGTCATATTATGAGGTCTACAGATTCATACTACAATTCTTTTGTGCCGGAACGTGCAAGGTTCTTCGACTCGAATACCTGTCTTATTGAGGATGTCTCACAATTTCCCTTGCCAAGGGAACCCGACAGCATGGTCTCCCCTTGTACTACATCCAGTGTGGGGAAACATGAGCACGTGGTTGGACATTTGAGTCGTAAGTCTTCTTCATAGACAAATCAAAGAAATGGATCAGGATGAATTTTTACTGTATTTGGAAAGATTGACTTCTCCTCAAATGTGACTGATTGCATCATATTGTTGTCTACACTCCAGCTACAAGCTAGAGCTCGTCTTTTCAAAAAGGGACCTTCTGCATGCACTTAAGTACTCAGAGCCATGCTGTCTCCAGCCATGTTCGCCCATATTAAAAGAAAAGGTTTTATTCAAAAAGAAAATATAAGTCGAGAGAAAGAGCAAGCAGGCATCTCTTTCGTAGTATATCGAACTTTCAGACTCTTATTCAATAATGCTGGAGAGAGTGGGCGCAGAGGACTGTCTTGCTCAGGCAGATGATGACTACTTATACAACATGGCAATTTGATACGCTACATCAGTATGTATCCAATGCCAGCTATAAAATCATCCACCAGCCATTCAAAAACGTGCTCTTCCAACCAAGACACTGTGAGTATGCAAGAAATGCGATCCCTGTATTGAAGCATGTGATTGTCAAAGGCACTACGACAGTACTACTGTTAGCTAACCACTCTAACCTGGGGCCATGGCAGGAATTCATAACAATGAAAAGGCTAAGGGGATTAGTAGAAGAGAGCTACGGGAGTGATATTGTCACAAATCCTGGAAAATGATGTTCTGGGAATTATATAGGTCTGGGCCTCCCAGATGGTCTTACCAATTCCTGATGTCTATCCTCTTCCCAAGACTGGACAAGAACTCACAACGCACCTTATCCAAATTTCTATCCATAATCGTTCAGAGGAGGGGCTTAGCTGTGCTTCAACTCTCTCCCAAACGCCTTTTGCATCTTCGAGGAAAGCTGTCGCATGTCACCATGGAGCCCCTCACCAACAGTACCATGCTGATCATCATCCTCATCTCGCTCATTCTCGCCACCTGCAACTGCCTCTTATTGTGTTGCCTCACTAAATCGTCCAGATCTGGGCACGACCAAGCCGGAGATGAGCAGCAGCAGCAGCAGCAGCAGCAGCAGAGTGGTGTTCATCAACTCAATGACATTCCCCTGCTTGATCTCCCACCTCACTCTCGCCCCTGTCCCACCTACGTCAATGGTCGCACCAGCATGAAAGACATGCCTACACCTCCTCCTCCTCCCTACGTCGCCCAGACTGAGCATCGGACACAGGACTATGGGCCAAGAGGTGCTTTATGGCTCCCTTGGCTTGGGGAAGCTTAGGGTTGACAGGCATGAGTTTGAATCATCTGATAGTAATCTAATAGACCTAGGCGGAGTCTCTAGCGGATTTTTTTGAGCAGGCCGCACGATACAGACCAGCCAGAGAGGTTGTCTTTCGGAACCTAATCTCGAGGTTATCAACATTTGTGCAGCGACTGGGCTTACTCTCCAACCTGCTACTGCATTACGGTGCTCCAGCTATTCATACTCAGATACACCAGCCAAACCCATAAGATTGAGGGAGACAAAATTGTGCAATTCAATCAATGAAGCATGCTAGTCGATCATAGTGTCCACATGACCACCTGAGTTAGCACCGGCTGAAAATCCGAAAAGTGATTAATTCAGGGCTTGATGTTTAGTGTCTGAAAGCGTAATTCAATTTCTGAAATGCTGTACTTAAGGAGTGACCATGCATGTGAGGCTTCTCATGTAAGTCATCTTTACTGAGCAGCTTTTAGTTAGTCATTCTGTCTTCATAGTGAACTTACATTCTGATTATATTGCTCATCCGGATAAGAGCAAAGAGGTTGAAGACTACATCCTGCCAAGGTATCCCAAATTCGCAAAGTTTGAGCAGCGTGCATAAAAGCGTGGCTGTCTGAAACCAGGAAATGCACATCAATTTCGTTCATACGCGCGGCTTCAGGGTAGGATGACCTTTGCTGCTGAGATTCTGCGGACAAGGCATGGGCAATGGTCTACTTTCCCGGTAAACCTAACTGAAGATCAAATGCAGACGTGTACTTAGAGTCTCAACCAACCTGCTGCAAGACTTGCGAAATTTGAATAATTTCGTCTAATGTGATCAGAACATCTCTTGTGTCTTTATTCTCACCCTTTGCCTACGCCAGGTATGCCCTTTCTGCATCTCTAGAAGTAGCAAAGGACCACAAATTGCACTCAAAACCCCAAGAACGTACAACATCAGCCAATTTCCATGCTACCAATCATGATCTCGAGCATCGCCAAGAATATCGCAGCAAGCGCACAGCGAACCAAATTGGCCGAGGCCGCTGCCGCTGAGGGTTGTTCTAGATTCACATCGGTCAGGAGCGTACCTATGCGATGGACCCCGCTTCTGGGCTGCCTACTGCATGATCTGCGCCGGGCAATGTAAAAGCCGCCAGCCGCCCAGGCAATGATCTAGAAAACCTGCGCCTTCTTTGCGCAAGTATCGCACGACTCAAGTTTGATATACTATTCCAAGATGGCAGATGAGGCTCAGCGCGTGCTCAAGGACCAGCTTACCACACTTAGTAATTCTCTTGGTGGAACACTTCCTTTGGACGATGCAATTTGTGAAGGCAAATCTCACAATCCTTGAAATGGATGTTTGAGTCATATATACTGATATCGCTCAAGTTCCCTAGTGCTTCCCGAGGGCAGCATTGTGAAGTCCGTCTATAGCCATGGCCTCTCAGCATGGTCATTCACTCTCAGGATTGAGACCACCAAGGAGAATGGAAAGCCAGAGTCTTTTTTTGCCAAGGTAAGAAGCAGAAACTCTATCATTCTTCGACTGAAAATCACCCGGATGCAGTGCCACGGGGCTAAAGACTGATGTTGCTACAGTATGTGGCTGGCGATCTTGGTCAGCAACAACTGAAAGGCGAATACACTGGCTTGACAGAACTTTACAAGCTGGCGCCAAAGCTAGTGGTCCGACCTATCGCGTGGGGCAAGCTGAAGAACGTCGAGATTGCGAGCTATTTTCTCCTCATTGAGTTCAGGCACCTTGTCACGGGCCTCCCAGATCCTGCCAAACTGGGACTTAGGCTCGCAGAAATGCACAAAAGAAGCGAGTCACCAACTGGTATGTTTGGTTTTGGCATACAGACTTACGACGGGGCACGACTACAATCTATCGCTTGGGATGCGAGCTGGACGTCTTTCTTCTCCAACCTGCTGGCGGAAGCAAAACGTCAAGACACCGAGACGAACGGAGTCTGGCCGGCAATGGAACTTGTCTTCGCAAGAGTCCAATCTCATCTGATACCACGGCTTATCGGTGCGCTCGAGACACATGGTAACTCGATCAAACCTTGTCTGATCCATGGAGATCTATGGGACGGCAATGTTGCGAGCGACGCTGACTCCGGAGACCCCATCATCTTCGATTGCGGTGTTTATTATGCACACAATGAGATGGAGCTGGGTAGCTGGAGAGCAGAAAGGCATAGATTTCGGGATAAAGTGTTCCGGCGGGAGTATCTACGCCATTTCCAGGCAAGCAAGCCGGAAGAAGAATGGGATGATAGGAATCGTCTCTACAGCGCAAAAACCAACCTCATGCATTCTGCTTGTTATGCAGGTTCTCCAGCACGGCAGCTGTAAGTCACCCACGTCTAGTCTGTATCACTAAAAAAATATCTGACGAACGATCCCCGCAGTGCTTTCGACGATTTTGTTCATTTGATCCAGAAATATGCTCCATTCGAAGATGGGTCTCAGGATTGGAAGCGTGTTCAGGATAATATAGCAGGATCACCTCGAATCGAGTAGCGCCGTGCTTGATTATGGATACATCGTGAGATGTCGTTTGGACTGGGAACATATCAACGATTCAGACATAGTTTTTATTCCCCTAATCGTAAGATGTAAGAAACTCAGCTCAGTAGTCCAAGTGAAGAGCTGGTTCCCAGTCTCGCCCTTTATGAGAACTGCTCTTTTCGATGGACTCCAGTAAGGTTCTTGTGGCATTCAATAATTCTGCTCAAGTATGGTCGCGAATCTGGTCTTCGCGAACATATAAATTCCACTGGTCTGGCATCATCAACGTGGACAAACAATCCTCGATCTGCAGAACAGGTGATCTGCGTCAACTCTTCCGACATTGGCATATGTCATTGAGATTCCAGTGACTCTACGAATATGAGAACCATTTCTCGCCTACAGAGGATCCTTGAAGATGACCCAATACCTCTTATACAGCTTCCGCTCATGTTCCCAGACCTCGTTTCAGATAGAACGACTGGCAACAAGGACAAGATTGAAGAGGAAGTACTCACTTCCCTGGGTACATGCTTCTTATTATCTCTCGACGTACAGCTTCACGAACTCTACCATTCCGGTTCGAAGTACTTAATACGACAAGGTTCACTTCCACAATTAATCACCTCATGGACGATGCTTATGCCTTGAAGATCCCATCAAAAGTCTTGAGAGGCTGGGATCCCACTGAATATTCTTCCAAACGAGAGACTGGATTCTCTTGACAAGTCCCTCAGACTGTGTACGTGGCATCTCAGGTTCTCCAAAGGGCTAGACAACATCACGAGACATGTCTCCATTCCTAGGGACTGGTTGTCATATCGAAATCTTCAACTACTGCACATCAATGCCGCTGGGACAATTTTCTGTCTTCCCAGAGATAGAATTGTAATGGTTGGTAGGACTGCTGCGTCCGCGTGGTGATGATGGGGAGACCTGTGGCACACAAATAGATTCTCATCAGGGAATGCTCAGAAAGCTCCATTTTACTTGGTCCAATATACTATAAGACAAATGTGCAGTATTATTTGCCTTTAATTGAAAACTTATGATTAAATCCTGTGTTACAAGTGTTTCTAAGCAAACACTGCTCAACAGAACTAAAGTGAACCACGTTGACTCGACAAAGTCACTGACCAATGATGAGATATTGTACTAATAGCTCAGGAAAACTTATTCTGACCCAGACCATATGTACCTTTGACATTTGCTAACATCATCAAGGCTCTGAGACTTTCCCAGTACCCAACATCTCCAATCATTCAGGGCGGCTCCCATCGTTGTTCTTACCTATCTCCTCAACGTGACTGTTCTTGGGAGTGATGGCATTATTCTCATTGTACTCACCATCCCGACTGAACTCCACGATCAAGTCGTATCTCTCGTCTCCCAATTGGGAGTCCTGATTCTTCCAAGACAAATAGGCCCTGCACGCCTTGACGGATGTGCCACCGAGAGCCTCTGCGACATGCTGCGCACTGCGCAGGAAGGGATTCTCCTGCCATGCCGGCGCCTCAGTCATAATGGCAATCTCAGTCTGGCCGGGTTCTTCCGCGTACATGAAGAAGGCCTGCTTGAAGGAAGCTACCACGCACTCGTTGACGATGTTGTGAAAAGACAGGAACCGAAGCGCGTCAGCTCTGCCACCCTGAGCAAGCCAGCAGTCCACCACCAGCTCCCAGAGCCGGATGTCAATGAAGCGGTGGCCGTATTCCTCGAGGAAAGCACTGAATACGGCCATTGCGCATCGTGAGGTGGAAACTGCGTAGAGGAATGTGAATCCGACGTATCGCCTCTCTTCCTCGGCCACGAGATATCGCATGTACCAGTCCTCGGCAGGTCCGGAGAAGCGTTCGAGGAGGGCGACTGGGTTGTAATCATTCCTAAAAACTCGCCCCTCCGTTGTACGGAATAGTCCGAAGTCAGCGATGGGCCTGGCCTTACGCCTGTTGTCAGACCTGGGGTTGGACTTGTTCACCATTTTGTGGACCTTATGATCCGGTCCCATGATTATGCTCCGTCTGTAGATTAACATGAATGATAGATAAATAAAAGAACTGAAAATGGGTCCATTCTTGTTCAGGTGGGATATATATTCGAGAGAAACGGAGTTGGCAACTGCTGTCTTGATACAACAGCATTGTAACCCACTTGAAGTCTGCAGTATAACTCGATAAAGCAAAGAAAGTTGATATAGTTGTTCTTATCTAGGAAACCAGTTGTCTGTGAACACTACCCAGTATTAGTCTGGGTATGTTGAGCCAGGTTCACAAGAGCCATTTAACCATCTATGAGCACAGGATGAGGTCGAATCACTGCGCAAACTTCAAAACTTCGGAGTTGACCTGAAGTTTACCCCACACACATTCTGCCACAATGTTTCCAGAACTCAATGCCGTGATGGTCTTTTCAGAATTATGCTTCCGGCCTAAAATTCAAGACGAGAGTGTGGACGCATGATTACTGCTGAGCACATGCAAATGCCAAGACGACAGGCTATAATACTGTGCAGAATTGTCTTTTTTTCGCGTTGCGCGGCGGCTGCAACCAAGCGCGCCGGACCGAACCACGCCCCGAGGGTTCTGGGGTTCGGACCTGATACATCCATGCCAATTCCCTTCTTGAACTTTAACCTCTTTCCCCTCTCCTTTGAACCAACATATGCCTTGAATGAATTCAAAGAACCAATTCTCCCAATCAATAAGCCATCATCATGTTGGACACAAAGGCTCTGTTGTTCTCGCCACTGCTGGAACTCTTCATCCTCATCGCTCATCTTGCCTTGCCCGCACGAGAAGTAGAAGGCTACGTTCGCGATGCCAAAGACAAACCCTTGAAGTATCGCTTGTAAGCTCACCTCCTTGACTTGATTCTCATCGCAATTTTCCCCTCCTGTCACTCACGCGTTCTTCGCTTTCCTTGCAGGAATGGCATTCTCGTTCTCGCAGCAACGGTGCTGTCCTGGGCCGGCCTCTGCACCCTCGACATTCTGCCCTGGGACTTTCTCCACGCCCACCTCTGGGAGACCTGCGCGTCTGCCTGCACAACGGGACTCATCTGCACGACATATCTCGTCGCCACCAGCTCCGACCCAGGAAACCCCTCCTCGGAGACCCTCGCATCTCAGTTCTTTCTCGGCCGCACCCTCACCCCGCGTCTCACCCTCGCAGGCCGCGTCCTCGATATCAAGATGCTCCTCTACGTGATCGGCGCCGTGCACCTCGAGCTCAACCTCCTCTCCTACGCCGCAGCGCACCACCTGTCCAGCCCGGATGATCCGAACCCCGGCGTCGCTCTCGCCGCGGCCTTCCTGAGCTGGTTCGTCTGCGACTACCTCTTCTGGGAAAACGTCCAGCTGTACACGTACGACCTCTTCGCCGAGCGCGTCGGCTTCAAGCTCGTGTGGGGATGTATGTGTTTTTACCCCTTCTTTTACCCGGTCAGTATCGCCGCCGCTGTCACGCTGCCTAACCCTCACCGTGGGACGGCCTATTATGCTTTGGCCGTGGGCATCTACTTCACCGGGTGGGGGTTGAGTCGAGGCGCGAACCTGCAGAAGTTTGAATTCAAGCGAGCCTCAGCAGAGCGCAGAGCCGACCCTAGGAGAACGATCCGGTCCAAGGATGGTAGACAAGAGTTGTTTTGTGGAGGGCTCTGGGGCGTCGCGAGGCATGTGAATTACATTGGTGAGATCCTCGAGGCCGTGGCGATCGCGCTGGCAGTCGGGCACCCCATGACTGCGTGGACGCCATGGCTTTACCCGTTGTATTACGTAGGTCTCCTGGTCACAAGGGAGAGGGACGATGACAAGCGGTGCAGGGACAAGTATGGACCTTTGTGGGAGGAGTATTGCCTGCGGGTGCCGTACAGACTCATCCCATTTGTATACTGAGACGTGTGAGATGAGTGTTCCTATTGTCTTCTTTCTTTGTGTTCCTCATTTTATTAAAACTTTCCCTTTCGTACTACCATTATGAGGATTCTTTGGGGAGGGGTATGTGTGCATCCATAAGAAGATAATCAAATCATCCGTAGAGACTCGGCCCTTCATGTCTGTCGTGGTCCTTTTCCTAACTCCATGCGCCATCGCTTGCCTTGATCCACAGAAAGAAGAAAAAAATTTCAATACCATCCTCCACTCGAGCCTGATAGAGCTTCAGTCACACAACGCTGGATCTCCCGTTCTTATGAAGTCCTCCAAGCTTATTTTCTTCGTCCTCCTCAGATATACTCTCTCGGGCGGGTTAGCTTCCAGAACGACCTCGGCGTTGATGTGCCTGTAAATGATTGCATCACCGCGTTAGCCCGCAAGTTCTCGCTTTGCCGTCCCCTGGATCCGATATGGAGAGCGTACCTGACGTGCCTCCATCGCTAACAGAAGAACTCGCCGTCACGAGCGCCACCTCGCTTCCAGCACTGCCGCTCCCCGCGACGTTACACACCATAGCTGGCGGCGCCTCCAGCGACTCAGAAACAGCAGCGAGGTTCTGCTGGTCAGCGCATCGTGGGCAGAGTTCCGCCACAGGTCTGACGGCTTTGCGCTTTGGACAGTCGAATGTGGCCTTGTAGTACTCCGGCGTGCGCGACGTTGACTGTGCCGTGTCGAACAGGAACTTAGGTCGTTGGAGCGTCAAGTTCAGCCGAGCGCCGGGGCTGTCGGCGAGGCCCTGCGCGATGGGGCACTCAGCGACATTTTGAAAATGTGTGTGCTTGCATGCTGAGACGGTGTAGATGAAGAGACACATATCTTGGGACGAGTTGGCCTGCACAGAATGGTTGAGGTCGTGTTGAGAAGCCGAGGTGAGTTGAGCGCTGGGCGTACGAGATGGCGATTTGTTGTTGCCGCTTGCTAAATATGGTAGAATCGCTTCCAGGTGCTGAGGCTCGATGTCTGCATTATCTTGGTGTCTCGAAGACAAAAATGAAATTCTCTGTCGTGCCAGAAATGTGCTTGGATTAAATCCACAGTTTACCCAGGTTGTGAGCATTCAGATGAAGAAACAACAGGAAGGGAGCAGGTTCTCGAGCACACTGGTTCCTGATGTCAATTGAAAGTGAAGGACCTGGCGCCAATCACGACGTTTTGTGGTCCAACAACAAAAGCGCGTGTTTAATTATGAGGTCCATCGAAGAAAAAAGGAAGCTTCTTTGATGCAGTTGCCAGGTCTCCTTTGTCGTTTCTCTTAACAAGACAAGAATAGACAATGTGGTCCATTGTCTACCTACCTGGCATCAATCAATGGCAGTGGGGGAAAGAACATACTGCCTGCTAATCACATCGAGCTTGCTTGCAATCGAGGGGGTAATGCTGATGAAATACTATGCCTTCTATAGCTTTCGATTATTACATCATGTGGCCACTGACACGACTGCTTTATTCTATAACTTATATGAAACAGAAGATGGTATGTCGCTGAACCAAACCAATATTACTGGGAATTCATCTGATGTTTGCATTCAACCGAAAGCAGGTCCCGGCTGCTCCATGCAACCCTGCGTTGACACTATATTGTGGACTGTTATTGATGCAACACGCCTCTGAGGTTTATAGCTACTCCAATCACACTGGCGCAGAGGGTGGTCATGAGACACAGCCAGAGCAGTTCAATGAAGGCTGACGAAAGTGCGGGACAATGAGTAGCTGTTGGTCTGCATGTGGATTAGGCCTATGGGATAGTACGAGATTAACCCATTAAGCTTTTGAGATGTGGTCACCTGTATATTACATGCCGAGTCCCATTTGTCGTTCAAGATCATCCCATCGACCTTTCTTCATTGGGTCTAATTCTCGAACCTTGGAGAGCCAAGTCTTCAAGTCAGACTGCTCATCATCTCGCAGTGACCTCTGCTCCAGAGCAGCCAATGCCAGTGTGTAGTCCATGAGTCTCTCATAGATCAACTTGCAGTCATCATAATCCTCCAATAGATCCTTGATGTCTTCAATTTCTCGAGTAATGTATGTCACTCTGTCCTTGTTGGTCAAACTTATGGTAATGGTGGGTTGGTCGACGTGCTTGACCAGATCCAACATGAGGAATTGGTGGTAATACCAGAGAGACTGGTCATCAGGCCCCACGTTCAAAGCCTCTCGGATCAAGGCCAGTTCTTTTGGAGTGTCAGTCAAGCCCAGGTTCAACAATCAAGAGATAGCAACACACTACTCACCGTCGTCAAAGAACTTCCTCCTGGCAGCATCATCCGTACCACGCTCAACCAGTAACCTGGGGATCAGCTTGCTCCGGTTGTGCCATGCGGAGAAGTTTGATAGATCGACATGAATCATTTTGGTCGTGAAGTCGAATTCCGATTCCACCATGCTTTTGCCGTTCAATACCTCACTCTCTAGCTGTCCGACAACGTTTCGACGGTAGCCCCAGGCGTGAAAATTCCGGCGGTCTTTGGTCAACATCTTGGTGTCTAGGCCCAACTCCTCCTCCCAGATGCGCCGTGCAACAGATGGCTCCAGCCGATCTATGGCCTGTTGGAGCAGCCAAGAGCGATACTTCCATATCCAGTAACACTTTGGGAATTCCATCAGCAAGGGTACCGTGAAGCCAAGCTCAGATTTGAGCACTTCCAGGTCGTTCTGTTGAGCCCTGGCACCCGTGTCCGTCTTCTCTTCTTCCGCCGCTCCAGATCCATCTTTTTCGCCGGTCGTATCAGCTATAGTACCACTCTTCCCAGTTGTCTGGGATTTGGGGCTTTGCTGGATCGTGGTCGAGGAAGAGGAGGAGGATTCGGCGGAAGACGCTGTGGTAGTGTCGGTCCGAGAAGAACTCGGCGACGCCTTCGAGGGCGAAGACCCAAGCGCAGGTTTGGACAACAATCCAGATATTAGCAAGCGTCTGCGGACGTTCCATATTGTGTAGTATTCCGGATTCAGGCGGAGTAGCTTTGTAGTGAGTTGGAAGGCCTCGGGGGTATAATCGTCGCCTTTCGCGATCTGGTTTGCGATGGAACCGTTAGCCGAGAATCGTGCCCAAGACCAGCACAAGCGTCGGAAGGGGAGGGGAGGCAGTACGTACTTGAGTGCGGATTTGTTCTTCGAGGTCGCGATACTTGCTGATCTTATCAAGCTCTTGTTGCTTCTGTTCTTCCGTGCGTGACCGGGTGGTTCGGGTTACGCCATGCTGATTCCCTTGCTATCAGTCAACTTCTCTCTTCGTACATATGCTGGATAGAGGTGCCATACACTGGCCATTTCGAGATTGTAAAGTCTTGAGATAGAAAGAAGGCAAGGCTCTTTGTTACAGTAGGCTCAACGCTGTGTGTGATTGTTCCTTGGTGGCAGTTACAGGAGGGGGTAGCGTTCAAGATGACGTTCCAAAACTGCAGGCTTGGTGTTGTGGTCTTTGGTACTGAGACATCCAGAAGACAGGGGTCCAGCTAGTGGGGCCGGCCAGTAGCCTAGTTAAAGTACTTAACAGGGGGGCTCCCCTGCACCTGCCTTTCATTTGTACTTGGTATAGCTTCAGCAATGTTGAGAAAAGTATTCTATCCTCCAAATATATTTATTTAGATTTTGAGTATGATATACACAGATTCAACTTTTGTTTACATTGTGAGGCCTTCGAGCTCACCTGCTGGATGTGCTGATGACGCTATGGCACGCCTGCCCCATGAGTTACCAAATCAGATGTCCTCCACCTCGAAGCAGCAGTATCAACTTTTTGTGGTCATAGTTTATGATGAGTTTCAAGTCTCTCTTTCCCCTTGACACTCTCGATTTCTAGTGCGTACAATCCATTACAGTGCAATTGTCCTCTCCTCTTTCCGTTTCTCTGCATCTGTCCAAGTCTTCCCTGACCTCATCCTCAACCCTGTTTTTCAACATACCTACGATGACTTCTTGCTCCTCCTATCATATACTGAACAGTGTTATGACACTCTCAATCGACCACATCTTTCCAGGACTACGCATTCTCCCTTGATGGTTTGAGAAGTTCTGCAGTTGCTTATGCCCTCTTGGCCATAGCAATCGAAGCTGTCGCCTTCTGTCTGCAGAGGCAGGTGGGACAGCTTCTCTCATCTCATATGTTTACCCGCCCCATCTCCTCTTTAGAAACAGGCCCGATTTCCTCCCTGTTGAATTTCGAGCACACTTCTTTATCGTATTTCTCGCCTCAGGTCTCCTCCAGCCAGTCACTCACTACCTTCGCTTATCTGCATGTCTCCGACTTGACTGATACGCATGCTTCCAAGCTCGAAGCCCCGTGGACATCTGCGATCTCGGACACCTGAGTCCCCTGCAGCTCACGATGGCCGGACCAAGCACGCCTGTTACTCCGCGCACGCAACAAGTTTGTCTTGAACCTCCAGGCCGCACCGGCCGCTCCGCAGACTCCGGGTATGGCTCGCTCGAGACGTCACCGATACGGTCAATTCCGAGATACCGTCTCGGCCGGACGGCTTTGTCTATTAGTACAAAAACATACGATGGGACCAGCTCAGAAGAGTCAGACTCTGAGACATCAGGACAAAATACGCCAGAAAAAGAAATCTTCTCCTCGCCAAGCATCGAACGTGGGAAGTTCGCTACTCTTCCCAGTGTATCAAGAAGACGGATTTCACGAACCGATTCCTATCCAGTCATGACTCGGCCCAAATCCACCCACCATCGCCATGGATCTGACAACACTGCTATCAATGGTTCTAGAGCAGGATCACTGAAAGCTCTAGATCGATTTGTACCGACGAGAGATGAGAGGACACCTCGGTCAGAGAGGCTGCAGACTACCCGTGCTTTGCAAGATCTCTCGCCATCTGAACGACTGGTGCGTCACAACCAAGATGCTCCTGACCCTTTTTGCTTCAGACGGCGGGCTCTGCCACCTTCCCCAACGGAGGCTCGAAAGTCAAGACGGCCAAGCCAGAGTGGAACAGTGCTTGATTCAGCCTCGGTCGATGAGACAGACAGAAGAGTGGTGAGTTCTCTCGAATGTTCTCCCTCCCTCTCTCTCCCTGTCTTTTGTTCCGAGGAGGAAGACGTGGCCTTGACAGAATTAAAATGATGTGCTTGGTCTGAGCCAGATCCCTCATGTAGATCGTGTTTGACTGTGTTTGTCGTGACTGACATTGATTGTAGTTCAGTAGCAGTATCTGGTCCATCGGGGCCGTTGTTCCCAGTCATGGAGCCATCGAAGACGGTCGGGGTGGTCTTTTTACGAGTGGCACCAATGCTCCCATGTTCAATACTCAGTTTCCCCCGTCACGGCCCAAAGATGAAGAAGATGCCGAGAAACATGAGGCCCGCCTCGCGTCAGCCTTCGAGATCGACTAGTCATCGAGAATACTTGGTCTCGATCGCTTCTCAACCATGGCGGAGAAGCAGCCGAAGATGCTCAACCGGCAGTCAGGGCGCAAGACATATTGGAACGGTACGCAACTAGTCAGAGAAGACCATCCTACGAAGAAGTCGACCAAACAAGCACCAGAGCTGCGGACGCTACCAGTTGCTCCGTTCAAGGTCCTCGATGCACCTAGTCTGCGAGATGATTTCTATTGTTCCATATTAGCCTTCGATCCTGTCTGCCAGACCTTGGCTGTGGGTCTTGGTGCGAGACTTTATAGTTGGTCGGAGCTCACGGGTGTCCAGACGCTTGAGGACAACGGGCTCAGTGATATCTCATGGCTGACCACGCTTGATTTTTCATCGGCTCAGGGCAAGAAGTGCATCCTCGCGTACGGTCGATCGAACGGAATCTTGAACCTCATGTCGCTTTGGGATGCCCCAACACTATATGACCGGCAATATCCTCGGTTCAGATTTGCTCCACACGTCGAAGAAGCCCCGGTTGCCTGTGTCAGCTGGAAGCCCACCGTCTCTCTGCGCCCATCAGTCAACCCTTACAATCCCGGCCACCTTGTCGAGAATGAGGATCTCCTCGTCGGCGACGAGCACGGCAATGTTTTTTACTACGCTGTCGAGTGGCCCCGGTCATGGGAGACGTATCGCCACAACTGGCGAGGCAGTGTTCAGTGCCTCGCGTACATCACAGCTCATACACAGCAGATCTGTGGGCTTTCGTGGTCGCCGAGCGGCAGCATGTTCGCCACGGGAGGCAACGACAATATATGTTTCCTCTTTGAGGCTCAGAATGTTGCTGCACCACCGGAGGAGCTCGATCCTGACCGAGAAGTGGAGAATACTTTGTCTGCATATCGGGAACCGATTCCGCCCCAGACCACTGGCGAACAACTTGAGCTACGACACTTAATGACCGGCTTTACAACAGGGAGGCAGTCGCCGTTGCTTCTTCCTGGGCCTGGTGCTTCTATAACTACACAACGGCAGACATCATTGTCTTCGTCTAGCAGCACAAGCCAGCCCGTGACCTTCGGGTCGATCGATGATCGGCTGTCGAGCATGCCCATAACCTCACCCTTTGCGCGTTTTCTTCGCTCTGATACCAACACTCGCCTCTGGGACCTCAGCCGTATCACCGCCGAGCGTGCTACGCCCCGTTATTCGCCAGCCTTACCTGCCAATATCTCGGCCGCGTCAGATTCCTTCCGACACCCACTCTCTAATACGTCGGGGAATCCACGCATCATTGGTGAGCGGCAGGCCAAGCATCGGTGGGAGCATACGGCTGCTGTGAAAGCCATCGCCTTTTGCCCTTGGCGGGATGGGCTCGTTGCCACTGGGGGTGGGTCTCACGACAAGTGCATCCACTTCTACCACACCACGTCCGGGGTGGCACTGGCTACCATCGCGGTGCACGCGCAGGTGACGAGCCTCATATGGAGCACAACACGGCGAGAGATCGCTGCAACATTCGGGTATGCCCAGCCAGACCATCCTTATCGGATCGCCGTATTCTCTTGGCCTGAGTGCCGGCAGGTGGCGGCTATCCCGTAGGAAGGGGAACACCGGGCACTGTACGCAATACCTTACCCGCAAGGTCCACCAGATTACAGGGCTGCCAGAGATGCGACAGGACACCCAAGAGATCGAGACCGAGAGAGACGCGAGAGGGAGAAGAGGCGAAACCGCACCGCCATGGAGGGGTGCGTAGTCGTCGCTGCCAGTGACGAGAGCATCAAGTTTCACGAGGTGTGGTCAGGCGGAAAGAAGGCAACGGTTGGTGGTGCAGGGCTTCTCGGTGGGAGTGACATACTAGAAGACCTGGAAGGGATCGAGAAGGAGGGGGATGTCATTCGTTAAGATATCAGCCAAACACAGAAATGGTCCTTGGGCTGCTCCCGGCTTCTGCGCAGATTGAAAAGATCTGTCAATCGTTCGGTTGGAAAAATAGGTAAGTCAAAGAGCGTTGGCTTGGCCATTACATGTTTTCGTGGTGGGTGGTACGTTTCCCAGCACACCAACAACAACAACAACAAGTTTCATTATAGAATGGTAGCATAATTACAAGCAGGCAGTAGACAATAGAGAGCAGTGCGGTCCTGGGGAGGAGGTTGTTCGGATGTATAGTCGGTTGCTGACCACATATTCGTCCTTTGGGGGATGTCCATACCACGAATCAGCATGTCTCTCCTTGCCCATACACGCCTGCTTGTCTCTTGTGGCGTTGCTAATAGGCTGCTGCTGCACCTCCTGCTGTATGCAACCTCCCTCATGTAGATAATATGCTGCATGGCTGTGCTAAAAGAAGGTGGTATGTTGCTTGAAAGACGTTAGAGCCTCTTCAAAACAGGATTCTGCCAAGTTGGTTGCCGAGTGTTTCTGACGACTTATACGCTGGGCCGAAGTATGCGGAGCATGAAGCAGAGATGAGGTCAGTGATATCACTCAAATAATTAGCCGTTTTCTTGCAACACTTGTGTACTTAATATGCCAAACAATTTTATAATGAGGCTCTGCGGAGGCTGCAACGCTCGTCTCAAGCTTTATTGGTATTCAATTCAATGAGCGAGGTCTGCACACAGCTTAGCATGAGTTTGGACAGATCAGGTGACTATCCAGAGGATTTCACAGCACTCGTCTCTGACATGTAGTGATAATTCATTACCACTTCAAGGAAAGAGTGTCCCACGACAGCTCCTTAGCTAACTAAAAACTTATCATCATTAAGTAAAAGAAAAAAGTAAATAATCAATCGTTTAGAGAAAACACAAACACAGCAAGCCCTGCCCCCTGACCACTCCCGGCTCCGGTCATGTCGTTGCTCTTCAGCAGCCGCAGCAACGACCTCACTCCAGAGAACCGAGGGCGGCGGCGGCGGCGGGTTCGTAGCCGTGCCTTTTCACGGGGACGTGGCGAAAGCGGATTTGGGGTTGGGGTTGCAGCAGCAGCAAGACAGGCAAAGAGATGATAACGGCAACAACGGTAATAATACTGGTAACAATGACATACATTCCAACGTCAACGTCATCGCCCCAGGTCGGACGGCACGGGGTTGTGAGGAGGTGGCCGTCCGCGAAGGGGTAGAGCGCGAGGTGGTCCTGGCGCCGTCGGCCATGACGCTGCCGTGGAAATGGCAGGCGGCGAAACGGAGGGTTTTGCAGGTGAAGAGCTTGCTTGATGAGAGCGAGGAGGGAGGCGAAGAAGATGGCGGCGGTGGTTTGGCTTCTTCTCTAGGAAAGGATGAGGAGGACAGGGTGAAAAGAGCGGGCGATGGGGAAAACGATAGTCAGGAGGAACACGGTGATAGTTGTGGCTGTATTCATTCAGAATAGGAGGTGGTTGAGGAGGAGCAGAAGAGTTAATAGCACTGCAAGTTGGGTTAAGGGTCCGTATGTACAAATAATTATACGGTCACATAATCATTCCATAGGTGATTAATTAGTCATATATTCTTTCCTAATCCAAAGTAGAAACTCCTGGACAAATACCTCGTATGGATGGTACTAATGCTCATGTAGAAACTGCCTTCTCCCTTTGTATAAGGAATTAACGCCGGTGAATTTGTTTACCCCCAACAACCGGCAACCTTGAAATTCCACCTCTGATGTATTTCTCTTGAAGAAAACGTTCACAGTATTTGGCCCCATGCTTCAAGCTTCCGAGATCATCAATAAACCTCTCAGCAAAGTTTCAGGAATTTCCTTTTCATCAAACGCTTATCGTCTGTCTGCTTTTCCCTTCCGAGTCACTACGCTCACAACGACCCAATCGCCACGCGGATGTCCCCACTTGTAGTATGCGCCTTAATACCCCCTCCCTTCTCGATACTCCCCTTGTGTGCCAGCACAGCTTTCTTGATACCAGGGAACCCATCTTCCCGCCGGCGGATGATCTCGACCCCTTCGCCTCCGACGTTGATCTTGCCGGACAGGGTGTCGGCGTCGATGAACCCTTCCCAGGATGATGGGTAGGTCACACGGATCCGGGCACTGGTGGCTGTATGTTTGCCAGAGAGTACACGGAGGGGTGGCGAGTTCATATGAGCGGCACCGGTTGGAAGGATGGGTTGGCCGGGCTGCTGTGGCTGAGACGGCTCTTCGGGCTGCAGGAGGTCATAGGGGTCTCCTCCGCCGATAGGAATGACAACAGTGCCATCGTCATCATTCCTGGGATTTGAGGGGGGATAGAAAGGCGGTATCGGCGCGCTCGGCGCACGAGGAGGCACTGGTGCGACAAGGGGTGGGCTCACGTATGCGCCGGTGGCTAGGTCCGTCCACATCACCTCGAGCACGCCAACCGTCGTGTCACCACTCGTAGACGATGTCTCCACAAAAGATTTCCTTGTCTTTGAGTTGCCGTCACCCTCAGCAGCAGCAGCATCGCTGAGGAGGACGTCGAGGGCTTGTGTCTGGTCCAAGACCGGCAGCAAGGTCAGGTCCATCTTGCCCGAGGTGGTGTGCGTCTTAAACGAAGTGCCAAACGCCACGCTGGCTTTCACCGTGCCTGACATGCTCTGCAGGTCAACGCCGTAGGATCGCGGCGGGATAAGGTCCTCTGGCCCGCTGGCAATACTGGCTCCTTTCTCCTGCAGGGCCCGGGTGGCGGTGGCCTCGGTGATGGGCTCGTACACCTCAATGTTACCCGAGATGGACTTCGCATACAAAATTGCGGGGCGGGGTCTGTCCTTAAGCGCGTCCTTGGGCCGGACGCCCGCGTGGATCGAGCCGGAGATGGTCTCGAGGCCGAGATAGTCATACAGCGGCCAGGAGCCCATGATGTTACCTGAGATGGTCTTGATCTCGACGTTGCGCGTGTCCAGGTTGAAGGTGGTAGGCGGCGCATTATGCATGAGGTCAGCCTTGTCCTTCACGCCGTCTGTGGCGGCGACGACGGAACCAACCGTGCTGGCCAGCCGGGTAGAGCCTCGCAGCTGCAGCGACAGGTTGTCTAGCAGCTTGACGCCGAGGTGGACGGTCTCGACGCTGAGCTTGTCGAGGATGCTGTCTGCTGGCACCCAAATGGTCGCCTGGACTACCGCACAGGGTGACGAGAGGCTGTCACTCCATGAGATAGAGCGCGGCGTCCAGATCTTCAGCCGTTGCTCGTCGTCGTCCCAGTCGAGCTCGAGTTTGAGACTGCGGTCGTTGACTATAGTCTGCACCTTGATCGACGGCCCAGGGGTCCCAGCACCCGAGCGCCGGATAATCACATCGCCACTGATGTGGACGTCTTTGCCGTCGTGGGCGTAGTCGTCCTTGATGTCCTGGAAGACAGAGATGTTGCGCGAGGCCGAGAAGTCCAGCCGAAGCTCGACATTCTGGGACTTGGCTACCTTGGGCGCACACATGCGGCTGTCCGTCCACGTCAGAGGCCCGTCGAAGGGAGGATAACTTAGTTTGACACCGTCGTCATCCTGATCTGGGATGTCTCCATCGCCCACCTCTGGTAGGGATTCAGCTGGTGGGCTGCTGCCAGGGTTGCCTCCTGGGGCCGTGATCTTTCTCTGCATAGCTACCCGTTAGCGACTGATGAAAGGGCTAGGCCTTGCACTCATATGATAATAGTATAGAGAGGAACAGTTGCAATGAGAGAAGAGATGAGGGTAGGGTTTAGTGGTTCCGTTGATGTACAAGCACAACAATCATAATGATGACAAGCCATGCATGCCATCGCCCACGTCAGCACTATAACCGATTGCGTCACTACATCCATGAACGAGAACAAGATGTCGTGTGCACGCAAATAGCAAATGGTGCAAGGGCCAATGGCAATCCTAGTAAGCAACTTACCTCATTCTTGACGCCCTTGATCGAGCTGACCAGGAAGCCGATCGTGATGAACAGCAGGATCACGCCGAGGATGACCATCTTCCAGTGTTTCCTCCAACTGAGCTGACCCAGCCGCTCTCTCCATCCATGAGGAGGTTGAGGGTGGTAGTCATAGTGTCCATTCTCATCTGGCTCTCCTCCCATGCTCTGTGGGGTGATGGTTTGGTACGCCTGGCCATTCAGGAGGCCACGCCTCTCGGGCGTCGAAGGGCGACCCATGTTTCCGGTAAAGGCGGAATGACTCGTACCAGTAGTCGACGGTGGTGAAGAGGAAGAGGTGATGCCCTGATAAGTGAGAGAAGGCCTGCTCGAGTGGGTTAAAGGCGACGTAGGTGAGGGTGTGTAGGCAGGAGGGGCCTCGCTGAACAGCGACGAGCGCTCTGAATATATCGTATTGCTGCGATGGGAGCGGTTGGCCGAGGTTGCCAGCCCTGCAGCAGATGACGACGTCGCCGAGGGCGTGTACCTATAATGATGGGCCGGGCCCGACCTCGAGGATGAAGAAGTAGCGGTTCGAGGGCCCGTGGATATTGATAGCGGCGGATGTGGGTTCAGCAGCGAGAAGGCCGAAGGAAAAACTGCTGCTGGGTGGTGATTGTGAGAACCAGGAGTGCTATTGGTGGCGAGATTTGGAAGGTGTGTAGTAGTAGACTCTGGAGGGTCATGATTGCTCCTGGTGGACGAGAAGGACGGAAAAGAAGGTCGGTTTTGATCGCGCTCTTCTTGGGCCTCTCTTGCTTTGCTCTCGGCGGTGGACCCTTGCTCTAGTGACGGGTCTGACACCCAGACATCTGGTACATGAGGTACTTGGGACGATAGGGGTGGCAACGCGGGCGACGACGTGGCACCAGGTACCTCGAGATCGTCTTTTGGCTGCTGAGCAGGAGAATAGGTGGACAGGTAGGGATGGCTCGGGTCATCCTCACAGCTGGACTCCGGTCCAGAGACCCAAGGAGGTCTATTTCCAGCCCCAGATCCAGACCCAGATCCAGATCCAGCAGGACCTTCTCCTGGTAATACGGGACGTCGACCAAAGTATCCATCTGATGGCGATAGTGCTGCCTCTTGTTCTTCTTCTTCTGCTGCTGCCTCATCTGGCTGATGGTGACCATATTGTTCATCATAAAGACCATCGGCGACTTCTTCTCCTCCTCCTCGTCTATGCGCACCAGTGTTTCCTCCGTCTCCCGTCAGGGCTGTATACAGATCCTCGTCGGCATCTGATGAGTCGTCAAGCCCACTGTACATGTTGTCGGAATAGGGAATGCCAGACATTGTGTACAGGAAATGTAGAGGAGGGGGACGTGCCCTGGTGGGTGTGGAGGCTCTCCCGCGCCCCGAAACGGCTTGGCGGCCTGCTTTGAAACTATCGCCAAGGACAGAAACGTCGCGAACCGTGCTGCGCTATGGCAAGAGAGAGGGACAGAGACGTGGGCCTCCTCTCTTCCTCCGTTTCGTTTGGCGTGGAAATTTCTCTTCTTCTTTTTCCCCTCTGCTTACTTTGAAGACGCAACCGATGATGCGTCGTCTAAACCAATGAGTGGCACGAGTGGATGAACAAACAGAAAGGGGCCGAGGACGACGACGATACCCACGATGAGGAGGACGTAGTCAAGATGCAATCAATGTAAGAAAGACGGACAAAAATTGAGGCGCGACAGAAAGATTCGCGGCTGGGGGGAAACAAAAGGCACTGGTCCTAATTTACATGTATTTCCCTAGCCTACTTAGTACCACGTTCAACATGCAGGAACAAGGTTCTTGGTGAGAGAAGCCCCTCACTTCATCATCGTCCCTTCCTCTTGGTGAGGCTAGAGCTGCATCTTTGACTCAAAAGCTTCGTCAGCGCTATCAAAGGCTTGGAGCCCCGTGGGAACCCCGCCTTCTACTCCGTGTGTTCTATGGTGGTATGGTTGGGAGGGCTCCCAACCCCGATAACCCATGTGTGCAAAAATACCAAACTATGCCGAACGCCGGGGCCGTTATCGTCTACTTCATGCCAGGAGATAAGTGGGATAGCAAAAACGTTGTACAGTACGCCGAGTTGTTACCAATCGAATGGAAGAGGCTGGAAGACGGCGCGGCGTCCGTCAGCAAGGACCAAAATCCGACCGAATGGTTCCCATGTTGCCCCTCCTCTTCCCTCCAATAGGTGGGTGAGTGGGGCCATTGGTTCATGGGAAAGCGCAACATCTCAGGCCATATCAAGCTTAACGCGTATGCACGTAAGCTTAAATCAAGAGGGGTTACAATGGCCTTCAACATCTGCTTATTGGCCAGTATGCACCTTGAAGGATCAAGACTTACGAATACTATAGTATTTCCGCAGGAGGACGACGCGTGCGGTGACGACTTCACCTGAAAGGGGCAAGGTGAGAGAGGGGCGCATATACAACACAGTGTAGGAGATAAGCAAATCAGACCACCTGAGTCTGTCTTTACTTTGTTATGACGTTTGCCGTTTGCAAAAGGTTTTCAATGCAACTTAGATCTAGAGTAAGGGGTGTTCGTGGTTATCGTATGAGCATTGCTTAATGTCGATATGCATCGGGCTGTGGACTACATGAACGTCTTTGACCACGATGGCCTCCGACCCATCCATTTCACTCTCTATCGAGTATATTGTGTGAAAACCGCTCTCTCCAACAATCATGTGTCTGCTGTATCTCGGTCTTCTCTGGTATCATCATCTTCCCTCCTTTATCATTGTGTGTGTCACTTGCCCTCTCCACGCGTGTCTCCAACGCCTTTGGCTATTTTGACCCAGTAAAACGAATCCAAATTCAATCAAAGGCTCACCTAGCTTGTTTCCACCAAACGCCATGTGCAGATGCAGTCGTTTTTGGTTTTGTGTTTTTCTTCTCTTCTTTGTTTGTATTCCATGCTGGCTGTTTTGCCAGCTCCCCCCCCCCCCCTTTATGTGATGTCTGATGACCACTGACCACTGAAAGTCTTCTTTCCCGACAGCTCGCATCAGTAAAGCTGTCAGGCTTCTCTCGTAAACAGTACAGGAGGCCCGAGGTCAATTGGTCGAGTGTGGCTAGATTCTCTCAGCTGCGTTTGATCCTAGATCTGCGTTCAGTGCAGGCCCATGGTCCGCTTCGAGCTCTCGTAGACGACCCAGGTGATGCTCAGCGCCGGGGCGACCTTGAGCAGATTGGGTGTCAGACCCTTGTACATGCCGCGGAAGCCCTCATTCTTCCAGGTCTTGCATGTCACATCCCAAATGCCGGTGTAGGTTGGCGGATGCATGCGGGTGCCCTGAGTCTGGAGACGGGTGCGCAACACGTTGATCGGGTACACAGCAGTGGCACCAAAGGCGCCCGAGCAGGCACCAATGAAACCAGTAATCAGGTTACCTGGGGCTGCATCTTCCTCGTGAATGCCGTAGTAGCGCGCCTTCTGGATCGTATAGGATTTCTTCAAGAACTCGAAGGTGCCCATGTCGATGGCGCTGTAAGGAAACATGCCCACGAGACCCATGGTGAGGCCACGATAGGCTGAGCGAAACCCGCCCTCAACTACCATCTTGCGGGCCGTCTGTACAAGCAAGGCGTTTCCGGTGGGGCCGCCCTGGACAGTCTCGCACTGCAGGCGAAACTTGAGAGTATCAACAGGGTAGACGCATGCCCTAGTAGAATTTGTAAGTACGGATTGCTTGTATGTGGGAGGTGCGACGCCCCGATGGTTCGACTCACTGTGCCGCCATGCCTGCAAACCCACCGGCCACGAATTTGGAGTACGGATTGATCTTGGTGGGATCGCTGTGGCCCTCGAGCGTGGCCAGAGTGCGCTTTGCCGCCTCGTACGAACCGAACTATAGATCGACGGTCAGCGGCTGTCAAGACCATCATAGCTGAGTAGACAACTACTTACCTTGATCGCCGTCTCAGGCATGATTTTGAGCACGTTCAGCCCATTGCCTGCCATCCATGTCAGACACATATTTCCACGACTAGTTGAATCACAAGCCCCTCCAGCACCCAAATGTGGCCACTTGGGGGCGAGTATTATGGTCAAGGTGTGGTAAAGGGCTCGGGAGTAGACAAGCTTACCAGCGAAGAAGGTACGGATTCCGCCAGCCTTGTACAGTTCACGGACGGCGGCACCAATGGACTTGACTCCACCTCCGCCATTCGTAGCACCTGTGGCGACAAGAAGCGCGACCTTGATACGGTCAAGGGGCGCGGTCGCGGTACGAGAGACGCCGCCCGCGAGAGCACCGGCGAGGAAGTAACCTGGTTCAGGGAGGTATTGTGTTAGCCCTGTTTTCGTTTCTTCATCCTCATCGTACTCTATTCCATCGACATCAATCTCGCGCGAATAAAGCTGGGGGTCAGGATCGTGGTAGCGGTGGTCATCGTTGTCGTATTGGTGTTGGGCATCCAAGAGATCGACGTCGCCATTGGTCTGCTTGTTAGAAGTACCTGATGCGTCCATGATCTGGAGGTCCTCAGCTGCAGTGCCAGTGGCCTGCTGGACTGCACTGGTGGGGATGGTGGTGCTGTCAGAGATGCTGCCCGCTGCAGCTTGGGGATAGGAGGAATAGGCTGCAGCCATCCTATCCTCCTTGGTATTGTTGTTCTTGTTCTTTTTCATTTTGAATTGCCTTGATGGATTGGATTGTGGCGATGTGGGAGGCTGCTGTTGTTGTGGCAGAGTGGCGATAAGGTCTGGTTGAGGGGATGGTGATGTTGTCGACGTTGTTGATGGAGATCCAGGTCCAGGTCCAGATTCAGATCCAGGTCCAGTTTCACCACGGAGCTCAGAAGTTGGAGGTGGGTTCAGGTAAGGAGATTGTTCAGGAGGGGTGGGTTGTGCGAGCCTGAGAATCGACCCAAAGAGTGCTTGAAGAAGAAAGCCCGTCGTACCTAGACCTTCGAGTGTTTCTTCTGTGACCATAGAATCTCCCTCAGCATTCAGCATAACCACAGAGCTGTAGTATGAGAGCGCTGCCTCTAATGGAGAGCCGTTGGTGCTAGGCATAAATAAGAGAAAATCACTTCATGGATTTTGGTGAATTAGCATAATATTCACAGGCCATGGAAGAATACCATCCGGATGGGGCGACCCCCCTCTACTTTCTGCCAATATCCAGCCTTTCCTAGCACCTCAAGAATCATTGTGACAATGAGCGCACCACTAGGCTGTGAACCAGTATCCTAGCTTTCCAGAGCGATTTGTTTTGCTTCCTCTTTTTTTCCTCACGGTCTCAAGATCACAACACGCAATAGGGGGAGATTCAAAATGGCCAACGCAGGGAGAGAAAAAAAGAAAGGAAAAAGTGACATGCTTACCGCCACTCATCAAAACTGATGTATCCATCATGATTCATGTCAATCTCGTCAAAGAAGCCAGCTAACCTGCGCCTAGGCACAGACAGACCTGCTTTTTGGAAAGCTGCTGCCAGCTCGTCAGGCCCAACCCTGCCATCATGGTTCCGGTCTATGGATGTGAAGAGGAGAAGCAGTTGACGCTCAGCAGCCTCAACAAAGACTCGAAATTCTGCATAGTATCCATTCAAGATCAGCGATGCGCTCCGAAAAATGGCAGGCCCCGTTGCCACCCCCCCCCCCAGATTCCAAACAACCGTACCTTCGTATTGGATCTTGCCGTCATTGTTGCTGTCGACCATCTGTATGATTTCCTTCATCATATCATCGGCATTTTTCAAAGCTACATCTCTCCATCAGCGGTTGCTTGAGGTGTCATGATATGCCAGGCAGCTCACGATGGTCTATCCTTCTCAACCCCTTCTGCAGGCCGTTCAGATCCAGCTCGTTCGTCCCCTGCGGATCCAACTTCCTCCACAGCTCCTCAACCCTCTTGTCTCGCTGATTCTGCGACTCTGCGAGCTCCATCTCGAACTCCTTGACCACCTTTGTGATCTGCATCCTTGCTACTGGTGTATCATTGCACGGGAAAACCAGTTTTGCCGGTGGAAAGGTGGGGAGAGTCGGAAGGCGATGTGCGAAAGGGAGAGTGTTCGAACCCAACTACAAGTTGGGTGCGCTCTTCCGAGGGGGTGATGGGTTGCGTTCGCGCCGTTTGCTATGTTCGTATCATGGCTCGATGTGGAAGAGGTTGGCTTGTCGCAATCGCAAGATGAGGTCTGGCGCGCAGTCACCACGCCAGGGGGGGTTGCGGTACTCAGAGGCGGCAGTAGACTGGCTGGCCTTATGAGACTGTGCTCAATTGGTTTTCCTGTTTCTGTGGTAGACAGTCCACGCTGGTGTGGCTCTTGTGGTACTGTTGCATCAGGAGATGATGACCTCAGTTGAAGCTCTTTTGGTCACCGTTGGAGAAACACAGGACGTTCATCAAACTGCTCAGGCCTTTTGCCCAGGGCTTGTTTGGGTAAGGATGGCGGCCCCAGGCCTGTCCCCCACTTTCTGGAGCTCCATCCTGGTTTCGACCTCACCCCACGGACCTTTCCTTACTCGGGCCGAGGCGCTCACGTCACTGGGTGTCTCTCTTTAGCGGGTTCCCCTAAATCCCTAATCACAGGGCATTCATAGTAAGTGGGTTGCTCTGAAGGTCCCTGATTAACCTACCAGACAAATGAGTAATGCTTGCTAGAAAGCAATCCGCTGCTGCCGTCCACCTGTGCAGTGATACGTCTTCTCTTTTTCGACCACTACAACAAGAGCAAGCAGCACATTACAGCCACGGGGCTGGGGTTGGGAGGCCCTGTGCTGATGATTATTTCCTGGCTGCTATGGCGGCCAACTACTGGGAGTCCACCCAGCGAAAGCACTGGCAGTTCACCAAGGAGCAGCTGGCCTCAATCCGCCAGAAGCTCGAGGATGAAGACCCAGCGCTGGTCCAGAGCTTTGGCCTGCCACAGCTACGACACCTGAACATATTCTTCAACCAGCGTGAGTGCCCTCCCTAGCCATGCTATTCAAATAGGAGCATAACAGAAGCTAATGATGGCGGTCGTCACGTGTGGGTAGAGACCAACCGCCTCGCAAAGAGACTCGGGACTCGACAACAGGCCATCGCCACCGCCCAGGTCTATATCAAGCGCTTCTACACAAAGGTCGAGATCAGGAGGACCAACCCTTTCCTTGTCATGGCAACGGCTCTATACCTGGCTTGTAAGATGGAGGAGTGTCCGCAGCATATTCGGCTTGTGACACAGGAAGCTCGAGGCCTCTGGACTGGTACGTACTCGGCTGGGCATTTCCTCCTTCCTCTCCATGCGGTTGATTTGATGCTTACATTGCATTGCCAGACATGCAACTCTTCCACGAACCCTCCAAAATTGGCGAGTGCGAGTTCTGGCTCATATCTGAGCTGAACTCGCACCTCATTGTACATCAACCCTACCGTACCCTGACTAGCTTACAATCCAACCTGAACCTTACCAACGACGAGCTAGCCCTGGCCTGGTCCATTGTTAACGACCACTACATGACCGATCTTCCGCTAATCTACCCACCGCACACTATTGCTCTCACCGCCATCCTACTGGCCATCGTCTTCCGGCCGTCTCAGAACAGCGGTGCTGCGCAAGGCCAGGCCCAGAGCCCGAGCTCGAGCCAAGGGTCAGGCACGGGGACAGCTGGGCTAGGCACACCCAATGTGGCCAGTGTGAATGCCATGACCAGCGCGCTCAATCAGCTGCAGCAGAGCCGCCAGCCGATGACCCCTGGTGCTGTGCAGGGGCAACAGTCGAGCCAGCAGGGTGTGGACAGTGCAAGCAATGCCCACAAGATTGAGCGGTACAGCAAGGTGCAGCGTTTCGGGCACTGGCTCTCGGAGAGCAATGTTGATCTCGAGGCCATGGTGGACTGTACCCAGGAGCTCATATCGTTTTATGACTGCCATGAAGCATATAATGATAAGCTGACAAGGGAGCAGATCGTGCGGTTCATCAAGGCCAGAGGATTAGATAAGGGATGAGACAGCCTTGAACAGCTTACGCAGCAGAAAAGCAAGAGAGAAGAAGGGGGAGGAAGAATCATAGCACAACCCTTGTGCAAAGCCCAGATCAAAATAATGAATATATCGTGGGGTCTCAGACTGGGTCAGGGAGGGCCTGGTCATCGGATCGACGAACTCGAAGGCACGGTTGAAGGGATCGATCATCACACACCGAGGAAGGTCTTATGATGGCTATAGAGAGAGAAGAGGAATCTGTCCACATGGATGGTTCTCATACCAGCTGTCTCGACTGGCAACCTTCTGAGGTTGATTGCCCGACACAAGCTCGACCATGATATTATCACCCAGCAAACTTGCTCATGCCCATACGCTGAAGGGAAAAGATCTCGGTCACCATGAGATTCCGCATCACGACTCGCACAAGAAGCTTGCCATGATGGCCTTTCCCTTGAATTGCTCATCATTGGGGGATGGAGTGGTGTTTTCCATAAGGATTCGCATAGGCATGCCGAAGTCGACCGAATGGGTTTTCGATCTACCACGATCCACGTTGCAGATATCCCTAGTGGACTTCAAGCGCGGTCAGAAAGATTTGCCCATGTTTCTCATATCAACGAAACCCAGGAGAAGAGTTATTCCCAGGGTCAGCTGCCTGTGGCGAGCCGGATGAGCAGCCCTGTTCACCCCGCACCCCGCGCTCACAACTCACTCGGCACTTTGGGCTGTCTTTGGAACGACAGAAGAAAAACAATTGCTTCTGGTGAGATACATAGCATAGGGCTACAGCCAGCTTTTAAGAATTTCTGAACCATTCCTATCCTACTCATAGAATCAAGTTAAAGGTATACATCGTGTGAGACATTCCGAACCAATTCGAAAGACCAATATGCCTGGCCTCATTCAGGAAACGGTGTTCCGGACCATCACGGTCAAGGAGCTCCATCCCACCTTCGGCGCTGAGATCCAAGGGGCTGACTTTACCGATATGAGCGATGAGCAGCTTGATGAGATCAAGGCAGCCTTAGCAAAGGTGAGAGAAACGAGAAAAGATGGGAAAGAGACATAGTAGCACAAGCCTGCCTCTCTTTACACTCACTAACCTCCACCGCCACCCCCAGTACGGCTTCGCCGTCTTCCGCAACACAAACCTCACGGACGACAGCCACGTCGCCTTCTCTCGACGCCTAGGCGAGCTGGACAACATCGCGCGCTACATCACCCCCGGCCGCAAGCTGCGCTACACCCAGCTCGAGCTCTTCGACGCCTCCAACCTCGACGGCGACGGCGCCGTCGTCCCCAGCGATAGCCCCCGCGCCCACTACAACAGGGGCAACGCCCTCTTCCACGTCGACAGTTCCTTCAACCCGCGCCGCGCCTCCTTCTCCTGCCTGCGCGCCGTGGCCATCCCGCCCACGGGGCAAGGGGGCGAGACCGAGTTTGCCGACTCGCGGACCGCGTTCGAGGGCCTGGACGAAGGGGTCCGTGCTCTCGTGCTGGGTGGCGATGAGGGCGCAGCGCTCGTCGGTGCGCACTCCATCTCCCACAGCCGCAAGACCGGGTCTCCAGAGTTCTTCAAGGACCTCGACGTGTCCACCGCGCCGATGGCGCTGCACAGGACCGCGCAGGTCCATGAGCCGAGCGGCAGGATGAACTTGTACGTCGGTGCACACCTGCACCACATCGAGGGGATGGAGGAGGGTGAGTCGACTGCCCTGATCAGGTTGTTGAATGAGCATGCCACGCAGGCCAAGTATGTGACGAGCGTCCAGTGGCAGGGTGAGGGAGACCTGGTGATTTGGGATAACCGGGCTGTGCTCCACAGGGCCACAGGCGGACCGTTTGAGGATAAGTTCAAGAGGGATTTGAGGCGGACGACCGTTCATGATGATGGTGCTTATGCGTGGGGTTTGAATAAGGTAGGGGCAGAGATGCCTGGATTCGACTCGACTTCGAGACCAGGACCGAAAGGATGAGGATGTCAAAGTTTGACTATAAAGTTGATGGGAGAACTTTCATGATTCTGGTCTGGCCTCTACTGAGTTCTACTTCACCGCGCTGGCTAGCCGGTCTTTCTTAAATATAGCCTAACCCCCATATCTTCGTCTTCTCGTTAATAAATGGGAATGTCGCTGGCTTGAAGCCAATGGAAAATGCCCTTCAGGTCCTTAACTCCACGCAGCAAAGATGCTGGGATCCCTCTCCGTCATCCACCCCAAGCCCATCATCAACAATCCTTGGAATACATGCCCGGGTCGTGAGCCGAAACGAAGAGAAAGAAAGAAAAAGAGAAGAAAATAAGCGATGCCGCTCGTAGCTGGGCCAATAAGAAGAATGCAATTGTAGAGTGCAGGGGACGGAAATGAAGGGCCCGTCGAAGTCATGAGCAACTGCACGCGGTCTCTTGTACCTTCTTTCTCATGGGGTCTTGAAATCTTTCCAGTCATGCACACCTACATGACAATACAATCCCTATCCCTCCCACCTCCACTTGCAGCAGTTGGCGGAACACCCTGTCGATATTGACTATTGCCTCTCCTGAACCCCGCACCTGGCGGACTATACTGGACTCCTGCGACACCTGGCGCTCGTGATGGCTGCAGTCTAGGCGGACTGTTCAGCAGCATAGGACTGCCTGCTGACATTGCTGGGCTCGAGCTCGAGCTCGGGTGACTCGGGTGACCGACAGGCGGGACATAAGGTCTATCCTTCGAAGCGTCTTCATACGACGGCGGTGCATCGTCATCTTCTGCATCAGCTGAGCGATTAACCCCTTGTGAGCGCAGAACCGGTGTCACGAGGGACCTGACATGCTGTTGCTGCTGCGGTTGTGCGGGCCGACCACCACGCGTTGCCACATTATTTGCACCTCCCCGTGCCTGACTAGATGCAGAAGTGCGTCGGCCAACTGGCGATGGAGGGGCTGACTGCTGACCAACACTGTTGGTCGAGCCCTGTCGAAGCCCGACAGGACCGCGCCTTGTAGCCTGCTGCTCGATAAACTGTTCCGAGAGCTGGGCCTCGCGGCGTCGCTCGGCTTGCTCTGAACGATGGCGCTGGTCTTCTTCCTCTTGCAGCTGGAGGGCAAGCGCAAGGTCGTGGTCTTCCTGTTCCTTGGGCGAAAGGGGTGGTTCTTCCGCCTGGTTCTTACCCTTGCCTTTCTTTCCCTGAACCGTTGTCCATTCCTGTTGACCGTGGGATGCAGAAGGGCTCCCTGCCGCCGCGAACTGCTCGGCCTGGGACGGTCCTCCAACGACTCTAAAGTCGCCCGAGAAGAATTCAGACCGTTCGCCGTTCACGTCAACGAGTGACTCCCAGACAACCTCCTGATGTCCTGCGTAACCCGCATCGGTGACGAGAGCGAATATCTGAAGGGTCTCTGGGTGCCGGTAGAGAGTGGAGAAGTGGTCATTTCTGAACAGGATGGCCACAGAGCCAGGCCGCATGGCCTTCGTGATGACATCGAGGCCGAACGGCGTCAGCTGCGTTGCGGCCGAGTATAGAAAGGACTTGATGGTCAGAACATCCTGGTATATGCGTTGTTCCTCTGCTGACAGACCGTCGCCGTTGGGATTGCTGAGCTTGTCTTCCAGCTCTTCCTCCCTGAACAGGATGTTCTGCGCATCTTCGTACGACTCTGCCTGCCTCTTGAATGCGTCGTAAGCTGGGTCATCTTTCGAAGGCAGCCAGCCATGAATCAGGGGTATCTTGAACGTCCTGTAGAATGCCATCTCCCTCGTGTCTTCAAAGGTGCCAGGTATCATATTGTCTCTCGCGGTCGGGTGGATGTGTGTGAGCGAGGTCCGCTTGAAGGCCTTCTCAACTTCCTCGGTTGGGACAAACCGAGGGTTAACATTCATGCCGGTATGCAGCCCTTTCAAGAAGTCATACAGTTCCGTCACATCAGGCAGCGACACATCCGGAGTCATCCTCCTCTCAGACATGAGCTCATCGAAGACCGCATTGAGAAGCAGGTCGAGGCTGATCTGTTCCCTGGTCTTCAGGGTATTCACCAAAACAGCGTCTTCCGCGCCCACAGGAGTCGACAATGTCAGCGCATTGACGAGGGCCATGAGCGGACATGGACCGTTCGCATTCTGAATCAGGATCGGCGACTTTTGTAAGTCCTTGGCCGTCGCCGCGTCGCGCCAGGTGATGTTTTTGACCTGGTATGTCTCCGCCTTTGCGGAAATTGGTGCTCTTGGTGGCGGCGCGGGAGCCTTTTTGTCGCTAAGCAGGTTTTCACCGCCCTCTGTCGTGGGTTGAGCAACAGGCCCTCCGGCGCCAGATGGGCCAGGCATTGGCTCGTTATCAATCAAATTCCACTCTTCTGCACGGGCACCCTCCGCTGGGAGGTCTGATGTCACCGTCCTAGTCATGGGCGCTTTGCCTTTATCCTGCCTTGCAAGATCATCCCAAGCATGACTATCCTCTTCTAGCGCCTCGCCCTCCAGAGGCTTGCGGAACGAAGGAGGTATGGCAATGGGAGACTGTTCGGGTTCGGCAAGCTCGTCGCCCCAGCTAGCCCGCTCGTCTTGAGGGACGAACTGCTCGGCCGGATCGGCCGGAGGAGCTCGCGGTCCTGTGGATGGAGCCCGCGAGGGGACTTGAGAAGCCCAGATGTTATTTGAAGGTTCAAGCTCTGCTCCCGTCGACAGTAACGAGGGCGTGATCGTGTTCTGCTTCTCATCGAGCGCGGGCTGCCATGGATTGTTGCTTGCATCGTTCAGACTCAGCTTGGCAAGGCTCTCGGAGGAGGGCATAGGGGGCGGCGTCTCGGTAGAACTTGGCATGAGTGTAGTGGCACTATGCTGCCCACTTGACAGTGACATCTTTCTCCTGAACGGGTTCGTCTCATTAAGGCTCTCGGCTCCAGGCACTGGCAAGTCTGTGTTTTGTGTATTGTTCGCCGCCTTGTCCTCCCAGTGTGCATCCATGGTGGGCGGCAATATGCGAGGACCCTCGCCATGGTCGACCACATGTGTGGCTGCGTCACCAGCTCCTGCACCTGGCCTTGATGTATCGCGATCGTTATCTTCGTCTTCGTCTTCGTTCTCGCTGGCGCTGGACCGCTCCCAGCTGTCGACGTCCGAGTCCTGGGCTTCGTTTTGCTGTACCTGATCAACATTGCTAACAGTCGAGCTGGCAGGCGCTTCACCAGGTGTGCTCTCCATCTTCACATGTGAAACGAGAGAGGAATCCTCGGTGGCGTCCTTCCCAAGGGGCCTTCGTGTGATCATTTGGAGGGGTGTTCTCGAGCCAGGGTGAGGGGCATAGGACTTGTACAGAGCACCCAATATTTCGTTGGGTGTTGGCTCGTCTTTGGGTGAATATGCAGAGAGTTCTTGGCAATCCAAAGAGGGATGAAGTATCAAGTATCGTAGAGCTGCCCGTCGAGCACAGGTGGTTGAGCAGCATGGATGATCAGCACAGTATGACGTTGATGTTCCGCGCGGCCTGTTAGACAGCTTCGAGAAGGGCACCTGAGGTAAGTTCGAGTAGCAACATGCAATCAATTCAATGAGGGAGATTATGACGGAGGGAAGAGAAGTATGGTCGCTGAAGTTGAGAGCCTGCAAGGCAGGCAGGTTAGGGAAAACAAGCTCAGCTCAAGGAGGAGGAAGAGCAGACACGAGCATGTCATTGTCCTGTGGCAGTCCCAGTCCCATTGCCAGTCTGAGGCCCAGCCATGCATACAGCGGGTGGGATGACCCGCTGAAACCCACTATAAAGTACGTACATGCGGGCACTGTGAGGGGTGATGGGTTGCTGTGAGCAGGGGTACCTGAGCTGTCCCTTGGTGCTCAACAGGCAACCAACCTACCCAGCCACACACCTGTACATGCCTTCCTTGGAATATATCAAGACTTGTTCATGAATGGTCCTCATCTGATTGTAAAGTAATGCTTGCCAAATTGCTACATAAAGTACTTAGTATTGGGTCTGGCTCATCTAAATCTACAGGGTAAAACAGAGCTTAAAACCTCTAGTATTCTCATAACATCAAAGAGACCAAAACCTTAAGCTAGCAACACTCTCTATCGATCGTATACCTAGTGTTTTCGGGAGTGCGGCAGTGCAGCTTACTACAAGCCCTCCGCCTTGGGCAGAAAAGAGCGCACACAGCAGCACCTTTTGCAATGTGCTCATAGCAGAAGAGAATGGGCAAAATTGGCTAGAAAGCTTGCCAGGCTCTATTTGATTCAACGGATCAAGCCATGACTTTCAATTCTACTTTCCAACCATTCTACACCCTGAAGGGCAATCCAGGTAAATAGAATTCAAGTATTAGCATGCTTGAGACTTGGAGATTCTGTCAAGCTCGCAGTGCGACCTATCAGTGCAGGGAGGAAACATGCTTTCGTAATTATATATGCTACAAGCATTGTTCCTGTAAGCACACTTGAGTCGTGAAGGATTATAGCATTCTGAGCTTCCAGTCATGCGAATACCGAGCCTCCATGAAATCCGAATACGATTCCGACATCATGTGTAGTATGTAAATTTCCAGGAAACAGCACCATATGATTTCTTTCTTCTCATGATGTTCACAGAAATTGATTGTAGCATTGATGTATTTATCTTGAGTATTGTTGGGCCAAGGGCAAAAGGGCAGGGCTGAACTCTGAGAGGAGAGTTTACGATTATCCATGCTCAGACGAGTGAATAATTACCATAGACCGCGCAGGAGTTTAGATAATTACTCAACTTACAGGAAGAAGAAAGTGGACTCACTTACTGCTGTGATACTTGAGTACTGGACAATGTGACCAAAGTGTAAGCCTCAAGAAGCTTCGCAGCAAAACCATTCTTTTTATAAGTAGAAACCAGGAATCATACATTCCAACCCGTAGCTGAGCCAACGTTTCCTAGAGCTCGGCTGAGTTTACAGAACACAATTTGTAGTGTCTGTCATAGAATTCAGGAGGAGAATTGGCCCAATGCCCGGACAAAATAAGGTTAGGCTGAACGACAAATAAATGTAACGGAGTTCCTTGGGTAGTAAGTGTTGATGTATCTTGCAGGGCTGTATAGTTGTCTCCAAGTCATTTGTATGCACTTACGTACTATACCTTGCTCATTACGAGGATGCCTGCATATTTGCAGTTGATAAAGATGCTTGTTCATTATAACCAGGACATCTCATGGCCTCCTCAGTCTATGTTCCATGCTGGCTGTCTCTGAGATGGATTCCTTGCCCGCATAACTCCTCCTCTCCCATGACCTCTAACCCTGCTCCCCTTCATATGCAACCCGCGACAGGATCAACAGGCCATCTTCAGCCTTCTCCCTTTCCCCCACCCCTCTTTCCCAGCCGGGATATCTCTTATCATTTCCCCATTGCGCCCAATTTTTCCAGCCTTCTACAGCTCACCGGCTCATACCTGTCAGCGATGCCCATCTTCTCAGCGTCCTGCGTGAACCACCCCTGGGCGGCATTGTACAGCTCCTGCTTGTACATCGTCTCGGCCTCGCATTCGGCTCGCAGGTGTTTGATCAAGCCGACCTCGGCGTTGTTATCCAGGCGTGAAAGCTGCGTCTTGGAGTAGCCTTTCACGTCCTGCGGGTTGAGGTAGTACTTGACATTGAACTTGGGCGTCACGCGCTCGAGCACATTAGGGGGCTCAGGGGCGTCGAAGACCATGCGAGGCCCGGCGGGTGCGGCGCCGCCCGAGAAGAGTGACGAGAGCAGCGGGAACAGGAAGAGGAAGATGATGGGGAGCAGGCCCATGAGGGTGTTGAAGCTGCCGTTGTCCTGGCCCTGCTCATTCTCGCGGGGTCGCCTGCGCGGGCGGCCGCCGCCGAACTGGTGCACGCGTACCCCGGGACCGCCAAAGTTAAACACAAATTGGGGACCTGTATCAAAGCCTTGCTGGTCAGTCTAGACATCCTCCATGACTCTCTCTCTCTCTCCTCCTTGCATTGAGAAGAAGCCGCGCGAGTACTCACCACCAAATGGACCCCCACCGCCGAAGCCACCACCAAAAAACCGCTGAAACATTTCCTCAGGACTTATATCGTCGTCCCACATGCCTCCACCCATGCCACCTCCGCCACCACCACCGCCCCCTGAAGGCTGCCTCGCCGCGAAGCCGGCAAAGGGGTTTTGTGCCTGGGCCTGACCAAAACGGCTGTCCGGGTCCCCGCCAAACTTATCATACCTGTCCCTCTTGTCCTTGTCTCCCAGGACGCTGAACGCCCTCGCCACCATCTTGAAGGCCTCGTCGGCATGTTCGTGGCCATTCTTGTCAGGGTGGGTCAGGAGGGACTGCTTGCGGTAGGCCTTCTTGATGTCGGCTTCGGAGCAGGTAGTGCGCACGGCCTCGATGCCCAGAATGTCGTAGAAGGCGGTTGGCTTGCACCGGCGGATGCGCAGAACGGCAGCCTTCTGCTCCACTGTGTACTTGCGCTCCTGGTTGCCCTGGTTGTGGTCACGGCTGCGCGAGGACGCGCCATTTGAGTTGGAGGCGTCTGCCCCTGAGGCAGTCGCGCTGGGCGGCATGGTGCCTGGCCCGGCTCGCTCAAGAGAGACTGTGCGTGTGTATCTAGGAAGCCGGCTCGGACGGCAGGATCGGAATTCCCTGGTTGACTGGTAGGGCGGAAGGCGACAGGGTGCTTCGAGGCACTGGTACCTGATCTACAGCTGGGGCGACGGCAAGATCGGATGTGCTGTCGTGTCAGAAGTGATTGTTGGCAAGCTCGGTAGGGGTTGGCACGAAGGCGGATGGATGCGTAGGCAAATAGCGGCAGTGGTAGGCAGCCTGGACGGTGAGCAGGATGTGAAGGGATTGAATGTATCGAGCAGTCGAGATGGTCAACTTTGTCCCAGGGAGGCAGAGGTTCAGCTGGCTCTGATGAAGGCTGGCTGATATTGGAATCTTCAGCGCAAGGTCCAAGTCTGATGATGTTCGCTGCCGAAAATGCGACGACAATGGTTGGCGTGGCTCAGCGGTATCGCTTCTGTAGTGCTGCTAATAGGATTAGGATTCCCTGTCATTGGGGGGGGGGGGGGGGTGTACGTGGCTTCTTGCTGCTTAGACAGCGCTGTCTACAGAGAGTCAGCCAGCATGCAGAATGGTGGTAGGCGATCAATCACAAAGTCAAAAGAACAAGGACACTTTAGCTGAGCAACAATAAGGCTTGCAGGTTCAACAAATCTTATCTCTGTCTGTAGAAAACGTATCAAAGTGAGAATTCGCTGACGCAGCCTTGACACGCTGGTACCAAGAACCTTGCAGCCCCCATTCCTGGGTCATAGTACTGTGGTGCAACTATTATGGTGCTACAGTACTGCCTGCCATCTACCCACTGTTATTTTTTTTCACTTCTGTCTGATCAGCCAAATAGTTGGCACGAACTTATGACAGCTTAGTCATCCTACTGGGTTCCCAATGCTGAATCCCTGTCAGGCCTAAACCCCATAACTTTTTCACGACGTCAGCGAGCAGATGCAACTGTAAAAAGGAAAAAAAGTGTCACCGAGACAACCTCATGATCACATGCCTCTTTATCCTGAGAAAACACGATAATTCTCACCATCAATTTAATTGCTTTTCGCCTCCTGTTGGCCAAAGCCACACCCTCCAGAAAAGATGGCCGAATCAGATAATCCAGTTCCAACAAGAACACTCCTCTCAACCCTACGTGGTTGGGGCGGTTAGTCCTCTCTCTGCCCCCCTGCTTGTGTCCTCAGTCACCACCTCTACTCCTACTTACACAAACATACACATTCACACTCTCTTATACGCCAATATGAAGGAAACTGAAAGATGATAAGTAATTACCAAGGTCTTCTTATTACTAACAAACGCCCCCCAGAATCCTCTCTCCCCCCAATGGGCCTAGCAACCCTCATAACCTCTCTCCACTTCCGTCCCTTCGCTCGCCTCCCCATGCTCGTCTTCACCCCCATGCTCCTCCTTTCCTCCTACCTCAACGTCGCTGGTTTCAAGATTGACGCTGCCGGCCTCGGCGCCGCTTGGTCCGGTCTGTACATCCTCCTCGCCGCTCGGCGCCGCCCCGCCTCCCTCCGTCAAAAGTTCACCGCCCGTGGTGCCGTCCGCGGCGTGGCTATGGGCATGGGCGCCGTCAATGCTGCTGCAGGAGGGTATGTGTATGCCACGGGCGACCGGAAGGCAGAGGTTGAAGAGAGGAGGGAGCGGGACAGGTGGGGGATCGAGAGTGCGCGGGAGGCGAAGAAGTAAAAGGGGGTGGAGCGCGACGGCGGGCTGGCTCGCTAGTTCACTGGCTGGCTGTGAAAGAAGCCTGATGATGTGGTATGGGTGGAAAGGGGATGGTAATGATTGGCTGTAAGGGGTCATCGACTGTGACGGCTGGGATCGAAGGTGTTCTTCTTCTGGGAGGGAAGGGGGGGGGGGGTCATTCTTGGGCATGAGTTGAGATGGGAAGCCGTAAGTTTGTGACAACACGAACAGAATATTGAGAATTTCTCGTGATAGACCTCTTGCGAGACACGAGACACGGGCACTGAGGAAGACAGTGAAATCAAGCTTTGGGCCTGCCTATCATTTTTTACTCGTAAAAAAATTCTGTTCTGTCTAACAGCCCATTTTGTATGTGTTCTGAGCAGAAACTCCGTCTCGCCGTTTCTGCCACCATCTGCCCGATAATGTACATTGCTCCTGGTACTGTAAACCGCTATGCGAAGCTCTGCCACCACCAAACTCCAGTCCAAACTTTTCTACTTTGTGTGGGACGTGTCCAGTCAGTCAAATCAAAGGTGCCGTCTGAACCGCGACAAGTTCCCGTTCCCCGAACGCCAGGAGGTCGTCTCAGCTCTTGATAGCCTCCATAATACCATGTCTATGCCCCAGAGAGCAGATCCCCACCAGTGGTATGCAAGGCCTCAAACAAAAGAAAAACAAAAAGAATAATTCAAAAGTCCGTCGAATAAGTCCTGGTTGGAGTCGCAGTCCATTCATCATCGATTGCCCCGGGTGAGCGCCATCGCAGGAAGATATGGCCAGCGGGTGATGAAGATAAGGTCCCAGAGGAGATGTCGGCTCAGTAACTAAGCACCGCTCATGACCTCTTTGACAGAAACGAAAACCATGATAATTAGGGCTGCCACAGCGTAAAGACGAGCAGGACGGGGTCGAGGCTGAACATTTTGAACGGGTAGATTCTCGACAAGAGGGACCAGACCCAGGTGCTGGATGGCGGTAACCTGGAAGCCGTTGATGTACTCAACGTCACCATCCCTGATCTTGGGATGGGCGTAGGACTTATACTCATCAAGGATGCGTTCGGCATTCCACTCCTGAAGCTTGCGTGTAATAGCCACGACACAGCCAGTGCGGTGCTGATCCAATATTAGCAAACAGCTGAGGAAGAAGGATTGGGAAAGAACACAGTGAAGTACTTACTCTTCCCTGGTTGCAGTGGATCAGGACAGGGTGGTTGCGCTTGTCGTGTATCACCTCAAGGATAGCAGACATAGTCTGAACAGGGATGGTCTGCTTCTTGGTTCCCTCCATGGTGATGTGGCAGTGCTTGATGTTGTTGGTCTTCATGAAAGGCAGAAACGTCTCGGGGAATTCCTTGTCGACAAGTGTGCTATGACAGAATTAGTCTCAAGCCACTCCCTTTGAGAGATGTTGGTGCTAGACTTACATGATGGTCCTTAGGCCTAGCTTCTCAATGAAAGGATAGTCAGCCTCCTGGGGATAGCTGCTTCGGTAGACTCCTGGGACCACGGTGCCAAAGTTGATGGGTTGGCCAGGAACAGCTTTGTCCTCAACAGAATCCTTTGACCAGCTGCTCTCTGTGCGCAGAGAGGTCATTGAGCTCTGGGTTCTGAGTGAGGACTGGCCACTGGAGGGCTCACGCCGCATCTCAACGCTGCAGAAATCCTGACCCCGCTCTTGCTCCAAAACATTGTAGTAGGACCTGCGCTGCTGAAGGCCCTCACGGGCTTCTGCAGCTTGCTTGTCCTCCACCTTGTCCATGATGCTGCCTTCCTCGCGCGTGCTGAAGAAAGAGCTCAATCTAACCAACGTCTTCTTCTGAGTGTGCTGTGACTCTTTCGAAAAATGTACCACCACCAGCTGCAATAATACCAATGCCACTCCCAATGCTGATCTTGCCAGAAACCCAATGAGCACAAAGTTCATGCTTTGGTGGCAGAGGTGGTGCTGTGTGAGGTTTGGACCTAGGTTGAACAGGACCTGGATGTTGGTGCAGCTGAAGGTAATGCTGTGAATCTTCGGTCTGAATTCGCGCTCGAGGGTTGAAAGAGAGTTGAGGGTTGACTGATGGGAGGAGGTTCTTTCGGGATTTGTTGAAAAGGATCAGGGGTGTTTCGAGGGACTTTGAGTTGGTAAGAAGCGGATTTGTAGGATGGGAGAATGGGTGTTCAGCGCAAGTTGGTGAGGCTAGTGTTTAGCCTCGCCACCTTGGAGGGGCTCTGGATCAAAGAGCAAAGGTATTGCGATCACACATGGTCTGAATGTCCATATTGGTTGAAGTTGTCGAGGATTAGATGGGTTTGCTGACGGAGTCGTGCCAGGATGGGGCGCTGTGGTGGACCACACACGCGACCACAAGGAGCCAGTTCGTGACAGTTTGGGGATGGATGCAAACCTGTTTAGAGGGTTGCAGGACTGAGGAAGGGTAGAGGGGATAAGGAAGAAGGGGATGAAGAGTTTAAAATCAAAAAGGATATGTGCGTCGAGGATGGTTTAAAGTTGTCGCAAGGTTGGTGTTGGTGTGGGATTGTGGAGGGAACGTTGATGTAAGGCGCGACGACAGCTTATGGAAAAGCAGGGCAGGACTGGCAGGGCAGGGCAGGGCCCGGCAGCAGTGAGCAGCACAGCATAGCACAAGGGAATAGGGGAAATTTGGTAGGCGTGGGGCCTGCCTAGTGGGGTTCTCAGCAACATCATTGGTAGAGCTAACATGGGGGGCCAACAATTACTAGGGTACCCTAGCGCTGCCCGTGCACAGCAGCTTGGGCCGTGGTGAGGTCACTGGGTTAGGGTGACGGAGGACGCCGGAGACGAGGACAAGAACACAACACTTGGGGTTTCTAGTTCCCCAGCTTAGTTGCTTGGCTGCTCAGATCATTGCGTGTATTCCACCCCACATATCACAAGTTGCATCAATAGCATGTGTCTTATCTGATCAAAAAAAATTTTCCTGTCCCCAAAAAGAAAAATCTCGTGACAGGCCTCATTTACTTTTGTACTCTTAACTTTTGTGTTTTGAAACAATCCATGCTAGTGTGAAGGTCGAGGTGTATCACCTACTGGAACACGCTGCCTGCCCTTGGAGAACATCTGATGAAATGCACAAAGCGGGCTTGCTATTCCAGCTGAATCAATGTATAGATAGATGCTGAAGGTCTCAGAGTCACCACTAAAGTACCGGGCGCCAAACTGGGATGGTGTGAACCTACCACCTTGCGCGATTCGGAATTAGCTGGAGAATGGAGCTGTCGAGACCGAGACCGACCTGACCGAGACCCATTTCCGGATCAGCCGGTGCGAAGCCTGGCCTTCCGCCCCAGGCCAAAAGTCGCATACTTCACATGAAGATTGAAGAGAAAAGAAGAAGCAATTAGCTTGATCAGCATCAGTCCGGCTCTGGTTCTGAGAGTCATCTACTGCGAATCATGACACGGCGCGAAGGAGAAGATGTGAGCTGGCGCCTTGTTGCACTCAAGGGTGAAACAAGATCGGCGAATCCTGCCAGGCCCCGCCCACGTTGTCTCGCGCAGCCTCATGGAAGAAAACCTCGCTGAAATCCAAATTCAAAACCCGCCCTACCCGTCGGCGCAAGCTCCGGTCCAACACCTGGTAGTTACGGCTCCATAGCAGATGTCGTGGGAAAAAAGCTGCAGAGCTTTGAAATCTTCCTGTCCACCGACGCAACTACGTAACCCGCCGGCCTGTATGCATTATTCTCCAGAATGTGAGATGCAACACCCCAGAAATTCTTAAGGCCCCCATGGAGACCCCAGGATTGACCTGGGATCTGGCTCCGCTTACCTGCCACGTTCGCTGTCGCGTGAAGCTCGGGCGACGAATCATTTCCACTCGGAAACGTGGAGGTGCATACACCAGTGGTTCTCTTGTTGATCACGGGAACTCTTGACATAGCTACGGCTTGCTAGGCCCTGGGGTCTGTATCAGGGCTGTGAAGCGTGGGGGTGCCAACACACTCCCGCGCAGGCACACACAACATCGAACACACAGCGCTCGTCAACTGGACATGGACAGGGCGTTGCTTAGCGAAATTTATTGCCTGCTGCGTGGACACTTTATTCCTAGTTGCCGTACGACGAGTGGCTGCAGTTTGTGCTTTTTCTTCCTCCCACTCGCTTTTCTTTTTCTCGCCTCTTCCCTGTTGAGACAATCCGTTGCCGGGTTGTACATAGTACACCGGCAGAGATCAACCTCACGTGCGCAACTGCCAGGCCAGCCTGCATCTATTCTGCCGCCAATCACTCGATTGGACCCTAAACCGTGCCTGCATGGCGACCATGACTTCCCCACACCGCTTTGTGACAGGTCTGACCGATCCAAAGTCGAGGGCTACCTACCATGCCGTGTCTACCTGACAAGATCTGGCCCAGGTCATCGCGTGCACGCGCGCCATTACTGGACAGGGTTGTGCGAGTGTGCCTTGAACATGCGCTCACCTGTGCTGGCCTGTGACATTCGCCACTCTGGCATTGCACCGCATTGCGGCGCCGCCGGCAGTGCGACCTCCTCATGAACACTTTTGGAGGTCTCCCCAGTATATTTTGCGATGCTATACAGCTTGCAAACTCGGCAGCGGACTTGCATTTTACAATCTACGCTTGTTACGAGTAACCTTATCGATCCTGGTTGATTGGAGCCAAACAATGGCGAGTACGGACTCGATCGTTTCGTCTACTTCGAGCTCAGAGCACAACTCGTCATGTTGGTGTACAACAGGCGGCAAAGTCCGACGTCACACTCATTACCATGAATGATTGCAATTCGTTCAATGGCAAGGTCACATCCTCGTAATACCCCAACAGAATTATTTTCAAATATGTCTTCCTTTTTCATTTATTGTATTTTATTTGGTTTGTTCGGATCATAGGTGGACCCAAATCTTAGCTTAATATAGCGGCCCGTCCCGTGCCGAAATTATCCCCGTCTACCTTGCTGGCCGTGCATGCGAGTGTGTTTGGGCTCACAGCCGCAGCTTCGTCCTTGTAATTCAGTCATGACTGAAGCGCTCGGGGTGCTGGGAGTGCTGATTCAGATGATAGGTAGACCTTTACCAGATTTAAGTGACTTACTTGTTTCCTGTGCCTGTGGGTAGCTCAGTGCCATCAGACTTGAAGCCGCAAAGAAGGCAACTGGAGCGCGTGGCTCATTGCACTCGCTTGTCAGGATGTCCGGGCGCACTTTTCTCTCACCGGGTCTGCACATCTTTAGACATGGGCCTTTGGAAAGTTCCTCTCATCAATGGACAGCATGCTGTCAGCGTACTCGAGGCCCGAGTTTGGTTTCTCCGGTCTCATCTGCCTACGAATTATACATGCAAGCGATGACTCGGCACTGGGATTTCCAGTTTCATCACATGGCCTAGTAGAAGTGAGTAGAAGATATCGACTCTAAAGCCGAGAGTGAACTTGTACGTCTATTCTGTCAGTACTGTATCGTTCGCTGGTCCTCGATGCCAGTCAAAGCCCGTGCGTGAGGACAGCCTTGAGCAATGCTAGGTTGATACAGAACATGTTGGGGCACATCATCTGCCGTGTCTCCTTTGCCTGCTTGGCATCTTTGCCTGCTAACGACACTGTAATTTAGGCTTCCATATGCCGCCAATTTCAAAAACATGGTATTTAAGATAATATTATGTCTATCAGGTGTTCACTACGCCCGAAATGGATTCTCAACTACGAACTCCTTAAGAGACAAAAGACAAGCCTAAGAAGTAGATATCCCACACTTGGACGTCAACATCTGTATTCGGACTTGTGCTAAGCCGCTTAGACAGTGTTATGTAATGCAATGAAAGGAGCATAAGGCGACGGATCTTCGAATGCCAGCTCAAGATTGCGGATAGTAAGTCCGCGGTGCGACCGATCGCTTGCGATATTCCATGGCGTCGATCGCTGGCGGAAGCCTGGGGATGGTCAGCCGGCTCGACTAGCGAGATTAGATGATTGTTCGTATATTGGGGATCGGTGTTCCCCGGATAATTGATAACAGATACACACCACTTTGACCAGTGCACGGAGCACACCCTTTCTTTACGAGACTGGGTTGTTGACAAAGAATTACTCCGTGGTGGTGGTACGACAATTATACCCCTCCCAGCCCTGTGGCTTTGAACCCCTCCACAACTCCACAACACTGAATCAAGTATGTCCACCTGATCAAGAAGGTCTTTGCACACCGGAGAAGCGCTGTGAGCCGACGAAAGAAGGCTAAAGGTGCTTCCCAATGTGAAGTCTGATCCTGTGAACGTTGGTTAGCAGCTTCTTGATCTGCCATAGTGTGGCAGGTCATTGTTTTGGGGGAGAGGTAGGCAGGCGTGCTGCAATAAGTAAACAAGGGGGGGGGGGGGCGGCGGGGTTTCTCCGCTTGTTCTGTTAAGTTGCTTCGATGTGGGTATCATTCTTCGTGTCTCATTACATAGTATGTATCAAAAAAGCAAACACAAGACTTTGTATGCTATGCAGACCGATTGTTTTTCAGCGTACATGTGATGCTCCTACCCCACCCCTCACCCCCCCTTCTTTTCCAATGCCGGAGCCAACCAGAACGCCGACCTTGCCATGCAAAATTATGCTCTGTTATGTACAGTAAAAGTTTCTTGACATTCTTCTCGAGCCCCCCTACCAGGCTTCTTGGTGGTACCCTCGGGCAGGCATCATCTCTTCTGTGGGGCGACGTCTTCGTATGACGCCAGTACGTAGTCCTCATATCGACGAATCTGCTAGCGGCATCTGAGAAAAATAAATGTATGCCCGATTTCCCAGCACAGCGAGACAGAGTCCAAGGACCAGGTACATCATTTTTGACATGAGTGTCTGGCCCTGAGTGCTGTTCGACTGCCTTTGTGAAGTCTCGTCACGGGTCGGGCCCAAGGTGAGACTGTTCTGCAACAAACCCGACAAATTATCTCGTTCGTCACTAGGCGGCTTGGGGAAAAACGATGGATTTGCGAACGGCGTTCCAGGGTCGGAAGGTGCCTGAGGGTGACCAAACCTCAGGCCTGTGGTGCTGCCTTGGAACCGGACCGTGCTCGCTGTCGGGGCAGCCGTGTTTCTAATAATGGGCGCGTTGGGTGGATTGAAGATCCGCTGCGCAGGTGTAGTGGGAGCGGGGGGGACCTTGGCCCAGAATGCTCCTGGCTTTTCTTGCACGGGGGTCTCGTTGAACTTCAGGTTACGCGATTGGCCTGGTTGAAAAGTGTTGAAAGCTCGATATTGAGACTGTGTGGGAGCCCAGTCCATTTCCATGTCGTACTGATTTAACTGACTACTCCGTGCTTGAGCCCGAGTCTGTGCTCGAGTCCGGGGGCGGGGACTGTCTGTGATGCTAAGATCATCTAGTCCATAACTGGTAGTGACCGACTGCCGTGACGGGCTGGGGTCCCTGAACGGGTTTGAGCCCAAGAGACCAACAGATGGATCATATGAGCTTCGTTGATTCGAGCTGGGCATATGATCAAAGTGGTCGGTAGTGGTAAACCTTGAGACGTATGGAGAAGGGTCGACTGCGGGCATCGGCGTGGGGTCGCTCAAAATCTCGTCAAGAATATCCGCCATGCTTTGCTCGCCGCTTCCTCGCGGTTCGGGTGGCTGAGTAGCTGGGGCAGCAGGAGATGAGGTGACGCCCAGGGTCCTCCGCTTTGGCAGCCAGAGAGGTGTGTGGTCTGTATGAATCGACTTGTGGGCTGTGGTGTACAGAAAGTACATGAAGGCTGCCATGAAGGTATGTGCGACGACCTGGACGATTACTCGATCTGCTGAGGCAGCCGGTAGAACAGAGACCCCACGCCACCCGGGGACTTTGAGAGCCAAGATCAATGCTTGGTACAAGTAAAATGTACGGCGTCCGACCAGATGTTTTGTGAAGCCGTTGTACGTCTCTACCCATCGAGGGTTCCACCAGAAACTCAGCACAGATGCCCAGAAGCTCCAGTACACAATGCGGTCAGGTGATGGAAGGCGGCCGGTGAAGAGGTGGCCAGTGCGAGCTACCAACATGGCCCAAGATTTGTGGTCGAACTCGCTCGAATGACCCAGGACAGCTCGCTGTATGAGCTGTACATGCCATAGCAGCTGCAGTACGAGGGAGGTGGCCCAGATCCACCGGCCAGCAAAATGCCAGTAATGACCAGGCGTGGTGGTCAGGAGAACGCGGGTCTGGGCGCTGCGGTCAAGCATGCGGCGCAAGTAATCCGTTTTGGCGGTGTAGGCAGCCTTATCGAGCTGCTCGTGAACTTTGGGCTCGCATGTTACGCAGACTTGAGGATAGCGCTTCTCAAGACCGCGACGGAACTTGTAATAATTGCGCTCTCGTTCGACGTACTCTGGATCGTCGGGGTCGTCGGGAAAGTATTGGGCCAACGAGGAGATAAACAGGTGTTGGTTATTCAAACACTTCTGGCAGAAGACCTGGTTGGTCGGGGGAGGGGGTGTCAATCCACGCTGGATGTAGTTGGGAGCGTCAGGTGTGGCTGTCGTCGCTACAGGAGGGTCGGTGATGTCGCCGTTCTGCCATCTGGTCAGTAAACGTCCTCGTCGCATCAGGTAGTAGCATATCTTGACTCGACCTACAGAATCAAGGTAATTGGTGGCATTACACTTTTCGCAATCAAAATGTTGCATGTGACCATCGTAACGCGTCGTCGACCTGCGCCCGCAGTAGAAGCAGGTCAGGAGTTTATTGATCTTTCGTCGGGGTGCCATGGTTGAGATTTATGCATCGCAATATGTCAGACTCGAATCGTCTGTGTTTGGTGGTTCAAAGGTCTTGTGCCTTGGGTCGAGGTTTTATTGTAGGACTGAATGATGTGTGGACGTCAGTGTTGCGGATCAGGTGTTTATCAGCTGGGTGGAGCGAGGAGAAAATCACAATGCGATGTTGAGGTTGTCAAGGTGCCTGGAATTTTGGAGTCGGCCACTACAGCAGCAACGCATGGCATGTGTAAGGCTGAGGCAGGGGTATCCCCAGGGATATGCCCATTTTGCACTGGTATCCCTGTCAACTTTACTTGTTGTCTTCTTCGAATTCTCCCAACTTATCACTTCGATGTATTGGACTGGTATAAGTTAAGCTTGAGTACTTGAGAACACTACATTGTTCACTCTTTGTAAACGCAGCCTCATTTTGAATCCCCACATTGGTCTCTTTTATCTTTCTTCATGGGGCGTTGCAGATAAGGTATGAAGGCAGGCTGTGACAAGCTGACCAAGCCCGGTGAGTCTGAACAATATGTACATGCCGTGACACAAGCACACAAGGCTCACAAATTTGCCAGCCATTTATACCCCTTCCTGGATTCAAGGGATACATACCACATAAGCCTCACACTCCTTTGGAATATTTCAATTGGTCTTATGTCCCAATCATGGCCCCGACCACACCTCGCTCGGAAAAGGCCAGCCAGAAGGACGGGCTCCCTGCACTCCTGTTGTTCAGGAAGCGGGCCTCTGTTGCCACAAGTGATAGCCATGACGATCCAGACCTCTTCTTGATTGACTATACCACTCATGTCTTTCAAATTGGGACCTGGATTGCATCAGTCGCTTTTCTACTGGCAGGATATGCTACGCTTGCCTTCTGCTACTCGGGTCTGGCTGGAGCTCTGTATGCACTGGTCTTTCTTGCAGCCATTCTTGTCTCAAGCCTCTTTGTAAGTCAATACATATCATGATACCTATAACAAGAGCCCTTTTTTATTCTGAGCACCAGCTGACCCTTGACATCAGGTTCGTGTTGTTATGGTCTGTCGTAGGCGCACTCGCAACATGGCAGGTTTGGCGACAGGTCTACAGAGCGGGAAGAAGGATGCAGCGCCGGATCTCTCTCAACTCCCAGCAGTCTCGTACCTCTACGTCCTAGGCTCTGGAGGCCACACCACAGAGATGATGGCTCTCATCAAGCAGAGCTTCAAGGCCAACAGGAACCAGCACCGTCGTTATATTATCACCGATGGAGACACGCACTCCCTCAATTCGAGCAAAGGTCTTGAGAAGCTGATCCGCACAAATTGCCCAAACGACGCAGGGACCCATGATACACTTATTGTCACCCGCGCCCGCGCCGTCCACCAGAGCTTCTTCACATCCGTCTTCACCTCGGCCCTATGCGCTCTCGAGATCGTCGCAGCGTTGACCATGGTTCCTCCGAAGCGCGCCGGCCAGCCAAATGCGGGGGCCTTCAGATACCCTCACATCATCGTCACAAATGGTCCAGGCACGGGCTTTATCGTGGGTCTCGTGGCCTTTGCTCTCAAAGTCCTGGGTTGTGCCCCTAAGAACCGACTGAAGGTTGTCTTCGTCGAGACTTGGGCGAGAGACCACAAGCTGGGCCTCACTGGAAAGCTGTTCGACAAGACTGGGATTGCTGACCTCTTCGTCGTCCAATCTCATACGCTGGCCAAAGCTGTCGGCAAGGCGAACATAGGCAATGTCAACTTCCGTTATGCCCAGCTACCGCGACCAGCTGCCAGTCTCACCTAGCCTGAGATGTAACGGTAGCTGAGATGGAAACATAGATTCATCTGGGATTTGGAGCTTTCTTGATGTACATAGCATTCCTGCTCCGACAGGCAGGTCATAGATTTTGAAGGATTGCCATCTCGCCAAGACATATAATCTTGTGGGCGGAGGGTGCTTTTCTCAGTCGCAACCCTAACCAATTCCTATCTCTCTATGCTCTGACCTCCCCTTCCTCCTCTATGCCGAGATCTGCCAGGTTCTTTTTGTTGTCTTCAGTGCTGAAGTTGGCATAGGCCGACTCCCTTTCCGCTGCGATCTTGGAAGCCTCGCCCTCGGCCCACTTCCTCCAGTTGTCGTAGGTCGCGTCCTCCAGCTCCATGCCCACCTGTAGCCTGCTCTTGCCAAAGTATGCGCCTACCATGCGCGCCTCCTCTTGTGCGATCCGCCTCTCAATGTCCTCTTTTTGTCGGATCAGGTAGAACTCTTTCCGTGCGAAGTCGTAAGCCTGCTCCTTTGTCGCTGGCGTGTAGACCACCTCAAAGTCCCCTGTCGCCTCGTTCTGTACCCGTTCGGGGAGACCATGTTGCATCAACCATAGCTGTCGCTGGATAACACTGTGACGGCCCGCACTGTTAGCTTGACACGTCGTTCCGGAGTCCCCAGACCCCGAATAGCCGGCCTAAAAGTCACTCACGATTCACCAGTGACCTGCATCCCCGGCTGTGCCAGCCCTCTCTCCCAATTGACATGTCTTGCGTCCTTGCCATCATACTCGACAGCGATCCTGGGGCGTGCTAGCTCCCACGGGTGGTCCTTGAAAAAAGTCCGTCGCAGCTCATCCTCAGGGAAGCTGATCCGCTGCGGTTTGAACAGATTCTTTGGCCTGCGCTGCCTGGCGTCCGGTTCGCGGTGAGGGGTGGGTTTTGGGCGTGTCAAGATTTCGGACGGCGGTATCTTCTCGATGACCTTCAGCCAGACCGGCGGCACCACCACCTCGCCCCTGCTCTTTCGCGGGTGGGCGAGGCTGGTCTTGGCTGTTTGGTAGACGCGCGCGGGGCGGAATGAGCGGCCCATATTGGGCGCTGGGAGGACACGATGACCGGCTGGACGGTCACACGTGATGAATTTGATCGGACCGACGAATGATTTTCGTTTCCAATGGCTCCTCCACGTCGTCAAGAAGCACGCGGTCGTGGTCGCGGTCACCCGTTGGTTGTTCCAGTTGACAGTTTAAGCCAAAATTTCCAGGCCCGCGGCCGGCCGTGTCCAGCTTATCCTTATCCTGCAGGGAGCTTTAGCTGCGGCGATAAGAAATAACCTCCCAGGGCCCCACCCAAAATTCCGTCCTCGCCCGTTGGATAGCTCTTGTATTTTTTTTCTCTTCTTAAGCTCTGCAATCTTCCTTTTCACGAACAGCAGCATCGGAACCTCAACTGTCGTTGCATTCATCTGCAGCAGACTTCGCCGCCAGCTCGTTTCCTAAGGATTGGCGGCACGGCGGCAGCGCAGCCACAATGTGGGACAACTCATGAAAATCATCAGTCGAATTGAAAGGTCCGTGGGCGGCGCATTTCTCAACAATAAACCGCAGGGTTGCTGGTCAAGCCCTGGTCTTCGGGCAGGGGCGAAAACTTTACATGGACGCTCATCGCGGTCGAGGCAGCACCGGCGGGACGATCGTTGTGCGAGGATTCCGAGACTCCGTCGTGACTTACCCAACTTCTTTACGCAATGGATTCCGCCTCCTGTCGAGGTGAGAGTGGTCCCCTCGGTGTCGAGCGCTGGGGATGTCGGCGTACCCAGGTTCTCGACCACACCGATCACGAAACGATGGAGTCACTCGGCTGCTGAACGGGAGGAGAATGACAAGCCGCGGCAAACAAAGGACAAAGGGCTTCCGCAGGGTTTCTTCCAGAACAAGCAAGAAATGCTGTCTCTGGTAGACCAGACCCAGCAGAGTACAGTCGACGAGCACCTCAACTTCACCAGAGATCCCTACATGAGAGGGTACGCGACTGCGGACGGACCTGAACTGACGGTCTCGGAGCTCGTGGACGACCAGAACTTTCCATCCTTCTCCGAGGTAATGGAGGGGGGCGAAGCCGTGCAGCGGGTAGTTGCCAAGCTCTGGCGTGCCATTCAGCGTCGGCTGGCCAATCCCTACAAGACGGACATAGACTACATTTACCACCTGTACCGGAGGCTGCCGGAGCCGCGGATATCGTATCTGCATTCGAGGATCCGGCACCACCTCATGAAGGTCCTCGGCCGGGAGGAGAGGACACATACCTCCATGCTGCGCTATTTCGCCGTGGTTGATGACATCCAACGAAGTGGTATGCGCCTGACCCGGACAGAATGGAACTTGGCGCTCTCCTTCGCTGGCCGCTACGTCGGACACTCAACCGACACCGAGGTGGCTTCCGCCCTACGCCTGTGGAAAGAGATGGAGACCGAGGCCGGGGTCAAGGGCAATGCCGCCACCTTCAACACCCTTTTCGACGTGGCCTCTAAAGCAGGCAATTTTGTCTTGGCAGAGATGCTCTACAAGGAGATGGAGAAGCGTGGCTTCCGGTACAACCGCTACCACCACGTTTCTTTGATTCATTTCTTCGGATTGAAGATGGACAGTGATGGCATCCGCGCCGCGTACAAGGAAATGGTCGAGGCGGGCGAGATGATTGATACCGTCGTCTTGAACTGCGTCATTGCAGGTTTCCTGCGGTGTGGTGAGGAGTGGGCAGCCGAAAGCGTGTACGAGAAGATGAAGTCGGCGCATGCGAGGGCACCGGAGATGCCCTTTCGCAATTATATGAACGACAAAGTCATATCCAAGGTGTTGATCATGTTCGCATCTATTTCCAAGAAAGCCGCCGCCGAAGACGACGATGGGAGCGCGGGAGACGGGGGAAGTTTACGCCGCCACTTCCAGAAGGTTTCCCCCATCGTGCCCGACATACAAACATACCGCGTCCTACTCAACCACTATGCGCTGCGCACCTCGTCTCTGGACAAAGTAGCACACTTCCTCGACGACATGAAATGGTTCCAGGTTCCCCTCCACGGCGCCGTGTTTCTCGCGCTTTTCAAAGGATTTGCATTCCACGGCGGCCGCAAGGGCCAACAGTGGAGCCCTGAACGCCTCAACAACGTTTGGAAGGCCTTCAAATCCGCCCTGTCCGAGAACGCAAATGATCTGTACGTTGATTACTGGATGGCCAAATGGATCCTGCAGGCGTTCCGGCAGTGTCATCCCCCAGAAAGGACGTGGCAGGTGTGGTCGGAGCTGCGGCCGCGCTGCGAGGCGGACTTCGAACCCGAGCAGATCCAGATATTTGAGGAATTCCTAATTAACATGTTCCAAGACGGTTCTAAGCAAAGGGCAATCCGGGATACGGGCATGTATGGCAGGACGGAGCGAGGTGGCTGGAGGAAGTGGTGAGAACGCCAATAAAGAAGTGTACATATAATGATGAGACCACTTGTACGAAGTTGAAGAGTCAAAGCGTTAATTCAAACCCATCGTGTATCTACAGAGTTCAACAACGTGCTGACCCCCTATGAGAGTTGCAAATAATTTGTGGATTGGCTGCTGGCCATTGTTACGAAGGCTAGAGACACTATCTCGATCTGGCATACCACAAGATCTTTGTCAATGCGTGTTACTTGCTCTGGCACTTGGTCAAATGCTGTTCTTATCAGCGGCTCTTTTCCAGAACCGCCGCCGCTTTTACGTGTGTGATGCGAACCAGGAGGGATGGAAGCTTCATCGTTCCCACGTTTACTGAGGGTATAGAAATTTATGACTCTTATGGCAAAGGTGAAGCAGCGATCCGAAGTAACTCGATTGCTGAGGAGGTCTATAATTCGAGTCTATCCACACATACATCCGAGTTCCCCTGTGCTTATCAAGCTCCTCGCGCCCCTCTCCGCGTCGTGGTACACAATCCCGCCACGGACATCGTCACCGCTCGCCTGACCAGTACCGCCTCGCGTTTATGCCTTGGGCCTGTAGGTTTGCCACGCTACAGGATTTATACGGTCAGTCTCGTCCCTCGGAAATGGAGAAGAATAAGAATTGAGGGAAAGAGAATCTTCCAAAAGGGCAACACGTAAAGGGTTCCACCTACCAGCAATGCCGAAGGGAGCGCCGAAGCCAGCGATGCAGTATCCCCAGAACAGGATGGGGAAGGACTTCTTCTTGGGGTTGAAGGGAATGTTGCTGTAAGGGCCCTCGGGGTAGTGGTAAGGCGAGGACATCCGGGGGCGGGTGGCGTGAAAGGCTCGGCGGCCAGTGACCTGGGTCGTCGCGCGGACGGCGGCGCGGGAGAGCATCTGTCGTAGAGTCGTCAGTCAGTCGGCAAGTGCAAAATCAGCCAGTCAATTGGCCCTTGATCATTTCCAATTGATGGCTTCAGGAACTGTCCGTTATACCTTGAATGGTGTGGGATGCGCTGCTGGGTGTTTGGAGTGGAGTTGGGGTTCCGAAAGCTGTGACGTTGATACGGGTTTGAAGTCTTGATCTTTCTGTCGTACGAGGTTGAGAGCTGCGGCTATTTTCAGCCTGGATTTCACGGCACCCCAAGATGCAACCGGGGTGGGGCGCAGGACCAGTCAGGGTTCTGCCATAGTAAGGTAGCTAGGGTTGCAAGGGCTTTCAAGGGTTTGGATATGTACAGTACTTCGGTCCAGTACTACCATAGTACTACGTACGTAGTGCAAGTCTTATCGTTATCGTCTGTGCCAGGTCCCCGCCTGGGTTTTTTGGGTACTGGGCAACCTTGGCGTGGAACCGCAGGAAAAAAAGTATTAAGAAAAAAGTTTAGAAGTTGACGATCTCGATCCGCGGTGCCTCACGCTCCCACTAGCGGTGACTTCTTTGACCTTGCCCAGTCCTCCTCACCCAACCCTCCGGTGTCTCCTGAGAATAGCTGGATGTTTCTATCGTCATCGCATCACGCCGACCGCAGCTACAATTTGCCCTCAATAGATCATCCAATCTGCACTGTCTCTGTTTGCTACTGCAGCATTTCGGCGCCTTCCCTTCCCCCCCTCCCTCTCCCCCTCCCCCAGGGAGTTCGTCACTATGGACGAGCTCTTTGACGTCTTTGACGAGCCAGCCAAGGCGGCGGCCACACCCACGGCCAAACCTACCCAGCCAGCCAGTGCTGACACGACCTCTCTCGCTCCCAATACAAAGCCGGCCAAGTCTGACCCGCCCAGAAAGAACAAGAAGGACAGGAAAGACCGACGAGACAAAAGCAAAAAGCGCAAGGCAGATGGCCATGTCAAGAATGGCGCCCCCGAAGCTGACGTCGAGATGGCCGACGGTGGCGAGCCCTCAAACAACGACGATGATTCCTCGGACGAGAACGATGCGGCCAGCCCGCAAGACCCCAAGCGACGCAAGAAGGAGGCCGAGGCCGACCCAGTTCTCACCGACAACTTTACAACCGCCGAGTCGAGACAGGTCGCCGCCGCCGGCGGCTTTGCGCCGACCAAGGAGGATGGATCTCTTACCCTCGCACACAATATACAGCACCAGGTTGCACTACCCCCTGATCTGGACTACGAATACGTCCCCCTCTCGAACCACAAGCCCCCCGCCGAGCCAGCCCGTACCTACAAGTTCAAGCTGGACCCCTTCCAGAGCCTGTCCGTCGCTTCTATCGAGCGGGACGAGTCTGTCCTGGTGTCAGCCCACACAAGTGCAGGAAAGACTGTTGTGGCCGAGTACGCGATTGCACAGTGTTTGAAGAGGAACCAGCGTGTAATCTACACCAGTCCCATCAAGGCTCTCAGCAACCAAAAGTACCGAGACTTCCAGGCCGATTTTGGCGATGTAGGCCTCATGACCGGAGATGTGACCATAAACCCCACTGCAAGCTGTCTTGTCATGACCACAGAGATTCTGCGGTCTATGCTGTACCGCGGTTCCGAAATCATGCGAGAGGTGGCCTGGGTCATCTTCGACGAGGTCCACTACCTTCGTGACAAATCCCGTGGTGTTGTTTGGGAGGAGACCATCATCCTGTTGCCTGACAAGGTCCGCTACGTCTTCCTGTCTGCCACCATCCCCAACGCCTTCCAGTTCGCCGAGTGGATCGCCAAGATACATCGCCAGGCCTGTCATGTTGTCTACACCGACTTCCGACCTACACCCCTGCAGAACTACTTCTTCCCTGCCGGCGGTGATGGCATCTTCCTCATTGTGGACGAGAAGGGCAATTTCAGAGAGGACAACTTTGCCAAGTCCATGGCCCTGATCGAGGCAAAGAAGGGAGCAGACCCGAGCGACATCAACGCGCCTCAGAAGGGCAGGGGTAAGAACAAGAAGACGAACAAGGGTGGTGCTTCTGATTCTCAGTCGGACATCTCCAAGATCATCAAGATGATCATGAAGAAGTCGTTCCACCCCGTCATCGTGTTTAATTTCAGCAAGAGGGACTGCGAGGCCATGGCGCTCGCCATCTCTCACATGACCTTCAACACCCCGTCCGAGAAGACCATGGTCAAGACGGTGTTTGAGAATGCCATCTCAACCCTGTCCGAGGAGGACCGTACCCTGCCACAACTCACCCACATTCTTCCGTTATTGGAGAGAGGAATTGGCGTTCACCACTCGGGGCTGCTACCCATCTTGAAGGAGACAATCGAGATCCTCTTCCAGGAAGGCCTCATCAAGGCTCTGTTCGCAACCGAGACTTTCTCCATCGGTCTGAACATGCCGGCCCGAACTGTCGTCTTTTCCGGAGTTACCAAGTTTGATGGACACAAGCAGCGTCCGCTGACTGTGGGCGAGTATATCCAGATGTCAGGCCGTGCTGGTCGTCGTGGCCTTGATGATCGAGGTATCGTGATCATGATGATTGATGACAAATTGGAACCAGAGACGGCAAGAGAAATGGTGGCTGGGCAGCAGGACAAGCTCAACTCGGCTTTCTACCTGGGCTACAACATGGTGCTCAACCTTCAGCGTATCGAGACCATCTCGCCCGAGTTCATGCTCGAGCGATGTTTCTACCAGTTCCAAAACAATGCCAGCGTCCCCGCCTTGGAGAGAGAACTCATCTCGTTGCAGCAGGAACGCGACAACATGGTTATCGCCGATGAAACCACCGTCAAGGAATACTACAACCTTCGCAATTCGCTTGAGGAATATACCAAAGATATGATTGCGGTTATACAACACCCTAATTATTGCAGCGAGTTCCTACAGCCTGGCCGCCTTGTGCAGATCAAGACGCCGACCGGCGAGGACTTTGACTGGGGCGTGATCATCAACTTCACTACACGCCGATCCGCTAGGGCTGGTGAGGCGCCACACCCTCCACAAGAGTCCATCTTTATCGACGTTCTACTACGACTGGATGGAGACAGCGATGAGGTCAGGCGTATCCAGCCAACGAAGGACGTGATGCCTCCTGGTATTCGTCCCTTTGTTGAGAGGCGGTCTAAGTACTGCCGGTACGAGGTTGTGCCGGTGCTCCTGAACTGCGTCAAAGCCTTTGGCCAGATCCGGCTGTTCGTCAAGGGCGACTTGAAGTCTGAGCAGGAGATGGGCACCTGCGGCAAGAATCTTGAGGAGGCCAAGCGTCGCTTCCCTGATGGGATCCCTATCCTGGACCCTATTGAGAACATGGGCATCACGGATGACTCTTTCAAGAAGCTCATGCGAAAGATCGAGGTGCTCGAGTCCAGGCTACTATCCAACCCGCTCCATGGGTCCTCCCGGTTGCCTGAACTGTGGGAGCAGTACTCCAAGAAGGTCTCACTGGCGGACCAGATCAAGGAAAAGAAGAAGGCCATCGCCAAGGCGCACAGCATCGCGCAGCTGGATGAGCTCAAGTCCCGCAAGCGCGTCCTCCGCCGACTCGGGTTCATCAACGAGGCGGAGGTGGTTCAGATGAAGGCGCGGGTGGCGTGCGAGATATCGTCGACCGAGGGGCACGAGCTGCTGCTGAGCGAGCTGCTTTTCAACCGTTTCTTCAACGAGCTATCGCCTGAGCTGTGTGCTTCCGTGCTGAGCGTGTTCATCTTCGACGAGAGGGTCGAGACGCAGGCACTCAAGGAGGAGCTCGTCAAGCCTTACAGGGAGGTCCAGGCCACGGCCCGAACCATCGCCAAGGTCAGCCAGGAGAGCAAACTTGACGTCAACGAGGAGGAGTACGTGCAGAGCCTGAAGTGGCAGCTCATGGAGACGGTCTTCGTCTGGGCGCAGGGAAAGCCGTTCGCTGAAATCTGGTATGTATTCACACTTGAGCACCTTAATATCAACGAAGAAAATCACTCCCACAGAACAATTGCTAACCACGGTCGACAATGAATAGCAAGATGACCAACGCCTACGAGGGTTCCCTGATCCGCCTCTTCCGCCGCCTGGAGGAGCTCCTCCGGCAGATGGCCCAGGCCGGCAAGGTCATGGGCAGCGAAGAGCTGCAGAAGAAGTTCGAGGCATCCCTCAAGATGATCAAGAGGGACATCGTCGCCGCCAACAGCTTGTACATTTAAGCGGTTGGGCATGATGGGATCACGGCCATGATGGTCCCTTTTCTTTTCTCTTTTACCTCCCAACACTGCTGCTATTCTGCATTGAAGAAGCATAGCAAAAGGGGTGATCTGCAAACTTTAATATTTTGTCAAGGGCTGCCGCTGCCGCTGCCGCTGCCTTGATGAGTTGATCGAAGAAGTCTGCATGTATTTGAAAAGTTGGCGTTGGGTCGAGGGAAAACCGGAGGCAACAAACATACCATGGCGGCGTTTATAGCATGACGGACATGTCTAGGAGCAAGCAGCAGCTCTGTTCAGCCAGAGTAGAATTTCTTTACTTGGGATAGCCGGATGACTGAATTTGAATGCCATGGTTCTGGGACGCCTCGCTGCGCCCCTGCTATTTCCTCCCCCCCCCCCCCCCGATAATCTGGTTCCTTTTGTTGCGCCTCATAGCTTAGCTTTTGACCAATACATCATGCGCGCTCTTATGATGTATGTACACTTGCCGGCCCGACAATCTACCTCCTCACCACTATCCTAGTCTTTCTTTTGACTCACAATCGCGCCCTCTTGAAGGCCAAACGATTATTACCCCAATAAGCTGAGCCGGAGCCGATTAGACCGTGCAGTCCATCCCTCACTATGGGTGCTGAGCCCATCCATTACCCGATCGTCCGAATCGTCCCAATAATCAGACTGAGCGCAAATCCAAAATACACAAACACCCGCATCCGCTTAGGGATCTTCTCCTCGTCACGAACCAGCCAACCAACCGCCCCCAGCGGCCAGACGAACCCAACAAACATGCCTCGGAGCAGCAAATCCAGCATGCCCGCCATGCCAAAGTCGTCTGCCGCAGCAGCAGCAGCAGCAGCATCGCCGCCTCCACCCGCCCCGTCTGCCGTCGCAAGGCCTGCGTCGTTGTTATTGTCCATCCACGCGTCCTCCATGCCACGCAGGGTGTCTGGGCTCGGCATAGTATCAGCCGTATGTCTCGCCTCGGTGATGCTCCGGTACTGCAGCCGGAGCTGGTTCACCTCGGCGGCGGTGAAGCCTGCCGCGAGCAGCCTGTCGAAGCCCCTCGGGGTCGCCATGGACGCCGCGCCACTGCGATTCCCAGCACCACCACCACCACCACCTCCTATATGTGCTCCTCCCGACGATGTGCCGGCGCCAGGGTGCAGTGCAGTGCTGCCGCCGCTGCCGACGTGCTCCGGCACAGGCTCCTCCGCCCTGCGTGCCTCGTCTTCCAGCTCCGCATCGGTCAGGAGATCGCCAATGCTGCAGTTGACGTAGACGCGCTGCTGAAGCTGTGCGGACCGGCTGGGGTCGGAGCCCTCGACGGCCTTGCCCTTGCCCTTGGGATCAGCGGCGCTCTTCTCGGCAGATGGTGAGGAGGAGCCATGGTGTTGTTGTTGCTGCGCCGCAGCTAATGGCGGAGGCGGGAGGGGTTTCAGGACAGACGCGACAACAGCAGCGTCGGGGAGGATCTTGCCGCCGTGGATGAAGCGCAGGCGGCGCTGGGAGTCGGGCTGGTCGAGGCGCGAGCGGATGAGGTGCTTGAGTGCGACGACCGTTGTGCGCCGCGGGTGGGGGATGTCGAGGAGGAGGTCTGGGAGGGAGGTGGAGAAGCGGACTGTCAAGAGGAGGGGTGGGGCGGTGGGTGGTGTCGAGGATGGCGGTATTTTGAGGGAGGAGGGCAGGCGGCGGAGGTTCTGATGGTGGGAGGCATTGTTGGTTGGCGAGGAGGGGCGGGCGGAATGGTTACCACTGCCGCCGGCGCCGGCGCTGCCACTGCCACTACCACCTCCTGTCATATTGACGATGGGAAAGTGGAGGATGTGAATGACTGTACCATCGTACGGTAAACAGTGTGGAATGTTGGTGGAGGCGGCGGTTGTTGTTGTTGTTGTTGTTGTTGTTGTTGTTCATGTTTGAGTGGCATGACCTGGAGAGACCCTGGCGAGTGGCCCTTGGCATCCCTGCAAGCTGTGACGTGCGTGCAACTCCGTGAAGGTGAGAAGATATGCACTTAAAAGGTGCAACCCTAGTTTGATATGACTTTAGCGAGACGTCAAGCATGCCCAGTATCTAGTTAGAACATGTGCTTCATCCTCTCAATAGTCGGTTCCCTCGCCATGTCCAACGTGCTGGTAGACCATATGTTCACATTCTATGAATCTTCAAAGCAAACTATTCCTCCCTTACGATCTTTGGATTTCACGAAATCTCCATTTACAGAGTGTCATACCAATACCCACTTCATTGAGACTTTGATACCATTGAATTTACAAGCCACCCATGGGCCACTAATAACGATACGAGTATATCCGACAACATCCACCTATAAGCAGACATGCACTCCCTCCCGTCAAGTCTTGAGTATTTGCCAAGTTCAGATGACATCTGCTCTTTGTCCATGTACACCTCAACAAATCCACCTCCCCTTGACATTTTTTTTTGTTCTGTTTTCTTGTATTTGTTTGTTTTCCCTGATTTCCCCGATCCGAAGTGTCCCATTTGCTGCATGTTGCATTCCTATGCCTCCAGCCGGCCAGACAATGTCCTCTGCCCCCCTTTGCCAGGCACAGCAAGTACCCAAGGTTTGTTTTTCCTTCCTTTTTGTCCCTTCTTCTTTTCTTTTGGTTTTCATCTTATGTTTTCACTCTCACAGATGCTTCTTGATCTTGTCGATGAACTTCTTGACCTTGGTCACGGTTCCAGTGTCATCTCGGCGGCGCCGCAGGAGAACCATGCGGATCACAGACTCAAAGAAGTCGGCCACACCCTCGCCTGTGCGCGCAGAGCATTCAAAGTACGCGACAGCGCCCATCTGCACGGCAGCCTGCTCTCCCTGTTCATCATCTTGTGTTAGGCTCATATGTGTGTGTGTGTGTGTGTGTGTGTATGTGTATGTGTGTCTGTAAGGAGGCAAACATTACCTGACCACGGGCGGTGGCAGTGGGCTCATTGAGAAAGTTCAATTTGAGTGTCGGATAGTCGCGGCGCAGGTCACACTTGAGGCCCACCAGGATGACAGGCGCCGAAGGGCAGTATCGCTCGGCATCATTCCTCCACTGTGAGGCAAGAGATTGGTCAGCTCTTTGTCTCTTTTCCCACGCACACGCACACACACACACATTCTCTCTCTCTCTCTCTTTGGACCTCACACCCCATCTTCTTTTCCCTTGTGTGTCTTTTTCCTTTCTGGTCATTGAGGACACGCAATACACACATACCTTTTGCATCACAGCCTCCAGGGTGGTTTCATCACCAATATCAAAGCAGATGACGACGGCATCGAAAAAAGTCATGAGCAGGGGCCGGACCGAGTTCTCGAACGCGCACCTCGTGTCGCACTGCGAGGAGACGTCCCAGGCCTCCAGGACGGTCTCCTGGTTGTCGACAGTGTGGTTGATTGTCTCGACAGAGTAGCCGTCTGTCATCTCCTTGGCAGTGCTGGCCTTGCCCTGGACGGTAAGCCGTGTCAGTCACTATGTTGCTGCTTCTTCACCACAGAGAAGAACTCATGCTGGGCAATACATCCTGGACTAATATAACCTACCATCTTGAAAGTACCTGTGGCGAAGCGCCTAATAAGCACGCATCAGTTACAGAACTCTCCAGGGTGAAAAGGGGTCTGGCTTTAATTGGGGTGGCTCATACTGGATCAACTCGGTCTTGCCGCAACCAGTATTACCAACGACGCAAAGCTTGACCCGTGTTGCAGTGTTTCCACGTGGCAAGTCGTGCCAGGGGTTCAGAGCACTGCCTGCAGGCATGCTGAAGCGCTTGGTAGCAGCGGAGCTGAGACGGCCGAGACGGCTCTGGCGGCCGTCCTCGGTGTGGCTAATGGGCGGGGCCATCATCGAGAGGCGGTTCGCAGCACTGGCAAAGGCACCTTTGATTCTTTTGGCAGGGTGTTGGGCGTCGATAGTTGCTGGAGTCTGGTATTTGGTGAGCACACACGTGGTCATCATAAATCTTTTGGATTCTGGTAGTAGAACCGGAACAGCGGGGCGAGAGTGGCAGGACTTGATGGAATGGGGACTGATACTGAGGCTGAACTGACCTCAGTGCGATTGTGCTTCCTCTGGTTACCCTCCTTACTGTGGTCTGAGCCAAAGAGCTGGTGGATGTGGCTGCTGTCAGGTCGGTGAGTGGCCGCGGCTGTGAGCGTGGCCGCATCACGATCTCCGTTGTCTCTACTGTAAAGCGGCTCAAGACGGGCATCGACCACAGGGGAAGCTTCAGCAAGCTGAGCATCCTGTGCATTGGTGGTATTATAGTTGTTGCTACTCGGTTGCTTTTGGTCAGACTGAGCAGAGTCCCTGATCTGCACTGGTGTTCCAAGCTGGATGGACTCAACTCCCTGGACAAGCTGGTCTTCCTCGGCGGTGAAGTCGACATCTTGTGAGTTGTGCTGGGAATTTCTGAAGCTGAAATGAAGGGAAGACTTTCGCTCTGGAATTCGGAGAGGGCCTGGAAGTTCCTCCACGACGATAGGGTGCTGACCCAGCGGGTTGGGGTGATCACATCGTGCATCTACAGACCCTTCCTGGTTTTGCATACCAGAAGTGGGAGTAGTAGCTGCTGCAGCTGCTGCTGCACCGGGGTATGTCTCACCAGAGCGGTGTTCCTGGCCTCCAAAAAGGGGAGCCATACTGCTGGAGGATGGAGGGGGAGCAGAAACTGAACGAGGCCGAGAATGTCCACAAGGCCTGCCATGCCTCTGTCTGCCATGCCTCTGGACTACTCCATGCTGAGGCTGGTGGCAATGTCCCTGTGACGAGTCCTCACACATACCTCCTGTCTCGGGCTCAGGGAGTCCAGCCAGCCACAGTGCCATTCTCTCGCTGCACGAGATATGACCCCTCTGGTCATTGGTGAATGTGTACATAACTGATGTTGCTGGGCGCCTGGGCTGCCAGAAGGGGTTTGCAGCTATCATGTAGCCTTCATATTCGACATAGATGTGATCAGGGAAGACGTGTCCGTGACGTGGTGCTGGGGTTGCTGGTGCTGTGGCTCGTACAACAGATCTGGGGATGCGGCCAATATTTCCAAGATTGTCGCCAACTGAGGATGAAACAACCTCTGGAGGTACTTCGATCACCTGCAACACCCTGTAGTTGGGTGTGTCTGGCCCAGATGGAGGCATCTTTGATGTGTTTGTATGTGTGACTTCTTGTATCTCTCAATCAAGTGCTCTGAAAGTTGCGTATGGGATTGTAGACTGGACAGATAGCAGCGATGCCTGGTCGCTGTATGGCGCAGTGTGTTTGTGATGGATGGCGCGTCGGACAAGGCAGGTCCTCGAAATGAGGAAAGCTGCTGTTGCGGCACCACAATGTGCGCCCAAAGGTAAACAAAGAGAATAATTAGAGGAGTGATAGAGTGACAATCGCTTTTATTCTTGACATGGTTGGAGAGAGGGGGGGGCGAGTGTTGACGACGCGGGTGAACGCGATGCAAAACAGGGAAAATCGACGTGGACAAACAGGCTGGTCTTGGGAGCTGGCATTGGCAAATCTGGTTTAGGGGAAGGGTTTAGCAAAACCTGTAAAAGACTTCAAAGTGCCTGCAGTCTCAACTCTGCAGGCTGGCATCAAGAAATGGTTCACTGCCTGCCAGGGTGGGTCCGAGGTTATTGACATGTCAGAAAGTGAGCCCTTTCTCATTTATCTAAGCCACCAGGTACATATTTAATGGTACCAAAAACCAACAATCAGTCCTGGATGTACTTTCTCAGCCCCCTCAGCCTCTCCTTGGCCAACTCGAGCACATCATCCGGTTTGCACACTGCGAACCGAATGTAATCTTCGGCAATGTGAGAGTTTTGCTCGGTGTAGAACTCGGTCGGCGGGATGGCAGCCACACCAACTTCGTGGATGAGGAACCATGCCAGCTTGAAATCGCGTGGTCGGCTGGCCACGTGCGGAGGGAATGAGTAATCCTCAGGCACCTTGACCTTGGCCATGTTGGCCATGACGAAGTAGCCTCCCTCAGGCTCAGAATAGGGCAGGCCGAGCTCGTCAAACACGGCATTAAAGCGTGCCATGCGCCCCTTCATGTCCGCAATGCACTCATCCCAGAAGCCTTCTGCCTCGGCCTGCTCAAAGCCAACCGCACAGGCTTCCTGCAACGGCGAGACAGACGAGTAGCAAATCCGAGTGTGGGCTGCAGAGACATACTGAAGGAGCTCGGCCGGTCCCATCAACCAGCCTACCCGCCATCCAGTAGCGTAGAAGTTCTTGCCCGCCGAACCGACGGTCAACGTGATCTTCTCCACCTCGGGAGACAGGGTCGCGATACGAGTGAAGGGCACGTAGTACAGCCTATCGTAGACCTCATCAGAGAGAATGATGATCTCGTTCTTGAGACAGATGTCGGCGATCTTTTGCAGTTCCTCCTTGGAGAAGACCTTGCCGACAGGGTTGTCTTTGCGCTTGTCAGTCAACAGTATCCTCACAGATACCAAGATCAGGTTGACTACATACGAGGCGTGTTGAGCACCATCATCTTGGTGCGAGGCGTGACAGCCTTCTCCAGCTCATCAAAATCGATTGTCCACTCCGCGGCAGACGAAGTCTTCGTGGCACCTGTCTTGGGAGGGTGCAATGGCACGTAAACGATCTTGCCACCAGGCATCTCGATGTTGGAAATGTATCTATCGCATACCATGTCAGCCTATAGACCTTTTCTTCTTCTTCAATACTCCGAGCGTTGTGTAGACTAACTGGTCAAAGAAGGGTTCGAAGATGATGACCTCGTCGCCCGGCTCGATGAACGCCATAAAGGCGCTGAGCATGCCCTCATTTGCCCCGGTGGTGATGGTGACTTCTGTGTCCGGGTCAAGCTGCCGACCCCAGTGCGGCGAGTATGCATCCGCGATGGCTTTCTTGAGGCGAGGCCGCCCCTTGGTCGGGGAGTACTGGTTGCAGTCCACTTGGTTCAGAGCTTCCTTGGCCGCGTTGAGGATGAACTCGGGCGGGTTGTAGCCGAAAAATCCCTGGCCCATGTTGACGATGGGCTTGATAGGTGAGGCGGCAGCGGCCTCATTGATGATGGACCTACATGCTGCGTATCAGTAAGAGAAGTATGAAAGACGGCGATAATTGAGAATCCCAAACGAGAACCAGTAGACGCCATTGTCCTCTTTGAAGGTTGCGAGAGTCCAAGCCGATATATTCGGCAGGTGCCCAACCCAAGGAGGACAGGTGGGGATGAGTCTAGGACCAAGTTGCCCGCAGCTTCCTAGACACATTTCCCTCGGCCGTCAAATGTAGAAGGGACGCATTTCCAAAAGCACAAGGTTTTCTGTGCTATGCCAAGTGCATGTCCTCGTCAAGCCAACCACATCTCAGGATTCATCACAAGTGCCTGTTTGCAGGACAGGATTCCGAGAAGCTCATCCGAGCTACCGGCACAACGAGTAACAGAAACGTGCTCAAGACCATCCGTCCAAGTCAAGCCGAAGCTGACATACAAATCTAATACCGAGGACGAAGCTCCTCAAAAAGCTCCACATTCAATACGCCCAAGGTCGATAGAAAATCCCGCCGACGAGACCAGACAACCCCGCCTTGGGGGACTCGTCTTCATCATAGTTTCCCGCACCAGGAAGGTCATGAAAGCAAAATGACTCACCAAACATCCTGCCTCCGCCCAGCGACCCGAGCCGCAGGCTTCATCTTCCCGCTCCCAGACATGGTCGTCGCAGAAGAAAACCGCCGTAGCCTCGTCGCCGCTGCTTCTTGGAGTGCCCAAGAGGGGGAGGGGGAGGAAGAGGGAGAGGAAGAAGAAGAAGCCGAGATCCGGATCGAAGTCACTGGTGACTGTCGAACAACAATACTCCGAGCAAAAGGGCCGCAGCTAAGCAGTCTACCTGAGGACCGCATATGAAGGATCTTGTTCTAGAGTCTAGGTCTTTTCTCTAAGAAAGGGAGAACAAAATCAAGAGTCTGAGGAAAGATTTATAAATAGAAGAAGCCTGGTCCACGCCTCTGTCGTAAAGGTGTCACTCGCTTGCTAATCAAGAGCGTCGGTACCCGCCCTTGTCTGTAACCGGTGCCAGGCGCTGTTGCGCATGAATCACGGCGAGCATTGGCGGGACATTCCCGGCATCGGCGCGGTACCTATCCCAAACGCAATATTCCGGCTAATGGCGCCATGTCCTGCACTATGCAACAAAGGGGGTGCAAATATGCACCTAGTCAAACTTCATCCCCCCCGAAACGTCCTGCCTCGCAGAAGACGTGCATAGACATATCGGCCATGCTACGAAGGCAAGCAGACATAATAACAGCCAGTGATTGTCAACCTGATGCATTCAATTGAGGTGAATGTTTATTCGATGCGCATAAGACGCGACTCGTCCTATAATACCTGTCGCCGGAAGCAACCCTAGTACCATGCATCATCGTCCATGTTGGGCTCTGCCTTGAGACGACCTTCAGTCCACATCGAGTTTGAGTTTGAGATACCTCTCCTGCAAAAGTGCCTCCAGATTCCCGCCGTCATCGCAATAATGAGCTAGACTCAGCGCCTTTTGAGCCCATCGTCTGCAAGCCTCGGTTTCATCTCGGCCACACAAGTCGATTGAGTGATTGTACGCTGAGGAGGCAAACCATTCGACCTCTTCTGATGGCCAGGCTGCCGGGGTCTTGCTCACAGAACATAGTCAGCTATGCGTAGTCATAATCTTGGAGTCTGATTCACTCACCCTATAAGCATCTTTAACCATGGTGTGGGTCTCGTTGAGGAGCCGACTGCCGAGCTCTTCGTCGAGGGGGAGGGTCACTTGGAAGAGGCATCGCGTATATTTGGCGAGCTTGATGGAGTCCGAATCGCTGAGCTCCGCAATCTGATTGATAATTTTGCGCAACACGCTGAAAAGTTCTAATGTGGTCATGATCTGTCAGTAGGGTTAGGATCAAAGAGGTGTTCGGTCCCGTTTACCTTCAGCAGGCAGATTGTTTCGAAGCGCACAATCTGCCATTGCCTTGAACGGTTCCACCTTATGACATTGATTTGCCTTTAACACGATCTCGCTCAGCTCCGAATACCGCTTCAGCTCCACGGCTGCCTCAAAGTCGAAAGCTAGCAGTTGTGCCAGTCTGGCTTTCAGGTCCGCGGCTGAGATCTCATCGATGTTCTCGTCTTGAAGGCGCATCTCGATCTGATGATCCGCAACCGCGATGTGCCTTCGTGCGACGAGGTAGTCTTGGAGCTGCTGCTCCACATTATCCCCCGCTCGAGCCAGAGCCACGAGTGCCGAAGCAATCAGAAAATTGCAAAAGATCGACCTCAGAGACAGGTCACTGGCCATCTCTGCTGCGATGTCGTCTGGAAAGTGACTGGCTAGTTCCACACAGGCCGTCAGCATCCTCACGACATTCCTGAGGTTCCAGTCACTGGCATGCTGCAGGCCCAAGTTATATGCGTTCTGACAGAACCATTCCAACTCTCTAATATCAAAAAGCTTAGCCCCATCCACACCTTTTGGCTCTTTCTGAACAGCGGTGGCGACTAAGAAAGAACGTGTCAGAACATGACACAAGCGTTGATTTCGAAAGGTTGTCACCCACCATCTTCAAACATGCTGCACAGATCCATCACAACACCATCCTTGTCTACCTTCTCGTCGCTTCCGAGAAGCCCATGCAAGAGCATTATTGTACAGCGGCGAAGGGCTGGCAGATGCACTCTCTCAGGCCGTTCGTAGTCGTACGTTTCAGCCAGCTTTTTCATAGCCTGAACGATGGTCACCTTCTCTCCAACGCGTTGTGAGTCAGCCACACAGGCATAGAGAAATTCGAACCCAATGTCCGACTCTGCGACATTGTTCAGGCACTGGGAAGCCATCTCAATGTAGCCGCTCCGGATCGCCACCCGGTATAATAGATATTGGGTCATGGGCTCTTTTTGGGTTTCTTGGGGCATGGAGAAGAATATTGATCTGGCGTAGTCGAAGTCGTTCTGATTGATGGCACATAAGAGAAGCTTTCTATTCTCATTAGCTTCTTGAAATTGAATGTGATTGACCTTCTTACCTCTCCAGCTTCGCCTTGTTTGTAGGTCCTGAGTTGGCGAACTCATCACGGAGGCCGAGCAGGCACCACTTATCTGCCATGTGGTATTGCGCTTGATTGAAATTAGAGTTGACCTTCTTCCAAATCAACTACACAGCAGTCAGCCAAGTCTGACATATCCTTGATCAGTGGCGCCAAACCCACAGTCTGCGCCGCGAAACTAGCCTCACTGCCCAAGGGTTTCCCCATTAGTCTCGAGAGGGATTTGTGGGCTTCATCCACAGTTCCCTCAATGTCCCGATATCTGGTGGCCATATCTATGCGTTTAACAACCACCGCATCGATCCACTCCTGGTTGCAAGTCTGCACCAGCGAAGTCAGGAAGTCGTCGATGACGGAATATCCAATGCCGGGGCATTTCGTGTGAAGAACGTGAATGTGATGACAGAGTAGTTTGAAACTTGTGTCGTTTGGTCGGAAGCTTCGTATCATTCGCCGAATGATACTACCATAAGCGTCGCCGTCAAAGATCTCTGCTGGAGACTTGTTTATAATTTCCAAGTTTAGAAGTAATACGACTGGCTCGTCACCTGCTTCCGATTCAACGTATTTGACAAGATTACCTGCCCTCTCAATGCTTTCACCTGTTTGCAGGCCTATTAGAGCTGTGACGAGTCCTTGTAGTATTGCCATACGCAACTCGATCGCGTCTCGGGATATGTCCGGCAGTGGCTGGGCGTTAATCAAATCCCATGCACGCTGCAGCCACTTCTCCGCCATGGGATAGTCGTGCTTGATGAGTAGGCCCTTGCCGACTTGGAAGAGGCTGTCGAGGATCTTCTCCGCAGACTGGGGGCGTACTCGCTTCAAAAGGCTCTCCACATTCGTGAAAGTGTGCTCGGCGACTACCAGCTGATTGTCCTGAAATGCCTAAGATCTAATAAGTCGCGGTATCAGTAGCATTTTGAGGGCTGCTAGCTCACCAGAACGATCCTCATGGCTGTCCATTCTGCTTCCAGGCGTGTACTCTCGTCATCGTGGTCCTGTCCTGGCACCTGAGCCAGCTGCTTCAGATGGTCGTGATAATCAGCAGCCCTTTGCAGAATGAACCTGGCGGTCTGTACATCTTGAACTTCTGTTACGCATACTCTCAATCAGCTTTATGTCTAAACTTCAAGCATGACGTACGAACCGGTACAGCACTTTGCCGCCTTCAATGCTATCCTCATGAGGTGGGTGGTAATGTGCGCAGTGTTCTTCGAAGACCATTGACAAAGGTGAAGTATCTGGTAGGCGAGTACTCGACCTGCGAGGACTAGTCTAAAGGCCGGAGACGTCTTCTGTCCCTTGTCCGTGAAGGCTCGGTTCAGTCGTGTGCACAGGTTCCAGAGGTTGGTGCCCTCCCGCTCCAAGTCTTCGTCGCCTGTCATACCATGATTCATCTTGTCGGCGTACCTCCCTATTGACTGCATCTGCGTCTGGACCTCGGAGAGTAGCGAGGCTGCAACCTCAGTATCATCCTTATCTTTGGGTAGGCGTTTGGAGAGATCGGAGGCAAAAGCTAGAATGGACAAATGCTGTCATCAGCCTCTACATACATCCTTTCGAGCCAACTTGAAACGATCGGAGAAAGGGTTCATTGTACACAGAATGGACTGAGCCCGCCGTCTTGAGACATCGTTGCCATCGCGTGCAACTTTCAAAGCCGAAGGCATCATGAATCTCCTTTCTCTCTCCAAATCCTAGTGTGCTCGCATTTGAATGCCGTCTGGTAGGTCAAAATGATGGGGTATCACCGGCAGCTGAGGCTATGGATGTTGTGACGCGATGGCCTCACCAACAGAGGTGTGGATCGTAGGCCAGCGGCTCTCGCGTATCGTTTGGCCCTCATTCAATGGGCATCAGAGAAGAGGCATCGCGACAAAATATGTAGAAAACGTGGCGAAAGACAATCGCTCGGGTCATGTGAACGTGCATAGCCAATGCTGGAGAAGAAGAAGAAGCAAAGACATTTTGGTCTACCAGCCCGTGAATGAGGAAACCGCCAGGTCCCATGGGTACTCTCTACAGGAGGAAGGCACAAGTGCGCGGTGCCCGCCTGAATCCACCAATCCCAGGAAGATACAACTGCCTCCCTTTCAATTGTGTTTTCCATGCTCAATAGGAATCCGTGCACAAAGGTGCACCAAAAAAATTCCAACTTCTTTTTATGAGAATTACGGCATTAGGCTTTATATTGCTTATCCGTTGTAAATGAATTTTGGCTTAAAGTAAAAATGCGTATCGTGTTCGTGGCAAGAGAAGTAATCAGTTCTCTCGTTTAAGTGTTGAATCAGTGGGATGGATCGTGTGGTAAAAAATTTCCAACAATCAAACTTGGTCTGGAGGGTTTGAAAGAAACAAATCGTCAGTACCGTTGTGTGGGGTGATGAAGGCACAGAGTGCCAAGAAAGAGCAATGGTAAAGGTTGACACGATGGGGCCAACTTACATTCTCGCCTCATCGCGCCTGATCTTCAACGAGAAGCAGCACTTGATCTCTCTCGAGTTGGCCTTGTCGGCAGGACTCTTCAGCTCACACGCCGTGAGGAGGGTATCATGTGAAGAATCGAATGCTATTGTGCCAAACTCTTCCCAATACCGCACCATCGACGCCTCTGTGAGAATCTGGTGTAGAGCGATCTTGCCCTGCGACCTTGTCAGCAAAAAGAAGGGAGAAAGACCCAAACAACAAGCAGTTTCAAAGGCACAACACTCACGTCGCGCAGATCCTCAACCTCCACCCCGATCAGCTCAGCCATCTCCTTGTTGCCACGGAAGATCTCCCCGGTGCGCCGCCAACAGCACGCTGGGACAGCCATGCTTGCAAAGACACGGTCATATTCCATCAGCGTCTTCTCGAACCACATCTCGACGTACACCAGCTGCAGGTCCGTCATGAGCTGCACCTTCTCACGGAACTTGGGCCGGAACTTGTTGATCTGCGCGAGAATCTTCTGCTTGGACGACGGCTGAATATGCGTCTCCAGATAGTCCTGCAGCTTCTTGTAACCCTGAATGTAGTTGAAGGGCTTGAGCAGGCCGGCCTCGTACTTGGCGCGGAGGACGCGCTCCATCCGTGCCTCGGGCGTGTCGTTGCCCGAGGGGTCCGCCACCTGGAGATAGAACTCAGCTGCCTCGCGCCGTTTCTTATCCTCTGGGTTGGTCGTGGCCGGTCTGGGTATCAATGAGCCCTCGACTGAATTTTCTGCAGTATTTCGCTGTTGCTGCAGGAGTAGTTGTTGCTGCTGCTGCAACCCGGTTGCGCTGGCCCCTGACAGGGCAGTGGGCGGCAGCAGCGAGTTGCCGCCTTGGCCGAGGTAGCTGCCGGGTAGCATGTCGTTCTCGTTCTTGAGGACCTGATCTCCGCTGGACAGCAGGCCGCCGTCATCCAGGAGACTGCTGTTGAGGAACTCGTTAAGCAGGTTGAACTCGTTGCTGACTTCGGGGGCGATCAGGTAGTTATTCTGGTAATTCTGCATATCCTGAAGATGATTTTGGGCAGTCAACCACGCATCCGAAAACCCGGCGACTATGAAAATGTCAGAAACAAGTCGCGCTCTGGATCCACAGGATTATGCTTCATTGCCTATATACTATACATTGGAGAAGAGGGAGGGGCGGAGGAGCTGTGGTTGATGAAAGACAGGATCACCTGACGAGTACAGGAGAATGACAGGGTCAGACCTACATTGATTCATATTGCTGCTGCGCAAGCCGCTGGCCTGCGTCCCAGAGATCTGTGACGGTCGCACGAGCTGCTGCAGGGAGTTGCTCCCCTGGCCCAGCGAACCTGCAGACCCAGAGGTGATACCGACACTACCAGCCCCAGCAGCTGCTGATGTCGATCCCGCGTCGAAGGACGGGGGCCTCATGGCGACCGCAGTAGCGGCGACCGCAGCGCTGGTCTGATCGATGGAGCCGCGCGAGAGGTCGGGCTGGGACTCGGATTCATCCATGGTTGAGCCGGCGGCGATGCTCCCCCTCCCTGTACCAGCCTTCTTGCTGTCACTGTCACGGGGTTCATCGTGACAAAGGTGACCGATATTTCGCTTGATACACCTCGTACAAGGTCTCTCCTATTTAAAGCAAGGCGTCATGTTGTGGTCAGTGAATTTATTTCCACTCGAGGCTGCAGTGCAGCTGCAGCCTGACACGACAGCATCCTGACGGGTCTCGGTAGGTTTTCTGGGGGGGGGGGGGGGTAATGTGTGTGTATGTGTGAGGTGGGAGACAGGCAGCAGTAGCTGCATCAGTAGCAGCAGCAGTGCCAAAAAAGAAGCAACTTCTGGGAGGAAGAGAGAAAAGAAGGTCTTACATACAAGGTCACAAGTCATGTGCTAGAACATCCGTAAAAACACAATTGTATTAGCCACGCAGGTCTCTCAACTCTGTAGTCCCCTCCTCCGCTCCAAACACAAGGCGGCAGCCCTGCTGCAGGCACCACAACCCATCGACTATGTGCGTGGGACATTGGGCAGCCATGCTGTGCTGTCACTCTCGGCACGAGCAACAATGTGCGCCCCACCACCACGCGGACGATAGCCAATTGCCTAACCAGCTCGGGGAGGGATTCTTTTCTCATATGACTTACAGATCGACGGCAATATACGCATGCTGTAGGAACGCGAGAGACACAAGGATTAGCGCGCGAAGAACCACACGATGAGGCGTGCCCAGGGGGAGGGTTGAAGGGGTCGGGGGCCCGGGGGGCAATACCATGCGTGACCTTGCGCCTCTTCTTTTGGGGGCCTTGTCTGGTCGTGTCATCTGGCGTATGCGTCTGCGCCTTTGTGGTGGTGCTGCTGCTGTCTCTATCGCTGCCGGGCGTTGCGCTGGCCTTGGACCTCTCGCCATTATTACTCGGCCGGAGGGGCGTAGCCTTGACCGGCCTGGGCGTGGACGCGTCGCCCTCGGAAGGGCGGTCCTTGTCCTTGCCCTCAGTGCTACTGCTGCCGGCGGCGCCATTCTTCTTCTTCTTGTCCATAACTTGCGCCCGTGCCTTGTATTGTTTGTCCTTCCCTCCTTCTTCCCGTTTCCCTCCGTCGTTCACGCACTCTGTGTCCTTCTCTTTCTTTTTCAGCTGTGTCCTTTATTTCCTCCAAAATATTTCAATCAGGATCTCCAACAAGTTCCGGTCCCGGTTCCCGATCACTCAATGCGCCCTCCTCCCATTGGGTCTGTGGGTTACGCAGCCGGCGTCGAGTTCGTGGCTCATTTGAGCAAGGCGTGCGGGTCTCTGCAGCTGGATAGATTGATTTGACCACACCTCTCCCGAGGAGAGGACAAGGGGGGAAGCGCAAGGCAGGGAAGTCGAAGAAGAGAGGAATGCGCCTCGTTCTAGACACCCTGTTGTCGAATGTTGGCCAGGATTTGCCGTCGCGCGCCGGGTAGGAACCTCGATCGCGTACGTGGAGGTAAAGACGTAATGGCAAGGATTGCGCTTGTGTGGCCGTCGTAGTAGTGTCTTCTGCTTTTCCTTTCCTTGTTTCGATGTCGCAAGCGCCGGAGCTGTACGATGGCGATCGCGCCAAGCACGCGACACAAGATGCGGTCTTTTTGAGTTGTGAGTAGCCGAGGTGCAGATGTCAGTAAGACCGGCGCAAACTTACGACAACGGGTGGACGGAGTACGGAGGACGGGCTGGGATGGAACTCTATTGTTTGACCGCCGCCGCCCTTGCCTTGAGCGGAATTTGTGCCCGGAGGACGGGTTTGGTTTTTGGGGGGTTGTTTTTTTCTTTGGGCAGGGGGTCTGCTAACTGTTAGCTGCTGGGTGGGTTGCCTGGTGGCGGGGTTCAGCTCAGCTATACTTGCCGCATGCGGGGGCATCACTGGGGAACCAGCTTGGAGGCTTCTTTGACCTATGGGAGGGATTGGAAGGGGGTGAGAGGGTGCAAGGGGGGGCCTGTTAGGGAGCTGCTCACTGGCTGACAGGCCGAGAATAGCTAAGACTGTACAAGCTCTGCTCCAAGCTCTGCCCTACCAATTTGCTCATCCATAGCCTGGTTAGTAAGAAGGCTATAAAGAGTACTACTTTCGTGCCTGGCAGCAGAGCATGATATTTCCTTCTTCTATTCAAATGCCACCTTGTGTTGTGGAGATATACATCAAAAGGGGAAGAGATCTGAACAAAGAAACGACAAGAATGCAATTAACAGCTCTAGGATACCCACAGGACAGCCTCATTCCCATTCTCAAGCAAGGAAATATTTGTGCTCCCATCCTCGCCTCGTATTCATATTATATTTCAACCCAAAACCCTGGAGCCGGGGAGACACATATAAGGTGACATGTGCTACGCGGGCCCGCAAGCCCTGGTGACACCCTTTTCAGATGGCGTGTGAGCTTCGAGAAGCTGCATGGTCATGGAGTTGCATTATTTGAAGGGAGACAAAGGGGCCAAAAGCAAATACAGGACAAAGAAGGAGAAAAGCGTAACTATGTTGCCTCAATGGATGGGAATTTGCTTATGCGTACGTGTATGCCCATATAAAGTACATACGAGACTAAAGACAATGGCAAGGAAGTAGAAGTGATGTGACACAACATGGCAGAATAGACCTGGGTATAATTAATTTCCTGAACTCTCCCCTGCGCACCTCTTGTATACATACCAGGTTCGAATTCAGGTTTCCTCACTGCTAATTGTATGTATGAAAGATGAAATTGTTGTCTGGGAAACCCATCATAATATGCTGAACTTCATGCGTACACGTGTCACAGTATATCGAACTCCATAAATACACAACGCCCAAGATCAGCCCAGCCCATACCTCGAAAACGACTCTTCAAATGGCAATGAAGAAATTCTTCTCCCCATCCTTCGGTAATACCCTCGCCCTCTCCATGATGGGGTCCACACAAGCCAGCCTGATCCTCTCGCTCGTCGCAGGGCTCTCCAGCCTCAACAACCCATCCTCGTTCTCGCCTTGCCAACCTGCCTTGCCGACCTCCTCCTCTCCCTCCCCATCCCCAACTGTCTTCGCCCGCACCCCATACATCGCTCGCGCCGCCTTGAGCGCGTCCCGGATCGCAAAGAACACGGCACTCCCCATGAACAGCGGTGGCTCGCCGACGCCTCTGCTCCGCTGGATCGTCCGCAGATCCTTCCACTCGACCCCTTTGAGCAGGCTCACATTGAACACCTGTGGCACGTCGCGGAACCCAGGAATCTTGTACGCGCCCGGCCCCCGCGTGAAGAGGTTGCCCGCTGCTGGTCCATTGCGCAGCCACAGGCTCTCTTCCATGGTGAAGAGGCCCATCCCTTGGACAAAGGCGCCCTGGATCTGGCCGTAGTCGATGCTCGGGTTGATGCTGCGACCCACGTCCATCTTGACGTCCGCCCTAAGGCATGTCCAACCGCCCGTGAGCGTGTCCACCTCCACCTCAGCCGCTGCCACGCCCTGCGTAAAGTAGAAGAACATCTTGCCCTTGTTCTCTCCCCACGTGTAGCCGATCTCAGGCGTCTTGTAGAAACCCTGCGCCGACAGGTTCACCCGGTCAAAATACGCTGCATGCGCCAGCTCCTTCATCGTCGCCTCTGGACCCAGCTTTTCCCGGTACGGTGCCAGCCTCTCGTTGAGCTGCTCGCACGCGTTGAAGATGGCGTACCCGTTGAGGTCGCTAGAGGCCGATGCCGCCGTCGCACTGGCGTTGGCCACTGTGTTGGTTGCCGTCTCGGAAATGAAGACCGTGTCGAGAGGCACCTTGAGCGCCTCGGCCGCGATCATGGTCATCTTTGTGTGTAGGCCTTGTCCCATCTCTGTGCCGCCGTGAGCGACTAGGACAGACCCATCGTGGTAGATGTGGACCAGGGCACCGGCCTGATTGAACCAGAGGGCCGTAAAGGAGATGCCGAATTTGGTGGGTATCAATGCCTGTGTTGATGGCTGAGTAAGTACGAATGACTCCCGGATGAGAATGGCCTTGATTAGTGTGTAGACGGAGGGAGAAACAACTCACCAGCCCTCGCTTCCGCCACTTATGCTCCTTGTTGAATTTCTCTACCGCCTCCCTCCTCTTCTCGTACTCTGTCTCCTCCATGACCTGTTTGCACATGAGTGGCACATGCCAGTCCGTCAGCGGTTGGTTGAAATGTGTCGGTTCCTCCGCCTTGTACATATTGATCTCCCTGAACCTCTCGACCGGTATGCCGAGGCGATCCGCGACCTCACTCATGTAAGACTCGGCGATGAACAAGCCTTGCGGCCCACCAAAGCCCCGAAAGGCCGTGTTGCTCATCGTGTTCGTCTTGCAGATGCGCCCGCGGACGTGGAAGTTGGGGATCCTGTAGCAACCATCGCTGTGAGTCATGGCCCTCTCGCACACCGCAGCTGAGAGATCCCATGACCACCCTCCGTTGTTGAATATGTCCAGGTCGAGTGCCTGGATCTTTCCGTTCTTGTTGACGCCCAGCTTCCAGCGGCCCAAGAACGGGTGCCGCTGTCCAGAGGTCACCATGTCCTCCTCGCGAGTGAGCATGCAGCGGACGGGCTTGCGCGTCTTTTGAGCCGCCAATGCGAGGATCGTGCTGAGCTGGATACAGCGTGTTTCTTTGCCGCCGAAGCCGCCGCCGAGTCGCTTTACCTTGACAACGATCTTGTTGGCTTTCTCGCCAAGGACGCGGGCGGCATATGCTTGGCTAGATAAGACAGAAGATTTGGTCAGTTAGGTCAAATTAACGAGATTCCAGATGGCGTGGAAGGGGAAAGAGAAATCAGGGCTAGAGCAGCTACTCACGACTCATTGCAGTTCTGTGAGCTCGACCAGATCTCCATCTCCCCGTCCTCTTTCGGGATCGCAACACATGCGTTGGTCTCGAGGTAGAAATGTTCCTGGCCGCCCATCCTGGCCACGCCGGTGAACGTATAATCACACTTCTTGAAGGCCTCCTCCGGGTCGCCAGTCTTGATCTCTCTAAAGAAGTTGAACAGGCTATCCTTCTCGATGGCCTCCTCGATGGTGAAGACGGCAGGAAGATCCTCGTACTCGACCTTGACCGCCCTCATACCCTCGACTGCCTTTTGTTGCGAGGTGGCCAGGATCAGGGCGATGGGCTGGCCGGCTGTGAAGACCTCATCCTCGGCCAGGAATACCTCTTGAAAGTGTGGTGCACCCCAGTGATTCGCCTCGTCGCTCGGCATATCACTGCGGTCGATGTAGTCCACCACACCTGGGATATCGAGCGCGGCACTGAAGTCCACCGACTTGATTTTCGCATGTGCCCTGGTAGAGAGGACAAGACAGCCGTAGAGCTCGTTGGCGAGCTTTGGTATGTCATCGGTGTACTGTGCCTCGCCGACTGTCTGCTTCAGTGCAGCAAGGTGAGGATTAGCCTTGCCCACGATAGTCTGTTGGTAGTCTAGCGTCGCTGTGCCATCTGTCTCCCCAGTCGAGATCTCCCTCTCGATCTCATCCACGGCCTCCTCATCCATATGCTCACTGTCGCCCAGTCCAAGCATCACCTCATGGTAGAAACGGTAAAAAAGACTCAGTGCCAGGGCTCTTCGATAGGAAGCCATGCCACCAGGCACGCTGAAGGGCAGGTTGAAGTCTCTCTCTAGGGCATTCATGGCTCCTTCGAGCGTCTCGAGGTCGGCAAATTTCTTACCGACCAGAAACTCGTTCGCCTGTCTCGCGGCTATGGTCCATGCCGCCATGCCACCGTAGACCAGGTTGGCCTCCTCAACAACACCATCGTCATCAAGTCGTACCCTCTGCGCACTTGTGACGATAGCGATATCATCGTCCTTCCTCTTGGCTTGTTTGTATGCCCTGAAGAACTCGCGTTTAGGGTGGGTGAGTGGAATGCGTATCGAGGCGATGATAGCGTCTGGTGCGAGAGCCGTCCGCCTGTATCCCTTGAAGAATCCCGACATAGGAATCTCGGTCGTTTCGCTTGCCGATCTGGCGATCAGCACTGATTCGGACGCTGTGAATACCGGGTTGAGGTCTGAGATGGGCGACGCTGTGGCCAGGTTGCCTGCTGGCGTGCCCACATTTCGGATCTGTCGCCCAGCAAAGTACTTGAGCTGCTTGTGCATGGCTGTAAAGACCTGCGCCCTATCCTTGCCGTAGTGCTGAATCGCTTCGAGACAGATGTCTTCTAAATCTGTCAGGATGACGTTGCCCCCCACCTCGATGTGGTCGTCGTTGAAGGAGTACCGCCTGAGCTCGGGAATGTCGCCAACAAAGACAGAGGCAGGGTATTTCATGGCTTTGAACTTGACCTCGATCTGCGTCTCGGTGCTACCGCCAATGATCTTGGCCTCTGGGTGGACGCTCTTTATTTCGAGTAGTTGCTGCAGCGTGACTGGTCTGTACCATCGCTTCTTTTTGTTGCCAAACGCAAGAGGCCTAAAGTCGTGCTTCTTCAGCGCCGGCGGGAAGATAAGCTCTGTGTCGGGGTTGTACTCGATGAAGCCTGGCGGGGTGAATCTCTTGATGGGCTGATCGGAAGCGTCGTCGACACTCCCGTTCGTCTTGCCCTTGCAGCACCCGCCACCGCCATTCCCATTTTCCATACAGCAGCCACTACCTCCGTTACTCGTCGCCTTTCCACACCCAGCAGTGACACTGAAGCTTCTCGCAGCATCGAGGATAGGTCTGTACCCCGTACATCTGCACAGGTTCCCGTCAAAGGCCTCTTCGACATCTTCATCGGTGGGTGCCTCGTTATTGCGCAGCAGGGCATACAAGCTCATCACGATGCCTGGAGTGCAGAAGCCACACTGAGAGCCGTTACCCTTGGCAATGCGCTCCTGGGCAGGATGAGGCGACTTAACGTTGCCTATGCCCTCAATGGTGATGACATGCTTCCCGTCGACGCTAGCTAGCGGTGCCAGGCAGGCGTTGACGCTGGCGTGGTAGATCTTCTTGGTGGTTGGATTGTACTGGGAGATGACGACGGTGCAGGCGCCACAGCCTCCCTCTGAGCAGCCACTGTTGAAACCTATGAGTAAGTGCCTGACATCGGCTTGTGACCAAGGGGCGGTATTTGCCACCCTGTGGGACTTACAGCTTCGTGCCCGTCAGCCCGATACCTCTGAGATACTCCAGTAGGGTGACCTCTGGATCGATCTCGTCCAGGACGACACGCGTGCCATTCAGATAGAAACGGAGGGTGTCGTCAAAGGCAGCCGTCAGGTCGTCCAGCTTGGGAACGCCTCGCTCCGGCGAGATTGCGATAGGAGCCATAGTGTGCCTATACTGTAACAGTGATGCGGTCGTGTAACCAATTTTCTCATCTTAGGCGCACCGCATCACTGGCATGCACACGATCGCTTCGTGAGACCAGGGTGTGAGACAGAGTAGAAGAGGAGGCTCAGAGGCGATAAAAGGGTCAGGAAAGGGAATGAGGCGAAGAAGAGAAGAGCTATGATATCAAACAGAGCTAGCGGGGTTTGTTCGTCGTGCCTTCCTTGTCCCCCCCCCCCCTGCTGGCCACGTTGGTGGTTTTGCGGAGATATCGGGAGCGGCCGACTCGAATCAGTCAGCTGTATTAGTTATCTCTCTTCCCCTTTCTTTCTATCTTGGCAGCTTAAAGTAGATGACTGGACAATTGATTTATTTTCTTTCTTGTTCTCCTCCTCCTGCTTCTCTTCCCATATCAACCACGGTCAAGATGTGATTTTTTCAACTCTTTATAATGAAAGTCCTTCCATTTCAAGGAGGTGAACGATCGGAATATCCACGTGGACCCGGGACTGAGTTGTCGAGGGCCGGCACTGGATGGCCCACCTTGTGCGTCCCCGCTTCGCCGGCAGGAAGCGGGCGGCCTGGCCCCCGGAGACAGCCATGCCCGCTACGGTCAGGAAAATGGGTTTTCTTTCTTTCTTTCTTTCTTTCTTTCTTTCTCCTTCCTTTCTTTTCTTTCTCTTCTTCTCCCTTCCCTCCCTTCTTCTTGTATTCTCGCTTTTCCAAGAGGATCTCGAGTGTCTCACTACCACGAGGCCATGGAAACCGTAGAAGGTAATTGGAACCACATCACAAATCGAGATTAGTGTCGTCATCCTCTCAGAATCAATTGTCATTCTGCTTGTGTTGAGCCTGACTTGCTTTCCCTTCCTTTTTGCTCTTTTACTTTCGATAAGAAAAAAATACAGACAAAAACTGCCTTGGACAGTACAGGATGTATGTATAGGTCTGCAGCCATTACGAGCACATAGGCAAGAGTTCAGGGGCATAAGCAAACTCTCACTCATCAAGATAGCCTCGTCCCAATAACGAGAGCGATCATACCACACACCATGATAACAGTGTGTGTCCCAAATTCTTGCTGGTGAGACTGTGTGCGTTGAGACGTCTTCGGAATGGGTACCGAGGCATTGTTGCAATGAACGCTCCCTACTCACGACTACTAGTGCTACTATGTACACCACCGGAAGTGGATTGGCACGGTTGGTTAGGGCCTGGATGACTGCGCAGTAGTACTACGTGAGACGGCCCCAGCACCCGATTTGGGGATGAAAGATGTCCCGCCTCGGGCGCTTTAGGCGCTCCTTGCGGGCCGAGGAGAAGAGGGAGAGGCGTACTAGCCCCGGTGGATTTCATCCTTGGTGCTCCTCCTCTCGGATGGAGCCCCTTCAGCAGGGCGTGTGATCATCGATGGAGTCGACCGTTCAGTTTTGAATAGTACTATGGTACGACAGCATAACACAGTACAGGATGTTCATGCTCGAGTCTAGACCTTCGTCTACTCCAGCAGGATTGTTGGAAAATCTTGTCCCTGTTATAAGGGTTTGCGTCTCCCCGGGCATCAATGACAGCACGCCATTCATCCACACCAAACTCGCCCTTCCCAAGATCGGATCCCCGGGTATCTTCCCCTCACACGCACCATGAAACTACTATGCTGATCTGGGCTCCGTCAGGAATTTGGTTCTGATACCGTCGTCATATTAATTTGCCAAGCGTGGCAAACCACGACGATATGCAGACCTTATACGGCATTATTGCGGCAGCATATTTACCCACAAACCTTGAAACTCGCGCTGGACTAAGGTCAGCTACAAGCCCACATGCCGAAAGGTTAAAAACAAGATTGGTAAATTACTGGGCAGAATAGCCTCCGACTCTACGTACCGTGCAATAGTACATGTATAGTAGTAAACATTATCGGCACACTCAAGGCGAATTATCTCCAAGAGCAAGTAAGTGTATATGCACATACTGTACTATGCTAGTCATTATCCCAAACCCCCGGTAACGGATGCATGAGTGTGCATCGAGCCGCTGTCACCCGCAACCGAAAGGACGCTGGATCCCCGGGGCATGTGCGCCACTCTTGATGCGATGCAACCTTGAAGCGCCTGTTGGTGTGGATATATATGCTATAGTATGTGAATAGTGTAAAGAAAAGTAGACAAGTGAGATGCGAAATAAAATCCCCCGCCTCCTCTCCCTCTCTCACTGCTATCACGATTCTCTGCATCCGAGTCATGACAAACATACTGTGATAGACGACAGCATCTTTAATCCCGCTCATCAACAAACCAACTTATCAAAACATCATCACGACGAAGCCTGGTCGGTAGACGGGCCAGCAGCAGCAGCAGCAGCAAATCAAGATGGGCAGCAATGAAGCCAGCAACGTATCAAAATTCTACAACATCATCAATGGCGAGAAGCGCTCCGCCGCTACCTTTCACCAGGTGACTGACCCGCGCACCGAGCGGCCGCTGTGGAATGTGCCTATCGCAACCCCAGAGGACCTGAATGAGGCAGTTCAGGCGGCGAACAAAGCTTTTCAGACATGGAAAAAGACCACAATCCCCGAGCGCCAGGCAGCGCTGGCCAGGATGGTCGAGGTGATTGAGGCCAATGCGGCGGAGCTGGCTGACCTCGCGAGGAGGGAGACGGGCAAGTCTGTGCTGCTGGGTCAGATTGAAATTGGGAACACGACGAGGCAGATCAAGGTCATCTGTAAGTTTCTTCCGACCAGGCGTCTCGTCCCCGCACCCACTTTTCAAAAGGGGGACTGACACGCTTTCTGTCCAGCAAGCCAAGCTCTCGAGGACCACGTGCAGCACGAAGATGAACAGGTCAAGATAATAGCAACTCACCCGCCCCTCGGCGTCGTGGCCGCCATCTGCCCCTGGAACTTCCCCGTAATCCTTTCTACCCTCAAGATTGCGTCGGCCCTCATCACGGGCAACTGCGTCATCGTGAAGCCCTCCCCCTTCACGCCGTACGCTGTGCTCCGCATCGTTGAGTTGTGCCAGACCGTCCTCCCGCCCGGTGTCTTTCAAGGCCTGCACGGTGACGCGGACCTTGGCGCCCTCATGACCACCCATGCCGACATCGCCAAGATCTCTTTCACGGGCACCATCGCCGTCGGTAAGAAGATTATGGCCGCCTGCGCAGGGACCCTCAAGAAGCTCACCCTTGAGCTCGCTGGCAACGACGCCGCCATCGTCCTGCCGGATGTCGATGTTGCCGAGGCCGCCGCCAAGACCGCCACAGGCAGCTTTTTCAACGCGGGCCAGATGTGCGTCGCCACGAAACGGGTCTACGTGCACGAGGACATCTATGACGACTTCCTACAGAAGTTCAAGGCCGAGGTCAAAGAGAAGTATCGCATCGTCGGCGATGGAGAAGCCCCGTCCTTGTTCGGCCCCGTGTCGAACAAGACCCAGCTGAAGACGGTGAAGGGTATGCTTGCAGACGCGGAGAAGAGAGGTCTGAAGACGGAGAGCTTTGAGGAGACGGTTCCTGAGAAGGGGTACTGGGTCCCCGCCACTGTCATTATCGATCCGCCTGAGGACGCGCTTTGTGTGCAAGAGGAGCAGTTCGGTAAGGTTGCCGCGGGTCTCACCACCCCTCCCACCCAGCTCCACCCCCCCCCCCCACCAACCCTCTTTTCGGACATCGATAACTGATTCAGAGATAACAGGACCAATCATTCCCATCCTGAGATGGCGTGATGAGGAGGATGTCCTCGCGCGTGCTAATCTGGACAACGCAGGCCTTGCGGCGGCCGTATACTCCAAGGACATCGCCCGGGCCGAGAGCTTCGCGCGGAGGCTTGAGTGCGGCTCCGTGTACATCAACACGTTCGAGCTGCCCAACGAGAACGCCTTCTTCTCTGGTGTCAAGGACAGTGGGTTGGGAGGCGAGATGGGCAAGCAAGGGTTGTTGAGCTATTGTTATACGCAAAGTATTCATTTCTCAAAGATTTGAGGAGTGTTGGAAATCTAGTTGGAGGTGTTGGTTGTCTTCAATGTCCTTTTCTCTTATTAGTTTTTCTCTTTCTTTTCCAGAGTCACATTATGGTCCGGTGAACATGTTCAAACAATTGTCTTTGGAGTGATGGTAGTACATACTGCAGGTAGGGTGAATGCCGGGCGATCTGTGGATGGACTGAGTAAACTTTTGTTGCAGTAAATACACATCTTGGTATATCCACTTCTCCTCAGAGGCTTCATCGAAAAACCATGAGTCCTTCTGGTTAAGTCGGGTTTATCGTCGTCAGCACTCAATGTCCATAAAGTCGCAATGTAGATAAGAGGACACTCACAAGCTGGTTTGTGCTGTCTTGAGAAGCTTCGAGAGCGAGACCATCAAGCGCGAGAGTTTCTCAAATGCTGGAAAATGGATTCTGTCCTCTTCACCAGAGAGACCTTCACCAAGATGTCTCTGTCGTCAAAATCCTCGGCCAAGCCCTGTACATTCAGGTCAATATCACCCCAGACGTCAAGGAACAATAAGAGCAAAAACTCCACCATCGCGGCAAAGTCAATACGAGCCAGCACGAACCGCCGCAACGGCACGATCCGTATCTGCCCACTCGAGACCATCTTCTTGACCATGCCCATCAGAGCGACCTGATCCACCTTGTTCTGAACCGTTCTCGACTGCAGCTAGTGCTATAGAGTTCCACCACATCATAAGGCATTCCTCGTTGTCCTCATTCGCGACTTGTAACCCCTATGATCCGGCACAGGGACCTCGTCCCAGCCGTAGCCAGGAAACATGTAGGATATGTACGAGTTTCGCAAGAGCTCTCGGCGCGAAAGAACACGCTGCGTGTCATAGTGGTGGTTTTGTCGTTATCTTCTGTCTCCCAGCCTACCTGCAGACAGCGCAAGGAATGGTTGTCGAGACAGATAGACGAGCACGTGGAAGACGGGCGCAGCTCTCTGCTCCCGGATGGGGGGGGGGGTTATAATATGTGGCGGCGGACGATGGATTCGAAGGGCTGCTTGGTTCATATTCGGCTTGCTGTTCTTTTCGATAAGTCGGAGGCACTCGTAAGTCTTGGGAAGCGGCGGGCTGTCTGGATATGCAAGACTGAGTTCTAAACGTGCTCGTCCAGTAGCTCAACAGAAGCTAAGGTGGCTCAGCCGGTCTGGGGCTTCCCATGTTTACAGCCAGCGTGATGCAGCGTAGACGACGCACATGATGTTGTGAGGAGAAGAGATGGCAGTGCTCTGGTTCTTCAAGCAAAAGCAACTTGGTGGTTACTTCCCGATGGCCTGCAGGTTGGAAACGGAGCACTGGCTGGAGTCAGTTGCACATGCATGTAAGCACGTGATTTACAGAAAATAACCTTCGAGGCACAGACACTAGATTCTATTACTTACTCAGCTATATTTTCCAAAGGGGGTTTTCTATAGTAGAATATCCTCTATGAATACTTTGTGGATATTTCTGTCTCGCTTCCTCTCTCTCGATAGCATGCAAGACGGTGGGTTCGTGGCTGCCAGAGAAAAAAAGCGAGGATTCCTACTACCTCCTCCTCCTTCCCTCCCTCTTCTGGAACTTTATCGTCAGACAAAGAAGCCACCCTTTGAATGATGTACTCACTCTACATCAAACAGGTTCAAGATGGCGATTTAATCATCGTATGCCTTGATTGGTCAGGCACAACGTCAAGGCCAGGGAGGGTTAGGGTGCAGCCTCATTTCCCCACCTCAATCCGAATAAGGAAAACGGCAACACCCCCCAACCACCTGCACAACACCACATGCACTTGCTGTTTCTGTTCTTACCACTTTCCGAAACTCGTGGAAAGGGACACGAAGACTCCTGAACATCATCTCTCTTTAACTCTTGTCAACGGGTGTCTGGTTGCCTGGATCTAAAACGTTTCCCTCCTTGAGACTGGTCTACCTGGCTCACCTTGCGTGTGGCCTGGTCCGACCACTGACACTGGGCAGCGGATCCCCAGGCTGGGCTCTTCATCATCATCATAAGAGCAAGGGAGAGGATTTCCCTGCGTTGCATTGCGTAGCATTGCGTTGCGTTGCGTTGCGCTGTACTCTTTGGTGCTGCCTCGTCATCACAAAGTCATCACACAAACCTGATTTTATCTCATCCGGCCTACTTACCATCTCCTCCCGGAAGATGCCTCCCCCAAACACACCTGCCGCGACGGACGAGGACGCAGATGATACCGCGGTGCGCGACAACGAGGGTGCACCGGTGCTCTCTCTCGAAGATGTGCCGGCCGTCCTACCGTGGACGTATGGTACCAGCAGCCCTCAATGGCCGGCGCCGATCCGAGACAATCCTGAAATGATCTCGCCGATTGTCTCATCAACTCCTATGTACTCGCCACCACCTACCGATGCCGCCCCGAACACGCCCAGCACGCCACGTGCCAACACGCCGCCACCACCCACCAGATCGCCCGAGGAGTGTGAGATGGAGTGGCCTATCGACTGGCAGGGCCTTGAGTACATCGACATGGTCGACGAGAACCTGCACTGCAGCATATGCAGGACACCCTTCCACAAACCCGTGTCCACCAACCCGTGCGGACACGTCTTCTGCTCGTCCTGTCTCGATCAGTATCTACACGCCATCCAGCCTCGGAATGGCCACCGCGAGACGCCCTGTCCGATCTGCAGGACGCCCTTGACTTACAACCCCTGGTCAAACCGCCCCAGCCAATCGCTCGTCAGACGTGCCAGCAGGCCGTGTGATCGTGTCCTGACCGCCATGCTCGGCCAGCTCCGTGTCAAGTGTCCAAATGACCCCCGCCTCTGCGCCTGGACCGGTCCCCGCTCGGACATTGAAGGACACATGCGCAGACACTGCGAATATACCCGCGTCCGTTGTGTCATGAGGGACTGCGACCAGTTGGTCCACCGTGGGGCTCAGGAGAAGGTGTGTCTGCACGTGGACACCCGCTGCACCTTCTGCGACGAGCAGTTTCTCAAGGCTTCCGAGAAGGAGCATCTAGCCCTCGACTGTACCAAGGTCATCGAAGCGTGCATGGCTTGTGGGGCGGCTGTTGCCCGCGAGGACCTTGCCGAGCACCAGGAGGCTTGCCTGGACGAGCCAACGGCCTGTGAGTTCGCTGTCAACGGCTGCTCGGCCAGGGACACCCGCCGGGCTCTCTACGACCATGAGCGGAGCTGCGTGTACGGCCAGCTCAGCCGCCTCGAGGATCGCCTGATGGGCAGGATGATTGACGCCGACACCCTGCGCCAGCAGAACTCACAGATGACGCGGCAGCTGGCGGCGACATCGGCCACGTTGGGCGAGATCGTGGACAGGCTGGCGGCCCTCGAGCGTGAGAATCTGTCTCTCAAGGCCACTGTTGAGATGCGGGAGCACGCCATGCAGCCCGACTTTTCAGAGGCCGTCAGGGGCGGCCTGCTGGCCGAGTTCGACACCCGCGCCACGGAGCTGCTACAGCACCTCAACGCCCAGGACGCACGCCAGTTCGTCATGATGCAGAGCAGGCTTATGCCCTTGGAGGAGAGTCAGCATGAGCTCAACACCCGCATCGCGTCTCTCGACATGCAGGTCAGATGGCTTAGGAGCATGGGCCGCATCCAGCAGAGACAGAATACCTTCGGTGCCATGAGTGGCGAGGCCTCAGGCTCCACTCCCGAGCCGGCGGCCGCCTCAAGAGGAGCCAGTGTTGCACCGGGCTCGCCGGCAGCCGAACGCTACCTGAGCGACCAAATTGATCGGGCACGGATGTGATGTGAAGCAAAAAGTTTCACTAGCATACCATCTCACACATGCATGCATAGAGTCATGTTGTAAGTGGGCTGTCCTGGAACTCTTCTCTTTTCTTCTTCTTCTTTTTCTCCCCCATGTTACATTTGTTTGGCGCTCAGACGGTTTCCACCAAACAACACCACGCGAATTTCGGAAAATGGAAAAGGCTTTTGATATACCCCCGGGTCATGTGGCGTTCACTAGGTCGACAAATTATTAGGAGTGAGGTCTAGGTCCAATGGAGCCGACACAACCAATTATGAAGCATGTACACGCTATCAGCTTCTGTTTTTCCCTTCCCCTTCTTAGCCTCGTCAAGCAATGATTCGCTCTCTCAGCATACTGTCTGCAGAATGACTTGCAATGAATGCATAATGGGTTTGGCGGGGGTTGAACTTGGAGAGTATATTTGATAATAAAGTCTTGGATAATGAACTTGATGAAATGGTATTGCACCCCCCCTATGAAAATTCTTTGAAACCTGATGAGTTTCTCACTCTATGCGTGCACATGCGTCTTCTTCCGTCTATGTGTTTACTTAATGTGCGAACCTGAAATCCAACCTCTTGTTTCCATGGTCGGTCGTTGTGTTCAGATAATGATCCCTCTCCTCGGTGCTCATGGCGTTCCACTTCTCGTCTCTCTTCTTGTTTCTCCAAGCATAGTAGAACTTGGTGAAGATAATCAAAGCGGCCGACCAGCATATAATTCCCAAAAGCACCTTGTTGCCCCTGCGGTACTTGGGCGCGTCGTCTGTGCGGTAAATCTGAAGTGAAGAAAAGACTTTAGTTAATACTTGACAACCCTTTCGATGCACTTTCTGAGAAAATACATATATATATACATATATATACATATAAAGGGGGGGGGGGGGGCGGGGTTTGGGAAGAGACTTACATTCGAGGAAATAATGTTGCTGGCCTGCACGGCCATATTGTACAGTGCACTACCAACGGTTCTGGTCCGGACGGAGCCAGCGTTTCGCGAGGTCAAGGCGACTTTAGGTGAGAGCAGTCCCCATGTTAGTTGACTGGTTTATGGACCTTGAGAGACATAGCAGCAGAAGAAGCAAAACTTACCGAGAATGGCATGGACATAAGGATAGCCAATCAACAGAGCGGCACAGGCATACCAAGCCCAAGGACTTGCGGCATTCGGGAGGAGCTCGAGGGCGAGCACGAGCGGGAAACACCAGATCTGGCACACAATGACAATCCACATGCGCGAGTTCCACTTCTCCGAGACCCAGGTCCAGCACAGCAGCTGGATGCCGAACAGCACGTAGGACGGGATGGTCAGCAGGTTGGTCTCGAACGTGTTGAAGCCGAGGGCCTTGAGCTCGATGGTGATGTAGGCGGTCATGGGCGTGGCGGGGATGCTCCAGGTCAGGCCCAGCAGGTACAGGGGCCACAGGTCGTAGTCGCAGAGGGCCTCCCACAGCAGGGACAGGGTAAGACCCTGGCGGTTGTGCATGCCGCCCTTGGCCGGGTCGTCGCGCAGGATGCGGTTCACCATGATCTTCTCCTCGTGCTCCGAGAACCAGCCGTCCTTGCCGCGGAACCACGAGGCCGTCTGGGTCGGCGAGGGGGGCAGGTAGAACCAGGCAAACACGCCAATCAGAAAGGTGAGGCCGCCCTCGAGGGCGAACAGCCAGCGCCAGCCCGCCCAGCCCGTCACCTCGCGCAGGTGCAGGATACCGTATGCCAGCAGCGCCGAGATGATCTGCGTCAGAATGTACCCGCCCCAGAAGAAGCTCAGGCGGATCGGGAGCTCCTTGCTCTTGTAGAAGAAGCTCAGGTACAGGACGCAGTCAGGGATGAAGCCGCCCTCGAGGAGACCCAGCAGGGCTCGGGTGGCATAAAAGGTCTTGACGCCTGTGAGGCGGCACTGGCAGATGGCTACAATGGACCAAAGGCACATCTGGATGGGAATCCCTATTGGAGGAGAAAGAAGAAATCAGAGAAAAGAACCGGTGATGAAGCAAGATATATCCTTCTTTGTATTGAAGTAGACCAAGTCTTCTTGGAGAGAAAGATAAGAGTCTTGGGAAGCGAGGCTGACTTACAGACGTCTGGGCCAAGTTTCTTCGAGATCATCTGTGATGGCAACTCGGCGCACAGAAAGCATAGATAGAATATGGTCATGCCGTAGTTGTACTGATTTGTGATCATATCCAAATCCACGAGCATGTTGTCCGACAGAGCCTGAGTGATATTGCCACGATCCAATTGCAGGGCGAAGAACATCACACAGACGAAGAAGCAAATCTTGTAGTCAAGCTGCAAAGTGAAGAAGACACCGGTTAGCCCTTGTCACTGATCCAAGAGACGCAGTTCCTTCTCTTCCAGACATCTTGCAAATGGTCTTAACAAATTTGAGGAGGACAGATGAGGAGAGGCGCATACCTTTCTGACAAGCTTCTTTTCCTCGCGCTCAGTCCACTCATATCTCGGGTCATACCGGTGAGCACCCTCATACTTGGCTATCGGCTTGTATGCATCGATATTGCCACCAGACGCCCACACACCTCCTTCACTCTCACCAAGTCGTACTGCGGAGGACCCGGTAGAATGAGTTTCCACGATCTGGCCTTTGGCCAACATGACGTCCTTGGCATCGTAGATGCTGGACTCGGCAGGCGGTGCGATAGACATCGTGGGTTAGACGATGGCCTTCTGGCTTGGCCTCCTCAGAAAAAGGAAAAACAGCCCAGCAGCAGCAGCAGCAGCAGCAGCAGTAGCAGCAGCACACAAGAGTTGTTACCGACAAAGAGGTGTCGGCAATCCCTTGGTATAAAGACAAGGAATTCCGAATGAATGAGAAGTTGCAAAGAGAGCAGCAAGACGTTCACCTCTGAGGCAGAGCAAGGCAGCAGCAGAACATCTTGTTTATAGTTTTGCCCCTGAGGTATAATAGGATGTTGGTTCACCGACGTAGAAATGTGCACGATGTGCGTAGCCAAAAGAAATTTCTAAATTCCTCCTTCATGGCCCCTCGTGGTGAGTGGCAAGGGTATGGGGCTGCGGGTAGGGGATGCAAATGGTGTGATCCAGGCTAAGGTGACATTACTGCACGAGATATCAGAAAGCAAGACGGGGCACAACGTCGTATTAGGAATGGAACAAAGTGTGGCCACAGTCTCGACTCGTACTATAATTGTGTGCAACTTTTTGAAGAGATATAATACCTGCTTCAGATCTTGGCCTCTTTGTGCAGGATCAAACCCCTGGCCACTCCGGTGAACGTGGCGAGTGCGAGCCCGTCGAAGAATCGGGGGACAAGTTGAAATACTGTGGATGAGGAGGTCATCGTGGCTAAATGAATTCAATTTGAACAGCATGCCGTGATATTGATGGATGACAATACAAGCAGCCCCTTGAGCAATACCATGGAATCGCCTCGCAAAGCGTTCGAGAACGTAAAGGATCCACCCTCTACACACACACAAGCGTCTTTGAAAAGCTCTGGTAGGAATCTAGGCTTCCCAGGTCATCTAAGCCAATGGCGTCGCCTGCAAGCCAATTTGAGGCTGAAGCTGCACGGAAGGAGGCGACCCCATCGACACCGACAGGCTGGTTGAGGCAAAAGAGAAAGCAAAGGAAGAAAAGGCCTAGATCCCTCCGGGGACGAGATACCGAAGCTATTGTCTCGAGGCTGAGGTTAGACGGTCCCGAGGGTATGGGGACGCATATGCAAGAGTACCACTGTATTTCTCCAGCTCAATTGTGCAATATTGCGCGAGTACACGCAAACGACGGCCGAGGCGATATCCTATCCACTTAGGCTTGGCATGAAAAGACAATGGATCGATGGGTGGACGCCGCAGGTGGCACAAGTCGTGTTATGCCCAAGGTAGCTGAAAATCCCTTTATTTCTTCATTCTTCCTTTCCCTGTTCTTCTTGCACACTTAGGCGTCTGCCAAGGCAGTGCCATATGAAGTCTCTTCCACAAGGCTTAGGTCCTAATTGTGGATTCCGAATTGTTCAGTTTGCTCATCAAGGTCGATACTGATGTGATGCCCTCTGAGCAGATTCTCCTTGACGAATCGTGTTGTTGCCATTTGCCGTATGTTGAACGTAACTCGGGGTTGCGTCCTGGGTGAGGGGCCAGAGGGGGATCCCTAAATTGCGTGCTCAATCCCGCACATCTCGACATCGATAAGCGCGACCACCCGGAACTTGAACAAGCAGAGCGCCCGACAGCCGGATAAAACAAATCGACACAAAACAACCACGTGGGATTGGATGTAACATGCGGAAGAAGCCGTTTCGCCAAATGCTATAGGTGGCTGGAAAATACACAGTGCTGACAGAGACAAAGCAAAATACGGTTGATGTATGCAATCCCAACATGTACCAGTGTGTAATACTATATGGGCAAAAACGGGATCAGGGGTATCATAGATGACGTTGAAGTAGTCCCAAGTCTCCATCCAAGAGCTCCATTTGAAACGCTGGAGATGAAGAATGGGGTCAGAGGGAAAGAAATTCCACAGTTGCCGTGACGCGTTCGTGATATTCCGAAGGCCGACAAGCAAAATGACGCTTCATGGAAGTTTGCCTCAATATATATTCTCGTTAAGTCGTTTCTCCGCTCGCTGCAGCGTCTTCCTCCTCGACTGGTGCTTGCTCCTCGATAACCAAGTCCTCGGCCGCCGCTCCAGGAGGAGTCAAGGAATCGTTTAGGGCCACTTCGCTCGCTTCTGGTGGAGCCTCCACGGGTTCGTTCACGACAACGACGAGTTCGGCCTCTTTAAGGTTGGCAGGCTCCCGAGCCTCTTCCAAGACGGCCGGTGATGGGGCAGTCGCCGCCGCTTTCTTGTCTTGGTAGGCCTTGAGCCTCTCCTCCCTCTGCCTGACCAGCTCTCTTTCAGCCTCGACGGCCTTCATCCTCCTCCCCTCGACATCCTCCCTCTTGACAACCCTCCTCAGGCCCTCGCTTGCCTGGATCAGCCCGTCAATACTAATGGCATGGTTGGTCATCTGGTGGTTGATGTAGGTATAGACAGCTGCGGGCGTGAGGCAGCCCAAAAGCTGCTGCTCGTTGAGCTTGAGCAGCGCGAGCGCTACCTGGAATAGAAACGTCGATCCATCGCCAAAGCAGAGCACCACATCCCACACGCGGAACAGCGCCTCGGCGGAGAGGCAGTCTGTAAATACAGAGAGAAACCATTGGAAGGTCATGGTCTCGAGGGCAATACCAAGGTCGTCAAAGTGCGCAGAAAGCCGGGGCAGGACTTCGGCGACGTAGCTGCGCAGGACTTGCTGGTCGGCACGAGACGCCAGAAGACTGTGATCGTAGTAGCCGGGCGGCAGGATCTTCTCCACCATGCACGTGAGAATCCAGAAGGCCTCTTCGGCGGAGGGCATGATCAACAAGAGGTTGGCAGTGATCAGGTTCATGCCTTGGCAGTAGCCCACTTCAGGATTGCGACGCGAGTACGCCAGTAACACCTCGTTGAGCTTTTGTACACCCGGGCCCTTGCGGAAAAAGATGTTGTCCGTGAGCGTGCGGTTGATGTCAGCACGGATCTGCTGGGCCACCTCAGGGTGATCCTGCGACTCGGGCCGCGCGACTAGATCATCGTAGTAGCCTGGTACCCGCAGGTTGGTTGCGCCGGAACACTCAGCCCAGATCTTGGCCCTCATCAGGACAGGTATGCCACCGAGCACGAGCCGGCTGAATTCACCCCACTTGGCTCGTCCGACCTTGCCCTTGTTAGCCCAGTTGGCAACGCCGATTAATTCGCCGTCAGCCACCCGCGCCTCGGGCATCATAGCGGTCGCTTTCTGAAACCGTGCCTCGGCGGCGGCGGCGGCAGAAGCGTTGGCTGCCTCGCCCTCGCGACGACGCTCGGCTCGGACCTTGCGCAGGAAGTCGTTCCACCGTACCGTCTTCTCACGCTGCAGCCCATCGTGTACATCGCTGAGCTGTTGAAGAAGGATCCTGACAGGCTCCACGTCCTCTCTAGCCAGGCTGCTCGAGGACGCCTCTTCGTTGACGGTGACAGGCTCCTCGCTCACTGCTACAGTCGCAGCGCTCGCAGACGGCAGGAAGCCAAGATCATCCTCAGCGGTGATCAGAGGCGGCGACTTTGGCATCTCTAGAAGATCGGCCCCTTCCAAAACCTCAATGGTGGGTGCGCTGATGGATGGGGTGTGCGAGAGAAGCTCCGTGGGAAAAGTGGCAATCTTGAGATAGTCCTGCCATTTTCTGGCCTTTTCGTGGTCTTCGAGTGAGGACGGTGTATCTGGCCGACCATCGCTCCCACCCTCGGATTTCGTGCTGCCGAGATCATCCATAGAGGCTGGGGGCAAGGTGAACCGACTGTTGGTGAGCATTTCCGTGCGGCTGCCTCTCTTGGTTTTCTTGGCCACCTGCTGTGCCTCTCTCTGTCTCTTCTTCCGTCGCTGGTCATAGATAAATCCAAATCGATCAGTGAGGTATTCAGATCCAGTGTAGTTATTGTAGAGTCGCGTCAAGGTTGGCGGCTGCTCCTCAGGGGGTAGAATGCTGTCCATCTCAACAGGCCCGTAGCTCTCTTGGCGTGCATTGATCTCCGTGTGAGGTGTTGACGCCATGGTGTCCCATCTCTCTGACTGCTGGCCTCTCGAGTTCGTAGTCTGTATGTTGTGCTGAGTAGCTGTGCGGCGCATGGCAGCAAGAGCCCCCCTGGGAGGAGGGCCCTGAGGGGTTGGTACAACCCTCGTCGACGCGCTCGTCTTGGCACTCGAAGCTGATGGTGTCCGAACGGAGCCTCCTGCCACCGAGCTGTTGGCCCTCCCTCTCGAGTCGCCATCTCTTGCTACAGGAGTCCCTCCAGCAACCAGCCGCAGCATCGAGCTCGCGAGAGATGTCTTTCGGTTCCCGCTCACAGAACTGATGCTGGAAGCGCGGCTGGCACTTCGCGCCTGATCCTCTGGCGGGTTGAACAAGTCCTCCTGGATCATGGGTCTTCGCTCCAGAGACGGCGCCGGCTTGATCACCGTCTGCTTTCCATCATCTCCATTGACACTGTTTGCCCGGCTGCCCGACTTTCGATTTGTCCCCCAGAGCAAGTCCTTCCAGCCTCGTGCAGTCCCCCTCCCAGCATCGCCGTTTGTTGAGCTCGAGATCGCCCTGGCTCGTATCGTCGCGTCGATCTCATCGCCATAAAGACCGCTGCCGCCGATGGGGACGAAGTCGTCCGACATGGCCTCCCCCACCATGTCCTCCACACCTCCCTTCCTCCCGCCCGAAGACTTTGCTTCCTTTTCAATAGCGCGCAGCCTTGTCTCTAGATCCATGTTGGACAGCCCGCATTCGAGGATAATCTTGCGCAGCGACCTCTCCCTCGCATCAGCCCGCCGACGTAGAGCTGCTATCTGGGCATCGCGGGTGGCGAGATCCTCGGCTATTGAGCGCACCAGCCCCACAGCACCATGTCGCGCAATCAGCGTCTGTATATGTGCGTCATCTGCAAGATGGAGGGCGCCAGGGACGGACTGCTGCAGCAGAGGCGCGGCGTCGTCGTCAAAGATTGCGGTACGAGGTCGAGTAGGAGAGCGAGGCGCAGTTGACGCAGTGGAGACCAGGGTCTCAACGATGGACGAGGTCGATCGGGTGCGGGCATCTGGCTTCGAGATCTGCAGGAGGAGGTTCGGGATCGAGGCGCTTGGTGCTAGGGTGCTCGGTTCATCTCGCTCAGTCGGCACCGGCACTGGCACTGGTGTGGGTGAGGTGGGAGTCATCGGAGGCTCATCGTCGTGGGGTGACTCTGGAGAGAAGGAGGGGAAGGAGGTCAAGGACTTGTCGGAGGGAGCAATCGAGGAAGCAGAGCTGCCAGGCTGGGATGGCATCCTCTTCCTCTTGCTGGTCGAACGGAATGTTGTTGACCTCTGGGAGGCTCTCGACCTGATGGACTGCTGGGAGACGGAGCGCTCAAGCTCAACCTCGAGCGGGGATGTCGATATGGAAACTTCGTTGTCCATCTTGTGACCTGTGCAGTGGGTTGTTGTTGTGCCCAGCTGGACATGTCCCCTCTTACGGGTAACCAGCTATTGCCTAGGGAGGGTTCTGGGTTACCTTACCATGGCTGAGGGAGGGAGAGTGTGTGAGAGAGAATTTTTAGTATGAAATTCCGAGTGGAAGCGGGTTTGTGTAGACGCGGCTGTCGACAAAAAATCGTCATCCAATGCACACCAAGAGGCGCATGAAGGGATGTGGATGTCGATGGGTGCCCAGCGTGAGGGACCGCCAAGTCAATACGAATCATAGCCAGGGATCCCTTCGCGTATCGACACTAAACTATAAATAGTAATTTGTGTACTTTATCGTGGCATTAACCCACCCCCGGGAACAACCTTATATAAATAACCCGAACAATTTCTACTTTTCCGTCTCTCTTTTTGCACACAAGAATGGTACTCTCCTGCCACTACGACAAATTGATGATACACAGAGTAATCGTTCTTGGATGCTCTAACCTATCTCCCTTGCAGGACGTTGAATGAATATTGTGGATCTCCCGTCACTGGCATTGTTTGGAGATGCCCAAGTTGCTCACCAACAATTATATCAGTTAGGTGTGTGTTTCTGTGGAGCCGAGTTGCTGGCACAGATGTTCCAAAGAGCTCAGAAGGCTCATAAGCCATCATTTCAAGTGGTGCCGGTGGTGCCGGTGGTGCAGGTGATGATGGTAATGCTCCGCTTGGTGATAAATGCACAGGCTGAGGGGCGCGCTGTACAGATGGGGGAAGTTGTTCCGTCGATTTCAGTCTCCAGAGGGCTGTACCTTGTAATTCACCTGACAAATCTCTTGCTTCTTGGTACGTTTTTTGTCTCTTCTTGTTTCTGATGAGAATCATGATTAGGACTCCCACCGCAAGCGCCAGTGGAACACCGACGCCGATGCCGATTCCAGCCGCTGCACCAGGTGAGATATTCTCATCAGAAGAAGTCGACGACTGAGAAGAAGAAGCAGCACGTGTCGCCGACGTAGATTCTGATCCTGGCACTGTCTCTTTCGCTGTTACAGTTCCAGAGGACGAAGGAGACATAGTTATAGTGACCGCTGCCTGCCTTGCCGTGCTGCTTGCAAGTACTCCCATGTCTGACGCTGCTGCCTCGTTATACTGCAGCGTGCCAGCTGAGATGGTAAAGTTGTCTGTGCAGTCGCCTCCATAGCAGGCAACGAGACCATAGTTGCAGCTCATTACACCGCACTCATCATCAGATACTACGCGTGCCGTTCCGAGTCAGTCACTGTTTCCCCATCGCAAGTCAAACTAAAGGGAACTCTGGAGTAGGAGCAGAGACGAACTGGTCAGGCAGAACTGCGGACATGATGTTGAATTCCATTGTTGGTCTGTACAACCGCCGCGATACATGGTCATCGTGACCGGCTCATAGCATAGCCCATTCTCCAGGCAGTAATGATTTGTGAAGCAACAGGCGCTGTGGTTCGGATCGGATCGTGATGGGCATACCACATCGGTTGTTGCTTGGTCTCCATTAGGCCAGTAGCATGTCCCGTTGCCAGCAAATACTAATGGAAATAACAAAACGAGACCTGTGAGAAACAACATGATGAATGCGCAGGTCCTAATCAGTCTATGCCCTGCTGCGCACACAGTGAGCTAATGATTAAATTGTAGAAGGTGCACAGATACCGAGAGTCGCGAGGGAGACGGGATTTTCAAAAGCAAAATTTCTTTTTCTCCTGAACAACACTGATTGCTAAAATGACCCTGCGTCGGGCGACAATATAGCCGAATAATTACATGAAGAAGCTTCAGCCCCCAAGAACGCCCTGTCCATGATTCCTGCATCGCGCAATTTCAACATTTCCGCTTTGACCTTCGCAAAAATCACTCCCTGACTGGGGGCCGTAAGACGGCTGGAGCTCTATTACAACCACAACTCATCCGCAAGGGGAAAGGACTCATTCGCAAATGAGAGTGTGTCGCAATCCTTCTGCGAGAAGTAGGGAGTAGACTGTTTCAACCCCTGCCTAGAACCTATCTTCATTGTGACTATAGAGGAAAGGGTAAGGTCTTCTCGAAAGAGATGTTACATTGAAGAGCGCACAAACGAGTTTCTGGTATCGTCCTGTTGTCTGTTGTTGGCCTGTGCCAGTTCGAACTGAGTAAGCCGCTGGATGCTACCTGGCTCTCGCGCAGAAGCAAAAATCCTACACACATTCTGCGTGCACAGTGCTCTGCCGGGATATGTGGCTTCTCTCCTGGAAACACAACTATCTATTTTCCACTCGCGTTCAGCGGGTAGAGATCGGGGATATCAAACACTTTCTCTGGTACATGTATCAACAAATCAAATTGTGCACTACCTCAGATTAAAGACTACTACTAGTCGTGGAGCATGTTGCACTGGATTTAGAAACAGCTAATCAGTCCTGCAGGCCACCCTTTTCTGCCCTGGTTTTCTCGCCTCATATCCGCTCTCTTTTGCAGCATGCTTTGAGATGAAAATTATCGCAACAAAGATCTGTAGATCGGGCTCTTTTCATTCTGGTTGATTCAGATAGAATCGCAAACGGAGAAACGACCGCCTACACTAAGCGTCTGCTATACACAAGTCCATGGGAATGCCTTCACTTTGACTTTTTACCAAAATATTGAACAAGACTTCAGGTCTCATTGATTCCATCTCATTGATTTCATCTGTCATCGATTGCTATCAGGGCCAGCGCTTGGACGTAATGTGTACCACTAGAGCGTCAGCAAGTAGTGATTAAAGCACCACGTCCAGAACATCACCGTGTCTCTTTGCTGAAGTCTAGCCACAGCTGCGCTCCTACGCATGACACATTGGAGCTAACCCTCTTGGCACATCATTAATCTATGATTCACTACCTATCATGTCTCTCTAAGTAGGACAGATGGAGATCATAATCTTGAAATAGGATCGCATGTTTATGGCCAGATTAGGTCTTGATGATGTTGACTTGTAACGGGACTCATTCGTGTATCTCTTTGAGAGCTACGAAGAACCACCGAGAGAACGTTCGAGAACCAAGTCTGAAGGTGTTCACCATCGTCATATAGTGAGTTCTGACTCATGGTGTTCTCGGCATGCTCTTCTGATGCATTAGTTATCCTAGTGCCGGGGCGATTGCCATAAATTGCACTAATTAATAAGTGATGATAATAGAGTGTTTGGCAAGTGGTGCATGTGATCTTTTGAAGCTTCTGTAGATTCCAAGGGACTAAACTATCTAGAGACATAGTACTAGTATCTCCTGGGGCTTCATTTTAGTATCATGACACTTGAATAGCGTGAAGTAGTAACTTGCCATAGCTTCTACTGAGGACATACGCCTAGCGCAACAGCAAGTGTTTTCATATTACACTACTTATTTCCTGAAAAGGAATTTACACACTAAAAATGATTATACAGTAACACTAGGAGACTCAAGCCAAGTTCAATGTCATAAGATGCAAGTACCGATTATGAATAGCTTCACCATAGATCGATCCTAGTGTTGGTTTTTCATTGATCTGTGGTCAAGGCTAGGGCGAGCACGCGCAGCGTGTAGTGAATCACCTTCACTTCTAGCCTTACACCAGGTCAAACAGTACAAGCTCTTCATGTGATGTTCAAGGACGAGACAGAACTCACCAAAATGTAATACACCAGTCTCTCTATATAAGAAAACTCTGGATCCCATCTTCGTCTCCTTCTGTCTTCTCTTTTTTCTTCACCCTCCCCCTGTTATTACAAGTATACTCCAACATGGTAAATGTAATCACAGGTCACCAGAACTGCCCCCTTGAAACAGCTGCTCGGCTGTCTGATAGGGTCTGGTTCTGGCAACAACGGTGCAGAGCAAAGCTCGACCGTTTTCAGGCGCAACTGAGGGTGTTGCGCCCAGCCAAGCGAGTACGTCGCTGGCGCGTCAGTAAGTCTATATCCCTCATCTTGACCATAATCCAGTCCCAGATGTCTAACAATATGGCTCCAGATAGAGTGGAAGACCTCGACTATTTCGTATACCGAGGGCGAAGAGACGAGATACCAATTCAAGTAAGTTTTCTCTCCCTTTCTCTAGTGCGCGGTCCCTTCTCATCGAACCTCACTAACACATTCTAGTGCGAGTTCAGTGACCGGTTCATCAAGAACATGCCCGTTCCCGAACCCGAGCCCGTTCCAGAAGAGCCTCCTCCGGAGCCGAGTCCAGAACCACCGGGCCATTGTTCATACAGCAGCAGCGAGTACAGCCAGGATGACGAGCCAAGACCTCATCCTCCGCTTAGTCCAGCTCCACCACCGAGTCATTATTCATACAGCAGTAGCGAGTACAGCCAACCCGGCGAGCCACCTGGCCCTCACACACTGTACCCGCGCGATCCCATGTGGTTCCTCACACAAATATCCAAGTGGGGTCCCTACCATACTCAAAGAGACTACGGCCTGAACGAGGACAACGCCATTGAGTATCAACACATGGATATGGGCAACGATGACGACTGGACAAATGCGGCCTCGAGTTCCGACGAGGAGGTGGATGAGCAAATCCAGAGCGAGCTGGCCTACTGTATGCACAATGTCGACACGAAGGAGAACACATTGGTCTCGACCATCAAAAACTTCCGCCACGCCTTACTTGTCGAGGAGAAGTAAGCCCGAGGTCTTCACCCACTCAAACAACACTTGGGAAAGAGAGGAAAAGAGGAAGGGATGAAGAGGAGGAACTATACCCCACAAAACCGAGCAACAAAAAAACCGAGAAAATACAAAACGGGTATACTGCAGCTTCTTCGCCTCATCAGCTTCAATCCGGTCTGGTGTGTCCAATTAGCGCCATCAGTGAAAGGAGGCCAGTGTCCGGTGCGGGCTGGTGAGGCAAGGGTTGTAAGTCCCTGCTCGGCTACACAAAAAAATCGATCATCATCCCCTAGACGGCCATCTTCAACACCTCATATGGCCTACCGTCCCTCACTCCATCGGCCCTACTCAAACAAATCATCCCACCTATCAGTCTACACATGTACTCCTCATCACTATCACCCATCACTATCACCCATTACTATCAACCATCACTACCAACCATTACTACCAGCGATTGATTTTCACCAGCGTTTGATTATTGCCAGCGTTTGTTTACTATCAGCGTTTGTTTATTACCAGCGTTTGATTATTACCAGCGGTTACTATTTCATGAGATTACTACATAGCTACGCTCTATAGAATTACTTCACAGTAATACACTTGGGTACTACTACACCTCATCGCTGGCCTTCATCGATGCTTGGACCTAGGTGCTCTTCAGTACCATAAGTCAGTGATTGTTATCAACATTTTTGTCTCTTCGGAACAGTATTCGCCATGTTTCCTCAAGTATCCTTTCTTACATCATTCATACAACACACTTCATCAGCGGTTCTCATTCCTAGCTTTTAATACTCCCTCTACGGTGTCACGCTCACCCTTTGGACATTTCTCAGAGCATCAGCTGGACTATCGACATCCAGCAGCACGTCGTTGCTCCTCACTTAACTGTTCATCAGCGACTACGATACACATAATTCATCTTTCATTCAGATCCTCACCCAAGTCAATTCCTTCTGCTTCACGTCACACAATCATACACTCAGCAGCACTCACTCTTGACACTGAACGTCATCAATAAGTTTCAAGCCTTCGTCCCCCTGGTTAGTGGAAATAGACTTTGCAAGGTCTCGTGGGCATGCCTTGGTAAATTCTGGGAAGAAGGTTAACGAAGAGACGTGCTTCTGCCGTGACTAATCTCTGACGTCCCGTGTCTGTCGATTACGTTGTATAAAAACTGTGGTAATGGAAGGGCTCGACGTTGCCTAGGTGCTACTACTATTTATAGTGCATAGACTAGGCAAGACGGTCTAAGTGTAGTGCTTCAGGGATAATGCTTGGCAATGAATGGCATGAACCCTCTTGAGGTAACCGTTCAGCCGCAAGACACTTTACTTATACGTAAGATTTGTTTGCTCTTGTTAAATTTGAAAGATACTATTGAGTAATCATCGATGCTGCTTATATATCACTAATTACTCACAGGTCTGCCTGCCTGCTGATCAGTCCTGGCCTCTACACAGCATAATCGAGACTGCCCATTTCAATACACATAGATACAGCCGAGACACTCATTCAGCTATTCTTCATTGTTATTCTCCACATTCTTTTCATCTTAAACTACAAGGTCCGTAAAAAGAAGAGAGGAAGATAAAGTGAGAGAAAAACTTATCGCCAGAAAAGGGGACAAGGGAGGCAGAGGAAGTCTTTCCCTAACTTAGAGAATCTAGTACGTAAGCATATATTTTTCCATGCGCACCAGAACAGCTCAAGTTTTCCAAGGTCTACTGTTGTAATGCAATCACCTTGCACTCCTTCGGTTTGTGTTGCGCTTAAATTCTTAGTAAATTCTGTGTGACCAGCCCTTGGAGTCCTTCTCGGTCTACCACATGATAAACTCTTACAGCTCTAGTCCGAGTTTCGGCAATGGATCTCGCAATCGCTTTCACACCTTTAAGCCCACCCAAGGTCTTGCATGTCCTAAGATCTTCAAGCTTTCTTGTTTTCCTGGAATGAAAGGTAACTATCAGGATGTCACCAGCGCGACAGATACTTGGATAGTGAAAGGTCGGCCGTTGGGAAATTCACTAGGAAAAGGGGGTTGGGGAGGGGTGTTGGAGCGGCAAAGGCAGTTGGGTCTGGTGAAAAGCCGTCGATCAAGATGTCAAAGATACAGCAAGAACTCGGATCTTCTATGAGAAGAGGGAAGGTGTTGGCCATGTCATTCGAGCTTAGGTCTAATTAGCGCTAAGCCTGGTCGCAACCTTTGGGACAGGCACTATTACGGATGGCCTCGTTTTGGGGACAGGTATGTGCTTATCACTGACAGACAGATCCCTCGAAATAATCACGGGAAGCACCTCATTCAATATTGACAACATCCCGGTCAGCCAGGCCATGTTTTGGGTCAGGCCAGGGTCTGGGTCAGTATAGTTGAGATCCGGAGAGCTGCTTTCAGCCTGAACAGTTCGTCTACGGACAGCTCACGGATATCAACAAGTCTGATGCCCCTGAACAATCTTGTTCTGCCATAGTATGAACGCTGCATGGGCTGATAAACACAGTATGAAGGATCGTAAAGAATGCTCCGTGCGCTCATCGCTCTTACAAGGATCGCTCACCGCCGACGAATTCGTAGAAGTCATACTTGTCGTAGCCTGAATTTCCCAACGCCAGTAATCTATATGCATATCACCCAAGTCTTGTCATCATCATTGTTTATAACTGGACCAGATAACGGAAAACACAGGGCTGCTAATAGAGCTCTGCAGCGTTTCCTCCCGAAGCAGACGTACATCATCCCTCGGTGGTGTCCATTGCATCCCCGCCACTCTTAGTCGCCTTGGCTTCCGCCAATTTCTCAGCCTTCCAGGCCTCGATCCTCTGGCGCAGATCATCCGCCGGGATGACATCCTCGATCTTCATGGGTACTCGAGTGAAGGGGTCTAGCTCCACAGAGAGTAAGTGCTGGACGATGGTAGACCTGTCGACGATGCTCTTGGATGGCAGAATGACCGGATCATTCATCAGGATGCCCATGACCGGATCCTCAAACTCCTCAGGAATCTCGCCGAAGTCCAGCTCGGCCTGGTCCAGCTCCTCCTTGGTCTTCGCGATCCGGGTTTTGAGCTCATTCCAAGCATCCAGGTCCTCCTTTGCCTTAAGACTCCTCCTAGTCATGATATCTGACGCCCTGTCAAATGTCGCTGCCTTGTACGAGCGACCGTCCGAGGCAACGGCTTCCACGAAGCTCTGCGCATTGCCCAGGTTCAGAAAAATGTCCACTAAGTCTGGAAGCAGCGTCTTAGGGTTGAAGTGGTACTTGTTCGCATTCTCCACCTTGAGATTCTGGCTCTTAGGGCTGACCAGCATGTCAAGATTGAAGTCAAGCATACCAGCCAGGCGTCCCACGATTTCAGGCAGAGTGAATGAGTCGCAGAGGGCCTTTGTGAAAAGTTTCATCATGGCCACCGTCTCGTTTGCTAACTGCATGTATGATGTGGCCTGATTCTCGAGGGACGCTAGTTCTTCCTCCTTTTTCTGACGGTCTTCCTGTGCCAGGCTTTGGTTTTCCCTCAGTTCGATCTGCAGGTCGTGGATCTTGGGGAATTTAGACAAAGCTTCATCCAGAACGTATGTTGCATCGTTCAGTAGAAGATTGACAAATCGAACGAAAAATTGTCGGTCAACTCGGCTTTGGCGGCCGAGCTGGTCTTTGTAGAAGTCATTGGACCAGACACACTTGATGATCTGGAAGATCTCGTATCTGATGTTGAATTTGTCGTAGAACTGAGTGTGTGCACCGGTGGACTCGCACTCGATGTAGAACTTCATAACCGAATGAAGCAGGTAGCCGTTGGCAAACGACGAATTCGTCAGGGCATCGCCCAGGACGCCCCTTCGCAGATGATAGGTCGGCCAAGTTCCTGAGTAGAGGAGACTCACGAGCATAGACTTGAGATATGGGTTTCGCACATATTCAGAAGACTCGAGGAAGGTGAGACATATGGCAATCATCTCATCGCCGATGGCAGACAGTATGATTTGCGGGATATAGCGGAAGACAAATTTGAAGTTGTCGAGAACGTCCTGCAGTGCATACTCGGGCAAGCACTTGAACGCCTCTGGTTGCTCCTTTGGCAATGGCAGTGAGAGTGGCTTGTCAGGTTTGTAGTCTGTTTGGCTTGCCACACGCAGCAGCCAAACACAAACATATCTCATGAATTGCAAGGACCGCCCCTGCATCTTCTCATCCAGGAGACAACCTTCAATAGCGTACTTGAGCGAGATGGCTCTCTCCAAGACGTCTGTGTGCCGTCGGACTCCTATGTCGAACATCGCAAGCTGCTGAGGGGAGTTGATGAATTTCTGTCGCTCGGCTTCCAATATTTTTAGGTGTTTCTCATAGTATTTTATGTCCTTTTCCAAATTCTTGAGTTTGGAATTAGTGGCCTCACTACCGTAGTGGTGAGCAGCCAAGGTGAGGAAGAAGATCTCGGAGATGAAATTGGAAGTTCCGTCGAGTTTCTGCGCGTAGAATCCGTCCGACTGTGCCTGGTCTGCATTAAGCTTGGTCTCTTCCTTGATGTCGATGCGCGGACTCCTCCTAAAGTACCCGACATCGATCCTGTCGACCTTCGAGAAGGTAGAGTCCATGAATGGCTCGCACAGATAATCCAGGACTACCGTGATGTTCATCATGAAGCCGTCCGAGGCGACTTCCTTGGGGTCCACCTGTATAGCCCTCCTCTTGTGGTTCTGGTTCATTATGTAAGCGAACCAATCGAGAAGCTTGTTCCGCGTGTCGATGCTGGCCCGGACAAAGGCGTTTATGATGTCCTTGAGATCTAACTGGTGTGTGTTGATGGTAATCTGGAGGGCATTCTGGGCATTTTTGACCGCGCCGCGGTCGATAGTTCGGGGGCCGGCGAAGTAAACCTTTGTAACTTCAGTCTGCAGTGGAGATATCCGGAAAAACGGTCCAAGTAGACTGTGCTTCTCAATGCCGGGGGCAGACTGCGCCATGAGAAACATTGGATGGCTTGCGAGTGCATCAAGTAAGGGAGGGAATTTCGAGTACAGTTTCAAGGCCTAAAAACACAAGAATTAGTGCACTATTCGAATTATATCGGTTAGGAACGTGAACGCACATTGACATGAGGTTTATAATTGTCGTTCATGGTCAGCTTCGACAACCTTGTACTGATTCCCACCATGGCCTTAACGAAGACTTCCGGTAATGAATCATCTTCTGGGAAGCGCGCAACTGCTTCCTGCAAGAAATCGAGGCAGATCCCATGCTCATTGTCGATGTCTCGTAGGAGATAAGGTACAAGGGTGTCGTGGTCTGCGTTGGACTCGCGGCTGTAACAGAGTCATCAGAGCTACGAACGCAACGTAAGGCACAGTGCAGTGTAACATACCCAAAGAGATCTGGCAGAGTCACTGCGAACAGACAGTAGCTCATGCACAGACGCTTCGCCTCTGACAGGACGGTCTCCTTCTCAGGCGTCGGTGCTCGGAGCATCTTCCTCGCCTGTACCACTCGCTTCCAGCAGGGCAACATATAGTCCATCAGTGGCTTGTCATGTGGAAAGGCACTGGCTCCTTCAAGGATGGCCTGCTCGATGACATCGGCAGATAACCGCAGCGGCCCCTCCGGGTTTTGTTCCTGCAATTCCGCGCTCACACCAGGAAGATACGTCAGCTTGCGTCCATGGACGTCGGTCTGCCGAGACTCGTCGACCGTGACCCGGAAGATGTGGCTGATAGTCTTGTCGGCCCATTCCTCCGGGGATTCGGTCGCGTTTCGCTTGGCCGGGGCCATGGTTGGTGTTGTGCCGGGGGTTGGTGTTGATCTTCCTGAGCCAACGCCAAGCTGTGTGAAAGGGTTTGGGGCTGCCCCAGTCGATGATGCACTGGATGCCTGGGGTGTGATGTTGATCTTGTTTCGCTTCGGCTCGGGCTCGCTTGTCTTTACAACGCCAGGCGCCGGTGTTGTCGGAGTAGAGGTTGCAGGACTATCTGATGTTGAGTCACCACCTTCTGCCTTTGGCTGGGCAGGCGCTGAGGATCCAAGCTTGGCAAGGCGACGCTGTCGGATCTATATAGCAAACATGTCAGCTTTGCTAATCACTGGTGGGCCAAGTGAGAGGCGAGCCAGAACCCGAGGGGCGCTGAGTTAGCCATACCTGTTCCATCTTCTCCTTGTCGGGAGCATCTGGCATGCTTGGGGGCTGATCGTTTGGGTCCATCTTGCTGTGCCCGCTCTGGAGGATTCGACGGCGTGGTTGGTGTGAAGGAATGGATGTGGCGGATGCAGAAGAATCGCACCTCAAGTGAACGATTGTTGTACGGAATCTGAAAGAACCGCCGTGGCTGATAAATGCCCTGCAGCTAAGCCAGGCCGAGCTGCCAACGCGGGCAGTCTTCCGTCATTGGCTTGTGCCCTCAGGGTCCGCTAACATTGAGGTTAGTAAGCAGTTTGACATCCCTGTCGTCCCGGATTTGAGCTGCCGCATTACTTACTAGCAGCAGTACACCTCTACGGTCGGCTCTTTATGCTTTGAGGTTGGATATTCTGGGACGGTTAAGATTTGCAACTTGTATAAAGTCTCAATGCAGACCAGATGAGCGACCCTAATTCTCCTCCAACGCCCAAGCTTTATCATAGGACCTAAGAAATGAATCACCATACATATTATTACTTAATCTTCCCCATGATGGTTTCAAGACCTCTGTCCACCGTGATAGTTGCTGCCCTGCTCTTGACAGAATTCAGCATGCTTCTCTCATAGTCGTCGCGCGACTTCAGGACGGCCTCAACCCAGCCGAGCTGCAAGTCCCAGTACGTCTGCTTGAAGTTTTGGAAGATATCCGGGATCGCCTCCTTGGGCTGGGTCAGCAGCTCGAGGAAATACTCGGTCGCCCGCCACGTCCCCTTGATCGCCTCGCCAACGTCTGGCCTCTCCAACTGGTCAAAGAACTCAAACGCTGCCGATAGGTCTTCGAATATCTTATCGGGAAATGGCTCTGCGCGCTTGAACTTGGCCCCCTTGTTGCGCACCGACGACAGGTAGCGAACAAGCAACTCGTCCGAGAATATCTCCACGAATATATCGACAATGCTGTGGTGCAGCACCATCTTGTAATCCTCAACATAGTCCTGGAACGTCACGATGATTTGCTTCATGACTTGGTTGCCGTACCATCTAACCGTGAAGAAGTCGGCCATGACAGCCTTGAAGTCGACAGCGAAGATGAGGTGCGCGAACTTGGTGATGCACCATGTGCTGAAATCCACGTAGCCATCGCGAAGGGATGCGATTTCCGCTTCTGCCCGCTCCATGTACTGCGGTGACACCATGGGCTCAAGCTTCTGCCTGAATCCCGTCAGGTAGGCGGCACGTCCTTCCTCCTCGTTGTCGTCGATGCAGGCGATCTGATCGTTGGCGGTTGCGACCAGCCAGTCGTGAAGCGTCTGGAAACCTTCCAGCTCAGGTTCCTTCCCGGCCTCGTACCGCAAGGCCTCCTCCTCCAGCATCTTCTGCCAGTTCTGTTGCCTTTGTCGCAGTCTCATAAACATAGCATCAACCACTCCCTCGACGACGTCCGTGCGCTGAGAGCTCGCTGCGCCGTCGAGCTGTTCCCGCAACATCCTCCACATGTCGACAAGATTTTTGGTGCGAAAATATCCGTACTCGTCTGCGTCCAGATTCCCGCCCTCGACGTTGCGATTGACAAAGTCTTTCCTTTCTTGCGCGAAAATCCGGTCCATCCATTCGTCCAGGAATTTGATGATCACCGATTGGAAATCCCGTACGAGTTCCGTTTCTCTATTGTCGATGACGTGAGGCGAGAGCTGGTCTTCTGTCAAGCCCAGCTTCTTCATCTTCTTGTAGTATTTTTCTGGCCAATTGATGACCTCGAGGGCGTTTTGAGAGCTGCGGTCGGGGTCGTCCACGATTTCAATGAGGAAGTCGTGCATCAGTTGGTGATAGATCTGTGCGTATGTCTTGAAAATCTTCCACTTTTTCGGCATTAATGGCACCATGCCGATTCTCACAGCGTTGAGGTCGTTGAAGTACCATTTCATGATCTTGTCCAGCTGGCTCGGGTCGGCCAAAAATTCCTCCCGGCTTGCATCAAATTGTGATTTCGCGTATACCTTTACTGCCTCCAAAAACTTCTCTTTATATCCACGCACTGTCTTGGCCCCGTCTGTTATGCTCTGGAAGCGTGTTGCCATTTCCTTGTGGTCCTTCAGCGCTTCTTGCAGGGCCAGCACCCTCTGGTCGCTCTTCTCTTCGGCCTCGATGATGACTGCGAAGCGCACGACTAAGCCGTTAGTCTCAGAGGTCACTAGATTGATCAGGCTCATGGCGATCAAGTTGATGTTCTCGTCGAACCATCCAATCGCCCCATCCAGCCTCTCAAAGTAGTCCTCCAGAGTCGACTGTAAGTCCCGCTCGCCCGTCCTTTGTATCTGCTCGATCGCATCGTCGCGTATGTTCCGCAGCTGCGTGAGCTCGTAATGTATGGGTAGTAGGTTCGGCATGTTCTCCTGGTCCGCCTCGTCCGCCCTCAGCATGTTCTCGACGCCCGTCAATCGATCGTTGAACATCTCGAGGTTTTTTCGCATCTCCTCGACGGCACCAAAGTTCCGGTGAGCCTGTGACACGATATTGATGGTTTTAAAGTCCTTGATCATGTTCTGTGACTCGGCGCACAGCTTGTCGATCTTCATCATCTCCTCCTTGATCTGCTGCACGGCCTTCTGACCCTCTGACAGGCCGTTCATACCAGACTGTGTCGTCTCGAGCTGTTCGCGCAGGCCGCTACGGAGCTGAGCGTCGACCGCGCCCTTCTTGCGCGTGAATTCCTGCTTCAGCGCCGCGATCTTGTCGAGGTCATCGGGGATCCGGAGGAGCTCCGAGAGCTTGATCTGGGCCGCGTCCATTGCGATTTTGAGAGAAAGAGAGAAGCGCCGCTCTGGCAGGATTGTGGGATTTACACCATTTCTTGAAAGAAGAAGCAGAATGGAAAGAGAAATGCTGGCTGCAGAATCGGGTCGCGGAAAGTGATAATGGTGTCTCAAGTGATGGGTTGACGTCCCAGGTAGCACAGCGACGGCCCCTTGAACCCAGAACCCTTGCAGGCCCGCCCCCACATTGACATGTGAGCTGCGCCTGTTGTCGCATATACCCGCTATAGCGGTAGACCTCAATTACTTCATCCCATATCGTAAAATCGAACATACTCCACCATGATACCCTTTGTAGCAAGCTTCACCCAACCTCACCAACACCAACCTGCTTGTAACTTTCTCTGCTGGATTTCTTACCAAGTGCAATCCAAAACAATTATCACTATGAGCACAAGATGACTTCGTGAGGTTTAGCGTAGAAGTGTTGTTAGGCAAATCCTTCCGTAATGACATGAGGCCTTCTGGAACAAATAGATCAGTTACTAGCAACAATATGGCACATAACATGCATTAGAGACCAAGGATAATGCTCCATGCTGCTAAGGAGTGCACGGCTGGTTTGGGTTTGCATTGCTAATATCATTTCTACCCTGTCTAAGGAAAGCAGCCTTTGCATCTCAGATATTGACTCGGCCTGTCGTACCAAATTTGTTTCCTTTCGCCAATGTTCATGCTGCTGCCGATAGTTCCTACATGGTGGGCTCTATGGATCTCGTGCATCATATTCTCCAAATGGCGGTGGTAGAAGAAGCGAAGCTAGCGATACTCATGTATTCGACTGGCAGGGAGGGTTCAATCATGTCTGGTAAGTCGCAACGCGGAGATCTTTGGTAAGTGAAAAGGATCTTCGATATATGTGACCACCGCGCACCAGAGGATGCGATTGTGTGACCATGATAACTCACATACAGACCAAGAAAAGGATTCAATACTGACTATAAGCGTGTCTGAGGTCTGACTGTGGTGGCAGGCCGCAATATTGTCGGACGGCTCTAGTCTCGAGCCAATTACACATATGGAATCCTCGAAAGCGAACCGCCAGACCCCCGCGCCTTGGGGAGAAACCATTGTCATCATCTTTAACTTCCCTGAAACGAGCTCGTTCCCGAATTTCTTCTAGTTCTACTTTGTCTACCTTCATCTACTGATGCCTAGTCCCCTTCAGCCTCTGACAGATATTAACAAAGCTGCTCAGCATATGTGTAAAGCATGTGTTTTCGAGCTGCCTGGTTGTTTACCGATTTATATTGACTCTGCATTGTATTTCTTTTCATGATTTAAAAGGGCTCTTGCCACTCTTCATTACGCAAGGGACCAAATATTTCTCAGCTCTAAAACATTGTTAATTATGATCCTCTCGATCTTGATCTCATTTGACTTCATGAGACCTGGATCTCTACAAGAACAACGTTTCTCCTGAGGTCGACTAGTCCTTCGCTCTGAGTTCCCCTTCTTGCACCAATTATGAATCCATTGTACGATCTGTTCACCACTATTCCCTATCATGAACTGAGTCCCCCTGTTTCATAACCTCAGAAGTGTTCTGTCTCTTTCAGACCATCTGGACGAATCACACACATCCTGCTTGCCATCATGCCACCGACGAAGTTCATCAAACAAAGTCTTCTGCATTGTCGATGAAGTGAATAAGGGTCTCCAAGGCAGGGTTCTGTTGGCGTAGTTGTACAAGAGTGATTGCCCCGGCTGGTCGAGAAACCTCATTTGCTAACTCAGAGGAGTCACCCTCTAACATAATTCCGCTCCAAACTTGGTGGGAAGAAATCCCACGAGCGTCGGAGGAGATCTGACCGTCGCCATGCCCGTTCCTTTGTGCAGGACGGGGATGTCCTAATGGAAGTGGCCAGACGGAGCCTCCATGGCGCGTGTATGTCAGGCCGCATAGAGAAGCAGCTTTGTAGCTTTCTCGACATTCTGAGACAGAGGGCCACCCACACCCCATCTCTTCCGTCTCCTGTTCCGCTGGAGTCTCGATGGAGACGAAGTTGGGCCTCTTGTCTCTCTTTTCTGGGCGCATCGCCGCCTCCCGTCCTCGGATACTCTCTTTTAGCAGCCTCGCCTTTCGCAAGATGGCGTGATTACGGGCTTCGACGTACTCGGAGATATTTCTCGGGAAATACGGAGACTTTCTAAGCCCCAGGTGGCCGGCAGCCTCTTTCATACGCGCGAAGTCGACGCGCAGCTTTTCCTCTTCGCTTATCCAAGTCGTTGAATTGGTCCAGGAGCCATTTCCGCCGCGGGACTTGGAGTGTACTTTCTCGTCATCGTCGTAAAAGGGCCAGGCAGCATTGGAGAGGGAGGCCGGATATTGGCTCTCAGCGTACTGGGCGTGGCTAGTATAAAGGTGTGTGCTGGCGAATTTAGTATTCCTGGTAAAGGAACGTCAGTTTTATGTCCCTGTGAGGACGCAACTGCAACATCATGAGGAAGTGAGGTGTGGGTAGTGTAGCTGAAGCTGAAAATGAATGTGTCCTGAGTGATCCGATAACCCTGCTTACAGATTGGCAGATGCCCGATGGTCATTGCTCACAGGCATCTCTTGCATGGCCCGAGGAGCCTGTGGAGGTGTCTTGTTGAAAAGAGCACCAGACATCTCTGTAGTGTTGATGGAACAGAAGCTGTCGTCTGATGTCGTGGCTCTGTTGTTGGTCGAATTTTGTTAGAACGCAAAAGGCTGTTTATGTGCAGAGTTCACATGCATATGGCACAAAAGAGATTGGCAATCAATACCCAAAACTGATTGCACTCCAATTCTACCTGATAGTGAATTGAGGCTCACTTGCCGTGTGAAGAAAAGCAGGAATCGTGGTCTGCACAATGTCTAACTAAGCTGTATGTGAAATTGTCCCAGGTGTGGAACTTGAGAATAACCCATCTCTTCGGGAGTTCTTTCATGGCTCTCAAAGTCTCATATTTTCATATAACTTGATTTCCGTGCGTTTGCTTCTCATTAAATCATGGCAGATGTAGTCTTCTATGCTTCACATGGGGACATGAGTTAAAGAGATTTCATAAGTACAAACATTGCAGTAAGCAAATACACATTTAAGTACAGGCAGCTTCAATATGCAAATTACTGAGTTGATGCGCTATGGAAGCAAGAGAAAAGAGAAACGGAGGGAAAACAGCTGGCTAGGTGAGGCTTTCCAGGCAGAGGGTGCCTGGCGGTAGTGGGGGCCAGTGACTCACTGGCCCTCGCGCATTCAGGCTGTCTTGGTCATGAAACTTTTTTCAATTGTTTCTGTCTGATCATACTTCAATGCTCATGGTCATAATTACAGAAGCTGGAAGATTTTCGTTTGGTTATAATGAAAGGGAATGCGTAATCATGTACTTATACTGCCAGGTAAAGGCAGAATGTGTCATTGCTTTTCCTACAGAAACACTCGCAGTCAGACATTAATATCTTACGCTGAGAAAGAAACATGAAGTACCATACCTAAGTTTCAAGGTGAGTTTATGTGCTCAAGTATCTGGGTGGTGTCTAATCATACGTTTTATGAGTTCTCAAGTCAGAAACGGAGTAAGCCTTTTTTTCTTTTCTTTCTTTCTCTTTTTGTGTCCCTGATGTAGAAGGGCCTTAAGAGAATAATAATGCTGTATCTCTGGTCTAGCTTTTGGAGCTGTTTAATTTGCCCTAAAGATGTTTCCTCAATTGCTTCGGCAAATGGTATGTGTTGATACTTCGCACTAGAAGGTGAACCTTAGTGTGTCTATTGTGCGAGTATCGGGCTTGCACATGAATGTGAGCGTCCCCAGCACACAAGTCCTGCTTCTAACATCAACCTGGAAGGAGAGATCCTCCCAAGCACATGGTTTTCTGAGTGAGACAGGAATTTTGACAAATAATTGATCCAGTGCGTAGATAGGAAGATAACCCCGCGGTCTTGAATTTCTTGACATATTTTTGGATCTGAGGTTATGCTAATAAAAGCTCCGAACTACTCAAGAACTCAGTGGTTAGATAAGTAGGGACATATCAAGGGTGTGAAGTTATTCCTTCCCGACAGCTGCCGAGCTTAGAAGAAATCAATATTTGGGTCAAAGGCTTGAATTAGCAGACAGGATCACGTAGTCTCAGGGCCTTGGTGCAGCCTGCGTGCGTAGGAAATTGTCGGCAGACCACCACTGGTCGGGCATGGTGCGCTCCCAAGAATAAATCCTACTTAGGCGTGACGAGCAGCCGAGTAGAATGTGCCAATCTAACAAGCTTGAATCCCATGACCGGAAGGGGGGAAAGAGTTCAGGATTGGATACCAGGTTCTGTGCACATCGCTGTGATTAGAGCATCTGGGATATAGAGACGTCTTTCTTCGAATCGGTGGCATAATATCGTCTCCTGTATCTTCTCACTGCCTCGTCCACTGCCAGTCGGTTTGCGTGAACGTCGGATTTGAGCCCCGTATAGTTTGTTACGTGGCTAATTTGGCCGATTTGGAGGCCCGGAGTGACTCTTATTTTAGAGTCTCACCTGCGCTGCCCATCTTACCGTATGTGGACGATGGCTTGCACGCTATTGGCTAGTTTGTCGTGTGGCGTATTCGGTAGGCCCTGTCAGTGGCACCACTCCTTGAACAGGTCCTTGAATGGTTGTACTTGAATCGAATGTAAATCCTGCAATCAATGTGCACCCAGACAGCGATTCTTCAGGCAAACAGATTTTTTAGTATGTTTACTAGAACAGCTTTCTTCTATTGAATCGATTTCTGTCTCAAGGGCCAAGGCGCTGAAATGGAAAACGACCACATATGGCTGTTTCGTGATTCTTATTCATCGGCCCAGGGGCCATCGAAATGCTTACTTGACAAAGAGATGACGTGGGCAGATCTATAGATCTGACACCCTTCTCCTACAGGACGAATTACAACATGTTGACACGAAAGAGAGGGGGACGGAGGGAAGGGGCGGAAATAGGGCAATGGCAGGGTTCGGTGCCACAAAATAGATTTCTGGTACTGTCCTGGTATGGAGGATTCTTACTTGCATGAAATGGAGACAGCTCGCGATCGTCCCATATCCTTGACAGGGAGCATGCCCAACATGAGTAGTAAGCTTATGGGGACTCCCAAGGTCTGATCTGACAAATCCTCAGAGGCATGGGCCACATTCCGAGTCTAAGGCCTTGGGATCGAGGCCGTACTCCATAAAGCCTTCGAAATAGCTGCAGCCAAGGCACCTATAACAATATCATGTCGGAAAAATACCATCTCGGCCACACTAACCGGCCGGCCGAGCCGCAAAAGCCTTCAGCGATGGCCCAGGGGTTGTTTGGCCGATGGAATCAAGCCCTGCCCTGAGTAGGTAGGCTACCCTTACCCCAGATGAGGAGAAGGACTGCCAGGTTGAGGATGTTTCTTGTCTGCATACCCATGAAGAAGGGGCTGTGAGCCTCGAAGGATCACGGCCCGCACCACGTAAACGCACTCTAAGTATGGTATCGAGCTTTTGGATACCCAACACACAATGCAATGCGCCATCACGGTCACTCGGACGGGTTGTCAGCCTCCAGAGGTCCTTACTGGCCATTGCCTGGCCTAGACAAGCTCCTTCGCCAGGAGGACAAGACGACCAAGAGCTGGGTGCGGGAGTAGGCGACCAGCAACACCAGACGTCTGCACAAATGATGCTGTGTCTTCCTGATATATAACCAAGCTCTTGGCTGTCACAATGTCATCCACAAATCCACTCACTCCATCATCACTCACCTCATCTACTCTCCACCCTTTTCATTTGGTCATTTCCACTTCGGCTTCTGCGCTGGTCGCTTACTTATTTGCATCTTTCATCACCGCCGATCAGCCTCTCAAGGTCAATTGGTTTCTTGACTGAGTCATCAAGATGCGTTTCTTCGCCATTACCACGGCCCTCTTCGCCGCCGTCGCCGTCGCGGCCCCAGGCAAGCACGAGCACGGTGGTAAGACCGAGCACTCTGGCAAGAAGGGACACCACGGTGCAACGGCACAACACGGTTCCAAAGCCCACGCGCGTAGCGAGGTCGAACCCCGCTTTTCCTTCTCTGACCTCCTCAAGGACGGAGAAAGTGTCATTTCCAGCATTCTCAAGCAGCGTGACGAGGGTCTCGACGCCCGTTTCTCATTCGACGACCTTATCAAGGACGGTGAGAATGTTCTGGGTAGCATCCTCAAGCGCGATGAGGGTCTGGACGCTCGCTTTTCCTTCTCTGACCTCCTCAAGGATGGAGAAAGTGTCCTGAGCAGCATCCTCAAGCGCGATGAGGGTCTGGACGCTCGTTTTTCCTTCTCTGACCTCCTTAAGGATGGCGAGAGTGTCCTGAGCAGCATCCTCAAGCAGCGCGACGAGGGTCTCGACGCCCGTTTCTCACTCGATGACCTTGTCAAGGATGGTGAGAGCGTCTTCGGCAGCATTCTCAAGCGTGATGAGGGTCTGGATGCCCGCTTTTCCTTCTCTGACCTCCTTAAGGATGGCGAGAGTGTCCTGAGCAGCATCCTCAAGCGCGAGCCTGAGCCCAAGGGCCATGGCAAGCACGCTGGTGGCAAGCACGGCCACGGCGGCGCCAAGCAAGACGGTGCCACCCAGCACGGCGCAAAGAATGCCAAATCCAACGCCATGCAGGCCCGCTTCAGCATTGGCGACATCCTGAAGGACGTTGAGAGCATCCTCAAGCGCGAGAACACCCTATACGATCCCATCGACCGCATCCTGCCCCGCGACAGCCTCGATGCCCGCTTCTCCTTCTCTGACCTCCTGAAGGACGGTGAGAGCGTGCTCTCCAGCATCCTGAGACGCGATGGTCTCGACGCCCGCTTCAGCTTCGGCGACATCATCAAGGATGTCGAGAGTATCCTGAAGCGTGACGGCCTTGATGCCCGCTTCTCCTTTGACGACATTGTGAAGGATGGCGAGAGCGTTCTCTCCAGCATCCTCAAGCGTGGTGAGCAGATCGACGCTCGCTTCAGCATCGGCGACATCATCAAGGACGTCGAGGGCATCTTGAAACGCGACAGCGGCCTGGATGCCCGCTTCTCCTTCTCCGACCTGCTCAAGGATGGCGAGAGTGTCATCTCCAGCATTCTCCGCCGCGATGGTCTCGATGCCCGCTTCTCTTTCTCCGATCTGCTCAAGGATGGAGAGAGTGTCATCTCCAGCATCCTGAGGCGCGATGGTCTTGACGCTCGCTTCTCCTTCTCTGACCTCCTGAAGGACGGTGAGAGCGTCATCGGCAGCATCCTCCGACGCAGCGATGCGCTCGATGCCCGTTTCTCCTTCAACGACATCCTCAGCGATGTCGAGAGCATTCTGTAAACGTCACGCTTCTCTACATTTAAAGTACGGTGTCTTCGGCACCCTTTTCCCTTTTTCTCTTTTCCTGGTTGTCCTTTGCTTCTTCCTTGTTATGAATGTCTTTGATCGCGGGCGTTTGGAATATTGGATTCAAAGAGGCAAAAAAACACGTGGGCTTTCTTTTGTATGGTAGGCTAGCGGTCGGCGGTTTTGAATAGTCCTGCATATTATATTGAGAGTATTAGTGACAAGGGGCGCGTTATGGTGAAGCTGAAGGCGGGACTTTCAGATGAATGTACGATCAGTGAAATTGACCCTGACACGCTCTTTGCAATACAATCTAGTGTTTGGACTTTTCAATTTTGGATTTTGTTAGTCTGCGTTCAATGTCACGGTCCGGCTCTCTTGAAAGGTTTCGACGGACAATGCCGGCTTACTATCATTTGTTCGAGTTACAGATCACTTATGGAGCCAATGAACTGGATGCGAAAAATGGCGTCTTGTTTCTCCTTTCTGAGTTGAGAAGCTGGAATGTAGCGCAACTATGCCGAGACCTTTACAATGAGCTTGCCAGTAGACTTCCTCCCTGAGAGGTCGTCATGTGCCTGCCCAACCTGCTCCAAGGTGTACTCCTTGCCGATGTCGAGCTTGACGACGCCCTTGGCCACCAGGTCCAACAGCTCGGCAGACCTCTTCTCAAAGTCCTCCCTCTCGCTGACGTAGACGTCCAGCCTGGGCCTTAGGAGCTTGACGTTCTTCTTGCCGAGCTCAAGTGGGCGGAAGTTCTCGATAGCGCCTGAAGCGTTTCCAAACGTAACCATGGAGCCCTTGATCCGGCAGGACTCGAGGTCGTCCTTGAACGTGGCCTGACCGATGCCGCTGAACACGGCATGGCAGCCCTTTCCATTCGTGAGCTTCATGACGGCTTCCAGAACGTTGTCCTTGGAGTAATTGACGACGTGGTCGCACCCATGGCTCTTAGCGATCTCGATCTTCTCGGGCGTGCTCGCCGTCCCGATGACTGTGGCGCCGAGGTGCTTGGCCATCTGCACGATCAGGCCGCCTGTGCCACCGGCGGCAGCGTGCACGAGAACAACCTCGCCGGGGCGCACCTCATGGGCATCGGTGACAAGGGTCCAGGCGGTCAGGCCCTGCAGGATAAGGGCGGCGCCCTGCCGGTTGGAGACGCCGTCGGGCAGGCGCATGAGGCGCGAGGCGGGAACAGCGCAAAATTCAGCCATAACGTTCTGGGCGTAGCAGGCAACGCGGTCGCCAACCTTAAGACCGTAGGAGGCGGGTACGTCGGCGCCCAGGGCCTCAATGACGCCGGCGCCTTCGCGGCCCGTGACTGCAGGGAAGCTGGTAGGGTACAGCCCCGTGCGGAAATAGACGTCGATAAAGTTGATGCCGGCCCATTCTATCTTGACGAGGGCGTCAGTGGAGCCCAGCGTCGGCTTGGGAATGTCGCTGACGTGCAGGACGGACGAGTCCCCCGTCTTATCATAGACAACAGCCTTCATGGCGAGAGCGGCGTGAGTGTGGAATGAGGAAGTGAGGATGGATGGCCTGAGGCTTCTCGATATGGCCTGTATTCGAGTGACGGACCTGAACATAAGATAGCAGATGTAAGGAAAGAAAAGAAAGAAGGACGTGGGAGAAACGATTACTGTAGGGGATGCTATATATCTGACAAATTCTGGAAGGAGGAGGTAAGATGGATGCTGGTGGCTCAAATGCGGGGCTATCTTGAGAGACAGCAATTGCTTTGTCACCCTTTGGCGACAGTGAGGTTGCAAAATGCAGGAGCTAGTGGCTAGCGTCATAGTACATCCATTATAAAGTAATTTGTGGTCTTGTTCCATTAAGAGACCTCACCAAAGCAACTTATTTGTGCATTCATATAAGGTTACTTGGTCCAAGTATCAGGTTCTGCTTCAAGTGATTCGAATGCTTCTTCAACGTGCCCTTGGTTTGTAGTGAAGGTGGTCTCTGCTACACAGGAATACTTCGTAGATTTAGGATGGAGGTCAGAGGGTCCCTTTCCCCTAAAACCCTCCTGCGTACAACCAGCCCCTCTAGAAATTTCTTTTCTAGGCACTCATATCCTGAATTTGACACTCAAAGAGTACTTGGAGTACATACATACTCAGGCTTGAGCAATTGATTAGAGCAATGGCATTATGCAATGCCATACTGAGTTATGAAGGAAGTAAATAAGAGGCAGGAAGCTGCCACTCAGAGCTACTTGCAGCTCTCCCTATATTTCTTCTATGGTATTAGTAATACCCCTAGACACACTTGTCTAGAATCCACTAACAGCTTAATGCCCCACTTGTAGCTAGCCACTGGTATGACGGAGAGGCTGCGCTGATTGCTGTTTGGCCCCCAACAGCATTAATAACCATTTGACCAGACTTATGAACCTGACACTGTTTATGGGATCAGTGTTGATCCGAAGGACCACCAGATCAGAAGTAGTTGCTCATCCATCGCAAAGTGCTAAATGTGAAGCTCATCCCGGATGTTAGAAATGGATAAAATTGACGTCTATCCAGTATTTGCGTCTACTATATTTTTTTGAACAGCAGTCTGGGTCTTTTCAGCGCATTGTAACTGTCTTGTATCCCCACCCCGCTTTTTCTCCTCCTTCTTTCTTTTTTCTTCTCCTTTCCTTTTTTTTTTATATATATAAAAAAATCGGTTTTACAAGACCGTCCAACAGGCCACATCCTAAGTACTGAAGAGTCAAAAGTCCTACAAGCGCCGAGGTACATTTCGAGCCTCCTCAATGTTGTGCTTCTTTTTTTCTCATTATGTAAATGGTAATAGACACTAACACACTTAGAGACCTGGCTTCCGGTGCCTATCAACTGTGGCGAGGCCGGGTCGGGGGAGGCGTGTAGGTACGTGGGCACATTCGCTCTGCACGGGGCAGGTTCAATGTTGTGCGTAATAGAAGTCGGGCCGTGACTGAGGCGGAGGACCGGAAGGGAGTTGTGTTGCTGTACCAAAAGCACGAACCACGATCAGTATGAATTTCGTTTTCGGATCGACGGACTTACCTAAAACGCCTAGGAAGTTGTCAAAGCACCCATCTTGCCTCCATGGGCAGTGACAATGCTAGCTAGTAGTATGGAGGGATTCAAAGGAAAATGGTGTCCGTTCGGGTTGCTTCTCAGCTGGTGTCAATATCCAACATGTACAGCAGACCGCCTGCAATGTCATAAGGAAAGGCGCTTGTAATCAGGAAGGGCAAAGAGCATGCTCATCTCCCATTGAAAGACGCTTCTGCGTAGGGCACGAATGCAACGAAAGCTGGGTGATGGGTCAAAAACACGGAGAATAGTCATGGGGAGCAGACCCAGATCGTTTTGAAAGGTATCAAACACTTGATATATGGCGAATATTTCCTCTGAGATGAGAGAGTAGGATTGAAAATTTCAGACCAGAGGCGTAGATCACAGGATACCGCGACGTAAGCTCCTCAATTGGCTGCATATAATTACATGAAAATGACGTTACTATGATGGTCACACAAAAGAAACTCACAACCGAGGGCCAACTCACAGAGATAGAACATGTGCAGGAGCCACCGAGGATACTCGTCACTTGAAAAGTCGATCATTTTGCTATACTTACTTGGGTATCCTCAGCTACTGTAGCCAAAGGAGGTTAATGGAGAAGAAGCACGAATACTGGAAACTCTAGAGCGTCTCCGCTATATGTAAGACTGCACGCTCCCACCACCTAACTGCATAGACCTGTTATGAGAATGAGTAGATTGATGCGCTTGTGAAAGTAAGGAGAGGGATGGGAAACAGAGGGAAGAAAGGGTTGGCTAGGTGAGTCTATCCAGGTGGAGGGTGCTTAGCGATAGTGGGGGCCAGTGACTCACTGGCCCTCTCACAAATGTGCCCTTGATCTGGCGGGACGACGCTTGGAGCAGGACGTGGCTCTACAGAAAATTTCGAGGTGTTTCCCGCTCTTGTCTGCGAAGAGCTCGTCATGACGCCTACATTTTGCCTCTTGGTGGCTGAGGATACCTGGGTATTGCATACTTTTCGGAAACAGACGCTGACCAGTGAATGAGTACATAACTATGGGATCTCGGGCCCAAAAAAGATACATGGCCCATGTATCCACGAAAGGGAAAGACATTCTTATGTGCTGACTAAAAGTGTACATAGCAGGAAAGAAAGAAATTAGGGCTTGATTGTAAGCTGCAGAGATGCACGAAGTCTAACGAAGACACGTTACTGGAGCCGCTTTTCCCTCCGCCATCACAAGCCAAAACAATTATCATTGTTCATTGCTCTCATACAGAGCTTCTCAGAAGAAGCTTTAACACTTACAGTACAGGGCATTGTCAGCTGAGAACCCCGAATTTCCACAGACCACATGTCTGCGCCAGAGTTTGCAACAGAAGCCAAACGCGAGCACCCCTGGCGGCCCTCAAGCTCCATACATCTCAGCGTGCACCACCGCCGCTCCAGACCATCCGTCCTCCATCCAGAGCTCACGAAACGAGAACAGTACCGAAAGGTCCGCTCCAGACCATCCGTCCTCCATCCAGAGCTCACGAAACGAGAACAGTACCGAAAGGTCCGCTCCAAAGTCACATGCCTGCCAATGCTGGTTCGAAGCGGCCCGCATCGTCAACTTGTGCCGCGAACGTCACCAGGCCCACGCGCAAGAGACAGTTCAAGGAGTAGACGGCGTGAACAGAGATAAAGGAACAGGGAGTGTGAATGCTCTTGGTGATCGTCATTTCGTCCCGAGAGGTGTCGCAGAGGGAGCCAGGCTCTCCGTACCATCGCCGCCACCGCCGTCGCCATCACTCCTTGTGGCCGAGACGCTCGACACGCAGCACAACCTGGTCAAGGTCTGGGGTGTGGTGAACTTATGCCACCACGCCGAGGAGCATCATGGCTCGCAGATGCTGCCATATATTTCTGAGGCAGTGGATATACTTCTGCGCCTTTATGAGATGGCTATTAAGGCAGTCTCGTCATCTTTGCTTAAGATGCAACCGTCGACCAGCACGAAGAACCCGGCAGGCCAGCAGCGACTGCAACTGTAGGACCGCAGAGAGACACGCCTACTTCAGAACATAGTAGAGAACAAGTCCTTTAACTCGGGAGTATTTGTGGGTGAGTTGGAGCTGGACGTGGCCGAGGCTGCCATCGTCTATCAGGAGGCTCTCAGGCATTCCCTCTCTGGTCTGGCGGTTGTGTTGCACGATATTCGCGAGGAGGATTTCTGGCAGGGACAACTTGACGAGAAGAACGCACTTTTCGACAGGGTGTTCACTGAGCTCAGTGATCGGCACTCTGAATTGCTGAGGAATGTGGACGCTCTGCAGACCCAGTAAGCCCTTTGGCAACGAACCAGAGCTGGAGGCGGGAGCAGTGATTATCATTATTATTATGAGGAAACCTTGTAGAACGTCCATGCCAGATTTTCAGACCTTATACGCCCGACCTGCCCAGTCGAACAGCATCGCTCTGTGCAATTCTTCCGCCCTCCTGATTACGTCGTCAATCATTGCATAAGCTGTGTTGCCCAGCACTGGAGCGTAGCCTGCCTGAAACTCGGAACCATCCAGTCTCTGGCTTCTCCGTCCCCAACCATCAGTTGTCCACTCCCTGGTACTTGCGAGCGCCTTGAGCTCGCCCAAAATTCTACCCATCCGCAGCTTCAGGATCCTCATTATAGCTACAGACTTCGCCTTATCCTCGACCACCAGCGCCTCGATACACAGCTCGCAGCTCGCCCCCAGCGCGGGCGAAGCGCAGGGCGGGGCAACGGGCGGTCTGCGGCATGAGCGGCGCAGGCGTCGTGCCGAAGAGCTTGGAACTACGTCTGGCGTGCCATGATTCATTGAGGTGACATGATTCTTATCCATCTTCTGTAATGATTTCAATGACTGCCGATACACATCCTCGAATAGGCCCAGCAAGCGCTCTGCGAGGCGGGCAAAGTTGAGAAGCACGGGTCGACCTGAGGCGAGGCACGATCGTTGAAAGCTGTGGCCGGCGCAGGCGAATAAGCGGCGCCGCTGCGTTGTGAGATCCTTCTCAGCCTCGAGCACAAGGTCTGTCGGCGGTGCCAGTGTTGTGTGTGCCAATGCCTGCTCCAGCTTGGTTATCTGCTCAACGATAGCCGCATAGCAGTCTGCCTCCGGGAAATAAGGACAGGCAGGGAGGTCTGTCTGGGGATATGTATCTGCGAAACTGGACACAGTAGGAGTAGCTGCTGTTTCTGCTGTTTCACCAGTCATGTGCGAAGGCTGGTGACCTGAAGCCTAGGAGCATGCTGGCGTATACAGCAGCCCATTCAATGCGCGAGGGGCAGTGTCTTCTTGAATAGGGACCTGATAACGTGGGCTGCGAGAGTCAGCCGCTGCACGCAGCGGCTTTCTGTAGGCAATCGCGTAGTTTGCCCTGTTAGGACCACCGCCTGCGTCAACAGGAGCCTTATAACTCGCAGACCAAGTTTTTGTTACCCCAGTAGCGATAGGAACCTGATAACGTGAACACCAGGGACTAGCAGCTGTACCTGGTGGCTCGTCATAGGTATTTCCTGTGGGAACCATGTAAGGAGGAGGAGGAGGAGGAGAAGACGGGACATGACCAGGACTTCCCGTGCCCAGATCTCGGGTGTTGGTGTCTACCGCCTGGGCGTCACCCGCGGCTGGGTGAGGCCGTTGGGGTGCCATTTTCCTGCCTCTGGTCCGGCGTGGTTTTCCTGTCGCCTTGAAATCATTTGCTATGCCAGAGTCTTCAGTTAGAAAGACGGATCTTTTTAGTGTAGTCTCAAGAGGTGATACTCACTCCAGCTGATAGATTCGCTCTCGATAGTTCCAAAGGGCGGAAGGTCGCGAATTCGCCCTGGTCCCTCTTCGAAATCCTCTGGGGCGTGCCGAGGCGGGTTGGGTCTTGTCTTGGGCCTGCCCACAGCCCTCCACTCGCTGTACACACAGCGAAGATTTCTCTGGGCGCATCGCGTGCATCTTGGCTTGTCCTGACTACACCTAACCTTGACCTTCTGGCATCGGTCACATGAGTGCCGGTACTTGGGTACCGTGGGAGCACGCCCACCAGAGATGATGCGCACCGTCGGTTGCATATCAGGTGTGGGACGCACAGCACCTACTTCCAGGGCCGAACCCCCATTTTCAGAGGACTGGCTACGTCCGCATCCGGGAGGTCTTGTGTCGCTTGATACTGCTGCCATTGGTGCTGCCGTTGGTATGAATATGGTCTTGGTGTATTGTTATGTTTTCTTTCTTGCGATATATTATGTGAGAAAATTGTTGCATATGGGAGCGGTCCGTGTTCCTGTGTGTGTACCCCGCGGTTTGCATTTTCAGAAACCACCTATCAGAAGCATACTCGCGATGGGTGCCCAAGAAAACGCCACCAAATCGTCCAGATACTGTGTGCATGTAGATGATCTTCCTCCCGCCACGAGCTGGTCAGGCTGACAGAAAATTCGAATAAGGATCCATACTTTGAAAAACAGGCCGAAAGTTGTGCTCTCAGGTAGCATTCGCATACGTGGAGCAGAGCAGCGTATCTTTTCAACAAGATCTCGAAAGACACAGCAATGGGGAAATGGAAGGCCGTGGTCAAAGTCTCCTATACATTATTAGGTGTATAGTACATACACAGTGCTATGTACAGTATTATAGTTTGTGCTATTGCCCTGGGCCCCTGTTTTGAGTGCCTAATGGGTGATTCCCTGCCTGCCGGGATGAGCTTCGAAGCTATGAGCTCCCAATTAGCATGCTGTTGCTGTCCCAACATTTTCCCAAACCATCCTCCGACAACTCCACGCAGAAGAACGATACGGGTCAATTACTTGAGAAATGTCTGGCTCAATAACGATTGCGCTCGCAAATCGAGGTAGATATAATCCCCCACCCCCTTGTCCCTTTTTCTCTCTTTCCTAAGTGGCCTCGAAACTGACAGAACATACCCTCTCCGGGATAGTACCCAAGAGGCCCCTCCGGAAGCTTCCTGCTTCCATTGAGGTGCCCAACGATGCCGAGATCGAAGACGTCAAGAAGGTCATAGCCCGCCAGGCCGGCGTCAAGGACTTCAATCGCATCGGCCTGTTCTACCCTTCCACCAGGAAGAGGATCGCGGACCGAAGAGCGCTGGTCAATAACCAGCAGGACGTCATTGACAACGGGCAGATTTTGGTCCAGGATCTTGGTATGTGGTTCATGCAAACATCGGGGCTGGAGCTCTACCAGCACTTCTTTAGTAGCTATGTTACCGTTCTGACATATTCTTGTGTAGGCCCTCAGGCTTCCTGGCGCACTGTGTACCTCGTCGAATACCTCGGCCCCATCCTGTTCCACGCCTTCTTCTACTACCTTCGCCCGCAGCTTGCCAAGGTTATCCCCTTCTTCTACAAGGGTGCCGATGTGACGCCTCTTACGCTCGTGCAGAAGGTCTGCTTCTTCATGTTCATATCCCACTTCGTCAAGCGCGAGCTCGAGACCGCCTTCCTCCACAAGTTCGCGGCCAATACCATGCCCGCCAAGAAGATCGTTGAGAACTCACTCTACTACTGGGGCACCGCGGGCCTACTGGCTGCCTTCTTCATCTACTCGCCAAAATCCCTCGCGAACCGCTCGGAGCTGGGGCTGGTGGACTACGTCGGCATCGCCCTGTTCTTCGGTGGCGAGCTGAGCAACTTTGTCGTGCACAAGCACCTGGCTGGACTGCGCAAGCCTGGGAGCACCGAGAAGGGTATCCCAAGTTGCATCGGGAGCAGCCTAGTCACCTGCCCGAACTACATGTTCGAGATCATCGCGTGGATTGGCATGATCCTGGTTTCCCGGGAGTGGTCGGTTGCGCTGTCCATCGCCATCGGTACCAAGTACATGGCCGCCTGGTCGCGGGACAAGGAGGCGGCGCTGAGGGGGATCTTTGGAGACAAGTACAAGAAGAAGAAGTACACTCTGTTCTACGGCTTCTACTGAGCAAAGCAGGAGCAATAGTATTGGGCTGTCTGCAGCAAGGACGAGGACGAGGGAATTCCATCTCGATTGCGCCGCTGCGTCTGGGAGGATCTTTTCATTCTCTGCTTGTAGATATCCTAGACTGAAAATCATAAGCTCACAGCTATGGGACACTATATCCAAACCCAATTGCAGGCTAGTGGTGTTTATCATGTAATCGTAAATCATCAAGTCATTTTGAGAGGTGCAGCGTGTAGTCAAGATCATGATGCGCTCTTCCATAGGAACCGCCTCAACCAGTTCGGAGTAGCAGGGGACTGCGGCGGCTTTGTGGTGTCCTGCGTGGCGGTTTCGAGCTGTGTGCTCTCGACGGCGCTGGCTCCCTCTGCAGGATCGTCGGGTGGCAGAGGAATCTGGGCTGGCTCGATGTCCATGGCATCTGCAGGGGGTACCGTCAGCGCCACCTCCTTTCCCTTGCCCTTAAACGCTGGCCCAGCAGCCCCGGGGCCGTCCTGTCCCTCAGCATCGGCCATACGAGCATCTCCATCACCATCACGATCGATACCAACCTCCTCTCTCTCCTCGTTCTCGTCCTCCTCACTGCCACTCCAGCTCCCACTCCCGCTCCCGCTCCCGCTCCAGCTGCCCTCATCACTGCTCCCTCTCCCATCCCGCCCAACCAACCTCATCGTCTCCTCGAGCACCAAGAAGTCCCTCTCCAGCCTCTCCGCCCAGTTCTGCACGTCGCCCAGCTCCTTGACCTGGCGGCTCCCCTCCCCCAGCACCCGCATCAGCTTCTCGTCCTCGCTCCGCAGGCCAGCCAGCGCCGCCCGCACGTCCCGCTCCTGGCGGTCGATGGCGGCCTGGTTGGCGTGCAGCAGGGCCGCGCGCGTGGAGAGCTCTGTGTCGAGGGTGTTGCCCAGCGAGGCGACGAGGGCGGCGCGGGCCTGCGCGGTCTGGGCTTCTTGGGCCGGGGTGGGGAGGTGGGCTGGGTTGGTGGGGGAGGAGGGGATGGTGGTGGTGGATGGGGCGGTGCCTCCATGGGGAGGAGATGTCTGCGGGTGGGGGTGGTGTTGGTGTTGTTGTTGGTGGTGGTGAGGATGAGGATGGTGGTGATGGTGGTGGTGGTGGTGGTGGAGTTGGTGGCCTGGCGGGGCAGGAAATTGTGAGGCTGACACGGACGACGATGCCGTGGTCGACGGGCCTCCTCCGCCTCCTGTTCCGGAGCCTGGAGAAAGTGTGCTCCTGGGCGAGGTAGACACGGTTGTGGTTGTCACCGAGGACGATGACGGCTGGGCGGGGCTGACTGGCCGTGTTGAGGAGGACATGATTGCACGTAGTGGTTGGTTAGACCCTTTTCCCCCTAGCTTATTTGTCTGGTAACAAGTCTGCTTTCTGATGGGCGAGTACAGATGTCTGTAGAGTGGAGAATAGTCTCTCTATGTTTGTATGAAATAAGAGAGAGAGAGAGAGAGAGAGAGAGAGAGAAGTGACAGGGAGAGAAAATACGCAACGATAATTGATGGTGATAGTAGATGAGTTGGTGACAGGGGTGTCAGGTGAGGAGCGGCAGATGATATACTTCACATGCAGCGCTACTGTAGGTCCATGCAACAAAACATCCTCGCTCTCATTATGTTATCAATTTTGACATTGAGGTAATCCATCATCATTACTATTAGGTCCCAAATTTTGCTTTCTTTGGGCAATTCATAGATGGGATTTCAAATCGGTGGATGCAAGTCTATCAGCTACCTCCACCAGTCTTCTTCTTGGGAGCTGGGCACTGCATGTTCAGATGCGAGGCATAAGGCTGGGGAATGGGTGGCAGGTCTGCGTATTGAAAACTCCACGGAACTTTATCGCGATGAGGTTAGAGTTTCTTGCATACGATGCGCACGGGAGGACCTTCTAAAGGCTCACAAGTCAAATCTTGAGGTTAATTCTACCCGGACAAGCCACCATACGTGCCTTTTGGGTGAACTGGGTTCCACACCCTGTGGTGAGTTTGGTGTGGACGAATACGTATGTCATTGAGGAGCGAGTGCGTCGTGCACTCATGACAATCCCTCTCTGGGATAGGATTTCCACAGACCTTTCATCTGATGACTTGGCGAAGCATGCTATCTGGCGGGTCCCAGACGACATCCTTGACACTCAACCTTGGTCTCGCCGGCACTATCATCGTCTCCCCATTCCTCCCAGGAAGCACAATATCTTGTCGATTTCGTACCAGGAGACTTGGCAGGCAAACCCCAAACGTGTCTTCAGGCTCGTGATCTGGGAGCAGCCCAATAGCCCTTCTCGCACGATGGCTTACGCACTCGTACAGCAGCTGGGCGTCCTCTGCCGTACCGGCCTGGTAGACGCCGGTTCCCCAGCATGCCAGCTGCAGCGGGTCGCCGTCGCCAAATGGTGTAAAGGCATTGCCGACATTGTTCACCCCGAGACATCCAGCGAGACCAAAATCCTTGATCATGGAAGGGATCTGCATCGTGCCTCTGGGACGTGAATGAGGCAGGTGGTGCGCCTTGCCGTCCTCTGTCTCAATTTGGGGACCTGGTCGCCCCATCATGAACAGATCGCTCGTTGGCAGACCCACGAAATGGATCGGGAGCTCCGGTGCCTCCTTGATGAGCGCTGCTATCTCCTGGAGATGGCCCGTTCGTTGAGTGGTCAGCTGTGTGCAGTGGCCTATCACGATGGTCTTCCCAGCTTTGGACTTGTCGGCCCAGTTGCTGCTCCGTGCCTGGGAGATAACCTGCGACAGAGAAGACGCCTGCGTTTCGTCGAGATTGTAGTCCAGATGGAAGTCCAAGTGCAGGCCCCTCTCCAGCGCCGTGTCGACTGCCCACTTGATGTTTTTGGTCTCCATCTCTGCCTTGCTGCCGGAATGAGAAGCCTGCTCGACATAGGGCGTCGTGCCTAACGCTTCGACGACGTTCGAATACGTGTCCAGTGCCTCCACCACGAGCCGACGGTTCTCCGGGCCGTGCGCAGTAGAGAAGATGGGGTCCTGGGCGAACAGACAGATCTGCACGTCGACGAGGTGTGCAAAGTCCCGCTTGAGCCGGACGGCAGCCTCGAGCGTCTTGAACTCGACAACGTGGTCGACCTCCACGAAGGCGCGCATCGAGGTCACTCCGTGCCGGGCGTAGCTCTCGGCGAGCAGCTGAGACCCCCTGCGGTACAGGTCCTCGGTGGTGTACCGTGCCTTAGCGGCAGAAGTGTTTGTGAGGGCCTCGTGGAAGCTGCCTGACTGGGGTGCTAGATCGGTGTAGTCCGGGTACGAAGAAGAGTCGTGGTTGCAAGTAAGGATGTAGGGCTTGTCGAGGTGAACATGAGGATGGCATAGAGCTGGGAGGAGGAGACTGGGAGGGGATGACGATGATGACGGGACTCGAGACACTGCCTTTCCTCCTTCAATTCGTATATCCCATCTGGCGTAGTCGTCAATGTTGGGAAGAATGACGTTCTCAAATGTGCTCAGAGCAGGCGGCACCTCTAATTGGGATGTGTCCGAAGGCGTGACCATGATTGAGCTTGAATCTGGCTCCTCTTGTCTCTCCCTGCCCTTGTGTCTAATATGTCGTACTTGGAAAGGAAGAGTAACTGCGAATATCTGCATTCTTGTTTCAAGGACGAAGAAGTTGTCCCTATATTTCAGAATCAACGTGGGACAAGCTGTGCCTCCTGTAGAATTGAGGATACGATGACTGTATTTACCCACTGCATATTACAGCGACTGCCGGTTCTTGGATCGCCGACGCCGGAGACGACAATGTTGGAGGTCCCTGACCCCTCAGACAGTGGCTGCTTCATGACTAATCTTGTGCAGGAGGAAGTCACGATGGTACTATATAAAGCATACTTGGTGTGCAGGTCCATACCTCCTCCTTTTTCCAGTACTTGGGTGTCTGTTCTTTCCGCAATCGCATTCATCCGTACCTCGGCTTTTCGAAGAGTTTCCTCTTCTTCAACAACTGTCATCCGAGCTTACACCCTCGCCAACATCAATCCCCTCCCTCTTTGTCCTGCCTTTTAGACTTACCTAAAGCCTACTTCTTCTACCTTTCCACTTCGTCCTCACTACCACCACCACCAATAACAACGATGATCACCGGCATCCACCACATAAACTTAGTTGTGCCCCCCGCCACCCTCCCAGCGGCCGAGTCCTTCTACGGCACAACCCTAGGCCTCACCTCGCGCCCCGTCCCCGCTGCCCAGGTCGGCACCCTCGCCTGGTTCGACATCGGCACCTCGGGCCAGCAGGTCCATATCGCCTTCGGCCGGCCCGAGGACTTTGCCCTTACGTCCAGCCGCCACCCGTGTTTCCGTGTGGGCTCGGGCGACGACCTCTTGCGGCTCCGGCAGCGCATCTGGGAGCACTTTGAGCGCGGGGGCGAAGGGGCTCCGCAGGCTGCGGATAAACCGGGAGAGGAGAATAGTGGTGCACAGGGGGTGGAGTATCCACAGCGGTTCTTTGCTCGAGATTTTGCGGGGAACAGGCTGGAATTCACAGTTTGAGCCGTGGTCAGGAATTCAAAACTTTCACATTTGAATGGAGATCTGCTCTTCTTCCTTTCTTTATTAAATAGAAGGGAAAGTCTAAGAATATCAGAACGGCTCTACTAACACTTCTCTCTGTTTCTAATTTATTTCAGCGTGACCAGCTCCTCGGCGCTCGTTGGGTGGATAGCAACACAGCTGTCAAAGTCGGCCTTGGTCGCGCCCATCTTGATGGCCACGCCAAAGCCCTGCAGCATCTCGCCGCTGCCCAGCCCCAGTATGTGCAGGCCGACCACCTTCTCCTCGGGCCCAGCACAGATCAGCTTGTACTTTGTCGGGCCCTTGTCCTCCTGTGCCGCCATGGCGTAGTACATGGCCGTGAAGCTCGTGTTATACACCTTGATGTTCTCCTTGCCGTACTTCTCCACGGCTTGCGGCTCTGTCAGGCCGATGGCCCCGACCTCGGGGTGCGCAAACACCACAGAGGGTATGTTGCTGTAGTCGAGCTTGGCTGTCTTGAACTGCTCCCCGCCGAACAGCCTGTGCGCGAGCTTGCGGCCAGCCGCGATCGCCACGGGCGTCAGCTCCACTTGGCCCGTGACATCGCCAAGAGCGAAGATGTTGTCCACGCTCGAGTTCTGGTACTCGTCGACCTCAATGTAGCCCTTGTCGTTCAACTTGACACCCGCCTCCTCCAGGCCGATGCCCTTGGTCGCCGGCGTCCGGCCAATCGCCCAGATCAAGTGGTCGAGATCCCGAAGCACCGCCTCGCCGTCCTTCTTGTCCTTGTAGTGCAGGCTCAGCTTGCCGCTGCTCTCGTCCTTCTCCACCTTGCTCTGCGACGAGCCCTTGTGCAGGTGCACGCCCAGGCGCTCGTACTCGGCAGTGATAGCATCCTGCACCATGGGATCAAAGTTGCGCAGGAAGGTATCGTGTCGGATGAACAGATGGGTCTCAACACCCAGCGCGTTGAACATGCCTGCAAACTCCACCGCGATGTAGCCGGCGCCCACGAGGGCCACCTTCTTGGGCAGCTCGGCGATGTCAAAGAACCCGTCGCTGTCGACGCCCAGCTCGGATCCGGGGATCGTGGGTGGGATCGTCGGGTTGCCGCCCACCGCCACGAGGATCTTCTTAGCGCGCACTGTTTCCTTGGTCCCGTCGTCCAACGTCACCTCCACCTCGTTGCGCGACAATAGCCGCGCCCACCCGTGCACGTACTCGACCTTGTCGTTGCCCAGGTTACGCTCGTAGATGCCGTTCAGGCGCAGGATGTAGGCGTCGCGCTTCTTCTTGAAGCTGGACCAGTCGAAGGGGGCGGTCTGCTCGATAGAGAAGCCGTAGGCCTTTGCGTCGTGCATCTGCTCCGAGAGCATAGCGGCGTTGAAGGTGATCTTTTTGGGGACGCATCTGTAGGTAAAGAAGGACTGAATCAGTCACGGTCATGGTGATTTTTGGTGCGGGGGGGGAGAGAATAGGAGGAGGAAGAAAGAACGGACAAGGAATGAAAGAAAAGAGCTTACCCAACGTTGACACAGGTGCCTCCCAGCCTCTTGTTCTCGATAATCATGGCCTTGGCCCCGAACTTGGAGCTCGCCATGCGGGCAGACGCCAGCCCGCCGCTGCCGCCGCCGATGACGAGGTAATCGGTCTCCTTGCTGATGGGAGCCATGGCTGCTGCCGAGGAGGAGAGGTGACGCGAGAAGCCTGCTAGTCTGGTGGTGGCCGTTCTGGAGGACGCTCGTGTGAGGGTTGTAAGTGCTAGCATGAGGTGCTTGCGCAATAAGATAGAATTGACACCTCTCGGGAGGAGGAGGAGGAGGAGGGCGTGTTGGTGATGGTGGTGGAGGTGGTGGAGGTGGACAGGGACAAGATATATGCAGCAGATAAATATATTTTATATGACGGAAGCGGGGGAGGGGTTGACGTCTTAGACTGCCACTTGTCAGACGAGCTAGTATGCTCTGCTTCGGCCCAGGATTAATATTCAGCAATATGCGTAGTAGTAGTAGTGACCGCAATGATAATAATAATGATAGTAAGCTGCAGGTAATCTGAGCGGTATGGGGTTTAGACCGTGGTAAGTAATACAGTCGTAGTCCTGCTGTTGCTGTGATGAATAATGATTTTTCCAATTAGTGAGCAAAGCCGGATATAGAATGGACTCGAAGGGCGGAGCCATGATCAATAAGCAACCAACCTTATCCCCACTGGCCTCGGCGGCCAGATTCTTATTCCAAATTTTGTTCCACTTCCTTAAGAAGAAAAACGTATGAAACAAAGTTGCCATAGTAAATGGTATAATATAATGAAGAACGAGAAGAAAAAAGGAAGGGAAAAATACAACAAAAAATTTCGAGGATCCACTACAGCTTGGCGACACAATACCTTGTTAGGTGTTCCCCCTGTGGGCAAAGTTTGCCAGTATGTCGGGCTTCCTGAACAGGTCTCGGCATAGTGGTTGTTGGTACTGCTGCAGTGTGCAGGTACAGCGGGTATGTACAGCGTTGCAGGGATTCTCGTGTGGCAGCAGTAGCGCGCCCCTGCTTCTACCACACGCGTCTGGTAAGCACCCAATTTGGAATATTGTGAATTTTGCCTTGTCTATGAAGCAAACATGATGGAAAAAACGACAAACCACTTTTCACACACCTCGGGTTTGCATACATGCAGGGCCATCTAATTGTCAAAATACGAAGCCCCAATCTGACTTAAATATCTTGGGTGAGCAACAAGGCGAAGGTAGGCACTGAGGAGACTGCTGCATGGTGTTTTCTCTTTTTCCTTTCTTTTTTTCCTATCTATTTCTTTTTCTCTTTCTTTTGCCTCTCTTTCCTTTCCTTTCCTTTCCTTTCCTTTGTTCCCCCTTCTTCTTACTTCTTTTTCCTTACAAGAACGATAGTATGATTTCTTTTCCACCCAAGTTCACAGCGAGTCAATTGAAAGAGGTCGCGCGTCTCTGTGGAAAGAACAGATCTGGCACTAAGGCTGTCATCACAAGCCGAATCACAGATGACCTGCAGGAATTCAGGCCCCTCGCCCCAGGCACTCGGGTCTTAAGCATAGATCTGGGCATTCGCAATCTTGCATACAGCTTGCTGGAGGTACCAGGGAATCGACACGAGATCTCGACCAACCAGACAGCAGAGGGAGGAGGAGGGCAAAGGAGGACAAGAAAGTCAAAGAAGGAGAGTGATCTGGCGTCTTCGGTGTCAGTGACGCCTATTCTCCGCGCATGGGAACGCCTCGCCCTCATTCCCAAGACGCCCAAGCCAATCAAAGCGAAGGCCAAAGGAAAGACGACCAAGAACAAGACCAAGAAGGACGCTTCTGCGGAGCATGAAGTCCTGGGAAAACTAGATCCAGACACTGCCGGCACTACTACTATAACAACAACCACTGCCGCTGAGAATGACGCAGTAGTAGCAGCAGCAGATTCAGCCACCACCACCGTGTCCATAGAGGATTTCTCCCCCCTCCGTCTCTCCCAGCTCGCCGCGGACCTGATTTTGACGCGCCTCCTTACGCTGCGGCCCGACATCATCACCCTCGAGCAGCAGCGATTCCGCTCCATGGGCGGCTCGGCCGTGTTCGAGTGGACGCTACGCGTGAATTCGCTCGAGTCTATGCTCTACGCCGTCTTCACCACCCTCGAGAAACTCGGCAAGTGGCCGGGCGGGCGGCTCGAGGGCGTCGTGGCGCGGAACGTCCTGGAGTTTATGGCCGTGCAGGAGGGCGGGGCCGAGGCGGCGAGCATCTGGAACAAGAAGGGGAGCATGGACAACAAGAAGATCAAGAAGGATATCGTCGGCCGGATGTTACTAGCCGGCGAGGGCGTGGTGATCAACGAGGAGAAGCAAGATGAAGGAGCGGGGGGCCAGGTAGAGGCCGTGGCAAGGGAGTATCTCGACAAGTGGCAGGCGAAAGGCAGGAAGGCCAAGAGTGGCGCCGAGGGTCTGAAGAAACTGGATGACTTGGCAGACTGTCTGCTGCAGGGATTGGCATTCATCAGGTGGCAGGAAAACAAGAGAAGATTGCTCGACGGAGGCGTGGAAGCTCTCCAGGATCAGATGGTGGATGAATAAGAAGGACGACTTCGGAGGACTCAGACACGATGTGGAGGGTACATATATATATAATAGCATAGCAAGGGGTGGATCATGTCAAAACGCAAGCTTTCCCACATCACTCAATAATCACCGTAACAGCCATCGTAAGCACCCTCCTCTCTCTGCGTGCTCACCCACTCCTCGCTCGCCAGGCCCTTGCCCAACCTCCTCTTCAGCCCCTGCGGATCTTTATGCCAATCACATGCAAAGTCACATACTGGCATCTCTGTCTCGCCAAAATACTTGCAAATCATAGCATGCCGACACCCTGCCACGGCTTCGCAGTACTCGGCCAGGCACTGCAGGCTCTTTAGCCGCGCCTGGCGGTTCTGGCCGTCCTTCGCCTCCCGCCCAACCATGCTGCACATCCTGTCACGGTCCTCGCGGCTGTAGTATAAGAAACAATAACTCGCGTTGCCGTCCCGGCCCGCGCGCCCGGCTTCCTGGTAATATCCTTCGAAGCTTTTGGGCATGCGCCAGTGCACCACAAACCGGACGTTCTCCTTGTCGATGCCCATGCCGAAGGCGGTGGTGGCGACGATGATATCGTAGCCCTCCTGGTTGTCGATCCACCGGGCGAGGGTCTCCTCCTTGGTCTGGGTGTGAAGCTTAGCATGGAAGGGCCGGGCGCCGATGCCCTCGTTTCGGAGGGCGGCGGCAATCATCTCGCACTCGCCGCGCGAGTTGGTGTAGATGATGCCGGGCACACCCTTGACCCGCTCGCCCCGCGCCTCCAGCTCGGCCCTCCTGCCATCACTGTCCCGCCGGCAGTACACACCCTGCAGCCACGTTACAAAGTCGTCGAAGCGGTCGTCGGCCTCGTCGCTCGTGAAACGCACCTCTAGGTGGAGGTTCGGGCGGTAGGCCGTCATGGCGAAGGTGCGCAGCCGCTCGGGGCTCGCCAGGAGGCCCAGGGTGCCCAGGACGTCCGTCCTGACCTGCTCGTTGGCCGTGGCGGTCAGGCACATAATGGGCACGTCGGGGAAGGCCTCACGGAACCAGCTGAGTCGCTTGAAGTCCTTGCGGAAGTCGTGGCCCCACTCGGAGATGCAGTGGGCCTCGTCGACCGCGACCCTGGCCAGCTCCCTCTGCTCGTGGACGACCCGCAGCTTGGCGCGAAAGCGCTCTCCGGAGCACAGCTCTGGCGTGACGTACAGCAGCCGAGTGCGCGGGTGGCCGGTCGCCAGGTCTGCGTAGATGGCATCCTTCTCGAGCGGGGGGGTGTTGCTGTTCAGAGTGCGCGCGTCGACGTTGGCCTGCCGCAGCGCCTCGACCTGGTTCATCATCAGGCTGAGCAGCGGGGAGATGACGATGGTGATGCCATGGTCGATGACGGCGGGGAGCTGGAAGCAGAGGGATTTGCCGAACGAGGTGGCCGCCTGAACAAAGACATCCTTCCCTGCGAGCGCAGCCTCGATGATGTCCTTTTGCAAGGGTCTGTAGCATTTAGAGGGCATTCACTGGGAGGTCAGGGGTGGAAGGGCCGTTGTATACCTGAAGGCCTGTTTGCCAAATTGTCGACGGAGGGTGAACTCTGGGTCGACATATGAGTTCGATCTGGATAGTGGCGCCATCTTGGCCACAATTTCTTCTTCCCTCTTCTCGTCGTATTTTGTGTACAGTGTAACCAGTTTCTCTGTCAAGAATTCGTTGTTGATGGCCGTTCAAGGTCACACAGGTCGCAACTGTGCCTTAAATCTCGCTCTATCACGGCACTCATGATTCCCTGGAGAGGAAGGAAAACTAGCACCGCAATGCTCTGGTCAATACGCCTCGGAGAGAGCCTGGGGAAGCTGATCGTGTTGGGAATTCAACAGGCTGCATTCAGGTTGCAAGAAGGTGCACCAGTCGATTGTGAGCAGCTTGTACATAGTTACTGTACGTTGTAAACGCGAGGTATCGCGCTGCGAATTTCTTTCTAAAGTCGCGTCTGTCTCCCGCCCCCCAACTTAGCGGCAGGGGTACCCTATTGTAGGTAGGACAGCCCGCTGAAACAAGTTCTATAAGAGTTCTAGTGCCATTCTATTCGCTGCGGGGGCCCAGGGACACCCCAGCGCAGATGGCAAGGGCTTATAATAGTAGACGCCTCCACAGAGAAATCGGGATAGCCGGGCAACAAGGGAGGCGGATTGGATTGACGTCTTTGCAATCCATTCCATCCTTTAATGGGGCAACAGAAAGAGAGAGAGAGAGAGAGACGACTTAGAATGTTGGGAATGATGGGGAACCAGAGGGGTCAAAAAGAAGAAGGAAGAAGAAAATGAAAAAGACAAAAGGTGTATGAGCTTGATGGAAAAGTTGGCGCTCGAAACTCTATCCTTCTTTTTTTTTCTTTTTTTTTTTCTTCTTCTTCTTTCTCCCCTTTCAGTGCCTGCATCAGAAGGCAGGGGGTGAACCCCTCGAATCCAGTGGCGGGCGTTAGTGACGGTTGATTAGTGACTTGACCAACCCTCGACCTAGCCCACCCCTCCCAGAGCACTACAAGTGGGCCCAACGGTCCGGTCATCACCAGATGGAGCTGGTAGTTCTCCAGCAGACCATCTGCAAGTGATGCAATTCTGCTTAAAGCATGGTACTACAAGGTACCATACCATATTCCTTTATTATTATAATGTTCTTTTGGGCAGCGGAGATCTCCAGGCCCATTCCACACTACTGATCATTCCCCAGTTCGGGGCACTTCATCTATTATGGTACATGTATTGTCTTTGGAATTTGCACGAGGTTTTCAAGACAAGTCTTGTTAGGGTGCGACTGGATGTGTAGAACTCCGCGGGTTTGATGCATGAGCATGTGTCTGGGGTTTGTAGATCCATCTGCAGGAACCAGCCACTGTTTATCTGTCTGCCTGGGCATGCATAACATGTCTAGGCGATCTTGTACATAAACAGGAGCATCCATACCTTTGTGCCCTGTGTGGCCTTGGACAAGAGATGGCAGTTGTCAATATGTCAGTAAAGTTCTTCTCTTATTGACTATGAGGTACTCATCTACATAAGAGAGGAGGCACATCCCAGGGGTCGATCACCTAAACAAATGTCTATCAGTACTGGCACAACCTATCTCACTGCTCCAGGATCATCCTCTTGGTAACTCCCGTCCCGCATTTTTTGACCAATTGAGAAAGGCTAGGTGAAACGTTTCTACAGATTTCCATCGTCAGTGCTTAGTGATTGATATTGGTTACATTTCTCGGTGCTGCAGCTCGGAATAAATCATCAGGTTGTGGGGGTTGGCAGTTGCACATGTCTTTATAACTTTTGAACTTGGTGCTCTGCACGCAGTACGTACTACTACTGTGGTAGACGGCCATCTACCACCAGCACCACCAGCGGTAGAATACATTGGTCAGGAGGCCTGACCTGGCCTTGCCCAAGGGGGTGGGAGCTGGCTTGAGCACTGAGTGGAGGGTGAGTGTCCACGCTAGCCTGGGTGTGGTGGTCTCAGCGCTTCGCTTAGCCTATGGTGCCTGTGCCTGTTCTAGGCCCCACATGGCGTTGGGACATCCGCCGCTATGGCTGCAACCCCTTTCCCTCCACACAAGTACAGGCAAGACAACGACTCGCAGCCGCAGCCCGTGTTCCTCCCACCAACAAACAACCAACCCACCACCATCCACCCCCTCGACGACAAAGGATTGAGTCCTCACTGGCGCTCAACGTCCAGACTGGATCACCACCCTCTCCAGACATCCGAGTTCCTGACCTGCATATTCGATCCATCTGTCTCTCTTCCTCCCTCCCCCCGGCGTCACCGTCGTGACGACGGCACCCGCAAGGCATTAACGGCCTGTGTGGCAGGACCGTTACGCTGCTTCAAGATCTGCGCGAGCCACCCGATCCTCAGCCGAGCCGGAAGAGATCGTGCATCCCTCCGCACTTTTGTCTTCAGGATCACTTCTTGTCCTACCCGAGTTGGAATTCAACGATCTGCACGAGACCAAAGAAAGAAGATCCCCGTACCCGTACGACCTAGAAGAAGTGGTTGTCCAAGACGAGAGAGCCCTGCGTCTCCATACCCGACGTCCCCCCAAATCAATCATTTCAGCCCGACTTGCTCTCGATGAGCCCATCGCCCATCGTGCCCTGCCGTGCTTAAGCAACATGATACTGCTTTCTCAAGACCTGCGATCCGTCCAATTGATTTAGCTCCGCCGATTGCCCACTCAACTCCCCACCGCCGACGACGAACAAACAACAAACAATCTGCCCTGCCTGAGCTGCTACCATCAGGGCACCATACACCATAACGAGTGCATCTTCTGGGTTGCATACATACCAGGCGCCTTTGTAAGACCTGAGGCGGCACTGTTCTTGACACGGCGCCTCACGCAGTGGGAGGCTTGTGTGTATGATTTCGACGGGCATGGATCGACCGTCCGTCGGGGGCCCCCAGATGGGCCTTCCTGGCAATCCTGCTCAGGGCCGCCGGCCTTTCGCTCCTGCTGGGACTGCCGGCCTCAGCAACATCCCTCCGCCGCCACCGATCCCCAAGACCGTGCGAAAGATGCCCTCCAACTCTGGTCTGACGGCGCCAGCGCCCATCTCCGCAAGCCAGGTCATCGTGTTGGCGCGGGAGGCCATGAAGAAGGCCGTCGAAGAGAACGAGAACCAGGCTGCTGAGGCCAGCGGTGTCAGCAACGAGCTCAAGCCCGGTGTGACTGTCAATCTGAGCCATAAGAATATCCAAAAGCTGCCTGAGGAGGTTGTCGATCTCATAAAAGATCAATTGGAAAGGTATGTCCATCCCGCCTGCACAAGGAGATGCAAGGGAGCCAATTACCCCGAAGGTGTGGCTGGCCGTACTTACTTTTTCTTGCCTTTTCGTCCAGACTCGCCCTCTCTCACAACAAGATCTCGACATTCCCCGCCCGCTTCTCCGAATGCACACTGCTGCGGTATCTGAACGTCCGCAACAACAGGATAACAGAGTTTCCACTTCAGGTAAGCCACCCTCGCCACACCTTCAGTCCTGGGCTTGTCGGCTCGGGAGAAAGGGGAGGGGAGGGGTCTCCATGTTCTAACTTGCTCTGCAGCTTTGCGACCTGAAATCTCTCGAGATCCTCGACCTCGGCCGAAACCAGCTGCGGGAACTGCCGCCTGACATCGCACGGCTTACCTCCTTGAAAGTCTTCGCGGTCCAAAAGAACGTGATCAAACGGCTGCCTCTCTGCCTTGCCGACATGGGCTCGCTGCAGATGATTAAGCTCGACGGAAACCCGATCCAATTCCCTCCTAAGGAAATCCTTCAGGCGCAGGCCAGCAGCCCACCTCACGACGGGTACGGCAAGGAGACAGAAGTCAAGGAAGTGACAGTCACCACCAACATCAAAAAGTTTCTGCGACAGCACTTACAAAACGATCGGATGGAGGCGGAGGCGGCTGCATTTGCGGCTGCGGCAGGCGAGGACTCATCTGAAGGTGTCGAGACCCCGCGTATGCCTCCCATCAAGCGCGTCATGAGCGGCCGATTCCCCATCAAGGTCAACGGCACAGACGTCCCTGACCTTCGTTCACCAAACACGGCAATTCGACCACCACCAATCCCCACGCGGTCTCACTACCGTGGCCTTTCTCAACAGAACACAGCGATACGTCGACCGGGCGTCATGCCTCTCACAATCGGGAACGTCAATGAGCGTTTGCGTAGCAACTCGGAGAATATGCTGCAGGTCTCTCGCGCTCAGCAGTCAGGCGACCGCCAGCGACGCATGGCTTCCATATCAAAACGAACTCAGGAGCTGGGTACTCTAGATGAGACTCAGGCGAATAATCGATTCAGCCACTATCGCGGCCTCAGTCATGGGTCAGCGATGCAGGGGCCGAACGGTTCTGTAGGTTCCGTCAAGAGCCCCGCCAGCCCTGCAGATTCATACCTCCAACGCCCAATTTACGTACGACGGCTTTCGGTCCTGCCTGAGCGCAAGCGCGAGTCCAAATACATCGACCCTGTCCTGGAAACCGCCAAGGGTGTCCTCTACTCCGTCTTCCAGATCCACCCCATGATTCAGATGCTCATGGGCCTCGCCAGCGACGGTTCGCCCAAGCGATCGAGCCTCGAGATTGTGTTTTACAACACGAGCGTCCACGTCGAGGAGCTCGAGCAGGAGATTCAGAGACACGAGGTGGCCGAGTCGGAGGAAATTGGCCTCATCGAGAACGAGAGCGCTCACAGAGCATGCATTACGCTGGTGAACGCCTACGCACACGTGTGCTCGTTGCTGGCGACCAATGTTGACTTGTTTATCGAAAACGGCGACCCCCGGTATATCCGTACGCTTCTCATGCAGCTGTATAATAGCATCATGGAGCTGCGCGTCACGGTATCCCATCCAAACCCTGACGCCGGTTACAGGAGAGCCGCAAGCAGGGCCGCCATGGGCGGGACGATCCGGCCTCCGCCACATTCTCGTGAGAGCTCAGTCACTCCCACGGCGGAGCGGCCAGGGCACGGCTTCCGGTCTCGCAGTGGAAACTTTGTCCACAACCCCAGTAATCTGAGAGTTGCCACGGACGTTCCTCTCAATCCACTGCCGGTACCTTACATCAACGGCACTGGCAGAACTGCCACCATCACGCCTACCCCGCGGTCTGGAGAGTCGTGGACGTCTTCTACAAGCAGCAGAGGCGCCAATGGAGAGTTCAACGAGGAGGAGCGGTCGTTTGAGCGAATCTTCCTGTCTCTCCAGAGGTCAAGCGATCTGATCATGCGCACGCTGCCGGTGTTGAACACGCAATTTGGGGCCTGCCTTGACAATGCCATGGCCAACAACCGCCCCAAGGCCAAGCAGTGCTGGCGCATGCTGATCGGCAAGTGTAATGTTGCTATTCAACATACTGAGGCTCTCAAGAAGTGTCTCTCGGCGATCAAGCTCAAGGAGCCCGGCATCAAGACCTACAGTGCCCTATGGGCGCTCTGCAATAACTTTATGGGCGCCTGGTGGGAGGTAGGCCAGACGATTAAGGACATCACAAATACGGTGCCCGAGGTGCAATTACCATATGACCTTCGACAGCGGCTTCGACCCGTACACCAAAGCGTCAAAGAGACCCACAACCTCATCGTCTCGTCTCCCTGGGAGCACTCTTTCCGTGCACATGGTCACTCCACCTCCATGTCCAGTGCCTATGGTGGTGGTGGTGGTGGCGGCGGCGGCGGCTCGTCCTCGCAGGGCCAGTCTCAGCTGCCGATGACGCCACAGTCTGCCGCCCTGGGTCCTGCCGTACAGGCAACTGTGCCGTCTACTCCTCAGAGTGCATCCTTCGCAGGCGCTTTCAATGGTAATGTCTTTGAGAGGGCTGATGCCTTGATGGCATATGGTGGACGCTCCATGGGTCCACGCACGGGTACATTTTCGAGTCATAACTCCTCGAGCCTGAGCTCTATCAACAGCACATTCTCATCTGCCGATGAGTTCGTCACCCCCAACTCTACTATGAGCTCCAACATGTACAATGGCGGCCCTCTGCCGCTACGCCTCAATAACGGCAGCAAGGTCGGCTTTTGAAATTTTTTTTTCTTTCTCTTCTTCTGAATTCGGACTTGTACAATCATTGCATCAGATCATCAACAGACGGGGAGATCAAGGATATCGCATTGCATCATTTTTTATTTTTTTTTTTGAATTTGTTCCATGAGGAACCAAATATCGGCAGTCGTCTGCTGTCCATTTTAACCATGTCTCCACATCAGCATGTTAGGCGTTTGCCGGAGGCGAACGGGTTTTTTCAATGAAGTCTTTTTTCCGGGCGGTACACTACAAAAAGGAGACTTCAAGGGCTATTTCGCTTTACGGGATGGAGAACAAAAGAATTTGTAATGTTATAATGTGGTTTGCGTCTGCTTGTTAAAGAAAGTTCCGTGTCTGGCGTCAAAGTGAGACTACGAAGCCAGCTCTTCTTCTTAAGCCATTGTATAATTTCGCAGTATTGTGACAACAACAAGGAAAAAATTGGTCGGCTTGGGTATACAGAATGGCAATATGATGATTCTCACACACCAGAGGCTGAAGTGCAACCCAATCTGAAAGGTGGGGGGGGGGGCGGGGGGCAAATCAGCGTCCGTCTCACTAAGGGTGCATCCGCATTGCCTCGTGGAACACAGCCTGCAGGTAGGGCAGTTGGAGAGCAGAAGACGCATCAATCTCGGCATAGGACTTGTATCGATCACGAATTCTTTGTGAGCTTTCCGAGGACCGTAGGTGTTTTGAGCGTGTAAAATATGGCTGCGGACTGGCTGGTGCCGTCGTCTCTCCTCCAGCAATGCTACAAAGCAAGTTAAGGTCAGAAGTTTCATCCTAGATCTCGGAGAGCACTTACTCAAGTAGGTAAATGAATGTAAAACTACTTACATGAGTGCTGATTCGTGCTCAGTCAGTTCTTCTGGAGAGACTTCCCCGGTCTTCACTTTGTCTACGATGTTAGTCAGGAAGTCTTGACGAGGTGACTCCATCTCCAGGCGCCTGCCAAAAAGCTGTGAGTCTCCGAGGTTCATGTAGTGTGAGAGCACAGAGGGTACACCAATCCTGCACTTTACCGCTTCACTTTTGCGCGACTGTATCCTGAATGTTTCTCACGCCTCTATGTCAATATCTGACTATTCTCCTTTGTACACAAGCGAATGATGGGATTCGCGGTTGACGCACTAGGATGCAATCAGGAAATTGTCAGGTCGTAGTTGATACAATCTAAGGGCTATCATTACCAGTCCAGACACTTGAGTCCGCTATCGCGTAGCCAACGCCATATATCTCTCTTCTGGTTGAGTCTGATAGCTGAGCAAAACTTAGTGATCTGCCCACTACAGTGTCTGGATCTGGCATATAGCATCCGAGCGACAATGGTTACGAAGAAGTCAGAAATGTCTTAAACTAGACACAACCGAGAGACTGTGTCGCATAATGATCCTCAATTTGTCCATTGTTCACGAACGGGCCCGTGGAGCCTGAATACTGGCCAGGAAGGACTCTCATGTCTTACAGGCATCCACGCTCGTCTCCAAACCAAGACTCAGTGTGCGCATGATTGTCAAATTTGTCTCAGTAAGTACATGCTACACTGAGGCACGGCTCAAGATAGGTGATTACTGTAATAAGTATTCATCGCTCTTCGGCCACTTCCTGTGCTGTCACAGGATGGCATACTCGCCAGTCTGACATGTCGACTCTCCATGTTAGCACGCCGCCTCTGAGGATATATTTGCATACAAATATAAGGTGTACCAGCTGCTAACTTTTCGAAAGCTATGGCTCGTTAACGATCTTTCCCTGACCTTCTCATTTTTGTGAATTAAGTATCGCAAGGACTGATTAGGCTCATTCGACTGGCACCTTTGTCTGTCGTCCAACCGTGAAGGGATGCACTTAGATTGCTCTGAAGTGCATAAAATCACAGCAGATGTATTCGCACTCGCAAGGCTGGTCAACCTAGTGAGCACAAATTGTATCACATAGCTGTCTGTCCTGAGCACCGCACCACACGCAGGTAATTAATGTTGCCATCCTTATTATCTGTCAGTTCTCATAAATGCCACTTTTACGAGAGGGAATCTACCCATATGATTCCGTCACCAAGAAAATATCAAACTTCTCCAAAAGAACATTGAAGAAGCATGTGCAAACTCTCTACAACTTGCCAGATACCTGTAGAATGAGTAGGAGTTCTATATCTGGCGGGATTTAGTAATGATGTGAAATCAGTACTTGCGGACCACTGTTCAGAACTCAATAGTTGAGTGGACGTTCATGTATGCAGCCTGTTCATAAGACAGATAGTCCTAAGTCTTGATTACGCAGAAAGATGGGACAATGTTTCTGATCGTAGGTGAAATGCAACAAGACGTGTTCCACGCTCTTCTCGGCCACATGGTCTAGGCAGATGAATGAGCAGAGTTGGATGTTCAGTAGGGTATAAACTAGATAAATAGTAACGTTTCGATGCCTCGCCGTCCATGTCTCGCCAGCATCTTTGACAACTTCCTCCCTATGGGGTCCTGTGCTGCTTGCGCGTCCCGCTTGTGGTCAGGGCTTCACGACTGTCGTTGGATCTGACGTTCAAAATCCTTCATAGACACCGTGCGATCGTCCAAGCGCGTTCGTGAGCCCATATGAGGCCCGCCTCGTCTGTTAGGAGACTGAGCAGAAGGGGACAGCCAGCGTTGATCCATCTTATTCCTTTCTTGATCATCCCATGCAGGCACGATTTGGTTTGCTTCGTGGCTTAAGATACTGGCCAGTCCATCGGCCAGCTTCTCGCGCAAGACATCGTTAGAAAACGACTTATCCTTGAGGTTGTTGAACGCAGCCTCTAGCATGAGATCCAGAGTCTGTCGGAAAAAGGCAATCTCGCTGGCGGCATTCCGTGCATTATGCCTTGTCAAGGCGCCGTCGCTGCCTGTCGTCACTTTGACATAGAACCGCAGCCAGCCATCCAGCTCGAGCATCGGTCCAGACTGGGAAAGCTGGCCAGCCAGGAGTAGTGGCATCAAAGGCGTCCCCTTTGTCGTATCCCGAAGGTTCATGCGGCCACCATCGGCGGAAAGTGACAGGCTTGTGAACGTCAATATGTGATGCCTTGGGCCAAGGGTACGTACATCGTTGACTGAGGATTGGTGTATGAAAGTGTGTTTCTCGCCGCATGTTCGGTACATGGAGCCTCGATTCATAGCGATGTTCGGATGCATTCCGGCGAACAGCAGAGCTTTTATGACTTCTTCAGAGTCTGAATTCTCGTTCAAAAAATCTCCGCCATAGCGGAGACCCGTCTTCTCAAAGCCCCTGCTGGGCTGGATCAGCCCAGACTGCTGTAATATCTCCTCGATCTGCCTGGCGGTCGATGCGATACTATTGAATGCGCCTCGGTGTATGAAATACTTGTTGAAAAAGTTGTAGGTCGCTGAGGGGGAGTTGAGACTTGAAATTTCGCGAGCTTTGCTAAAGGCGTTCAGAAGCATAATGTGATCGCTTTGGGACGTCCTCGAAAAAGCGCTCTTCACTGCATCAACAGTTCTTCTCTTCTCCACAGGGCTAGCAAAGAGTGGGCGCTCATGCGCTGCTGCGCCAAGTATGATCATGGGATCCAAGCATCTGAAAATGAGGCCGAGCACGATCATCTTCCCGAGGCTTGGATGTACTGGCAAGGACGCCAGAAGGCGGCCTAACGGCGTCAGATTTTCCTCTTCAGTAATCGCGCCTAGCATCGTGAGATCGCGCATGGCGGTATCGACTGCAACGGCGGAAGGCGGCTCGAGAGCCCCAGCAAGGAAGTCCCGTACGGGCATTTTGAAAGCCTGTGACTTGACATCGAGACATATTTCTTGTAAGTCTGAGCGCAGCAGTTCTGGCAGGCCAATGGCCCTCATCGACTCGCGCCGCGACCTGGTGAACAAGGCGTAGTAGTTTCCATTTTGGACACGCCCAGCTCTTCCTGCTCGCTGCTTGGCGTTGGACTTGCTGACCCACGTGCACTGCAGCGCGGTAATGCGCCGCATCTGGTCGTATCGTTTCTCCCGGCTCTTTCCAGTGTCCACGACGTATTGCACATCCGGAATCGTCACCGATGTCTCGGCGATATTGGTGCTGAGGATGATTTTCCTGCATCCATCTGGCAATGGATCAAAAACAGTCTTCTGGCTATCCGGGATAGAAGAGTGTAGCATGAAGACCTGGAATTGCTGATCGTCATTGAAGTTGACGCCTAGAGGCTTGTCGACTCGCAGCATTTGGTCCAACTTGACTATCTCGTCCAATCCAGGAAGGAACACGAGAATCGCGCCATTCTCCGTTGTCTTGGCGATGTGAGCAATCGTCGTTGCAGCGAGACCCAAGGGCACAAGCGCATCGTCCTTGTTGTCTACCAGCGCATCGGTGTCCCCAACGGTGCTGGCTTGTTTCTTCCAGTCAATGACGAATTCCTGTGTGCTTGAATCTGCGTCCACCGGACGCTCGTTCATTCCCGTTTGCTCTGCCTGCAGATATTGATCTGTAGCTTTATCCTGAGCGAGAAGGCACAGCTCCCTCTTGTCGTACTCGTCTTTCAGCTCCTGGAGGATGTTCTCCAGGTAGCGTTCTGTCACTGGAAATGTCCTTCCCGGTACACTCAAGGTTGGACAATTTGTTGGCTGATCTAAGGGCAGGCTGTCTTTGAAGTATGCCGCAAAGAGCTCAGCATCTATCGTCGCACTCATCAGGACAACATGGGGCAGCTTTTTGCCTTGTGCAGCACGAGCAGCCATGGTTTTCTTGAGCATGATGAGGAGGAAGTCGATGATGATATCCCTCTCGTGGACTTCATCGATGACCAGGTGCGAGACGTTGTCGTAGACCTCATCCGGCGAATGCTGGAGCTGTTGTAACAAGATGCCAGTTGTACAGTAGACGATGCTGCCACCTGGCTTTGGCAGCTTTGCATCGAACCGCACTTGGTAGCCGACGGTGTCTTGTAGCTTCTCGGCGCGCTCATCTGCTACTCTCTTGGCCACCGACGTGGCTGCAATGCGGCGAGGCTGTGTGCAAACGATATTGCAGGAAGCACCTGTCCCGTTCTCGATGGCCTGGTCGAGCAGGATCTGGGGCACCTGCGTTGTCTTTCCACTGCCAGTGGCACCGATGATGACACAGTACATGTTGTTCTGCACGATCTCTCGCACTTGAGGCGCGTAATGGGTCATGGGCAATTCGGACCGAACATGGCGTAGCTGTTCTAAGTCGGCGCGCGTCCGGTACTGATCGAGTTTTGCTTGCAGCTGAGCCGACTTCTCAGCAAGCTGGGATTCCGGGAGAGTATATCTTCGTCCCGAGTGTCGAGAAGTCTCGTCACCGAGCGTGTGAGCGGCCGCACGCTGCTTCGTTTGATATCGACTCGCGAGATTGTTTAGCGCAGCCATTTTGCGCAGACTCTGCACGCTGATCAAGAGGTCGGCGGGCGGCAGTTTGCCAAGATACTTGCCGTTACCAACTTGCAATGCCTTGCTGAACTGTCTTAAGAGCTCTGGCTTCTCCTGGGCGACACAAAGTGCGGCAACAAGATAGGCTACGCTTTCAGCGGCCTTCTTGCCCCCGGACTTGATCACCATCTTTGGGCCAAAAGCGGCCCCGTTACACGTCGAAACGGCGCCAAAACTATCTCCTCGTTCTCTCGTTGTTTCTACCATGACTCGGCCCGCCTCTTCGCCAACGTCACGGCAGAACTCAAAGAATTGTGGAGCGTTGTTAACATTGAGCGTTGTTGAGTCATTAACGACGAGTGAGTCTGTACCCTGTCTCAAGTGGTACGTCTCGGCCTGTTTTTTGAATTCTCGAGCCGCAGCAGCCTCGGCATGGCCCAGAGATCCGACGGCGCTGACAGTCACCTTGATGTCATGCTCAGGCATCTCGATGTTGACGATGTAGCAACGACGATGGGATTTTGATGAAAGCTTCGGGATGCAGCCATAACGGGCTGCATAGTTGAAAACATCCAGGATACCACTCTTTTCGTTTTTGACCTCCTTATCGGTGAGTTTGGCTGGCGCCCAAAACAACGTGAGCAGCCCAGCATCATGCAGCTTTGCCAGAGCATGCAGACTCGCGGCGTTGGTGGCTTCTCCCAGGGTAAGCCCGTCGCCGGGTGCGATCAGCTCCTCCCGCTCGGGAAGTTGAACGGTAACGGTTGTGCGGATGAATTTCCTGAGGCTCTCCGGATGCGCGGTGTGCGTGGTTGTTTTAGCCAACGTCCCCTGTAATAGAGGAAGCAGCGATTCCAAAGTGCCCCAAGCATTTCTCAGCGCGTGCGCGGGCATTTGAGGGTACTCTTTGCGTGTTGGTATCCGCAGGTTCCGATGTAGCCTGCTCTCGCCATATTCAAGCTCGACTGGCTCTTCGCGCCGACGGCCATTGGTGGTATTCCTCGTTGCTTTCTTCTTCCTGTCTGGGGTGTTTCTGCCTTTCACGACGTACTGATCATTCTTGGGCTTCCCGTGAGCCCTGCCTTGAGCAGCCGCCGGACGCGAAGCCTCGACGTCCTTCTTGCCATGCTGTCCTCGTCCAGACGGCTTTACCCTGGACAGTTGTGCCGGCTGCTTCTGGCGCGCGTTGTGGAGTGTAGCCAAGGAGATAAGGGATGGGGTCGCTCGTCTGAAAGTAAGATATCGAAGTCGGCAGAGGGCAGTGTCGGGTCTGTACGACGTCGCCAACGTTCGATTTGCCTGTGATTGTTAGCACTCGGGTTTTGCGAGAAGTAGGGGCTGAGGTGTAGAAACTCACAAGTAGCCACCTCATTCCTGCATTGTCATCGAATATAACAGTGTCCTTCAGACTCTGCAATACTCAGGCGGGGTGCGTTGGTGGGTGAGTGGGTGGTTGTTGGAAGTGAATAAGAGAGCAAAAAGTCAACTTTTTTTTTCTCCCCCGGTTCCTTTTTCTCTTGGTCCCCTGCAGGGCAAAAATGCGCCATAACGTACCATAGGATGTACTACGGCACGTACGGCTACAGCATGTGGGTCTTCCGGAGTGCAGCCATTGCGGCTGCAGGGATCTAGGGTCTTCATCAATTCTCGATATACTAGAGTACAGTATTGTATTACAGCACTGCTATTGGCCCCATGCAAGGAAGGGTACGTCCTTGGGCCCCACAGCGACAATCTATCGGTAATGCATATAGGCAGCGGCCTGACCCAGCTTTCCGTGAGGAAGAGACAGGTGTGATCACACGCGTCTAGAGACTTTTCCTCTGTCAAAAGTTTCTGTACGCTGCTGCAACGCTCTCGTCGAGACTCGACAAGTGGTGACTCCAGCTCGCACCTCGACCTCGATCCACCTAGAGGGCCGTTGAGACTCGCCGTGCAGAATAGCTGTAGCCACGAGAAGAATTGCCAACTCAATATGTCACAGAATACCATATATGTACGTGACCGGGTGCTTCACGATACAAAAGTCGGCTTCGAAGGCTGGATGATGGCAGCAGCCCCAGAGCTGCAGACGAGAACCAGGGTTTTCCGTGATGAGCCCAAGTATGGAAGGCTGAGAGTGCCTGCTGCTTCGCGACATCCGGTCAACCACTAACATATTGGTTTGACGCCTAGGCGGACAAGGAAGGGGTAAAATAACGTAGGAATGCGGCCACTGCTTGAAACTTATGAGCTTCTTCGGATCCTTTTCCGTGCCGATCTATGTCCAGACGTCAAGCCCTGATAGTGTTAGCCCATCGTGCCCAAGAGTTAATATGCTGTGTCCATCCCCCTTCTATCTGTCTTGTTGATTGTGCCTGCTCACAAGGGTGTGTGACTTCGGCTACAATGCTACCGAGATACTTTTCATCTTGCAACATAAGTCCCGCCTCTCTCGGAGACCCTCAAACTTCGGCTATCATCGCGACAAGCATCTCGCTTCTCTGTGTGGCATCCGTTGCCATTGCCATCCAGATCTTTGTACGGGCTTCTGTGTTGAAGAACATCGGGTTAGGACGATGGTCGGCAGTTTCATTTTCCAGAGTCTTTCAGCTGATATGGACTGGTATGATTCCAGCACTGGCCATATTTACCTATCTTCTTGCCACGATGCTGCTTGGACTTGTCTTGCAATGTTCCCTGTCCAATTTTACGCTGAAATCCAAGTATTACTACTGGCCTTATGAGCAGTGGCTAAGTACATATGGCCTTGGGCAGAACCCGCCCAATGTATCCGGGCTGGGCTTTGTCACCTACAACAAAGTCGGCCTCGTTGTTTCTTACCTTCCAAAGCCCGACTACGTGCTCACATTACGCCGTTACACCATGCTCGCGAGCGTGACCTATGTCTGGGGATTCGTAGTAGTCAAGTTCTTTTTTGTTGCTCTGTACCACAGAATCTTCATTCACAAGCACTTCAGGCATATCAAGAAGACCATATGTTCCCTACTGATGGCACAGTGCATCTAAGAGAGCCTCGTCCTTGTTTTCCAGTGTCAGCCTATCTTGAATGCCTAGGCATACAAAGCCGCAGGATACTATGTGAATCTCAAGAACTCTTCCTATGCATCGACAATCCTGCTACTACATTTCATCACAAACATCGCAAATCTGAGAAAGAGTCTTCTACCTCGGTATCATAATGTTCAGCAACCTCGTGCTGTTCTTGCAACCGCTCTGCCCGATCTGCAATCTGAAATCACCTTGCACCGAGAAGACCATGCTGAGTATTATGCTGTCATTGGGGCTCTTGATTGCCCATAGCTGTGGCTTCAGGCGAGTATTTGTTGACTCCAAGTAGCACCTGTGTAATCTCCATAGTATGAAAGTGATACATACTTAGTAGCTAGTGATTTTTGCGGAATCGACGATTGAGTACGATCTACGACACTGTTCTTCAGAATATGTTGATCTGAGATAATATGCTATTCAGCGATGCCTTCAGGTCTTCGCTTTCCCCTATGGCCCGCGCTAACAAGAACGACGGACAGATCTCATACTAGATTCAACTATCTAGTCGGAACTGGAGACCATCTCTCTCATCGTGTGGTCTTGTATTCCGTGCCTTCGCAGTAATGCGAAGCACTGTTCTGGGCTAAAGCAGACCCTCGGCCATCAGGAAATCTCTCGAATTCCACCACTGGAGATCGCAGAAATTAGCCACACATGAATCACTCCCAACAAGCTGTCGAGTCCTGCTTCCATCCCAGCGCCGAACACTACGAAAACAGCACCACGCACGCGGAGAAGAGCGTCCTGTTGGAGCGAGCAAGCTGGGTTAAGCGATCCGCGGAGCTCGCGAAGTCATTTATCATCTTTATCGGCTGCTTAGACCTCAGGCTCTCAAGCCGCGGTGTGGCTTTAGGACGGACGGCCTCTCTGGTTGACTACTTCCCTCGCCAACTGCCGAGGGAGCCACACCAGGGAGTCAACAAAGCCCGAGCGGACAGCTCCCTTAGGCGTGGTCTAGCTGGACAGACATGGGATACAACTCAGCCCACTTCGTCGAAACCTGTCTCGAGAAGGCCATCACAAGACGTAGCGAGCCAGCCGTCACCCGGGGAGTGCCAAGATGATGTTTCCGAGGCAAACTTGGTGGATGCACCGGGACATCACCCTCTTCATATCAATATTTTGCGGGAGGAGCATCTTCCGGTAGCACTGCCTCTAACTGGAATAGAGCCGTTGGCGCACAGCAAGGGAATAACGCAGCACCGATTGCTCGACAAACAGGGTCGAGGAATAGGTAGACCGCCTCCAGAACGAATTGATTATGCGCTTGGTAATCACGGCGTTGGGGACCGGAATAGACTGAGATAAGGCACTCATTCCAAGAGCCCATTGGCTATGAGAGAAGGCATATAATCATCTTCATTCACAGAAAGTGAAAGACTGTCCTCTGGCTGATAATAGAGAGCTTATTTTCACCAATGAGGAGGACTCGGGTATGACATCAAGTTGTATAGGTGAACCACAGAACAAGAGGACCAGGGCATTCTTTTGTTTGAACATAGGGGAAGTTGATATGGGAAGGAAAAAGAAAGGTCTCTGTCTTCAAGAAGGGCATTTTTCTGGATAGTTTTTCCTTCTTCTTTTGCAGGGTTGTCCAGCAATAGACTGGCTTTGTCCTTTAGCCGCAGACCAGACCTCAAGTGCAGTTGAGGAACATCACGTGCCTGGCCGCTGGTTTTTGTCACGCTAGGCCCAGAATACCTTAGCGCATCTTTTTGAACCCCCACAAGCAAGCTCATCCAAAATTCAAACCTGCAACATCCTCTTTTTTCCTCCTTCCGCATCAAACGAACGAGCCGACAACCAACCTCGACCATCTCAACGATTGCCTCTGGTGACCACAGACCTCATCAGGTATGTACGAGCACAAGAAACGGATCGAAACATTTTCCTTTTTCTCATCTCTCCCCTCCAATTTTCCATCTTCACACGACTTCGCGTCGAGCCTTTTCTTTTTTTCCTTTCCTAGGTGCCGGTGGCACCTCTCGATCACAATCAGCCGTTTGATTGATCAATCAACACGCTCCGTCGATTTGTGACCTTGACAGCTAACGTCTTATCCTGTTCTATCAAACAGAAACCGCAATCATGGGTATCTCTCGCGACTCTCGTCACAAGCGCTCCGCCTCTGGCGCCAAGCGTGCCTACTACCGTACGTCGAGCCCGATGGAATAATAAAAAATCGAAAGCCCGTATCGCTTTCGGAGTGCTCTGTTTTCCCTCTTCCTCGTGTTTACCTTGCCGCCCTTTCCCCCGGCGGCAGGGTCACGAGGAAGGAGGATTCACCCTCCGGAACATACGTTCTGACCTCCGTCAATAGGGAAGAAGCGCGCTTTCGAGGCCGGCCGCCAGCCGGCGCAGACCCGTATCGGTGCCAAGCGCATCCACACCGTCCGCACCCGCGGCGGTAACCACAAATACCGTGCCCTGCGTCTCGACAGCGGTAACTTCGCCTGGGCCTCCGAGGGCGCCACCCGCAAGACCCGTGTCATCGGCGTGGTTTACCACCCTTCCAACAACGAGCTCGTCCGCACCAACACCCTGACCAAGTCCGCCGTCATCCAGATCGACGCCGCCCCCTTCCGCCAGTGGTACGAGGCCCACTACGGCCAGCCCCTCGGCCGCAGACGCCAGCAGAAGGCCGCCGGTGGCAAGGACGCCGCTGAGGACGTCAAGAAGAGCAAGAGCGTCGAGAAGAAGCAGGCCGAGCGCTTCGAGAAGCACGGCAAGGTCGACCCCGCCCTCGAGAAGCAGTTCGAGGCCGGTCGTCTGTTCGCCGTTGTCGCCTCGCGCCCCGGCCAGAGCGGTCGCTGCGATGGCTACATCCTCGAGGGTGAGGAGCTCGCTTTCTACCAGCGCAAGCTCCACAAGTAGGCTTGTGGCTGCTGCTGCTGTGGTGGTAGTGGTGATGATGATGCTGTAGGCTGGCTTGAGACCTTGGGGTGGAAATGTGATACTCCTAGGAGGAAACAAGCGGGATGGAGGGATAGCCTAACACGGACAAGGGTGTGGAGTCGTCACTTCCGGGACATCCTTCCACTCTCTAAACCTCATCATCCAACACAAGAAACAAAACAATCGGACTCGGTGTTCAACGGATCAATCTTTCGGGCTTCCCTTCACATGATTTCGGTGGCTATTGGGCTGTACCACGGTTCAGCAGTGAGATGCTTTTCCTCCCCTTTTTACACAAAACGTTCATCGCATTTCGGGGACAAGACAGGGAAAGGATCAAATGGGAAATCAATGGAACAAAAAGAAAATGCCTTTAAAAATGAACATCATGTCCGTCCTTAAGAAATTGTCTGTGTATCTGCGCACTACTCCTGCTTGATATGTGCGGGAACACCCCAACGATTGCACAATCGGCAATTGTGATGACTTTGTATTATCCTGCAGCACGTTTGTGGCCTGCCTTAGCGCCGCGGCTCCTAATGCAAATTTCTAGCCCCCCCCCCCCCCCCTTCCAAACCCGCCATACGCTGCCCGTTTGTTCGTGTAGAAGCCCTATCCCGTCCTAACCACCTCAACCTCTCGAATCTTTACCATCGACTCAGCAGAGTACTCCAAGAGGAAAAGTAAACAGACCTAACTAGTCACACAATTTAAACAGTCAGAAGTTTTGTTAATGTTTTATAATCAAAACCAGTGTCATTTTGATACATGGTAATCAATTACTTTTATCTCCTGTGGATCCACAGGCACCCAAGTCTAAAGCCACCTCCCCCTCCCCTCACTCAATTGCCCTCCTACTTGCCTGCCTGCTATGACAAACAATAATAATGATAATCTGAAACCCCCTATCAGTACTATTTGGGTGAGATACGCCGGTGATAAAACAGTAATCAATTTTCTTGTCTTGTGCACGCTGTCCGTTGTTATGTATCATGTTTGAAAAGTCGCAAGACGGGAGGGAGGTGGGCAAAGCACACTGCAGCGGTTTGCAGCTTAAGCTTCTCGGGAAGGATTTGGGCTGTGCGTGTGTCTCTCTTTCTCTATGCAAACGTCCGCTTGAGTTCGTTCCACTTCCTCTGAAGGGTTTCGTGTTGAGAATTTATCTAAAGTTCCCGTTAGCCATCTTGTATGCTTGAGGAGTGATTTGTGAGAGAGCGAAAATGCTTACCTCTGCATACTGCATCTTCGTCTGCACAAGCTGCTCCTCCAGTTCTGCCATCTCTTTCTCGACCTTCTCGTTCTCCTCGTGCACGCGCTGGTTGCGCTCGATGAGCGCATCCCGCTCAAGCTTCCACTGGTCCTCAATCTCGATGGGCTGCTTCTCGATGACGATCTTGAGCTCCCGCACCTGGCCCGTGAGAGACTCGTTCTGGTCTTTCAGCTCTTCATTCTCCACCTTTGTGTGTACCAGCTCCGTCGCCAGGTCCGCCTGCTCCCGGTCAACAGCCTGCAGCCGCTCCTCCAGCTTGCGGATTTTGGCCGCGTAGCTGGTGTTCTGCGACCGCAGTGTCTCGAGCTCCTGCTGCCGCTCCTTCTCCTCACGGGTCTTCTCTTCCCATTCGAGCCGCCATGCCTGAAGGATGTCGGGAGTGAGCTTGGCCTCGCATGCGTCATGGACGAGCTGGTCGGCTCGGTACACTTCTTTGTCCATGCTGGATGTTGAGCTGCCAAAGAAACCGTTTTCCAGAATGCTGTTTGCGGTTGGTGCCGACTCGATGTACACGTCAAACAAGCGGTCTCGAAGATATGTGGTGAGCTGCGCCATGTCTGTCATGCCTAGTAGAGTCTCGGTGTTCTTTTGCATCAAGACGATGCCGAACTTGAGGATGGCCGACAGCCCTTCGGACAAGATAAGGTCGTAGATACGGAGGACAAGTTGGAGGGGGAAGCGGTAAGAGAACAAGGTCAGGAACCACTGGGTAGCGTACAGATGAGGCGAGATGCCTCGTCGCCTCAAGTGACAGTACAAGGCAGGCTCAGTATCCTCCAGCAATCTCTCAAACTGATACAGATGCATGTGCAGGCCAGGCATGTCCTGGATGAACAGGTCACGGAGGTGGTAGTTGTTCATCAGCTTGACAAGAAGGCAAAAAGCTTCCTCCTCAGACATCTGCGTTGATCATTAGTCTCTACTTCCTCCTTCCAGGTTCTCATGGACAGAAGAAAGAAAAGATAGAAGAGGGAGAGGGGGGGGGGGAGGGTTTCCTCTCACATTGAACAAGAGGGGCATAATCAAAAAATTCATGCCCTGGGCGTAACCAACCTCCTCGTCAAAGAGGGCATACGCCTTGCAGACGCCGAAGAGACCCTCCTGCAGGCCCTGTGCGGCAGCAAACTTGGAATATGCTGTCCGCTGTCCAAGGTCCCTCCGGATTGTTTTCTCGAGCCTCTGTATCATTGCCACATCTTCCTTCTTTTTCTTCTTCTCGGCAGCCTCGTCCTTCGGGGTGTCTTTTGGAGGAGGAGAGGGTGGCTGGGACCCCACGCCCTCCGAATGCACGGACGATGCCGATGACCCAGGGGCCGGAGTGCTGCCATTGCTACCAGCGGGCGAGCCGTTGCTCTGTCGGTCCTTCTCCTTGTCTGTGCCTCTAGCAACCAAGTCTCGGTAGACAGCCTCCAGCTCTTCGCTCTGGCTCTGGGCTAGGACCTGCCATATCACACCACGAATTGCGCTCGGAATCCCTGCTGCCGTGGCCTTGCGCAGCTCCTCTGCGCTCGTCTTGGCCACGGCTGCGGGCCCTTCGTACACGACAGACTGCCATAAGTCCCAGTCTACGGGTTCATCTGACAGCGTCGAAGGGCCGGCGGCCGCTCCTGAAGCCGTTCCGGGCGCCAGGGTAGCGTGAGCCGGCCGTGGTGAGGGCGGTGGCTGGACAGCACCAGCTTCTTTTTCCTCTGTCGGTGAACCGAGTGCCCCGTTCGGCCCCTTGTTGACCAGATTCGCGATGCCGCTCGCATCACCGTCCTCAGGAAGGTTTGTGATGCCCGCCTCCTCCCTCATGCGCATTGCCTTGAAGCGGTCCTTCAGGCTGTGCCGCACATTCCTGGCTCCGCCCTCCTCGTCCAGCTTGCCGAGCAACATCTCTGGGTTGCTCGTCAGTGTGGTTGTCGAGCTGGCGGTGTTCCTCCTAGCCGTGACCGGCGGCGACACGTTGGTCAGGTCCTTGGACGAGCTCCTGGACAGCCAGGAAAAAGCACCAGCGAGTTTCCGCGAGGGTGGGGGTGCGGCAGCTGCTGTGGCGGCTGGGGTGCTGTTGGCCGGCAGTGGTGCCCCTGGCGTCGTAGGTGCTGCTGCTGCTGCAGCTGCAGGGGCAGCAGTGGGTGGCGTGTCGAGATTCTTGGTGGAAGAGCCCTGAGCGCCGGGAGACCAGGGCATAGCTGGAAGGGAATTGGTTATACTGCCGAGGGAGATGGTTTTCTTGGGAGGCTCAGGTTCAGCGTCGCTAGAGCCCACGTTATTGACCTTCTCTACTTCTGCAGTGTGACCTGTCAGCCAAACTAGCTTTTTGGAGAGGCGTTGCCCGGTGTTCGGACCTTTTTTCTCCCCATCGAGGTCCTCGTCGTCGAGGCTGACGTTGTCCAGCTGTCCGCTAGACTGGACGGACAACCTCTGCTGCGCCAGAGTCACCTCGTCGCTGTCCCCTATCGATGTTGTCTCGGCCTCTTCAAACTCGTCCTTGTCCTGAACCTCGGCCTCGTGCACGGAACTTGGCTTCTGCTCGTGATGATTGAGCCCAGACTCGGATTCAGTTGAGCTAGGGGGTTTTTTATGCTCGCCCTCGGGCTCTGCGTGCCCTTCCTCTTTTATCTCGTCGTCGGCAGCCGGGGTTTTGGAGTGAGATGTACGCCGTTGCGTCAGGGATCGCACGGAGGAGGACTCCGGGGCAGCATCGCGGGCATCTTCGAAGTTGTCCTGTACAAAATGACAAGCTACGTTAGCGCCAGGACCAGACTAATCTCTCTCTCTCTCCCCTTCTCTCTTTCTGCATAAGGGAAGTGGCGTGATGTCTTGCGTGTTGTGTAGCCTTGTCGTGTAACGTGTAGGACGCGCTGGCGTGTGTGTACATGTAGACTGGTGCAGGCTAGGGTATCCGCTGTCATGATGCTGATGACGGGCGATGGGTGGTGAAAGAGACCACGCTGCTGTATGGACACATGTATCCGATAGCTGCATGGGGGAAGGAGCTGTGAGGAGGCTTGAGGGCATACCGTGTCCTTGTCCGAATCCGCAAGGGACGCAGTCTCCGAGTCTTTTCTATCCAGACGAGGAGGGGAGACTGGAGCCATGACGGCTGTCTCTCCATGTTCCGACATATTGGGGGATTATGGTCTGCTATAGGTATGATCTCGAGTTGTCTTGGTTGAACAGAGCGTAGTCGTGTTTTGGAGGGAATCGAGGCGGTCGCCAGGTGGAACAAAAGGGTGGGAGAGAGGGCGGGGAGGGGGGTCGAGGCGGATCAAGGCAAATAGCTGGTGACAGCTAACATGCAGGTTTAGGCCATATGTGAGTTGCGAGTGTAGGTGGATCGAGGGAAGCAGGTCGGGACATGTAGCAACCTCGAGAAGGTGACGAGACGCGAGCCAATGCGAAGGTCTGGCGTTGATTCACACCAAGCGATTGATTGATTGTCTTTGTCTGCGCCTGCACGACAACAATGAGGAGAGGTGGTAACACGGCCCGGTGGGATGTGTGTGCGAGCGAAGACGTAGATTCTGCAAGAGCGGTCCGACGCAGCCAGGCGGTGTCGTGGTCGAAGTTCTGTGTTCGGGACAGGGGAGTAGTTGTCAGTTGTGGATACCTCTATTCCTTGAGGCCTGTTCGTCCTAAGTCGTGTGAAATAAGCCCAGTGGTTGGTGGAGTATCTGAAATCTGCCTCTTTTTCTTCTTCTTTCTTTCTTCGTTCTTCGCTTGGGAAGAAGGGAGGAAAAGGTCGTCAAGAGAGAGAGGAATACACGGTGCCAAGACGACAGCTAATTCTGAGTCCCAAAAGAGATCCAAAAAAGATTGTGTTTTCGATGTGACGTGATGTGTGTGATATGATGACTACAAGGCCAAGTCGTCTGAAAATAGTTGAGGTCGAAACGTGCAGCTGCTGACGGGAGGATTCGAATTCAAGCAGGCCAGGTCGGAATAGCGCACACCTTCTGACTACTAGGTTCTACTTACTATGCTACGGAGGGGAGGAGAGAAGGGGGGGGGATACTTTGTACATTCAAGTACACACCCGCACCCGTACATCCCTCGTACCTTCTAGGGCAGGTGAGTGAGTACATAGAGTAAGTAGTACGAGGTCACCCAGCTTGCGTGGACACGGCATGTCGTCTTCAACCCCCCACCCGATACCCCTCCCATTCTAACCCGACCTCTTATTATTAGCGCTGGACCCCTTTCTTTCCTAACCTTAACAACAGCGACGACGACGACGACGACGAACCGCCACCAGCAACCACTACAGAGTAACTGCCACCTTGTACAAATATACCACAGCACAACTATAGTACTGTTTTCTCTCTTAGCGCCGCCCTCCGTTACGCTCGAGGTGGGGCTACTCCGTACTGAAGCCCATCGTCTAGTGCGGCAATCCCGGTCCCGCAATCGCCTTAGCATTAAACGGTCGGTGTTGTTTGTCTTCAATGCTTGGCTCTGCCCTGTGTTGCTCCATAGTGCTGTGCTGTCCATACCATTCTCATGTTCAGGCCCCCTGAGATTCCATCTCGTACAGCACGCGCAGAGACATCAATCATACCACAAGAACGGCATTACTAGATTTTTTTTTCTCCTCGTTCGTAATAAGATCCCAAATCCCCATATTACAAGTATAGTAACACTGGCCCCCAATATACATACACAGGTGGAAGTCCAGAAGTAAACGTCATGTCATCTTACAGATCTGTACTTGCTTTAAATTCATTCACACACACACACACACTCTCTCTCTCTCTCTCTCTCTCTCTCTCTGTGAAACGAAACCAAGGCGCGGGGCCCGCCACTTTGGCCCAAGGATTTTCCGGGAGACGCCACCCTGCGCATTAACGAAGAGCTGGCTTGTAGGCTTGCGTGCCTTAGCTTACCATGCACAGTAACACACTATCTGGAGCCTTGCAGTAGCTCACTTGTCTGTCTGTCTAGGCATATTGAGCACAAGTCATATAAACATTGATGGGTCTCTGCACCCGGTCCCTTGGGACCCAATTTCACGCCCGCCCCAGCCATGTGGCATTAGCCTACTTGACTTTTCACTAATGTAAGACGAACTCGTCATATCGATCGAGAGGAGCCAGGCCATGCTGAAAAGACCTGTTGATCTTGGAGCGTTCTGAATCTTGATTGCCCTGCTTTGTCGCACACAGCTCATTAAAAATGGTCGTGCTGACATTTGACACGATGACTCCTGTTGTTCCAAACATAGTCGAGCTTCCGTCCACCATCATCAGCCAGCACGGCAATTACCTTGCATCTTACATCAAGCAACGAAACGCAACAAACTTTTTAATAGCATCTCTATAATCGTGCCTGACTGGTCTGCCGACGGCGAGCAGCGAAAGAAGAAAGAAAAACAAAAAAAGGTATTCTACTTCCGCGGCCTGCACTCCGCTTCCATATCATCCCTCCCTCTCGCTTTGCCGCCGCCACCGCCGCCACAATCGCCAATATGAAGGTGGGCTGCAGAGACAATCATCTCAATCCCCTCAGGCAATTAGAGAGAAAAGAATCCATACCTCCCGTCTGTCCTTGCTTCTCGTGAAGATGCGCACCATAAAGAGCTCAAGTAGCTGCCATAACAAACAGGAACGACATATAATCAGACCAGCCATGACAATCAACGCGGTTGGGGTGAGCACTTCTTGCTGACCCATGCTGTTCCATAGTCCCCAGAACACCGGTTTCCCAATAAGACAACCCGTTTTGCTTTATCGATGAACGATAACAATGCATGCCAGAAGTGAACAGACGCCGCCGTTCCGATGTCCTTCCTTACGCGAAACCAAAGTAGTCACTACCAGCGGTGATGGCTTTGAGCAGCTGGGTGCGAAGAGCATCATAGCTCTCATACTCCGGGAGATCGAGCTCTGGGAAACGAAAGGGTTAGCATATTGTTCGCACCAGAGGGTCCCATAGGTCGTCAGGCGGTCAACTTACGATTGAAGCATGTATGAGAGCTTGGCAGGCGGTCTTTGTTGCCGTAGTCACGGTGAATGTTGAAGCGTTGAATACCGTTCATGCCCTCAAGCTCTTTGAAGCCATTAAGAGGCACCTTGGAAGTTCCCGTGACAAACTGTAGCAGCTTGGCACGCTCTTCCTTATCAAACGCGCGCACGGCCCGCCAGAACCACTGGATCTGTTGAGAAGCGGCCGTGTAATTTGTATACTCCGTGTTGCTCTTCCAATCGTCCACGTCGATGTCTGGCAGACCGGAAATCAAGAGCTCCAACTCCTGTTCGTTAAAGATGGAGATGAGGTCCGCGGGGATGATGCCGTGGAAGCCCTTGAGGAAGTAGTCCATTTGCTCCTTGACCGACGACAGGAGCTTGTGCTCCACGATGAGGCGCACATATTCATGCTTATTCTCGTTGGTCACATCGATGTTGCGGCCGTTCTCAATCAGGTCGACAGTGACCTTTGCTCCGAATTCGTCCTCCTCGACAGAGAAAGTCTCATACACGGTGCCCGTGATGTCGTTCTCTAGCATCCAGGAGTGATTCCGGTAAAAGTCAGGATCGAACGACTCCATGTCTTTGACGGACACCTGTTTCCCGAGAATGCGCTTGTACACAGCACGACTGAAGTAGCAATCCAGAAGGCGCCCTTCGTAGACAGCTTTGCCAATGATCCTCCCGATGAACTTGAAGAAGTTCAAGTGTTCATCGTTGATAGAGCTGCTCTTGTTCGGGTGGAAAGTGGTGCGGTCCGAGGATACAGGAGTGAAGAGCACGTAGTTGGGATCGAACATGGCCCGTGTCAGAACCTGGAACCACTCCCGGGTCACACCACCTGCGTCGACACCTTCTTCGCCGTGGAAGCGCACGTTAAGCTTGCCATACTTCACCTCGTCGTCGGACTTAAACGCGAGGTTTCTATACGAGTCATGAAACACATTATCGCGCCTGACTCCAACACTCAGAGACGGATGGGAAGGGCGAGAGTGCCCATTATTCTTAGCATGAACCGTACGGGTGAAGTAGCTGCGCTTGTTGTCGAATTCAAGCACTTTGGGATTCTTCACAAGGAGAGAAAATGTCCCCGACATGAGCTTGTTGTTCTGACGCACGAGTTCGTTGAGTATCCGTCGGTGTGCATCGGTGAAGCTGAAGAACAAGCCCGCCATCGTATCGTCCGGTTCCGGACTGGAAAGGACTGTGTCCTTGGTGATTGCGGATTGCGGTGCGTTTCCAAGCGTCGTGTTCTTGCAGACGACCATCAAGGACTCGATCAGAGGCAGAAGGATGGTTGCCACATTGATCATGTTATCTCGCTGGCGGATAGCTGAGAGACAAGTACTCAACTTCTCCCACATCTTATTGAAGACCTCGTTGTGGTAGAGTGTCATGAGCAGACTTGACTTCTCATCAGCTGAAACGGTATCGCTTGCATCCCGGTTGCCATCCTTTTTGGTCTCAAACAGGTGGTCCAGCGCTGTCAGGACACGCAGGAGCTTGTTCTGTTCCGAAGCGCCTGGTGAGAACTTGGCCAGTGCCAAACCCTGAATCTCTGTACCAGATTCGGCTTTTTCGATGTGGGGCAGAAGCTCGTCAAGGTCAGACACAATATTCTTGCTGAGAATTTGAGCCTGCTTCACTAGCTCCCTGCCAAAGACTTGCTTGGCATCCGGAATGTTGGACAGATTCTTGATGGTCGATATTGTGTTCTGGAAGGTCTTGGAGCTGCACTCTCGGGCAACAAAAATCTTGATCACAAGTTTCAAGTTCTCTGGAGGAATTAGTGGAGGCTGAAGCTGACGAATTTTCTTCTGCTCAGTCGTCTGCGGTCCCTTGTCATCGGTAGTATCATGGCTTGGCCCGGTCGATGCTGCAGCCGGCGTGTTCACAGAATTCTGTGCATTGCCAGGGGCAGTGGCATCGTCTGCTCCTTGTTCCGCTCCGTCCTGAGTCTTCTCCGTTTCCTTCTTCGCCTGTTCTGCTGCCTTCTTGGCCTCTTCTTCGGCCTCCTTGCGGCGGCGTTCAAGCGCTTGAAGCGGAAAAGTCACCTTGTTCAGGAGGTCTACAAGGAGCTGCATGACAGCAGAGCTCTCCATGACGAGGTCGCGGTCAAGTAGATGAAGCAGCGAGTTGATAGCATATTTGTGTGCCTTCGAGTCCTTGGCTTTACCCTTGCGATTATGAGCCTGCTTCAACGAGCTTGGGATGGGGTCATTCTCAGTCAGGAATATGGACGGGACGTGAGGGATCCTGCTCGAAAGCTCGACGAGTAGATCGAGACACTGCTGCACGACCAGCAGCGGCGAGATTTCGGAGTTTTGCTGGATGGTGTTGCCAGCGCTGACACTCGTAAATGCCCGCTTGAGACTCTGGGGGGTCTTGAAGTCCTTGGAGTCCTTGGAGTCCTTGGGGTCCTTGACGTCCTTGATGTCCTTGTCCTTGGGTTGCTTAGCCTTCAAGGACAAGGCACTGAAACTGCGCTCCACGGCTTCCATATCGGTGCTGCCAAATTGGAGAATTTGCAGCAGGGAGCCAATGACTTCTAGACGATTTTGCCGGTTCTCGCAGATATCGCCTAGGACGCGGAATAGATGAGAACGAATGGATCCTTGTTGGCTGACAAACATAAGACGAAGGAGCGTGGCAACGCCAGCTTTGTCTAGCATCTGCACAACGGTACGGCGTTGGGTTTTGATCTCGTTGCCGGCAGCCGGCTCAGCGACGGTACGGCTCGAGTCGCGCACACGAGAGATGTAAGAGTGACGCACTCTCTCGTTCAAGGCTCTGGCTTCAGCTGCCATATCTGGAGGGAGTTGATCCATGATCTGGTCGCCTTGCTCCATAAGAACTTGTTGCCTCAATTCAGGATTGAGGCTCGCTAGTATGCTTGCTGTGTCCATGTCTTGAGCCGCCGCAGTTTGGCCACTGGCAGCTGCGGCGCGACGGGCGGTCTCGCGCTCAATTCGCCGGCGTTCCTGTTGTTCCGTCTGCACTATCTCGATTCTGAGGTGCTCAGGAAGAGCATCGAGGAACTCCTGGTAGGCTTCTCCTTGCTCTGCAGCCGGATTCCCTGAGGTCGCAGCCGCTTCACGAGCTTCGGTGCGTCGAGAAGTGATCGTCTGCGCAATCACTTCCTCGCGAATCTCATCGGGCAAAGCCTCCATGTAGTCGGGATCAATTCCCAGCTCGGTGATGTCGACCTGTTCGCCTCTGATGGTGGTGAAAATGCGAGGTTGTGGTTCAGCAGCTTCAGCTTCGGGCTGAGGACCCTCTTCGGCCGTCTCGACGCCTTCCATGGCTTGCGGCTCAGCATCCTCAGATCCCTCGAAGGCTTGGCCTTCGTTCTCTGCAGCCTGTGCTGCTGCCTCAGCAGCTTCGCGTTCACGGCGTTCGCGTTCCTCCGCTTCTGCTCTATCCCGGGCTGCCTTCTCCTCCGCCTCTTGAGCTTCACGCGCTTTTCTCTCCTCTTCTAGCCGCTTCTGCCGATCTTCTTCCTCCTTGCGACGACGCTCAGTTTCCTCTGCTTTTGCCTTCTTCTCTTGCTCGGCAGCTTGCGGCGTAAGCGTTGCCCAGATGTATGTACTCAGCCGTGCTGCCTTTTCTGAGTAGGTGTGGCCGAAAACGACATGGGCCTCATCCAGCCACCGCTGATCAGTCGTCCCTGGCATGAAGGTAACGGCTTGCTGCGGTTCCTGGAACACGTCGCGACGAGCCTCGCTTCGTATGTGGTGGCTGTGTGAGACCCGAGAAGGTGCGCCTAATTCGAGGGTCTCTGCGCGGGTGCCATTGTTTTGCGTAATGTGAAGAGAAAAGCCACGGGGAGGAGTGATGCCTGGCGGCAAACTAGCCATCAGATCGTTCAAGATATGCATGGGGCTCTCGAAGTACGGTGGCATACCACTCCGCGCCACGAACGAGGGAGACTGCCGCGAGGGTGGTTCGCGTCCACTGCTGTTTCCACGACGGAGGAGAGGATTCAAACCGTCTTCTGGGCCAGCCGCAGGACCGGCGGGTCGTCCAGTCCGGAAATAGCTGCGGAAGTCTGTCGCAGGATCAGTATGGCGATTGCGAATAAGTCCCGATAGGAGGGCCCCCATTTCTTGCTCAAGAGCTCGGGCGTCGCGCCTGATTAGTTCAAGTTCCGTTTCACGAGTAGACATACCACTTAGTGGATCAGCCGTGCGAGGTCCCACAACAAAAGGTCCCAACGGGAAGGGGCGGTGGCGTCGCGGAGGTCCACGTTCCACGACGAGAGCATCCCAGCCGAGACCAGATGGCATGACGGGAGGAGGAACATCGTCTCCAGGACCTAAACCATCTACTTGTTAATAATAAGAAAGAAAGATGACGATCCCTGATGGCTCTACTTACGAGTGAAGTCATAGATGTAGTCGTCATCGACATCGATCTGCTCGTCTTCTTCGTCCTCATCTTCTGGGTACAGAGAAAACTTGAAGTCAGTGGATGGATGACCTGTCGGGAAATTGGGTGACCCGCGGTTCTGTCTTAACGAAGTCGTGCGCAGGGGAAACTTACCGTCATCCTCCTCCCCCTCATCATCATATCTGTCTGCACCAAAGCCGAAGGCTTCTTCAGCCAAGATGTGGTGGTGATGATGATGATGGTGGTGGTGGTGGGCCTCGAGTTCTTGACCATCCAGGAGGTCGTGTAAGGGGTGGACCTGCTCCCGCAACTCATCCAAATCTTGAACGCCATCGTCGTAGTCTTGGCCATCGTCCGCATCGTCCGCGTCGTCGTCTTCGTCGGTCTCACTCTCCCAGCCGGGTGCGCCATCATCGTCGATGGGATTGCCCTCCTCGTCAACGATCTCTATACGATCCTCGAGATCATCCATTTCTTCCGAGTGGCTGTCGTCATCGTCGTCTTCGTCGTCGTCTTCGCTGAGCTCATCGTCGTCGTCCATGTCCTCGTCATCATCCTCGTCATCCTCGTCGTCATCGTCCTCCATGATGACTTCAACGCCGACGGGGTGCCCGGGAAGACCTTCGATCTCACCCATTTCATCAAGCTCGTCATCCTCATCGCTGACATCCTCCTCGCCGTCCTGGGACATCTCGTCGCCGTAGTCCAGCTCATC